AAAACGCCTTTGCAACTACGCTGACGCAATCCCGTGAAAGACTGCTGGAATCCACTCGGACAATTTTGTCTGGTGTGGATTCTGTGCCGTATTATCGCCAGGTTTCATCTGGCCTCAACAACGTAGTACCTACTAGTAGCAATATCGCTCCTGCGGCAGCGGTTACGACAACTGAAAGACAGGCTTTAGTGCCTTCGACGACGCCATCAACAGGAACGACGCCACCAGCTTCGACTTCAGAAGATGATACGACGACTGCTCAAGTAGCTAATGGCTCTACTACAGGAGAAGCGGAAGAGTCCTCGACCTCACCCACAGCTACTGGTTCTTCAGCTTCATCCTCCAGAGGACAGCCCACTGGTTTCAACCCTGCGGATCTGCAGTTCCGACCACAGGCTGTATTGCCATTCCATGAACAGCGACACTTAGACCTGAATCCAAGTAACTTGAACTACCAGACTCTCATGGACGAGGCAAATGGTCACTTGTCCGCTAGTACCGAGTCTTTGCGCCAAAAAGAGCTGGAACAACAAAAAGAGTTCATGAGGCAACAGGCCATTTTCTTGAATCCTAAAGCTATTTGGACAGAGCATATGGAGAGTAAGGCCAGAAGGTTCGCTGAAGACGGCATATTGTTGATGATTCAGTTGGATGTGGTTGATGATTCGGCGTCAGGATCAGGGTGTAGTTACGATGCCCAAGCAGAAACACGACCGGTTGGAATTTCTACGGCGCCGGCTCCAAGGTCCTTTCTTGGGACGCGCCTCCCATGCAACGAGCAAGAGGGAGACACGCTTAAAAACAGTTCGTTCCTCAGTGTTGATAGCGTCCTTGATGTACGGGCTACGAACGCAGCTGCGCAGCGAGAGCAGCAGTCGACTCTGGAGGCTGGTACGACAGAGACTATTCCTCTCACTTCTAGTGATGCAACTAGTACTCCTGACGCCGCTCATACAGACGTTGCATCTTCTTCAGCTGCTGCACCAGCTACGACCACCTCCACATCGTCAAACACGACTGGTTCCACCAGCGCTCCATCGTCTCTCCTCGAGGGTGTCATCGCGAGTATGGAGAACATGCTTTTGAGTGACCAAATTACAGTGACGGGTCCGAAGGAAAAAGAACAAGTGTTGGCTAATATCGAAGAGATGAGACAAAGAATTGCTGAATCTTCAAAGTCGGCTGGTGGTTTTTCCACTGAGGAGGGAGGTGAAGAGAGTGCTGGTGCCACTGCCAGCAGCAGCACAGCAGAAGTTCAAGTTCCGATTCTGTCACGACCACCTCCACCTCCTCTCCAAACAGCTAAGATGGAGATCAATTCCACAGTTGGCAATGTCCATCCTCCAGCATCTACCATTGCAGCGAGCCCCAGTGCTGCGTCCGATGTTATGGGAACAAGAAATTATAGTGACCGTAGTAGGCCCAGGCCCTTTTTCTTGTAATTCTTCACTACAACGACATACTTGACGTCCTTTGAACAGAACATGAATCTAAATCACTACAAAAATTGTAGTTGTAATGTTGAATCACTAGTACAATTGTAGTTTTTATGATTCCCCCTCTAAGAATTCCGCAAGCAGCACCCTATCCGTAACCCCCAGCGGTACAAGCACAAGACCGAAGAATCGCTGTCGCGTCTGTAACAAAAAGCTTGGCCTTACCGGTTTTCACTGTCCTTGTGGGGGTCTGTTCTGCTCAAGGCATCGTTGGGAAGGTGACGCCGATACTGAAGACACGCATGCGTGCGCCTTCGATTTCAAGCAAGATGGACGTAGAAAACTGGCGAAGCAACTAACAGGGGTGGAGGAATACAAGCAATTGGGAGGGATGGAATAGATTCCAGAGAAACTTACATACTATGTATTCCTATTCTGTAATTCGATGTCGATCTTCTCGAACAATTATCTGAGCGGTTTATTACTGCCTATTTGATTAAAGGAATTCATATTCCAATTTGATCCTTTCCGCTCCTCGAGAATATAACTGTTTTTTTGTGTAGAATGTATGTGAAAATTTAGATGAATTTTACTAGGTTAATAGTTTTTGCGTGACTGCGTAAAAGATTGCAAACACTTTTTGTCATTTTGTAGAGAAGTAGATGGAAAATGAATGAGTCGTGGTTTTGTCGATGAAAATCTTGACCCGATGAAGAGTGTCGTGATGCTTAGTGATCGCGTTACGCACACACACTTGGCGAAAGTTTCTTGCCTTAAAATGCCGCTTTCTACTGCGTTCTACGTCGAGAAGCATGATGCAGCGACGTGATCTAGAAGTAGTTCACACCTTCGTTTCTTGTCGTTTGTCTTTAAACATGACGTAAATCTTTCTTTTCTAGGATCAATTTCGTGTACGAGCCAGTACGACTACTTGGCGATACTTCTGAAGTTCGTTGGTACATAATACCAAGAACACACAGTGACATCATGTTAAGAAGATGGAAGAGATCACGTCAAATAGAATCGTGGATTTGTTTTGAAACTGCAAAAAGCAAAGTTGTATATGCGATGCACGGCGTGCGATGAGACCACTTGTAAGGTCGTATGGCTCCTGTCATGGAGTTTGAACTACTTTTTGGGTAGCCGCCCGCGCGTGGTAACCAGGAGATGGAGATGTTTGTGATTCTTCTTGATGTGAATTTGTGAAGCTCCATCTTGTTGTTGACAAAATCCGAAATGAATTTCATCTGAAGACCAAGACGAAGAGGCCAAAAAATTGAGTCAACACTGAATTTCATCCTTGATCTTCCAATGCAAAGATCAGTCAACAAGAATCACCTTCAAGATTTGAAAACGTACGAAAAAAAAAGGAGCCATGTGCCAAGAAGACCAGAGCAACTGCGCAGAAAACAAGAAGATCCTGTGTTGACACTTAACTTGCTTCTTGCTGAGCCTTTTCTTTGTCTTTTCAGTTTTGTTTTCACTTTTATTTCTTGGGAGCAATTTGGGCCTCCTTTAGCTGTCGTCTTGCTGTGAGTCATTCATCGAGAAGCAACCTTTCGAATCGTCAGTTTTGGAAGTGGAGGCTGTGTTTTTGCCTACAGTTGTACTACTATTTACAAACAATGATGAACGACAAGTTTAAGTTTCTAGAAGAGTTTCATCCATGAAGATGGGCCTTTTCTGGATAATCAACTCGATTTTTTCTTTGATGGTGCTTCATCACGACTTAACTCTTACTTCTAAAGGCAAAGCGACAAGAATCTAATTAACATTCCGGTAGAGACAACCACGAGCACGGCGACCAGCGGCAAAAAAAAATTAGAACAAAGTTTATGCATGCCCACGCTGGTTCTTGAACTTGCATACAACCAGAGTTGAAAACCATGGTCGAACAAGTCTTAGTTGAGCAGGGGTCGCCCTCTCCTCAACAGGAGGATGCTAACATGCAGCATGCGAGCTCTCCCAAAAAGCAGGGCCTCTCAGAAGTCGGGGGCTCGTTACTGCATCGACGACTGATGTCTTCCTCGTCCATGGCGTCCGCCACGACAAGTAGCATTCATGGGCTAAACCAGCTGTCGTCTTCAGCTTCGTCCTCATCTCTGGCAGCTTCGTCGGCCTCGGGAGAAGCAGTTGCATGTGTTGGAACTGCAGCTGGAAGTGGAATGTCAATCAACATACCACCACTAGAAGTGGATACCAGCAGTAGACCCCATCATGAACAAGCAGATGAACCAGAGCCGCTCTTTGTAGGGGACCTTCAGCTTCAGCAAGAGGCGCGTAACAACGACGCAGAACCCGACTTCGAAGTCGTTGAGGAAGAATTTTCCCACATAGACAATCTTGACAGACTGAACACTAGTCGGGTATCTTCTATGCACGAACAAAATGATCACCAAGAACTGCCACCTTTAATGGGCTCTGTGCCCAGTCGACCACACGGAAGCTCATCCTGCGCGGATTTGAGGGAACAAGAGAGGTTGAGTTTGCTGAAGGCTTGGGAAAGCGGCAACCCGGGCACCGAAGACTTCCCGCATCAGGCGAACCTAGAGCACAACAAATACTACTACGTCATCTCCAGACGATGGGTGCTGGACTGGAAACAATGGGTACTATTAAATTTTGGGGTTTATTGTTGAAGATCATAGAAGTTCAAGTTCTTCACGCTTTTTTTTTCTAGAAGTGATCGATGTCATCATGCTCCTGTGATTTGCAGCATCTTCACTTGTAAATTTCCTTTCTTTCATGATATAAAAATTCCCGTGTATCGACGTCTATCAATCCTCGACTTGTTTAATATCCCCACAACATCAACTTCTTAATATCGACAAAAAACAGGTCGCCGACGAAAGTGTGCAGAGTCCAAAGCAGAGCCCCAAAAACGATTCCAAGACCAGTGCCTGTTCCCCAAGTAGTCCTCGAGTGTGGACCAAGGACCGACCAGGCATGGTTAGAAACACGCATCTCCTGAAGTTGCCACATCATGACGAACAAAATAACAACTCTTCTACTAGTAGTTCCAACAATTATGGAGGGCTTGGAACATCAATATGCACAACTACATCTTCTTCAGGAGTTACAACAGCAACGTTTGGAGGATTTGGCTCATCATCGTCCTCAACGGCGGATTGGCCAGCAAGTGTGCCGCGAATTTTCAGTGCTGAACTAGTCGGGATTCCGAATAGACTCTTCATTGATCCGGTGATGAACACAAATGCGTTGCCCGACCAGTCGTCGACAAATAGTTCGGTACAACCGATGGTGAGCTCTGGAGCTGGAGGCTTAGAAGAGCCAGTTCCACTCTTAGAAGAGCCAGCTCCACCACATCCATTTGGTCGTGCCAATAATACTAGTTTTGCTCCTGGATTCTTAGGTTTAGGAGTACCAGCCGCAACTACATCGGGAGGAGGTTTCAATTCTACTTCTGCGGGGACGATGTCTATCTGTCCCAGTCCAGGTAGCGACATTGAGATGGGAGGACAGACACCACCGAGAACGGGAGGAGATCCTAGTAGACCGGAAGTTAGTGGAGCTTGTGGTGTACTATCTTGTGGAACTGGACGACCTGGAGGAGTCGAAGAGCCATTTCCTCTATTTCCGGGTGATACTTGTCCCGCTGCTGTTGTAGGTCGCGAACGCGGTGTTGTAAAAAGGGTTGTAGAAGAAGATGCTTGTTCGGCCAGAGCTAGTCCAGCACAAAAGAACGATAGAAGTCCACTTTTCAACGATTTGGAGCTTGTTGTAAGTGGACAGGAGAACAACAACAATGGTGTTGATGATTCATTTTTTGCATCCAGGAGGAGCGGCGCACCTTTCTTCAATCCTGGTCCTCGAGAACAACTGATGGTATATCCAGTGAAGCACGACATTAGTGACGGCGACTACATGGTTCTCACTGAGGCTGTCTGGCGAAAGTTTGCGAATCTGTATGGTTACGATTACTGCATCAAGCGGCGAGCAGTGCATCAAGCTTGTTCGTCTGAGGACTCGCCTGCATGGGAACAGGGGAAGCACTGGCTGGAGTACAAAGATGCACATGATCCTCGGGATTTCTCATCTTCTGCAGAATCGCCACGACCACTAAATGCGCCTGACGAAGATGGTACTACAACTAACGTGGCTAGCACGTCTCCTATTGGACCCCAGGCCCAGCAAGACCAGGGAAATGGCACTTGTACTTCTTCTTCAGCAATGACAATCGCACTAGCTCCCAATCCCTACCACGGAGCAGCAAAGTTGGAGCTCGAGGGAGCAGCCATTCCCGTTTTCCACGCTGTGAAAGGGAAGACAGAGGAATGCCCTGGAGGCGACCCGCAGGTAATCCTCTACGAGTCAGCGCATGCCAGTGCAGATGCAGTTCTACGTCGTTTAGCAGCATATTTTGAGGTAGCGGATCCAATGGCTGTTGTGACTAGTACCTCTGACAAGGTGGTTGAAGTAGCAACTGCAACAACCTTTGGCACAGAAGTAGAACAAACACAACCACAACAAACTGGAGTACCCACGTCGTGTGCATTGCCATTGCCCGATGAAAGCGAACAACAACTACAGGCTGTAGCATCTCCCTTCGAAGAACGACCTCCTGTCCCACACGCACACCAGCTTCCACAACCACATCAAGGCGAATCATCTTCCTCGACATCTTCGGTCCTAAAGGCCCCCACTTCTAGTTGTAAAGCAGGCAATGACCAGCATCGCTCCCATCCATACAAGCAAAAGCAAAATATTCTGCCTACGACGCCTTTGGATAGCTGGCGGAGACGGAAATTGCAGTTCTGGGACTACTTTCAGAACAAGAAGTTTGGTCAAGCACCCATCAATCTCTCGGAACATAAATCCCTGAAAGGGCATCGGATTGGTCCTAGAAATCCGATTTTGCTAGAGGAAGCAGACGAAGGCGGTGAATTCTTTCCGAAAGCAACAGTCAGTAGCAGCTCGTCATCTTCGATGTTTTCGGGGTTTGGGAGAATGGTAGGAATTTAACTAGTTCGGCCTTTCGTTTTCCTCTTTTACTTAAAATACTAGATATTTATGATTGGAGTTAATATCATTATCCTGTTTGGAGTTAATATTTTTGTTGACACATTAGACTTGAGAGCCGCAGAACTCGCATGTGTTCCGTTCATCTTCCCGATCATGGTGTCACGACCCTCGCCAGTAAGAACTCGTTTGCTAGTACTTCTCTTCATCAAGTGAATCAACCCAAAATGATACCAGAACCAGCATCAAGAGGACGTCCCGGAACGCACTGACAACAAGTCCAACGCCGTTGGCTCAGTCGGCCTCAACAACCTTGGAAACACGTGTTATATGAACAGCTCTTTACAGTGCATCAACTCTCTGCCGTGGCTGAAGGAATTCTTCGTTTCACGCCAGTACAAAGAATTCCTGAACGATCAAGCCTGGAAATCACAGGGAAAGATCGCAGATAGTTTCTCGAATTTGATGAAGCTCATGTGGGAGAAGGACGTTATTAAGGTACTTGTTACAGTTCTTTCTCAATAATGGTGGTTATCTAAAAAGTTTGGTAGCAGCTCTCAAGAACATTCTCAATTACAACATTGAGAAGAACAATCAACGACGACCAACACCATCTCGCATCAAAATCTTCTACTTCCAGGTCGCCCCCCGTCGTTTCAAGCAGGAGCTGGGGCAGTTTGCAGAGCAATTCTCAGGCTACATGCAGCATGACGCGATGGAGTTTCTCGAGTCCCTCATCGACGCGCTCAAGGAAGACACTAATACGGTCAAGGGTCGGAAACCCTATTTCCAGTTTCCGGATGACGACGTTAGACCCGAACGCGAGATCCTAGAAGCTTACCTCCAGGGCCATCGGAGACGCGACAACTCGTTTATTGATGAAAGCTGTTTTCAACTGGAGAGGAGTCGAGTCAGGTGTCCGAAATGCGCCAAAGTTAGCGTCACTTTTTCTCACAACTTAGCTGCGTCGTTGCAAATGGTGTCTGCGCGTGAGCAGAAATTCGTCAACATGACGGTGAATGTGGTAAGAAAGAATAAGGCTTTTTGGAATCCGCCGATGGAGGTGATGACAGGAGCTGGTGGAACTGGGAGTAGCTTGACTTCATCTTCCAGTACTTGTTTATTTGGCGGTGCAGCTTCTGCCACGACTGCAGCTTCTAGTAGCACAACGAGTAATACTAATATGATGAACAACATGAACCAACACCAAGTAGATGTAGTTCAATTAGCACCCTGTTCTACACCGTTTCCGAACCCTGCTGAACAAGAAAGGAGCGGCGTGGTTGCAGCTCCTCCTGCGTCTGCAAGCGCTACCTCCTCTTCGGGAGGAGAAACGCAGTCGGCTTTCACCTACCTCACTTCTCCGACTTCTGCTTCTACACGTAGTCGGAGAAGTGAGGTACTAACCTCAGACGTGGTATTAACATCTTCTTCCACATCAACTTCAACTACTTGTCCCGCGTCTTGTTCTTAAGGGTTACCACATTGCATTCTTCACTACCGTCCTTGACTTTTTTTCCAGTAGGAAAAGGGTCAGGGATGATCTGAAGAATGCAATGTCGCAACCTCTAACGTGCCTCATCCTCCTCTTCAAACAAAGTAGGAACCAATAGACCCCTTCCGACTCAAATCTCAGTAGACGTGCCCAAGGGTTCCTCCGTCGCTGACTTGATTCAGCAAATTGCCACGTCACATTCTCAGCACTGTGGACACTGGGACTTGGAAAAAAACATTCTAGTCGTAGACGTGCGGAATCCACGAGCCTTCAAATACTACGAACCTAGAGACAACGTCGATTTGATCCAGAAGCATGAGGTGTTGTACATCTATGAGGTGGATGACAGGAGTTGTTTTTCAGAGGATAGAGAGGTGTTGGAATTGGCAAACGGTGCTGGAGGTCAGAGCAGTGGTCCTATTATTGCGTTGCCACCACCAACAGGTGACGCTGTAGTAGCGCCAGCTGTTGACACAACCTCGGCTGCAGGTGCATCCACCTCTTCGTCCTCTTCGAGCAGTAGTTCAACTACAGCTGCAACCTCAACGGCAGTAGTGAGTCCCGAACAAGGACAAAGTCCCGAACATGGTGGAGACGACCAGGACAAAACTAGTGCGGCAGCAGGCGAAACACCAACCTGTGCGACATCAAATTCTAGTCCTTCAGCCAATGTCAGTACGTCTGGGGACACTATTGCTGGCGACGGTACTAGTTGTGCAAATTCTCAGTCTCCCAGTCCCGCTCCAGAAGTAGGTGCCTCTGCATGTGGATCTGGTTCGGGTTTGACAACGACATCAAAAGATGCACCACGACAAGGTGCTGCACCGTCTTCTAGTACTTCTTCAGCAGCAGCAACTCTATTCGGAACTTGTTCATCTTCTACGTCTCTAGAAGCAAGCGCCAAGAATAGTAGTTGCCAAGAAGTGGACTGTCCAAGTGCGCAGGAGTTGGAGTTTCATACAGCACGCTCAGAAACAGAGCTCAATAGCATTTCTTGCACATCTTCTGGAGTAGGTGGAGGAGCACAGCCAATGGAGCTAGTGGGCGTAGGCCTTGAGCAGACCACTGCGCCACGGCCAGTCGTTCCAGATGAAGTAGAACAAGAGCACAAGGACTCCGCAGCTCCAACATCTACAACTTCCTTAGACAACAACAAGCCTTTCACTTCCACCACCTCGAGGACCACCTCTTCATCTACTTTCCCAAACATTTCTTCTAGCACGACCTCTAGTTCTATGCCCCGAGTTGCTAGCTCCGGCTCTATGCCAGTAGTTGCTGGTTCCTCTAGCTCGAGCAGTTCTCTGCCACCGATTTCGCTGTCAGAAGTCCCTGTGCCGATGGAAGGAGTGCAATTAACGACGACGACCACTTTGAAGCGACCTCATGTTGACGCCTCGAGTCCCTCAGATCGAGACGACGTCGTGCCACCTTGTACGTGGCTGAACAACAACAATTACACCGCGTCTTCAGGAGGTTCGGCTGGTTGCTTCCCAGGTGGATCGAATTCAACGATGTCCACAACCACAGGAAGCGCTTCTAGTACTAGTTCTAACGGTTGTTCTACTATTAAGGCTCAAAACAATTCATTTCTACAAGCCATTTTTTGCAGTTTCCTTCTTGGGATTCTGAAGAAATGCAGGCAAGAAATGAAACGTTTGTAGCTCTAATACTAGTTCCAGCTGTGCTTCGACCATCCTGCACAACGGCATCGTGATGCACATCAACAACAATGCGAACTCGATGGGAGGCAGGAATTTTCACACCTTTCAGAAAATCCCCCCTGTGGTCTTCTCAGTGCCACGCAACACCACGGTTGGAGAGTTTTACAAAGTCAGTCGGGAAAAATTGGCCTTACACATTGGCGTACCACAGACGTCGCAGTTGCCAGCACTACACATTTTCAAGAAAGAGGCGAACAAGTAATTTCTACATGTAATTCTAATGCTGGTAAACGAATAAGAAGTACTAGGTTTTTGAAGGTCTACTAGACGTCGTGAAGATCCGCGAAATCATTGTGATCAAGTAGTTCTTGTACCCCTCTTTCTAGTCTTACTAGCCTTCAATTTCTCCTCCAATCTTCATTACTCACAGGTCTAATAGTACTTGGGGGCGAGCTTTCACCTCGGAAAGTGAAGTGCAGGAGTTTCTCGAGGATGGGAGCCCAAATACTGCCTTAGTTTTCGAGGACGATCAAGTGCCGGGTATTGTAGATACTTGATGAATTACGTGGTTAGTAGTAGTAGTAGTAGTGTACCCAATCTTGGAGTATGCAACTCGATTTGCGGCATATTTTCAGGGATTCCTCAGTATGAAACTTCATCACTCCCAATGTCTTCAATTATGACCGAAGAGAAACTTTCTTGTTCCAACATTTCCATCCTCTACTCACGATCAGGCAAGAAATACTTCCGCATTGCGGAGCAGAACGTAGAAGCTACGCAGCTCACGCAGTTCGATTTCCCCAGTCCAAGGCCAATTGGTTCCGAAAAACGGCGTAAGAGTGAACTCTTCCTAGAGAGTTTACTCGAATCCTACATGGAGGAGGAGCAGTTGGGCGAGGATGATTTATGGCGCTGTCCGAGGTGTGACGAACGATTACCAGCATATAAGAAACTAGACCTCTACAAGCTGCCTCCAGTCTTCGTAATTCACCTGAAGCGGTTCCAGTATACGAGGTACCAATTAATACACTACTTGTCCAAAGAACCTATCTTTTATTTTGTTCTCACCATTTAAATCTTCACAAGTGAATCATGATGTGTATGCGGCTGTTGATAATCTGGCGTGTGACTGAATGTAGAGAACTTCTACCCATCTTCTCTCGGAAATCCTCGGAACACCAACTTTCTAATACCAGCATGATAAATTCTCCAGGTGGTCCCGAGAGCGCATCAGCACGCCCGTGAAGTATCCCGCTGTTTTGAATATGGAGAGCATGGTTGTTGACAAGAGTAACTCCGTGCCATCGTCCAACTGCGAAGACAAAGCAGACACTGACACCAATACCTACTACCTCTCTGGCGTGGTCCGGCATGAAGGTACTCCAGACGGCGGTCATTACATCGCTTTTGCCCGTAATTGTGTGACCGGTGAGTGGTACGAGTTTAACGACAGCATCGTAACACCGAAAACCGAAGAACAAGTGCTGAGCGAAACCGTATCAGCGTACGTGCTGTTCTACACGAGAGGAAACTACGCTACCTGGAGAAAGATGAAGGGCTGCTCGAATGGTCGTAGTGGTGCAACTACTTCCGCCTGCACTAGCTCCTCAGCAACAGCAACTTTTACTTCTAGAAGTTCTACTGCGGCTCCTGTTGGAGATACAGCCAGTTGTAGTACTGTTACAGCTCATATCGCCAACATTGATGACCAAGGCAGCAGCACCAGTCAAGAGATGATTAGTAGTGGTAGAACGAGTCTGCAAAAGTCAGTGGCGCAGATGTTGGAGACAGTACGGCGTAATGCAGAAGCGAGTGATGGGGATTCCACTGCGGCAAGCAGTAATGCCGAGCGGATTTGAAGGTACTGGTCGTGGCTGAGAGGGAGAATACGTCGGGAGCATCTTTTTTGTTGAAGACATCCTTGAGGATGTCTTCATCTTCATGCTCATTGTGGTGATCATAGGGATGATAACTTCTTCTTCACAGTGCAACGACCTTGTCATTATATTGCCAGAGGTAGGTGCTAGAAGTCGTGTAAGTACGAATAAATATTTAGTACTAAAACTAAAAGTAAGGAACACGACGTGCTCAACATGTACAAGCAGCACATGAAAACTCTTATATCAAAACGTCATGCTCATGCGATAATCTTGCTCAAAAACTAGTGTTGCGGACATTGCGGTCTTAAGGACTTTTTTAGTGAAAACGTGACTTGCTTATTGCCCATGGCTTAGTTGCATAACGACGGTGATTAGGGCTACACCTCCACCAGTTTCATGATGATTTTACAGGTAGCATGATGTTGATGTTTGCATGTTTCGAAATTTCAATACGACTACAGCGTTATCAACAACAGTTGTCTACTCAACTACTCAATGACATTAGAGATAGGACATTCTTTCATAAGAAACCATGACCACGTTCGGCGATGGCGATGCTGCAGTAGTACCTCTGAAGTAGTTATCTACTTTTACTTAAACCCTAGACTTTTACTTACTACTCGTACTTACTCAATTGTGCTTGTGGTTGTGTCCTTTTAATTAAGCACGACAAGAAGTACATCGATCTTCATGGATCGAAAACATATCAGCTAACATAATTCTGGTGCGAGAACGGACCAGAAGTTGTGTGAAATTTGAATGCATGTAGATCATGGGGTCGAACTCCTATTCCATTTCCTACCATCGCTTTGAAGGCCCTAATACCCCTCTCCAACAACGCGACTCCTCAACCTCTTGCCCCCTCCATTTTTCTTTCTTTGCTGCCTTATCCAAAACACGAACATGATCATCATGAAGAAGAAGAACATGCATAGGACAGGCTTCGGCTAGTGCGTCCTCCGTGATGCTCAAGACGTCGTAAGAACAGTAAAAATAGTGTCGACAACATCAAAATGTGCACTTATGTGGTGTACATCTACGCCACTATGACGATCTTGCATTTGTTGTTCCCCAATTATCAATGTAGCGAAGCAACCAACAACCGAAGAAAGCTGCGACTGAGAACAACAATGAGCGTTCTTTGGAATTGGAATCCCGTCAAGGAGGAAAGTTACATCGGAGGTTGTGCTTCCTAGTGGCGACGTTTTGTTGGTCATCTTGGTCTATCTTATTGACGAGAAGCCCTGCGTGTGCGTGAAGTGCCGCAATGAGTGAGATACGTGTCCTTAGCTGCTCGATAACCACTACCACTAAAAAGTAACAAGATCATTAACATTATAGATGATCATTGCGCTTCCTGATTATGACGAACGAGAACGTATACATATTCCTAGCTGCAATCATTGTAATGAACAACAACAGGAGCACGAACAAGAACAACAAGTAGTAAGTTGACAGTCACCTCGTTGTAGAATGTAGAAGTAGGTCAACACGAATTGTAGAACAAGGAAGTTGTACGTTATCGTTCTTAATACTGTTTTTGGTTCTCTACTTCAGTTGTATTAAATTTGATATTGATATTCTACTTTCCCCTCAACATCGAATATCGATCATCAGCACACAATTATAAGAACTAGCAAAAACAAGAGAAAAAATGTCAACCTCCAAGACCCAAGCGGAGAAGGATGAACTGCTTATGCAGTTTTTGGGCATGACAGAGGAAAGGGTGGACCCTGAGGTGGCTTCCCAACTACTAGAATCAAACGAATGGGATCTTCAGCGTGCTGTAGCCATCCTCTTTGATGGTGGTGGTGTGTCGCCAGCTAGTGGGACTGGAGGTAGGTTCCTGGATTCATCTAGGCTTTGGTCGTTTACAGGTTTCTTTTTGATGATGATCTACAATATTTATGGTCGTTTTGGTGAACAAAATCTGTTATTAAAATCGAACTATATGTGAAAAAGCATTTGAAGTCTCGTGACGTCGGTGCACCTGGCATCCCTGACGCGATCGAGGCCATTGAGCTGGAACTTGAGACGTGAGGTTAGCCTATGTATATCTTTGTCACCTCACGTCCTCCAATCACCATGAGCACAATAACACCTACAATCTTCAGCCACTGGGATGACGCAATTTGACGCAGAGGCGGCTGCTGCCTTAGATGCTGATGATCCCATGACAGGCGGTGGCGGAGCTTTTTCGACATCTCTATTCGGCGGAGCGCCAGATGCACCTTCAGCGATTGGCAGAGCAGCTCCAACTAGCGGCGCCGGAGGACCTCCTGGAGCAGGGCCTGTTATAATAGAGGAGGACGATGAGGATTTCCGACGTGCCCTGGAGGAATCTGCAAGAGCTGCTGGAAATCCAGTGCCTGCGACGTCAACAACATCTTCGTCGATAACGATAACCTCGTCTTCTACTGGTGCAGGAGGCCTGGACCAAACGACCATGATATCCTCCACGACTACCTCGGGCGATAGTTACATCCCTAATGCGTCAACGAGTCTGTTCGGAGGGCCAACACTGCAGCCTTTGTTAAGGGTCACGACAATTCATCTTAAGTAAGAAGCATCTTTGAGCCCTTTGTTAAGGAGGGAACACGTCTTCGAAGATGCACTTTCTTAGAGATGAACATCTACTTATGCGTGAGGTCTAACTTTGAGTGCCGGACAGTTAGGCCTGTCATCGGGGACGTCCTCATCATCGACGAGGCGGGCCACAGCAGATGTGGGAGGTGGCGCGTCGAATACTATGGATGGATAAGATTTAAATCTACCATCATACTTTTCGTTTTCGAAATGACTACTACCTCCGCTACTATAATGTGAGTAAGAAAATTGTTCTTGGTATAATAAAGGATGAACAACCGTCGATTTCGATTAGAGAGGTAGTACTACTCTAGTAAGTCCATAGCTATAGAGGAAGAGGATTTTCAACCACGGCAACCTAGTACACGATTATGAATCATCTTCTAAGAATCGCGGCACCTCAGGTGCCTCCACCTCAAATGCGGACGCAGGTCCCACTAGTTTTGCGCAGAGTTTTTTCAGTAGTGCACCTGGAGGTGGCGCCAGTGCTTCAGGTGGAGCAGAGGGCGCGACACAAGAAGACGCAGATGCGATGATGGCTAGAGCTCTGCAGGAAAGTCTGAACACAGGTGGCGCAGTGCATCAATCGGAAGACGAGCAGCTCAGGAGAGCGATGGCTTTGAGTGCGAACGAGAAGGAATCATTGGAAAGACAGCTGTTGAAAGAGTACTTAGTTCTGCAGCAAACTTAGATATTTAATGTAGTTGATGACTTTTCATACAACTTACACTTAAGTTTTTCTTCATTTTCGAATTCGAAATCATAATCTTCAAGGAATCTACTAGTCACAGTGGGCATTATAGTTTCCTCCATGTTTAAGATCTACTTCTTCGTCTTCGAATTTACTCCTCTTTATTTGAACCACGACCATGACCTCAGAGAACAAGACGCGGCCTTAGCAGAATCTGCGTTAATGGACCAGATGAGAGAAGCGCAGGAAAAAAGTCTAAGGGAAGAACAGGAACGCGAACGCAGAAATGCAGCCGAGGCCGCAGCGAAAGTAGAATTGGAAAAAGAGAAACTGTACTACCATATTTTTACTTATCTAACCAACAAGCTCGTCTTAACATGCAGTCCTCATGATGATTGAAAGTACAATGAACTTGAATCATGATATAATAAAACTAAAATTTGAGAACTTCAAGTTCAACTACTTCTACACTAACATCAAACAGCATCCTTTCATCACTGTAAAAAACTCAACAGCGAGGCACGCGTGCGTGGCTTAGCCGCTGCGTTACCTCCAGAGCCAGAAGCTGGCAATCCCGATCGCCTGGCCCTCATGTTCCGTTTACCCAACGGAAAAAGTGTGAAGAGAGCATTCTCTAAGAATGACAAGGTGTCGCATTTGTACGACTTCATAGACAGTGTGCTGTTGGACGCTGGTGAAAGGGAGACCATAAACGACTACAAGCTCACCAGCACGTTCCCACGCATGACGATCGATCAGTCGGATTTGCTCTTGTCGACGACGAAACTCGAAAATCAGACAGCACTGATGCTGCAAAGAAACAGCTGACACTACTTCTAGCCAGCACGTGCGTGGTGGTGATTTCCGAAGAGCTATACTGAAGAAGACTCTTCTAACCAATCACGCATATGCATAAGACCCATAGAATCTGCCTCATTCACTTTTCTTTTGATTTTTTGAAATCTTTCATTCCTCACGACTACAACGAACACGAGAAGAAGCATCGACATACCGACATGGCTTGAGCGGCAGTCTTGTTGGATATTACTTTCTTGCTCGACATACAAGTTCATGATCATCCAAGTTCCGCCAAAAATTCGAATGCTGCTAATGGATAACAAGAAAGAAAGCCGGTAAGCCAGAAACCTGTACTATAGATATCTGTCCCGGGAGTCGTGAGGAACAAGATCTTAGTGATTTCCACTCGTAATTAAGAGTCTGTTGAACAAGATAATGCTATTAAGCCCTAGTAAATCGGATGCTCGATGTAGTACTCCCACTCTCTGTGACTAACGTGTGCGACGTTTGGGAGTGAGATGAGAAGATGAAACAGATAGCCGCGAGACATGTGAGTGAGACGAGAGTAGCGAGTGAGTTTCCTTCTTCTATCCCGCTGACTCCACCTTTTTTGCAGAGACCCCAGAGCAAGAAGACAAAGAGGCAAAAACAAATACAAGTTGTAGCTTGTCACTAGAACAGGTTTACAAGAAGATTTAATTGACATGCGTTCCTGTGCATGCACATCTCTGCGAAAAAATCTAGATCTAGTCCTGAAAAGTACTAAGGATTAGATGAAAAGCTAATGAACATGCCTGCTTATGTATGATGCCTGCGAAGAACGTTTAAGCGACAACATCAATGCCCTGCTCGATCCTGGACGCACAGTCGCGTCTTCGCGTTCTCGCTTGCTGGTCTTCAACACATCGCAGAAGGACGAAGATATTCTTGGCATAGATGTTGAAACAGAGAAGACATTATATTAATTGAGAGATCAACACATCAAAGGAGAAGAAAAATCATGTTAGGCAACAGATCCTCCGGTCTGCCGGACATTAAGCGTCCAGGCAGTGCGCAAGTGCGAGCCGCGGAGTCATTTGGCGGAGGCAGCTCGTCTTCATCGTCGAAAAGGAGGCCGCAGAGTGCACAACCTAGAAATACTGCTCTAGAGGACCCATGGGCAGCATTTCAACCAGGAAATAAGACGAGACCAACTTATGGATTCTTGGATCAAATGTTGTAGATGTAGACGTACTAATGTACTAGAAGTAGGTCCTGCTTTTCAAAGGACGTAAGTTGGAGACTGGTTAATATTCCAAGCAACCTCGGGGGCAACAATCTCGTTAGAACAGTCCACCTTCCCCCGTCTTGGGAAGATGAAATCACCTACAACTACATTCATGCAGCAAGACCCGGAGGAGGGACTACGGTCACCGCAGGGGGATCCAAAAGGCTAAGCAGCAGCTCCAGTAGCGGCGCCTTGACAGGAGGAGGAAGAGTTAGGTACTTGCAGATGTTTGGCACTAGGAGGCTTGATTGATGAGCCGATGAAGAAGATAAGAACGCTATCGTTGGGCCGCTAAGTAGTAAGTTATAACTTCTACTAGTACTAGTGCAAGTACAAGAGCATTATCATCTTGAGACAATGATAAAATAATAGCCAGACGAGGAAGTACTAGAGCTTGTTGATCATGTTGTCCGACTTCGACAAGAACTCCTCACAGCTCCGCCGTTCCCACCGGTGGCATTTTGGGAGGTACCGGGATATATTCGGAGTCACAAAGGCCACCAGTCCAGATGAGTGAGAGTGCGAGGATACGGTATTTGCAGGATCAGTTGTTGGAGATAAAGAAAGAAACGCATGCCCTAAAACAGAAGCAGATGAAATTAGCTGCGAGACAGAAGCTCGCTGAAAGACAACTTGGGAGAAGGGACAAGTTATGTCGGAAAAATTACTACATCTATAACTACTACTACAACAGATGTTGACCAGGATGAAGAGGACAGTGACTTCTACCTCTTCTATGCAGTGGGTACTAGATCCCGATGAATACAGCGCGATACACTCGCCTCCATTTTCTACAACAAAATCAAAATCTTTATTTCCCATCGTCCACCTACCTTTTGTCTGAAGATCATTCTTTTCTTCCCTCTTTCTCGTCCTCCCGCGATTCATTTCCGAGCATGAAGCAAGTAGCGGACTCAGCGAGCGCGAATGCACCTGTACCCGTAGGGTTGCTGGAGAACCTGAAGCAGTTGAACCATAACGGCGTGGGCCTCTATAAACGAAAGAGGGCAGAACTAGAGTCCCACCTGCAGGAAAAAGACGCGCGAATAGCCGAACTCAAGAAGGAGCCACTCTTCACCAAAATAGTCGAGCTAGAGGCGATCCTGACATGCTACCAGAATGAATTTTACGAAGACTAACGAGAAGATCATGACGTCGAATTGGATGTAGTTGACGATCAACATGGATCTGCTATCGTGTAGGTAACAAGTCAAGCTCGCTCGAAAGTAGAACGCCATAATTCGTCACGTTGATTTATGGTAAGTGTCAACATCGTTGTCATCGTCGTGTCTCTCCTAATTTCCTACGCGCCTCCAACGCTTACAGCGTGATAGTCAAGGGCACCTTAGCGATGCAGGGCAAGAGGAGATCGAAGTACTGAAGAAAATGGTGACCAGCAAGAATGCCGAAGTCGACGCTTTGATTAAAATTACGGCTACTTTTTCACTATTCCATGTGGACTATGCTGAGTGAGAGTCCCCTTGGTTTAAAGGGGAAAACAGGGGCAAAGAGAATATCTCACTTACGCAGGAGGCATAGTGAACACCCAGCGCTAAAGAAAGAAAAACGAGACAAGCAGCCGAATTAGAGGAAGCAGAGACAGATTACGCGGCGTTTATGGAGGTACAACTACGTGTGCGTGCTTTGCAAAGGTGAAGATGATTTGCGCTAATTTCTAGTAGTATCCAACTTCTTCACGATCAACATCAACATGAAGATGAATATCTTCTTCTCAAAAAATATATCCTCGTTGTAAAAAACACACTTACATAGGAGTACAAGACCGTAGAGGACGGCCTCAACGGGAAGCATGCGGAAGTGAAGAAAGTGTACGACCGATTCAAAAAGCTGCTGGAGGACGTCAAAAGGAAAGAGCAAATGCGAAAGGATTTAGAACAAGTGGAAGAGGATGTTCAAGCCTGCGACGCCCAACTAGTGAAAGCAGAAGTGGGTTTAGCCCACCACGCGTCCGTAGCTAATCGAATCGACAGGGCTGTTGTCTCAGAATGCACCGGTTCTGCTCAGTCTTCATCTGAAACCGAAGGTGCAGAAAAAAGTGGGGGCTTGAGTTATGAAGGAAACGTGAGGAACAAGCTGCAATACAGATTTCGATTTGTATCTACAACTTCGTTCCTCTACTTCTTTTGGTGTTGTATTTGATTTTTTTCTACTCATCTCTTTGAGATCGAGTCTACGTCGTTAGACTGTCTAATCCATCCTTTCTGGCCCAGCGAAGAACTTGCTCCATCGCATGAAACGGCGAAGCCAGGCAAGAGGGAGAGAAGACCCGACGAAGGAAAGTACTATTACAACATTGTGTTTTCCTAGGTGCCCAAGGGTATGAAGTAGACGATTTATAAGCAGTAGTACTTCATCTAGAACAGCAAGAACATGTTGTTCTTGAAGACTGTTCAGTTTATTTCTGCTGCTTGTTGTACTTTACAATTACAACTACAACTAGATAAGAAACGCGAAGTGCAACGTTGCATTCCTTGCTCCTATTTGAATCTTCAAGCTGTACTAGGTATGTTGCAACTGTTTCAAGAGGCTGATGCAGACCGAGACGGCCAGTTGTCAAATGGGGAGTTGCTCACAGTGCTTGAAAAGATGGGCGTAAATGTCACAGCAGAGGATGTGTCTGGGCTGATGCGCGCTTTTGGCAATCGGTTACCGCAGTATCTCGATATACTCATACTAGCCAGCGCTCAGCCTGCAAGCGATGGGGATGTTGTACTACGAAAATTCTTGAAATCAGTATCAGCGTCTAAGTAGTACAACTTAGAGATTTGATTTGTATTTGTTATAGTCCTGATGAAGTAGAGGCGGAAGTGGAACGAAATTGTTGTAGAAGATGAGGAACAAATTAGTCCTCTTTTTCTTCCACAATGTGTGTGCTGACCTGCAATTTTAAGAACAACTTCTCACAGCATCTCCTCTCGTCGCTCACTGACGTTGACGTTGAGGATTTGCGTATGGGTCTGAAGCGAGCGGGCATTTCCTACGTCACTTTCCGCGATAAACTCTTGACCGCGAAGACCTATTCGGAACTGGCCACCTTTCTAGGACAAGTAATATCTCCACCAGCCGTGGCGAAGTGGAGTCAAGTCAACGAGCTATTTGGAGCGGGCATGATACTCATGAGAGTACATTCGTGGATGTAGGCGGATCTATTCATCATGAAGAGAGACGTACACGACCTAGTTCTAGATTTACTACATTCGTGGTTGTAGGAAGGAGAAGCTGTCTAGCGCTACTTCTAGTACTAGTTTGTACTACTATATGGGCAATAGAGTTGGATTTGATGCAGTATAGTAGATGAGCTCGACGACTCGTCGTTTTACTAGTTTTCGGAACAATTTCGTTGATTTTTCAACCTTTATCCAAACAGTTTATTTTGCTTCTTTCTAACTAAAAATGGAAAACTCAAGGTCAAGCTAAGTAGTAGGGTCTTGTCAATATTTAATGTTCATTAACAAAATCTCCAGTGGTCGTTGAGCCACTAAGGACGGTCTCAGCTTGCAAGGGCTGCCTTAGGATGAATGGAATTTTAATCCTAAATAAGGTGATATAGTAGAAGATGCAACTCCAGTTTTTTTTCAAAAATAACAATCAGAATCAGACGAGCACCGAGGAGAAGCTCCTGGTACCACTGCCGGTTACAGCCCCTCATGGAGCATCTTTCTCACTCCTGGAGTTTTCGTGTTCCCTTTATCAATGTTTCAGTACTACGTGTCAGTAGTGGAGTGACTGAGAGACCACGATCTTTGAGATGTTCACAGGGTCCCTGGGAAAGCTGTGGTGATCACTCCCAAAAACAATGTGGTCTAAAGATAAAGGTGAAGATCTTTGTTCTCTATTGCAGAAGGAGATTCATGCAAAAATCAATGCCACCTGAACCAAGAATGGCACAACAAGCTCAAGCATTAGCATGCGACGCTAAAAAAAATGGATAAGAATAATGAAGGCGCCGACAACTTTCATTTTTGGTGAAGGCCACTGGAGTGTGGGAGCAGGTACAAAAGCAGACGCTTTCTTGTCTTCAGTGCTACAACAGACGTGAAGGACGATCATTGGTACCGACTCGCCAAAAATATGTTCGGCCGTCTTACAACATTAAGAAAGCCATCGAAATGGCGTAGCCCCTTTGGGGCTACTCGTGGGGTGCTAGCCTCTGTACTATTGGTAGTGTACTTGCTGCTCGTTTTTGATGACACCAATCGGAGTTGGATAAGGAGTTGGATAAGAAGTTGGGAGACGAGCTTGCATATGGTAACGGACGGCTTTTGCGGACTGAGCAGCTCGTCGAAGCAAAGAATAAGCGGGAGGAGGTGTTGTTGCAGTGGAAGAAATGCCAGCGACGACGTTAGATCTAGTTGTAGCCTCCGTGGTTGTAGTTGTAATTCCTCTAGTCCACCTCTACAACTAGAAGTACGGCCGCGTCCTACTCGCACCAGCTTTTCTTCGTCATCGTTTTTCGTTGGCGCCATGAAGACAAAGACTGAACCCTTGGCGGAAACCGTGAAGCAGTTTCTCGATGATGAATGTATCCCATATCCTAGACCCCAATTTGTTGATTCACTCCTAGAGTTGGCCCTGACAGGCGTCGAGGCCATGCAAGCACTGCACTTGCGGACACCTGGTGAAGCCTTCCTAGTGCAAATGCGCGGGATTTACGACCTACTAGCCTTCCACCCTTATGTAAGGCTGATGTTGAGCGTATCAGTAACAGTATTGTTCAAGTCTACCTCTTTTTATTGCTTTATTCCGTTTCATCATTACGAGCAGCTCTTTACCCGGTCCCAGGCCCAGCGGTCTGATTGTTATTCTTTCTGAGCCACCTGCACCTCCTCGTCGATCAAGACCTCCTCGTCGCTCGTCATTCACACGCATGTTCCCCCCACCTGCTCCTCGTCTAATTCGCTCAGCCTTCGAGTGTCCACTCCTCCTTACCGGAGCCCTCAGGAAAGGCGCGGATTTAGCGTTAGCAATCGGGCACAGAAATCGCGCACGTGTGCTGTTGCAAGTGGGGAATATGTTCAAGCTTAGCGCCATGTCCAGATGGTGGACTGTTGTGGGGGAGTACAATTAAGGCTACCGCTCGAGCATCCTCAACGTCGGCCCTGGCTATTTTTCTACTTGAAAATGGAGCCAACAAGGACATAAGACACTGCTTACTTATAATATAAGTAGATGAAAAACTACAATCTTTAACATGGGCTCTTCACGCAATGCTGTTTCTCCTATATGATCGACAAGGATATAATCACTCGACCGCAATAGCTCTAATACAAACAGAGAAAAGAAAAGCCGCCTAAGGAACTACAGCGCTTTCACCCAAGGATGCAAATGGACTATAGCTTGGGTTTGAGCGTCCTCACAGCGGACCTGATGGAACAGCCGAAACCGATTGTGAATTATGACTTTTGATGATCGTTACCGTTAGTCACGACGTAAATATACGAAGGCTAGTAGGTTCATTCTTTGACTTTGAGAATAGTTTCGCAGCTTTATTCTCCACTGAAATAAACGAGGTGTCATGACACGACATGACATACGGAGTCGGAGAGGGTTCACTTTCACTTAGTAGACTGACACTTCTGAGGTCGTAGTCGTACTTCTACTTCATCTTCAGATTCTGATGTTCTTTTTCAAATATTCACATTCACTTCCGGAATATGTAAGTCTTGTACCTTCTCGACGTCCTCGCGACGAGGCTGGTTCTTCATTCTTTGAGAATACTCTTCCGGAAATTATTACTTTTTGCAATTCTAACTACTGTCCAAATGGAGTGGGGTACCGGCAGCAGAGCGAATAAGACCAAAGATTGACGTGTTGTCTATCTGCGTGTACAAGCCTGACGACACGAGCAACACTGTATTAGACTCCCCGCTTCCTCAGATGTCGCCTCTGAACCATCGACAATACGTAAACTTCACTGATCTCAACGGATACTTTCTTTTATGGGCAACAGAAAAGACTTGGACTTATATTCTAACATAGCTAACTCTTGGCGTCAGAAACGTTCTCCGTGTACCCCTACGCGTAAACCAAAGTGCAGCTCTACTCGCAGGAACAGGACCACAACTACAAGACTTCTCACTCTTCATATTCCCACCAACCCTTCTCCTCTTCATATTTATACAAGAACAGGACCACAACTCCCCAACCTCCTCACTCTTCATATTCCCACACGAGTCTGCTCACTCCACCTGACGTGGAGGCGCACTACAGTAAGTTTCTGGCTGTGATGCAACATCTGTCGCGAAACCCAGAGACGGAGTGGGTGTTCTTCATAGATTGTGATGCATTCTTCACGGACTTCGATACGACACCTTACGATCTCGTTGAAACCTACGGTGGCCCTAACAGTGAAGTAAATTTCATTGTAGCAGAAGACACAGGCGGAATCAACACGGGAGTTTTCATGGTCTTCAATTTTCTAGTACAGCTTTCAGAGTATTCGTGAAATAAATCGTAGTATTAAGTACTTACACCATATTGCACAAAAAAACGTTATCATTATCGTTTTTTTGATTTTCTGAGCTTTGCATACTCATGCCGACCCGATACTTGGATGCTGGAGGCGGAGGAGTGGCAGTAGCAGGCCGTGGATATTCATCAGGTACCTGAGTATGTTTTTGCGGATAGGTTTGCAAGTAGTCGACGTTGGCTATGAAATTCGTGATGTTTCTGGAGAGTACTAAGGGTGTGGCCTTTACTTGATATTATCCACAAAGTCACGTTCTCCATAACTGCGGAACCACCTGGTTCTGCACAACGACCACCAGCACACTTATGAGAGCTCAGTAAATGCACAGAAAGGCCACACCCGATGAGTAACTTCATTGTTTCAACCTCACAAAGCATCACCCTTCTCAATCATAAATATGCAAAATAACAGGTACCTCTGTGCCTGGTGAAGCCCAACTTCGGCCAACGACGTGCCGCTATATCCCCGCTCTTGCAACCTAGTGGGCTTTTTAAGCTGAGAAAATCAAAAAAACGATAATGATAGCGTTTTTTTGTGCGATACACCACATATTTACCTACACCTATGAAATAACGACCTTGCACCCTATATCCGTTCGTAACCGAACTGGGGATCCCATCGTCATCTTGCTTGATTACCAGGTCCGCAACACGCCATGGTCTTTAGAGTATCTTGAGCGGGTTACCCGGTCTCCGTATACCACAGCATGGGATCAGTCCATGTTCTTCATGGAAATCGTTAACACGACTTTATGGGATTATAGCGATGATTTTAGGTACTTTGTTTTTCTTTGTTATCTTTGGGACTATAGCGATGATTTTAGGTACTTACTTCTCTGTTACGGGCGCTTGACTCGTTGCATGCAACTTAGTTGAAAAACATGTTATATCTACAATTCTTTCTCGCCACTCTGCATCCTCGTACATCAGGCTCCCATCCGAGGTCGCTTTTCTGCATCAGGCTCATTTGAATGCGTTCGTTCCGCCAGCGTCGAAAGATTGGCAAGCCTATGAATGGCAGAAGGGTGACTTCGCAAGACATTTCGCAGGCTGTCCGTGGCAGGAAGCGCCATGCCTCAATATGATGTATGAAACGATGGACTACGTGGAGGAACGGTATGGACCGCAACTGCGCTCAAGGTTAAGGCTCAATATTTTTCATTTCTACGACTCATTTCTCGCAGTTTATTATCCCGTTTTTCTCGGCTCATATTTATGTCACGCTCAACAGTTATTTCTCGCAGTTTCCTCCTTGGGATTCCGGAGAAATGAAGGACAGAAATGAAAGGTTTTGAGCTCTAACGAGGAACATTGGTAGAGTCGACCCACCACCGAAGGGTGAATATGTAACGAGATTACATCGGGGATGAACAAGATGAAGATGGTGAAAACGTTTAACGAACATCAAATGACGTTTCTTCAATTTAAACTTCGCTTGTGACGCTTGTTAAAAATAATGAAGGTGAAGAGAGTACTTGTTAGATCCGAATCCGAACACCAAAAGATGATTTAAGACCAGCTTTTGTTGCAACGCTGTACTCAGCCGTTATTGGTTCTCGGTTACAACGTATACTCGATAAGATTCACAACGCTAGAGGAAATGAACGTGATAGTAGTGGAAATGATGTTACTACGACTGATGTAGTTGCCGCGAGCAAATACTAACTGTCGAATCACTGACATTTGTCGAAGATGCACAAAAAGCATCTACGAAGCTCCTGCTACCGTGGGTCCTCCCCGTTTTGCTGCGGACAAGCTCTACAACAACAAGCAGGGTTGTTGAAACCAGCAGGGGTTCTCGTCGGAGAAGGGTGCATTTTCTTTTCCTGAAAATTAGCAGATTTTTTGAGGACGAGGATTGCAGAAGCTAAAGCAAACCACGAGCACAAAGAATAACAATTATATGTACTATGTAACAACATCATACAAGTCCAAGTGAGGTCCTACGACTACACGATTATAGCAAGGGATATTAAAATCAGATACAGATTCACCAAGTGAATAAATCGTAAAAATCAAGTTCTTCCAACACTACTAAAACTAAGCATTTATTTTAAGAAGTATAAAGTAGTAAGAAAATATTTCAAAAAGATGCCTTCATGTCTCGTTCCCCTTGCCGATGGCTCTGAGGAGCTTGAAGCTGTGAGCATATGGAACCCGCTGCGAAGGGCTGGGGTTGAAGTCACTGTCGCTAGCATCAAGGGAGATTCGCTTCAGGTCACTTGTGCACGTGGAACAGTGATTATGTTGACAGAAGTCTAGTATTAAAAAATAGTGTTGTACTCATGATCCGGGTGTTCAAGAAACTTCTGCTAGGCACGACTAGCACTACGTTCTACTAGTTCGTTGTACAACTAATTAAGTAGTAGGTGCTGGAAGCTGTCATCCTGCTCAAGATAGAAGCTAAGTAGGTAGAAGCGAAGTAGGTACGTTGAAGATCTAAGTAGGAAGCTGTCAACATCCTGCTCAAGAATCTAGGTATAGTACGTTCTACTAGTAAGTTGTAGGAAGCTTCTGCCTGCTCTACTTTATTCCTTGAGAGCACAGTAACAGGAAGGATATGACACTTCTTTGACTTTGTGGTCTTTGCTTGACGAGTATAATGATGAAAATAATGATAACACTTCTTCTCGTTCTCCTACTTTCATAGTAATAAAATGCGACAAACTTCTGAAAGACTGTTTAGAAGGTGTCGCTTACGACTGCGTAGCGCTTCCAGGAGGCATGCCGGGAGCATCGAATTTTGCTGCTTGTGAAGACTTAGTATACCATACGTACTCTAGTTTCGTGCACAGATGGAGAACAATATTAGTTTGAATTATAGTAACAACAAGAGCTTGTTTATGTTTTGAGTCTGTCAACTACATCAACTGCCCTGCAAAAAAATGAACATGAACATGCCTCGCAAAAAATGAAAAGTAATCACGAGCCACACCTGAACAACAAGCACTGACAGGTTACTCTTCTCAAGTCCCGTCATGCCGCAGGACAGACGAATGCCGCAGTGTGTGCATCGCCCGCCGTCGTGTTTGCAGCGCATAAACTTCTCAACGGTAAAGCGACGTGCTATCCGGCACCCAAGTTCGTGGAGATGCTAGGAGACAAGATGCAGTCCAAAGACGCTCCCGTGGTGATCGATGGGAACGTGGTGACTAGTGTGGGTCCCGGAACCTCCTTAGAATTCGGACTACGACTCGTCGGGTTATTGTGCGGAGAAGAAAAAATGAAAGAAATCGGAGAAGCTATGAAATTTCAGGGATCACTGGATTCTTGAACAAGATTCTTGAATATTTATAAAGTAGATTCAAGGAGGTAGAGGCACTAGAACCTCCAGTACGACGTAGAACTAGGTTGGAGGGGCAGAACGAAGGAATGAAATTTCAGCGATCTTCTTCTTCGCTGGCCTGAGTTGTAAATTATAGATCGCAAATCAGGTATCCTGAAGATGTGTGGACGAGACTGTTGTGACAACATACGGCCAAGAAATATTATCATGAGTATCATACTATGACTTCTGTCTGACTCTGACAATGAAGCTGATGTCGTCATGGCGTTGATCGTATTGTGAACCTCAGACTTCATTAACAAGAAGCGGCCGTATTATGCTATATTGCACCAGCAGAAGGTGGACGTGCTGGAGCTAAGGAAGGTGGGGCCGTTCCATGCGACATGACGATGCAAGTCATGGGTTGAGAGAAGGGGAGTCAGAAAGGAGTCGGCGCTATAGTGGTTCCTGACCTCGTCCTACTTACTTTTCTCCGAGGTATGAGGATATTTAGTCTTGTAGTTATGTGTGATATTGTGACGAGTCGTGGTGGTCTTTCTTAATCTTCTTTCTTAATGAATGGTTCTGGTATTTGGTAACCTGAATTTGATCATAAGGGTTCTCTGTGTGTGACGATGACACTTTGGAGGCTTCTGTAGAACCATAATGTCCAGCTTATCTGTTGGCACCAAAAGTCCTTTCTTTGTGCATACTACAGGAAACAAGCTGAAGATGAGCGTTCTCTGTTGTGAAGTTGAGCATGGTTCCATTAGTATGGTTGTTACAGCAGTCTTTCTCTGTGAGTGTGACGTGTGCTTTCTCTGTGACGTTGAGTTGTGTCGTGAGGAGGGAAAGTCTCATCATGTCTCTTGAGATGATTTCAGAAAATTCTGTCAATCCGTGTTGAGAGAGTCCATCACGTGTGAGTCCTGGAGAGGTGGAGGAGAGCAGGCTGTGTACTGAGAAGAAAGTTGCTGAGTTTCATCTTGTTGAGCATATTTACTCGAATGCAGGAATGGGAATGATATAGTGAGGTCGTGATCATCATATTCGTCTACCTGTGGTTCTCCTCATCAATACCTGATCAACGAGAAAAATCAGGAGCCAAATTCAGTTGGGTATATTTCCCCTGTATTCCCATCATGTTCTTGCAACAAGACCTAGCAAACTGAAACTAACTAACGGTAGTCTTGCAACATTACTAGTCAACATTATTCTTCGGTCGTTCTTGCTGATAACAAGGACCCGCGTTTTAATCGCATAGCAAGTTTGTCTTTGTTTATTATACCAGATGAATAGTTATAGTTTATAGACCACGCTGAGGACGCTGGGCGGCATGGGCACGGCTGGGTATGATAACAGACCTAACGTAAGTAACCTCAGCTAAGGAATTGTAACCTAACCTAACCATCTGAGACTCAGAAACGCTCACTTTCCCTTTTCCTAGTTTACATCGAGATCGATAGCTGTTTTACACGGCAACACATCATAGTTGTAAGCAAAAAAAGAATGCTGGGGCATCGAGGTCGACCCTGCTATGGACGCGCCGCCAAGCATGGCAAGCCAAGTGGTAAACGGTCGTACGCGGTGCGTGGAGCGATTGCCGCTTCCAGCACGGCTGTCGGAGCGTCTGGGGTTTCGTTCAGTGCTAAGGGCGATTCTCCTTCTGCTCCTTGTGGTGCACTGTGCATGCAGTCCTCCATTGGCAGTTCTGTTTCTGAGCCTAGTTCTAAGGTGGAGGAATTACAAAGAGAGATCACGAGGCAAATGGAAGAGATTAAAGCATTGATCAAGCAGAACGACAATACTGAATTGCGCGAGAATGTTGACGCCATGCGGCGCGAAGTAAAAGATCATTTTCGTCAGGAGAGTCTGCGCTTAGAGGAGCGCAGCAGAGTACTTGATGAGGAAAAGCAGAAGATGGAATCGCGGATGAGAAATCAAGACAAGCGCGTTGCCGCATTGGAGCAAGAGCTAGAAGAACAGAAGCAGCGTGCTAATTCTGAGAGAGATGAGGCCGAGTGGCTGAAGATGAAGAAAGAACTTGAAGTCGCTCGATTGAAAGAGCAGATTTCATTGAAGAAGCCTGGCGAAGGATTGAAGGAGCTGCTTTCATCGCTATCGTCTAAAGATCGCATTCGCAACAAGATGAGGCCTGTGCTCCGTGAGCAAGGGCAGAAGATTAAAGATTTTTTGGAGAAAAAAGCTCAGAAGGAGAATAGACCGAGGACTGGCGAAGATATGAGTCCACACAAAGAGGATGAACGCTAAGCGATTGGTAAAAAGTCCTTAACAAGGTTGACTGAAGCTGCTCTGATTTTGTGGCTTTGAGTTCACGTTGTTACCTCAAGTAGATCGTCCTGTTACTAGGAGTAGATAGATCGATTGAGAGTCTTTTGCGTTGATAGACCCTGATCTATAGTTTGATTTAGCGCTTGAATGATATTAATATTATCTGTCTGTCAACATGGGTGTAGTTTGTAGTAACTAAATCTTCAAGATAAAAAACATTCAAATGTGTGGTCGTGGTTTGCAATATCATGCTATCATCTGCAATTTTTGAAGACGTTATCGTTAACAAGATCGTTTTGATAATGTGAATTCTTTCTTTCATAGAAGAAAAATTGCAGAAGATGGTCCTGATAATGATCATGCGAAGGCTGTATTATATATATTAAAAAATGCCATCGTCCGCGTACTACTAGTTTGCACAACAGAACAAGATACGTAGTTGTATTGAGAAGATGGTGCGAGATGATAGTTGAGTAGTTCATGATTCGGTAGAAGTGCGACAACATACGTAAAAAGTGTTCGTAGCAAGAACTTGAGCGTCTTTGTTGTTTGAACTGCGAACGTCGACCAAGAAAAAATCCTCGTGCTGCGACAAGAATCAAATGAGAATGAGAAGATCTGCTGGTCGTTCAGAGAAGGCAAAGTAGACACTTGAAATGAGTCGTGGGCTTTGTACATGAGAAAGACGGTTTCTCTTTTCTGAAAGACTACGAATAAAGGTGATTGACTGCATCAAGCTCAGAGACCTCATAACCATTGCCAGCCCCCACCTGCAGGCTTTGTTTTGAGAACTGACTGACTTCCGACCAAGAGGTCGTGTAACAATTGGACCACGCCGGTCTGCCTGACATTTCTTGCTCCGCTACCACGTGTTCTCCGTGAACTTTCAAAGAGCAAGGATTATTATATGGACCCATCTCCCTCTTCCCTCTTGTTGAAATTACCCCGTGAGTGTTGTAATGCAGAGCGACATATTAAGTAAACGATAATTGGTGTACCGCTACCGTGTTTGTCCTCAGATTTCGTTACAAGATGTGCGTGGGTTGAGACAAGAGAAATCAGAAACGAGCGCGTAATGAGCGTGATGAGCGACAAGAAGAAGAAGAAGAACGTAGCAAAACAGGAAAAATGTCGCTACTAGAAAATATACGCCAATGATAAGGCTGATTCGATGCTATGAAAGCTTCTATTACAAATTATAGGATACGAGGACAAGATCATGTTCATAGAGATTATAGGTTATTGATTAACAGTAACATTTTTATAGATCATACTACGAACCATAATTGACTTTGATTTTCAATTTCATTATTTGCGAAAAATATAAAAGATGACTTCCCCAACTTCTACATCCTTGAAAAAGATGTTCTTTTGGCGACGTCTCATTTTTGTGGCGGTAAGCTTCTTTTGCAGCACGATTCTTGTTTGTTTGCATGGGAAGATGGTTGCTCGCGCTCTCTTTCCACCTGAGAACCTGTATCGAAATCATTTGTACACAGAAGCCTTAGAACACTATCGTTAGGGCTTCTGTAAATTCATCTTGAAGAGAAGCATCTCCGAAGTGGTTATTTCAACAGGAAAGGAGCGCAAAGATGCGCTTCAAGATGAATAATGTGAAGGTCTTCTAATATCCTGCTCGTGAAGTAGTTATGCGCACGACGGGAACAAGGACACCCGTCACGCCGAGCAGAAGACTATTATTAAGTCATGAGGGAGCAGCTTCAACATTAGAAGGAACGACAACGAGAGGAGGACCAAGTGAAGATTCAGCGGGAAGAAGACTTGCCACTTCTTTTAAGGCTTCCCCTGATCCATCCCTGTAGACATCCCTCAAACATATGCGCCCCAATTAATACAAGGGAGAAGATACTGACGCATATTTATGCTTGAAGGATTTCCGCAGGGATGAATAGAGCAGGAGCGCTCTAATTCCTCAGGTTACGTGGGAACAAGTGAAGACTCATCAGGGAGAAGTCTTGACACTTCTTCTAGTAACGTGGGAACAAGTGAAGCTTCACGAACGAGCACCACAAGAGAAGCGCCAGCAGCAGCAACAACTCCTGGTGCTGAGGAATCCGCTGAGCGGTATGTAAAATCTCTTAGATTCGTACCACATTTTCCTGAGGAGCGGGTCGTGGGAGTAGATGAAGCTCCTCTAGTAGCACGTGGAGGTGCTGCTGAAAGGGAACGGAATAGAGATGAAGCCTCTCTAGTAGCAGATGGAGGCACTGCTAAAAATACAAATATTAGAGGTGGTCGTGGTGGACGGGGTGTTGATGAAGAAGGTGGACGAGATATTACGACGAGGACTGGAGGGTTTTTATCAGAAGATGCTGGTTATGATCGTCGCCGTCGTGCTCAACAAGCTCAAGAACAAAGAAATCATCATGCTCCTCGTGCGGTCCCTTGGCCTTCTTGTGAACAACAAGAGGAGGAATTACCTTACTCAACATTACCAAGAACTACTGCAAGAGTAGACACGACTACTACATCTTCAAGCCCTTCAGCGCCACCGGTCTTACTGTTCATGGATGAGGACACCGATCCGAACGACTTGAATGTTGATAGCCTCTTCTCCCAGTTCGTGGGGCCACCTTTGCCGCCTCTTCTCCAGGTCTACGCATATTGGCAGTTTTTTGGAGTGTCCTTACTTGGCGGATTTATCGGATGCTTCTCACTTTATGATTTTTCGAAGGGGGAAATGTTCATGTTGTAGAGAAGTGCAATAAATTGATTGCTGGAAGACCAAAGAATATTAAGCAAGTACTATTTTTGTTGCAGTAAAAAAATCATGTGAGACTAACCACATTTCCGAGAAAGCGCTAATCATCATTTCTGATCGGAATCGTCGCTCCTCTTGTCAACTCCCCGTGTATGCTGGACCGAGTGGGACGTCATTGCCAAGCACCAACATATGGAAGGAGTGGTAAGCCACAACAAAACCAACAACATTTAGAAGTGCTGGCCTCATCCAGCAAAATGAAAAGTCTCGTCGGCAATAGCGTGTTGCGGAGTCCGCGACCACCTATACGGAGCGTTGTCCGTTCTAGTGTAGGACAGCACCTTGACGGCGCAGAGCTATTTCTAAGGGTCCTTTTGGCAGTGATTTATGTTTTAGGAATTGCGTTTGCCATCGGCCTCTTCATCCTTTCCGGGAGGCAAAGAGAACTTCTCGACTTTCCTAGAACAACAGGCTTTGGATTTTTTGTGTGGTTTTTTCGAGAACTACACTACGAGGAACAGGAGAAGTTGTCACCGGAAGCCGGCGTCACACTGACTGCAGCAGTGTCGGTTATCCAGTTGCTTCTAACCTGGAACAGCTCACTCTTCTTAAGGAAAAGCACAGCTCGAGGTACAGGAACTTTGATTTCTACCTCGGGTGTAGTTATTAAGGCTCAACTTTCAATGGTCATCATTTAGATTGGAGTCACTGAGATCGAAGAGGCGACCCCTTGAGGAAAGATGGGGGGAAAATGAAGGGAAAGGGGAGAACTTTGAAGGGGGTCCCTTCCGTTCAGAGTCAGTGACCATTGAAGGCTGAGCTTTAAAGTTAGGCCGTCAAAAAGAACACAAGGACAGAGCAGGGAGGCCGGCAGTGGGAGAGGACGCGAGGACTTGTTCTGTGGTCCTTCTTCGTCGGAGCAGGAACAGGAGTACGACGCGGAACCTCTTACAGCTGGGGAACAACTACATGTGGCTCGTCCAGGACAGCAGGATCTTCTACTTGAGGAGGATGGGGAGATCGCTTTCTTGGCAGCACCTGGAGATGAAAATGGGAATGTTGGCGTAACAAGCGGAACTACAGCCAACAATGATGAAGCGTGCTGTCTCGTTACAAGTTCATCGACCGATGATGAAGAGGATGCAGCTGCTCCTCTCCCCCATGAAGATGATGAAGAACTCTCCACGACGCGCCAAGAACAGGAGGACCACTCTACAACAATTAGGACGCACAATAAAATGGTACAGTTGAGGAATTATACGAAGCAGGTACTACAGGAACCTGGGCAGGTGGGGATGAACAAATCTTCAAGCTGCAGTATATCTATATGTCCTCTTCATGCGCCTTGTCGTGCACTGAAGAAAGATGAACCAACTGCTAGCGCTCCTCAGAGGCACGAGGATGCTGCAATGACGAGAGAGCCGTCACGACCCTTTTTAGAGGAGAAAATAAGTCAGCAAGTGGTACAACAGCTCGTGTCCTCAGTCCAAGAAGGCATTCGACGAGAACTGCTGTCACCAGATCTCGGTAAAAAAGAACTACAAGAACAAGTCTGAACCATTATTAATCTGAACCATTAATTTGAACCATTAATACCATGTGTTGAAAAACTACGTCGTTGCATTGGAATAATTATGAATGTTGATGTTCTAGTTCTTGCCGCTGACGTAGCTGTTGCGTAGGTGCTGATATGCTAGCCAGTGCAGCTAGACTTCATCCTCGAATGGAGTAATTAATTTTTGAGTAGCATGAAGATAGTCCTTACAAATTGATGAAGATCAACATCTTCATTTTCATACCTTCTACACATTTTCATTTACCGGAGCTAGTTGTCCCACTTGATCACCTTAGTTAACCACTAAAATTTTTGTCTAGAAGACATGTTTGATGAAGATGCGAATTCGTTTACGTTCCTTTTTAGCATTGTAGTTTTCTCTTCACCATCGGCATCTTCGTGACGTCATAGACACCACTGAAGCTATTGAACAAGCTATTGCTTACTCGTCCAGTAACATGTACTCCACCCACCTCGAGACTATCTTGTAGAAATTGAGATAAGTAGTCTTTGAGATATAATTGTCGTGATTTAGAGGAAGCTGCAAAGGAGAAATTACAACCAAATTTCGAAAAAATGGGCGCAGGTTATCATGCAAAGACACACAAAGATAGATGTTAGAACTGAGGTGTGAGGCTCACATCGAGATGTGTGAGCATAACCTTCGATGCACGTCTGATGGACTGGGGAGGTCCACCGCAAAGACCACCAAAAGCGGGCTTTGGAAGTTGCGTGGTGAGAGAGGAGCTAGCGCGTTCGTTCTTGTCGTATTTCGAAAAAGGTGAGTCGAGAAAAGAGCCAAAATAGGGCCACAAAGGGAGACAGAGCAAGAATTAATCAGCAACATTAAGATTCTAAAACGGCACGCTCCAGGGATTGTCATGATACCACCTAAACAGACAGCGCCATGCTCATGAGAAAATTGCTGCCTTGATAATTTCTTGTACTACCCCACCTCGCGCGGCTGATTATCGCCATGATCTAAAAGCCGGTTTGTATCATCTGCACTACGAAGGCCGAGAAATATAAAATGTTTGACGACTTGGACGTCCTTCTTGGGGAAACCGCAGCATTGGGCGAGAGCGCTAAAGCGAAAAAGAACCCTCGACCACGAGGGAATGATAAAGCAAAGGAGGGCTGGGGATTTGGCGCCTCAAGCTCGGTCGAGACGAAAAAGAAAGATGGTAGGTTTCACGCTTTCTTGTGATGAACAATTATTCAATTTGAACTTCTACATAGTTCCACCACATAAGTCGATTACGGCTAGTAGTAAATGTACAGAAACAGAGCCTATATGTTTCATTTTCAGTTTCTATTGTTTCACTTTCGTGGCTACTGTCGTTCCCGTCACCAGTGAGTAGTTGCTCTTGAATACGAGACAACGCTCTTGATCAGATCCAGCCGCTACTAGTCTCACCGCCACGCAGGAGAGTCAAGATACACTTATCAAAACGAGCTCGAAGCATGACAGCTTCGACGATGGGCCGCGCGGGGACGCCATTCCGACTATCTTATGCCGCTTCTAACATCACTTTTCTTGATACACGACCTTAGGAGCTTTCTAAGGCAAATGTCTTCTACTATAATTCTTTATGTTTATAGTACAAAGAGACAAGGTAGGTTATATATTTATAACACTCCTCTCCGCCCTTTGCCTTTCTTCTTGAAGTAGATGCAGGTCCAATAACTTCTTGGTCAGAAGCAGACCCAAGAACGGTCAGGAAATATTCTAATGTAAAAAACGCCTTATTTTGCTTCTAGGTGTTGCTAATCACTCCTGATCTCGAGGACAACGACAATGACGACTTGACAGAGCAAATCGCTGCGCCGCCGATTGCTAATGATGCCCGGTTTTTCCAGTCTCTGCGCGATCTAGAAAAAGACTCAGCGGAAAAGAAACTGGTACTGGAAATTGAAATTTGAAGGGTCGATTATCTGCTCATGTACTTCTGTTGCAGGTATAACTGCACTCGAATCATGGACGAGAATTATGATAGAAGCACCTCCACGTCTACACTCCAATATGGAACTGTTCTCAGGTTTTCAAATATCTTGAAACTTTCTTCTCAACAACATAGTGTTAGTGATGTGTATGTATGTAATTTTGTTTTTTATGTAATTTTGTTTCCTAGTTAGACGTGCTCCACCGGTATTATGAACAACATAATGATCAGCTGTACACGTCGGCGCAGCAGGGGGTGGATTTGGCGGCGTTGATGAGCGTGATGACGCCATACTTAGGGCTGATTTTTCATTACCGCATGCTCAAATTACTGTTACCTAAACCTATCCTTTCTGTTGAGAAGAACGATATTACAGAAACAAGGATAAACAAAGATTACTGGATCGGGGGAGGCGCATTCAATGTTATAGATACATACATAGATGTCCTCAAAGTACTAGTTTTCACATGTAGTTCTTGAAGCACTGTTCTGCTTCAAAGCTTAATATCTGAATACTCCAAAGAGTACTCCTCTAAAATGTCAGCAGGTCTGCGAGGCAGATGATGTATGGGACTACGGATTCGTCTTCCAGGAGGTCGTGACCCACGTCAATCAGATCACGCAGGATAAGGCATCCACAAGTTGAAGGCTCTTGTGACACGACGAGGCATCTGGAGCAGCCGAAGGTTGAGGCTTCGAACAGGTTAGAGCGCGATATGTTGAGCGGAATCGAGCGTGGTGGCGCATGAGGTCACGACGGCAACTGTTCGTCCTCACTTATGGAAATGATAGGAGCGAAACGATACATAAGCTTACAAAATGATGATCATCGCGACAACGGCAATAGAAATTCTTCGCAACTCCAATAACGGCTTGCAGCGGAGTGCGTGCCAGCTTGTTTTTAAGCATAAGTTGCTCGAGAACAACAACATTAAGAAAGAGAAAATAGAAAGTAGCACATGAGCTCCTAAAAATAGAGTGACGACCTACTCACCAAGACATGCATCTATTTTTGGTGTTCATTTTTCGCTTGTCAAACTTAATTGGCTACAATCGGTTTGATGGCTGCTGACTGAGCAGCAAACAAGTTCTGGTGAGCATTATTTGAAAAACTTTAGTCACGACCATGAGATTGAGAAGTGCCAGGTACAAGGAGCTCACTGATGGAAGGTTCTCAGGAGGATTCCTCATTTTCGAGGGTCCTGCGGAGAGAGACTGGACCATGTTCGTAACCATGATGATCCGGCGATCTCAATTTGCGCAGAGTTCAGAGTCAAAGTTCGCTAGGCAATGTGCGATAAGTGAGCAACGAGTGTGACCAGGCATGATTTTGATTTTCAATATAAATGATCAGGCACCATCGCCAACAAAAAGAAAAAGATGAGAGAGGATTTTTAGGCAATCGTGAAGATGTAAGATGTAGGTCACGAAGTAGTAGTACTACTACTAAAGATGTTCGTCGGAGGCGCGATTGAGAAGATCGATATCTAATGACACGCCTATGTATTTGGGCAAATTTTCTTCAGGAGCAAAATGATTTACCGACACGACGCATGATGGAAGAGCGGTAGACGCAATACAATAAGCAGAGGGCGTCAACGCAATACAGAGCAAACCGGAACAAGATGCCTCTCTTCGCAAAACGCGTACTGCAAAAGGAGTTCGACGAATGGGAGTCAGAGCTGATTCGGAAAACCGAGGTCCGAAGTATAGAGCAGGACCAGGAAATCGAGAAGTTGAAGGTAGAGAAAACTTTCATCTTTGTTGAGCTTGAGAAGTAGGATTTTCTGAGTGGGAAGTGCTAGCACTTCTCTGACTCTGTTTTTTTTACATACATGTTTAAGGAATTCATCTTCAGACATGATTTTACTACGAAATATTATTTAAAGATAAGTACTTCTGGAAACAAACTTTTACTACCTTTCTTAATCTTAGCAGGGTTTCCTACTTTAACATCCTCTCCTCGTGAACACAGGACCGCATCAACGAGCTCGAGTCCCGTTTATCCCAACGTCTAGACGACGAAGCGTCGGCACGTTCATCTGCCGACCACAAACTCACTACTGCTCTCCAAGATGCCTCAGCCGACTTGCGTGCTGCAGATGAACAGCTCAACACACAGCTTAATTAAGGCAGAAATATTTAATACAAAAACAAACTATGAAAAATTGAAATTATCGGCAATAAAGACATATTCATAAATTAGCTCCATCTTCAACTTCAACTTGATACTTCATCTACCTTTAGAAGTTCTGAAATTCGGGTCGGCCTCTTTAGCGGGATCTTCGCTCTAGTAGATAGTGGACACATTCTATCCTTCTCGTTACTGCTCAATCTTCTACTTAGGTACTCTAATCCAATGAGGCACAGGCTAAGGCAGCTGTAGATCTCCAGACTGCATCTGAACAAGCCCACAGTGCATTAGAAACGACGGAAGGCAAGCTGGCTAAGCGCCTCGACCGCCATGCTAGTGACCTGCGGAAAATTGGCAATGCGTTGTCAGGGAAACTCTTTGACTTATGTTGAGAAATTCCTCTGAAGACGAGGAGCTGGAGAGAGACCACTATGCACTATCATAGATTGATAATGATAGCACCATGCATTAGGTCTAAAATCTGATATTTTTATTGATTAGCTTATCTAACTGCGAGGTAAGTGAAATTAAATGGCCTACAATCTAATCCAATCACCATTATTTTCGGAAATAAAATTTGCATTTGGCGATTATTGTAGAGATTGTTTTTACGTTCGACATTTAGACATGTTGTTCATATATTACGCTCGGCTCGACTCCTCCATCTGCAACATGTATTGAGTTGTTCTTGATGTAAAAAAGCCTCCTGCTCTAATCAACCTCGCGAGTTTCAAGCTGGAGCGGCAACGGGACCGCATCAACATTATCATGGAAGATGATAGTGTTTTGAATAGCGAGGGCGTAGCAGCAGAAGGCCCTTCGGCATTCTCTCCGGCTGATCAAGAAGTTGTTATGGTGGGAGGACAACTGATATAATGGGGCGTCGCAGTGGACCAATAGAGGACATCGCAGTCTACGTCATCTGAAATATTTGGACGCTTTTTACTAGGAGAGAAATCTTCATTGCTTTTTTCATCGGATCATGATCATGAAGTTTGTTTGAGATTCATCAAGAAGTTTGATCTACCTTCTAATCTACTCGCGAACCTCGAGCAGGATCCATCATCCGCCGACGCAGGAGCAGCTTGTATAGAAAAAACTGAGGAAGGCGATGATGCAGAGAAACTACCTGGTGAGGAGGAGGAGAATACTACTAGTCCGTCGTTTCGCAAAAATCCCATCGTCAAAGAGGGTGAAGAGGGCTTAGATGAAGTTCCTCGCGGTCCTCAAGAAGATGACTCTGCAACAGGAACCAGCTCATCCCTCTCTCGTTCTCGACGTCGTCCTACCCCTCAGCAGGAACAATTTGGAGGATCTCAACCATCAAAGTTACAGAAACAACAATTACATCAACATGCAGGCTCAGTAGAACGATATCGGCCGTTCACGAAGCCGACTCGTGGCGGTTCGAGATGCAAAAGGGTTGAGTGGTTGATTCAAGATGCGAGTCACAAATTGCAGGTCTACGAAACCGGACAGCCACTCTATTCTCCTGAATTCACGGTGAATTTGGACTATGCTACTTCTGCCACGACCACTGGAAACATCAATGTCCAGCAAGAACGGGTGTTGAAACGAGCGCGACTGGTCTTTTACCCCAGAGGGAGCAGCATCGTTGCGAAACCGGGTTACTGTTCGGTTTTCCTGCAGTTTCCATTAGACGATCCAGCTAATCCGTCTGATGACCTTGTAACAGTTGGCAACTTCGGTGGATTTACTAGTGCGTTTCCGAGTGGGGCACCGAATGTGAGTCCGCACAGACGTCGGACAAGACCTCCATTGTTTGCAGAACATAACAGATTCGGAGGGTTTTCATCTCCGACAAGGATGAACAATATCGATCCGCCAGGAGCACTTCCCTTAGCCCAGGAAGCAGAGTCGTTGCGAAGAATGCAGCAGCAGAACAAGATTATTTCCTATACGGATAGTTAAGACTTCGGGTTGATGTGGTCAGAAGATGTAAGACAACGCGGAATATTGTCGTACATCCAAATCAGCACTTCCTAAGCATCCACATAATCCACATACTACAACTACATCCAAATCAGCACTTCCTAAGCATACTTAGATAAAAATAGCACCTGCCTCCACTTCTAAGCCACCATACTCTCCTTACCGGGCAAATCGCCCTTAGACGCGATTCTGCGGAAGAATTTACAGGCAGATGGGATCCTCCCAAGAGACCAAGATCCTGGATTGGGTACGGATTATCGTGGAATCCAGGTATCCTCAAGAAACAACTTCTGGTTTCGCTATAGGCTGCAAGTGGGCAACTTCGTTTCCACCGAGGTTTTGGACACGATTTACAAAGGCGTTGACAACTTCTGCGAGGTACTAGAAGAAGTAGTTGGAGTAAGTTGATGATTGTTCTTGTGTGTATGGGATAGGCATCATGATAGGGCTTATGAACCATTATACAGGGATCATGATGAACCATAGGGACTAGGGCAGCATCAAGGCCCCCTGGGTTTATTATTATTTCTCTTCCATGAAAAAGAATCAGATTGTTCCTTTTTTATGATGTCCACCTTTTTACGATGTATTAACATCACAAGCTGCACAAACACCCAACATCATACTTAGGTCCTTCCCCACGTCGACAATGACGAAGATACGTTGACGGTTTCTGTTGAGTTCCTAGCAGAAACGAGCTCCTTGAGCCAAGTGGGCGGCCCTGACGAAGAGTGGTCGTCTCCTGCAGGTCGAGCTTTCTTAGCAGGGAGAGCACTCCTTCAGCACAGTGAACCCGAATGGAAGTTTCCATCGAGCAAGGAGGGTCAACCAGTCTGGGAACAAAAAATGCCGCCGGAGCCGGGGACGGGTATTGTTGTTGATGTTGTTGTTGATCCAAATCAAAAATCCAAAAAACCAAACTAGTAGATCTTTGATTTTTTGTGAATAATCTAGAAGATTCCACCGGAGAAGCGTGGAGGTGCCTGTTCCTTATCATTCTCATATCAACCTCCTGGTCTTCAGCTTCATACCATTCTTGTTGTCAATCATCAACATATAGCTTTTCCTTCCCTCGGTGGAGCAGGACGGGCGGACCAAGATGAAGGTGAAGCCTCTCGTGCCAAGAACAATGATGATGAAAAAGAAGTGCTTTCGCCTAGTATCAAGCAACACTATGCTGGAGGAAGATATTCTGGGGTAGCAGATTTCACGCAGGACAAAGAAAAATCCGAACGCGATCGCGACCACACTTCTCGACTTTTGTCCTCCACTACGGAGTTCGTTTCTCGAGACGCGAATCTTTTCTTCCCATTCGAAAGGCTGGACGATAGGATGAAGAATATTGGAGTGGAAAACGAGCTTCTTGAGAAAGACGAGTTGTAGCCAACCACCGAGGACATGAACAAGGTGCTGAACAGGAGTAGAACGAATCCTACAAGTACGAACAATCCTTTCATGATCACAAAATGTTTTGCGTTTTACTTGTCCTTCAGATCATTATTGTTCTATGTCCTCTTCCTCTACAACTAAGTACACGAAAAATGATTATATTACAAGAAAGCCTTGAGTTAGAAGAAGATGTTGATTACACCACGCACACGCAGCATGAACTTCAACTTGTGACACATAGAAGTGACAAAGAACTTAGACAAAGAGAAGAAACGGTAGTGATATTACCGACCCCACGATCGATAAAGATTTAGATGAATGTCGTCCCTCTGCCATTAAATGTACAGATTTGGACAGCGTTGAGACAAAGCAGTCTGAAGCAAGTCTTTTTTAGTACCAAAATGCCAATCATTGCAAAAGATGAACCAGGTTCTGTTTCTGATGAATAAAATGCCACTCAGTTGTCTCAGATTAGAACAAGAAGATTTCGTTATTCGGGAGGAAGCGTCCATCGGCTTCTCTTCAATTTTCGCAGAAGACGTAGTTCAGGTTTTTGATCCGTGTTGTTCATGTTCTTGAAGAAGGTTATTACTGTTGGCTATAGAAGGGCAACTACGGCCACTGATCACGACAGTAGAGGATGTGGAATTTCGATTACAACCGTCCATGAACCATCTGAATGGTGTCGTCTTGAAGCACTAATATCTTCAATGATCACGATCTTTTCCAACTACTTCGGTTCTTCCACCATGATTTGATGCGATGACGCTGATCATGTTTGAACTCCAGATTGCTTCATGTTGATCATCTTTTTATTGCTGTTGCTGAGACCCACGTTAACTTACATCGTCGTCGAGTTCATCCGCACAACCAGCAGGTCTATGATGTTTATTCAACGTTATTTTCGATGAGTAAGAGTAACAGATCATTAGTGACATTTATATTTTAGCACAATTTATTAATTAGGTGAACAACCTCCTTCTAGTAGAAGTCCTAGAGCTAGATAAAGAAACGCCAATATAAACCATGAGCTCGAATGCTACTCCCGGCAGTAGTGCTGGGGGGTCTACCCCTGGCAGCACCCCCTCCGGAGGCGGTGGAAGCCGACGCGTAGTCCGTCTGCCACCCGAGGTGAATAGGATCATCTACGTCAGAAATCTTCCGTACAAAATCGCCGCGGATGAATTGTACGATATTTTCGGCAAGTTTGGACCAATCCGACAGATTAGAAAGGGAAACACAAACGAAACGAAGGGAACCGCGTTTGTAGTTTATGACGACATCTACGATGCGAAATTGGCGTTGGACTCACTCTCAGGGTTCAATGTGGATGGAAGGTACTTGCTTCTTTTTGGAAGAACACCTTGACGAGTCTTAACGTTTTAACTACTTAATGCAAACTTACAACTAAGAAGTATTCATTTGCTTCAACATGGCGTTCTCGTCTTCACCTCGATCTTCATCTCCCGCATCGTCGTCGTGGTCGTCATTTTTCTTATAACACTTTTACATTTTGATTTACGTCTACGTCAACCACACAAACCTCTAGTACAACCACACAACACACAGGTATCTCGTCCTCCTATACTACAACCAACGCTACCTCTACATCAACCACACAACAGGTATCTCGTCCTCCTATACTACAACCAACGCGTCCGACAAAAGAAGGCAGACGCAGCGGCAAAACAGGAGGAGAACGAACTTTTGAAAAAAATGTACGGTGTCAAGACTGATGAAGAAGAGAAGATGGCGGCTTAGCCGAGGTGGGTGTCAAGAAACAAGGGAGACAACTCCGAAGGGGCTTCATTCATCTGGATTTCATCTAGGTCGTGGAGTCTCCTGGGAATGTCCTCTCCTGGGTAGAAGTGCAGAGAAGAGGACACTCCAGTTTTCTTCCCTCCGCTGCTTGAAGAACATCCGTCCTCCTGCTTCACAAGAAAGACGCAAAGAACATGTCAATGTCAAGGATTCTGGAGCAGTAGATTCTACTTGACGAACTTGGCTCCCTGCGTTGATTTCATATTTAAGGATACCCCTCCCTCAAGAACCCAAGAAAACAAGATCGAATTCGAACGCTCAAAAAATGTTTCACCAAGACTGATCTTTACATACGCAGAAGTGTGATTTGCTTCGTTGATTGTGATATCGCCGCCAGCGCCAACTCCTTAGCATTTCGCAAGCAGGAGTAAATGGATGCAGACGGCCTAGCTTGTGGATCCAGATCACGAATGATCACACGATAGCAGTTACAACAATGTGGAAAGATCTTATTCCTGAAACGCTCATTGCATCAAATGCTTGTCGGCTTTTACCCATTTCTTCACTATGCTTATGTTCAAAAACGAGTATCGTGGTTTTAACAATGGTTCATGATGAGCTACTAAAGCAGTTCTTGTCAAAGGCGAGGGGACCATGAAGTGTCAACTAATGAAACAAGGCAGGTGCTAGTAAAGATGCTACTTTTATTCTGGATGTCGGGTCTACTTGGTCTTGTTAATGCTCGCACTAGAAACCAATTTTTCTGCCACCCAGCCATCAAAATGAAGAAAAAGCACTCGCTTCAAGTCGTTTCGTAATTTGTAGCCTCGTCGTGTGTGCGATTACAAGGCCAAAATTGACTATGATCGAGTAAGTAGCTCATCAAGAACATCCACATCAGAAGTATCTCCAAAAAATGGATTGGGTGATTTCAACTTGTCGGTTCCGCGAACCGGATGGACCATGCTTTCGGTGTCTCCATTTCGACGTGGTAGCGCAACCTGAAGTAGATTCTGGACCTCCTGGGAGATCTTCTTCATCCGCTCTGGCAAGTCCAGCTCCAGCGGGGATAGAAACTCATTCTCGCGACGCCTTACCTCCATGTCGCTTCGACATAGCCGAGTTCGAAAGGACCGTGGAAAAACATAGGAGATGCTATGCGCAACTATTGGAGCAGAAGAGGAAGCGCGAAGAAGCAGAAGTTTTGCGAGCAGCACGATTGAAGGAACAAGAAGAAAGAGAGGCGCAAGGTCGTGATGTCGAAGGTGGAAATAGTGTTCTTACTGGTGCGACGGGACACGACGAGCAGCAAGAGGACTCGTCTGATGAAGTAGACGAAGACCCTTCTGTCAGTGTGATTCTGGACAACGAATATTACGAATTTGCATCTTCATCGATGGAATCGCAGACAACAGTTGCAAAAGCACCAAAGAAGAAAGCGACGAGTGTATCCTCACTTGCCTCTTCGAATAAGAGCAAGCCGTCGTCTCGCAGAAATCAAAAGTCCTCCCCCTCAACCTTAGGACCTAAAAAAGTACGCACTTCCACCGTGCTGGAGTGTCTACATGATGTTTTTGGACGACATGACGATTATCAAGAAGATGTTGATGGTTGTTATGAGCAGGAGCCAGACATGAAGAAACTCGAAGAGGACCAAACAACTGAAGACTCCCCCTTGACTTCGACAACGACAGCTAGTTCCCCTTCTTCAGCGAGGCTCAGAAGTACTGCAACTTCTTCATCAACATATAAGCAAGAAGAAGAAGCCTATCATGCCTACAACGACCTCCTCGACTCACCACAAGCACCTCTGGAACTCGAAACTGCTCTTGAACAGATCGAAGGAGAGATCGGAGCAGTTCTCTGGCGCGATGCTTGCGATCATTTCTTAGATTTTTTGGCGAAGTTCTTACCTTCCTGGCATGGTCGTTCTGCGATTGAACTCGGAGCTGGGTCAGGTTACATCGGTTTCGCGTTAGCGGCGGATGGGGCGAGCGACGTCTGCGTTACCGACTTGGAAATGATTACCCCACAGCTGAAAATAGGCGAATACTTGAACCTGATGTGGGACGGAAGGTTCTTTACGACGACGAATTCGTCGAATACGAATGGGAAGATGAACAAGGCTCGTCCCGCTCAACCAGTATCTTCAGCCCAAAGCAGTTTAACTACATCTACAACAATCAGACAGACCAACATCCGTGCTTGTCCTTGCGACTGGGTTCTAGAACAAGTTCCTTCAGGGACATTCGAATTCGTCATATGTTGCGAAGTCCTCTACGCAGGACGCGACGTCTGGCCAGGATTGAAAGCGACCCTCAAGAAACTAGCCAAGCAATCGGAGGGCACTTTTATCGCCGTCTTACTTGCGGTGAATCTGCGGGTCGGTCGCACTGACATCGATGCCTTTTTGGAGCTGTTGGGAGATGATGTGTTTCCTTGTGTGAAACGACTTTCAACTTTTGGAGGAACTCAAGCTTCTTCAAACGTGCACAGCGAATCTGCATCTTCTGCCAGCAAATCCCTCACCGACTTTGGTGTTGAAATATACAGTTTCTCGCACAGACCCATTGAGCTAGATGAAAATGGACGTTTCATCGAATGACGACTTCATGTTCATGATCTATGTAGTATACTGATGTTATGCAACTTGCCCTTTTTAGTACTTCCCTTTTGGGTACGACCCTTCAAATTCAATTTTCGTCTTCAGCGATGATCGTCAAACACTCACTTTTGATTGTTGGGTAGACTTCTCTACTCCTAGCGGCGAGGCTGGGTCTTGTTTTAAAAAGTTACGTGACACGGCTATGTAGTCCGTTTGTGAGAAAGTGCGAGAGAGGATCATGTTGAAGTTTGAACCTGGAGATCAGTCGTGTCAGCTGTACCTTCGGTGTCAGATGAGAGAAGAGCCAGAGAAATGTAAGTACGATGATTCAACGTTGAAGAACACGCGAATTAGGAAAACAGGGTCGGTATTAAGACGAAAAAACAAGATGAGAGATCAAGAAGCTGTGGTCTTTGCCAGACAAGTATTTGAAAAGTAGAAATTCAAATTCGAGTTCTTGGAATAGATTATCACACCTAGAATTCATACTACGAGGGGTATTTTCACCCACTAAGACACCCATCATTAAAGTTCACCTTCGCGATCAGAAAAATGAGCTCCTCTTCATCAACTCTCCCTTCGTCGAGAAGGCCCCGCCCGCCTCAACATGTTACATTTGCTGTCGCCTCCAACATCGACCCAAAGATTTTGGACGCGGAAGTGCGCTGCTGCTACTTCTTCAGGGCCACACGCAGGACGTTCGAAATTTGTAGCCTTCTAGCCGTTTGGTGGGTCATAGCTGGTGTGATCATTGTCGAGTACAAGTACATCAACCGCTCAAATTTTGCGTTCTTTGTGACAGGGCTCACGAACCTGTTTGCTGGAGCCATACTGTTGTTTGGAAGGACTATGAAGATGGTGGTGGATGCGAGATATGGAAGAAATGGCGAAGATAGCTTTGCTCTTCGGGATGCAGGACTAGTAGAAGATCCCGGACCACAAGAGGAAATGGAAAATGTCGATGAAGATGTTGATGCACGTCAGGGCACGAGCAGTCGGTATGGGGAGGCGACGAACAAGGTAGGTGTTGCTGGTGCCAGAAAAGCCGAAGGCCAGGCGGACAAGGATAACGATGACAATTTCTATCAGGAGGCTGCTGGAGGAAATGCCGGCATCAGTCAGACAGATGAAAATGGCAACCTCCCCAGTAGAACTACAAAAAGAAACGAGCTGTCATTTTTCCTTCCGATATCACGTAAGGAAGGTTTGATTCTTTTTGCTATAGGCGTGGCAAATGGTATCGAGTTCGGCATCTTAAACAAAGCTCTGATGATGTTGCCTATCGCGACTCGACAGATGCTGGCGAGCTCTTCGACACTCTTCATGATGATTTTTGCCTTTATATGGCGCCTCCCTCCGACGATAACTGCGCGCATTTTCTTATGTGGACTGGTGCTGATGTTTGGTGGTCTTTTGCAGGGTATGCAGACTCTGGCGCCCTCTCGAGATCCGATAGTTTTGGGTGGCAGACCTGTGGCGGGCGCAGCACCTGTGGGGACGAAGAGGGAAGCGAGAAAAATGACGAGGCTGCTGGAAAAAGAAGATCTTGGTGGAGATGATGTAGTAGAGGATAACACAAAGGGACTTGCGAGGGATTTTCTATCGCCAAAATCGGCTCTAGAAGGAACAATTGACGAGGAGGATGTTGGAAGCCAAAAACAAGAAAGACACGAAGAAGTAGAAAGACACGAATTCGAAGATCCACCTCTTATTTCAGATGTCGCACCACTGTTGAACGAGGTCCTGCGACCTCCGAGACGCCTGCAAACAGGTGGTGTTGCTGTCAGCACAGGAGAAAAAGATGCTTTCGCAAGTCCTAGTTCCACAGAAACTACTGAGACCAGTCCCATCTTCGGCATTGGAGTCAAGATAAAGCCGGTCGATGAAGTGCTAGCTCCAGCTGGTACAGGAGGTGAGGGCTCTTCAGGTAGTGAAAACGACATCAACTACGCAGGAGGAGCAAAAGACCAGGGCAGCGATGGTTACCAACAAGAACACCGACCGCCAGTACGGACGGGACCAAGAAGGTCTCCGCCCACCTCAGCGCGGACATCATCAACATCTTCAACATCTGCATCCTACAACGCCCACTGGGGTGTGATTCTGCAGTTTATCGCAATCATTTTGGCAAGCAACAAAAGTTGTCTCCTTCAGCATGCTTTGCAGCGGTGTGACGGCATATCCCGGCTGGACAAGATCTCTATGGGAAGCCGAACCATGACATACAGCGGCATCGCGTGCATGATACTCAGCTTCTTGACAGAAGGAATGGATGCGGATTTGACACAGGTATTTCAGTCTCCATCCTGCTCTCGTGATTGAACAAGGATACTTTGAATTCCATGATTTAACTACATGAAAAGCAATAGTTTAGTATATTTTTATCCGTCTCTTCTTCTTCAGGTCGCGGACACCGTTTTAGTCGTCAAACTCCTTCTAATTGCTTCGATCTTGTGCATCATGATTGCCGCAGAGCTACGCCTGGTGCAGATCACGAGTACCGTGACGTTTTCGATCTTCTCTCTGCTTCACGGCATACCCATTTTGCTGTCTGGCGTGGTGCTTTTCGGAGATGAGGTGCGCCTTTTCGACGGAATCGGGTATCTGATCTGCATAGCAGGCAGCTTCTGGTACATGACGTTGGTAAGGGCAGACAGGGACTATCTGGAAAAAATGAATGGAATTGCAGATGATTCAACTCGTGGCGAAGGGAGCGAAAAAAACGATGCGTCTCCGAATAAAGCTTCACGAACATCATCACGATCTCCAGCACCAGGCCGAAGCATGAGTGGAACTACAACAGGCAGAAAAGCACCGAAGTTTCATAGGCTCGCAGCAAGCGATGAAGGGGACGAGAGGAGCGCAGCCGTGGCCGGCAACACACCGACTGGTGTACATTTAGATAGTTCAACATCTGGTGGGGCCGTAGTAGAAGTTGTTGATGGTGGTCTTCTGAAACCTCTTCTTGTTACTACAACACATAATACACAGAAACAGAATAGCATACTAACATAAAGATGGTCCACCACAGTAGAGTTGTAATATTGTTGATGTTGCTAATATATAATATCTTCGACAACTACTACTACATCCAGTTTTTTACTGATTTTTTCAGGTTCTTTTCGGCAAGCAAGAAATTGATTTTCGGAACAACCACTGAGTGGCGGAGTTGCGAATACATCGAATCATTCGTAACAGAAGATTTGTCTGAGTACGACGTCTTCATTGGTCGCGATCGCCCCATTCCCATTCTTGCATAATTCAGATGCCGGTTCTGAGGTAGATGAGTGGCGTCCGCAGTCAGGCATAAAAGAAATTATGACGCTGTGTTCGACTTCGACGGACGATCTTGTGGTTCGGTAGGACAAGGAACAATAGGAGGGCTTCTCAGTCCTACTTGCGAAAGCCAGGGTCCCTCCGCATGATTATTTTTTGTTTGCGAAGATAGAACTAGAAGTCGGCATCGGGAAAATGACGTGAGGACGACGAGAGAAGCCCCTGTCGTGATCCAGAATTTGTGGCGCTTGGCGCCTACTCGACGTGTGAAAATGAAGGCTGCCGCAAGAAAGCTTTGCTTGTTGTCCGTGTTTCTCTGCATCGTCGGGAAAGAGGTAGTGGGAGACAACGATGCTGTTGCTGACGTCGAGCAGGGTCCTTTCGATGATTTCGTCTTACCAACCTTCTTCACCTGCGATCACATTCCGGAGTGGCGCAACTTCCGGCGATTATGGCTTCATTTCCGACATGAGCATGAGATAGGACGGCAGTTCGTCGATCAAGGACTTTTCACTCCTGAAATGCGAGACAGTGAGCTTTTTTACGCCGTTTTCACTACTGCCAACGATTTAGGCCAACGATGGGAGAAGCAATTCACCACAGCCGTCAACAGCTGGGACTGGTTTGCTATTTGCGAAGCGTTTACCGAGTACGAAGTGACCGGACGACCGCAGAAGATTCTCAAGTTAGATCCTGAGATAACGAACTTCTGCCATTACGGGTTTATGACTACACAGTACATCGGCATGCGGTTGGGTTCGACGATGCTTGATAGCGTTGCGGGAATCAGCAATTGGGGACGCGTAGCGAGACAAGGCTTGGTCACGAGTCTGACCTACAACAGCTTAAATTTTGCTGACGACAGCGGCTGGGGCTTGACGCTTTGGGATTACGTTCAAGCAACGTATAACATGGAAAAACGGCATGGGAGTTTTGCAGCTCCTGTACCGCCTTATTTTGTTGGAGGAGAAAAGACAACTGAATCTGAAAAAACTGTAGTACCAGCATACACCAGTGACAACAACAAGATGGAGACGATCGAAGAGCGAAGGCTCGCTGTGGAATCGCGTCTACCAGCAGAAAAGCTTTCCGACGCATTCGTTGAGATTGTGTTGCGGGGAAAAAAGAAATACCTGAAGATCGCTGAAGAGGCTGTGGAGTCGAAGCGGAAGCAAGAGATCGAGGACTCGTTCGAGAGCGAACGGGAGAGGCGATGGCACTACTTCATCAGACTCCTGGATGAGCAAGCACAAGGCTTGAAACAACAATCATTCGAGCAAATCTTCTATCAAAGTGCCACAATAGCCTCCCCGGGACAGAACGCCTACGCATTCAAAAGTGGCGCTAAGGCTAACACTGGAAGTGTTGGTGCTAGATTCGATGCATTTTCTCCAGAAGACTCATCAAGAACGTCTTTTTTGAAGGTTCTCACCGTCGGCTACCACGTGTCACTTGCCCGCGAGCCGTTAGAGACGTTCGCCCACCTCCTTGGCCTGGAGAGTCGCATGAAGCGGGCAATACATGTCCTAGACGCAGGAGCGACGTCAGTGGAAGACCTCAAAAAGAAGTCACACTGTCGATTCAATAGTCCTGAATGGTGCACTAAAAATGAAGAGTTTATCTTATGGCTCGCTTGTACTTGGCCTTTAACTTTATCAAAATGCTAAGAAGTATCTATATCATCTTCTACGCCATAGTTTGCATTTACAACAAGATGATCCATTCATGATTCTTATCCGATCGTATTTCATAGCACTTCTTTCATAGCACTTCTTCTTTCAAGGCACTTCTTCTTTCAAGGCACTTCTTCTTTCATTGCACGACTTCTTTCAACATAGCGATTCTTTCATTGCACTTCTAGAAGACGGGTAATATTTTTCATCTTGTTGCTCTTCTAACTCTTGTCGCGATGAACAGTGCACTTTCGGTCAGACGCTACGGATTCGCTAGTAAACTTCCACTATTGACCGATTTGGATCGATGGCAGGAAATCTTCGAAGAGTTCAAATGGCAACTAGTGGAGCCGTTTTTAGATCAGAAGGACCTCCATGACCAAGAGGATGAAAAGCAGAAGCAAAACCGACAAGATCAAGACCAACTTTACCCCGACTTACTCCTTTGTGGTGAGCCTTTAGTCCTTTGTCGGATTATGCACGTAGCCTTTCCCAACGCAGCACTCGTGAGCTACTCTGCCCAGCAGATCACCATGTATGTAGACGAACCACATCTGGCACAAAGAGTACTGAAAGAGTACACTTTACTAGCACAACAGCCGCATACATTGTTTGTCACAAGCGGACGCGTAGTCTCTGAGTGGTACCGGTTCCAAGCAGGCATACCTGCGGTTTCGATTACGCCAGTAGCGGCGTATTTGAATGGTGCTTTTTATCACGGAATGACGAGTCGGAGAATACTGCTGTTGAGTTATGTTGTGCGGATCGCAATACAGTTCAGTACAACTAGTACCTAGAAGAATACCACCTAGTAGAAGAGTATAATACGTATACTCCATCACTGTAAGACGACGACGAAGAACGTATGATTTTTCATCCGCCTCTCGCCCTCTAGTACAGCCATTTCTAATCCGCACAAGTGTCCCTTTTCTGGGATCCAGAGTGCGTCTTGAACTATTTTCTGCGTCAAGTTCCTTGGCTAGAGGACGAAATGTCGGAGCTAGAAGACTACGATCCAGCAGTGCTTACGTTAAGGCTCCTACAAGATAGAAATCCATCTTCGCAGGCATCTTCTGGGTCGCGTTTTGGAGAGGGAAAAGGGGCACGAGGATGCTGCTGAAGACGGGTTTTTGCTAGGTCTAATCACGATACAAGGTCGCGACGCAGCTGGCGATACTGTGGATGACGACGACGTGCTGGATCGCATTGGCTCTTTGCTGATTCGCAAAGTACAGGACCTAGACGATGGCGGTAGCATAGCTTTGAATCTCTCTGAAGAACTGCAACGGCGATTTGAAAAACAGTTGGAGGACTCTGAGAAGAACAGTGGTGGTCTTGGTCCTCGAGGTGGGCAGCAACTAGAAAAAGAAAGCTCTCTACTTCTGCGTGGAGGTAAACGAGAAGAAGATCCGGAGCCATCCATTGACGTCTGGTTTGCGAAGCATGTGTTTACACAATTGGACTATACGCAAATTGAGGACAACATCCTAGAGAATTTGGGTCGATACGCGATGCAGCATTTTCAAATCATGGGTCGGGAGGACACGGACGAAGCAATCATAGCAGAGGGAAAGAGAAGAGAAGAACTTTTGAGGAGAGAGTTATCATCAATAAATGTCAAGAATTTGGAAATGCAATGGCAGGCAAGTAGAAGTAGAACGAAAAGGCGGGGGACAACATTGGATGCTCCTCCAGAAGAAGAGAAGCAAGACATAAATGCTGTAGCGCACGCGTCCACTCTTCTTCAAAATGAAGAAGGACAACAAGAAGAAAATATCTTGTCCGATTCGTACTACGTTGACCATGAGATTTTTCCTCATGCGCGCAATATCAGTCTGGAAATTGCTACGGAGAAAGCCATTCGCTGGCTGGGGATGCAAGGAATGCTCACAGAAGCACAATCAAAGCTCGATCCACCTTATCAAAAGTCGTATGACAAAACGGATCACAGCTTTAGTCGTTTTGTGCATAGCGGGAGAACGCTGTATCGAAGAAGTGGAAGTCGCGGCTTTGTAGGCAGTAGTTGCGGTGGTGGAGGCGGACGCGGACAGCAGCAGAATGATCATAGATGCGCTGGCTGTGATGGTAGAGTTGACAACGAGGGTAGAAGTACAGGTGAGGCATCTCTTTCATCTTCTGGTGCTTTTGCTACAACCGATGAAGAAGCAGAACAAGGCCGCGAGGATACCAGCTCCATTGTTGGTCGAAAATCTCCGCCGAGTCTTCTTCCCTCGACATTTCAAAGTGCAACGAGTACTAGAAAAGACGACTCAAGAGGACCACGAGGACCTCGTCTGCGTTACGAATTCGTTGAGTCAACGTCTCTTCGAAAAGACAGGAGTTCCGATTACCAGTCTTTTGGGAGCTTTAAAGCGGTGGTGATGTTTCCGTACGCTTACACCCAGTTCTGGTTTTTTGAACTGTATCAAATAGGCACACCGATTTTCCTCCCGAGTCGAAAGATCTTGCCTCTCTATCTGGGACAAGACTTCATCCGATTTCAGTTCTATGTGATGGCAGGATTTTCATCATCCTTGTCCACATCTGGAGAACGTAAGGGAGATGAACAACAGCAACGACAACTTCTAGAACAAGCAGAAAGCCAAACACGTAAGCACAATCCTGTCCACGAGTACCACCCTTTCCTCGAACACGCCAATCTAAAAGCCTTCCTATATTGGACTCAGTTTTGCGAATGGGTAACTTGGCCTCACATCACGGAATTCGACTCCCTCCGGGTGTTGGTTGAGCATTTCAACCCGCGAAAAGATGCTGCTAGTACTTTGGCAGCGACTTCGCGTAAGATGCGACTGTTTTCACAAAAAATGCTCATGGACAACGCTAGTAAGTGGCGAGCAGGGCTTTCCGCCATTCTAGCTGTGCCACTTGGAGATCGGCAGAGGATTCAGCTTACTTCTCCGGACATTGCTGGTGGACTCGGCGAGGGTGCAACATCAACTACACTGGGTGAAAAAAGTGCTGAAGCTCATCCAGATGATGGCAATCAAGTTCTTCATCCAGAAGAAGACACTTCTTCTAGTTCTAGATCTAGCTCCAAGTCCATCTCTGTCCCCTACCACGAAGGCAGCTTTTTTCATGGTGATCTGTCGACACACCAGCCTTGTGGAGGCACTCCAGGCAGAGAGGATTCACCTGCGCACAAAGCCAATGACGGCAACATATTGACGGATCATCCCAATGAGTATCATACGAGAGATGCTGAAGAAGATACAACTTCGAGCGAACAACAGCAACAGGAAAAGCAGAAAGGGCAAGACGTCAAAGCCTTTTGGTGGGTGCAACTTCGGGAATATCGCAAGGAAGTGAATGTCACGATTTGGAATAGGGATTGCTGTACTAGTCAAATGGCATCGAACTCAGCATACGAATCGGAATCTTCTGCTTCTCCAGCTTCTCCAGTTTCCCTAGAATTGCGCATAGCAGTGGACAGCAATCGCGTGGAAGACAGTCTGTACTGCGGCAAGATCCATCACATTGCAGATGGTGGGGTGCAGAGCGCGATTTGTTCCTTCAATCAGATGTTAGAAGAGGAGGAGGGTTCTGATGAAAATTCTCCCACTAGGTCCTCTAGGTCTAGGGATTTACCATCGCATCTTTCGGTTGCAACAAAACAGGAGACCCAAAGGACGTTGGAAGAGGTTGGGGCTAACATTCTCTTCATTGTGAACCGTGAGTCGCCAGTATTGATGCTACCAGAGGTGCTAGTATCAGATATGGGATGGGTGGTATCTTCAGGGTGACAACAACAACGGCTGGTTAGGTGATAGTTCTTGCTATAATGACAGTAAAAAAGATTAACATCTGTCCCGACACTTCTTGATGACACACTTTACACTTGATGACACTTTCACACACTTCTCTTCAGAAAATATCATGATGACCTTCTTGATCGAACAAGGAACCTGCTTCAAATGAGCTCAGGGACATCTTGTCCGCCCCATTTTGACCATGTGAGTGTGAATGAACGGACGAAAGCGTTCTGGAGTGTTTGTCGACCACAAGCTTACATGATCGTCGAGTCACCCTGCTAGTGCTCATTCTTTCGTCTGCTAACCAACACAACGCTCGTCAAGATAATAAATGAAGGTCGGTCTTTATCTTTTGAAAAACTTTGACCTCTCTGTTGTCCTCCTCGTGAAGACGATCCTACAACTAAGATTTGCATATCTTCTTCAGTTGTCCCACTCTCCTATGTTGGTTCTTGATGCTGCTGCTGGTACTTGTGCACTCATCTTCAGTTTCTTGAGGTTGAAATTTTGCTATTCCGGAAGTCAATATTTTTATCATCTAAAAATGCATGTACAATTACAACCTCCCCAGGATTTTGCTTGTCAAAACTTTTTTCTGATAATCTTGATTGAAGAACAAGGGTTTTCTTGTCCTGAGTATTATCATTATGCCTCTATAAGTACAACTTGAACTATTTGTTGCAGTTGTACTGACTCCTCCGCCCATCGACTTGCTAGCCCGTATCAAGAAGGAAGACAAAATGCCGCATAAGATGTTGCGCTCCTACGTTTTTCTCGCCTGCTTGGCGGGTGTTCCAGTCGTGCATGCGTATGGCTCCTGGCTTTTGTAATTCAAAAGCGACTACTACTAAACTGTCATTGATCTCTATGTCACAATAGAAGATCAGTTACTTCTCCAGACCACAGCACCCTCCTGATTTGCATTAATGTTTCCCTCTTTGTGTCACGCCTCACGTGTCTTATCAATAATCTTTTCGTAGTTGCATATTATATGAAGGCTGAATAAGTGAGAAATCGGTAGAAGTAAGGACGACATAAACAAGTAGTGCTCACCTTGTAGCTTGAAAGAACTTGATCCTGGTTTCGTGTTGTAGTCCCACAAGTCTCTTTCCACAAAGTGAATGCGAATGACTCTGCAAAGTTCGCGATCGTATTGAAGAAAGTACCTCGAGAATGATTGGAAGGAGGACAAAGGACGAGTGGAATCAAATGAGCTTGAACCACAGAAGCCGTTCTTTCCTGAACGCATTGATCCTGACACTCCACAGAGGCAGGAAGAAACCTTTGAGCATTCTCTTGCCAAACCCAATGTAGTTTTTGGCTTACAGCTATTGACTTTCGACCGTGAGGTCGTGCTTTGACTTGAAGACCAAGAGGTCTGTTACTTTGAATCCTCCGCTACCCATTGTGTTCACCAAGATCTTTCAATGGTAGCGGAGGGTGGTTTAACTCAGTTTTCAGTTAATACTAGAAACAACTTAGCTGGTTGAATAAAAGATCCACTGCATGACTTTGACTTCCTAACCTCTTTTATTGCTATCATTGAAATACTTTCCTTGTAAGATCAGCATCGGATGGACCATGCCGGCACGTCTTCCCAGAGTGGAGGGAACGGATTTCGTGGATCATCGGCAGCAGCTGAGTTACAAGGACACCAGAGTAGTCTCGCTTAGACTACCACTCAAATTCTGGGAGACAGTCGACATCTCCTCTCTGGAAAACTCTTCTCTGAAGAAGAAAGACTTCATAAAAACTTCATCTCTTAACGAACCCGAAATAGTAGCAATTTCTTATTACGACAGCGCGTCTCGCTACAAACATCATATCCATCTCCAACTTCTAGAACATCTGGACACTCTTCTTTCCTGGAGCGAGCTTCGGCAGACGGTTGCTCGCTTTCACAACGGATCAAACGTCTATAGGAGGCAGACTTCAGCGGCGTCCATCTTGGAGCTCTACTTCTACCACGACGCAGAAGAGTTGTGGAAAGAAGACCTAGCACTCTCAACTGCGGACTAGTGACATCTAAAATGTCCTATGCAGATCTGACCGACCTCAGTGCAAGTTTTCTTCAATCTAGAGCCGTGCAGTTAGTGGAATCCCAGCAGACGAATATTGCCGATCAGTATTGTAGGGGAGGTTTTGCTGAACATCCTATCGGTGGAACAACTCCTTGCATACTAGATTCCCCAAGCAAGTTCTTCCACGCCCTGAAGGTATTTGGCCTTGATTTGGTATATCCTGGTCGGGAGGGACAGCCAGGAGATAAGAACACTTCTGGTAGAATCGTCATACATAGAGACAGTGGAGCTCTCAACCTCTGTTGTCCACTGATTAGAGACCCACGGCTGCCACAAGAGCACGCCACCGAAGACAACGCAAAAGAATTCAAGCACGAACTTACCACTATTGAGGGCGAGGCCCGTAGACTGCGCGACTTTGTTAAGTTTTTCTTAGCAGGAGACGAACTCGCATTACAATTCACTACTGCTCTGTTGATAGTTGAAAAGACTTCCAAACCGTGGAATTACCCTGCTCCCTAAGGTTGTGGCCCTCACCTCATATCACAACGCCGTCTGGTAGCGGAAAGCGTAGCAGTACCCCTGCCCCACGTGCAATGCATCGCGACACAAAAGAGGAGAGCCATCAAGGTTTGTTGGAGGTCCGTGGAGATGGTGAAGAATCCCCAGGAGGTGAGTCTATCTCTACCCCATCGGAAGAGGAGCTTTACTATGCCAATGAGGATGAAGAATCCTCTTCCAACTCCGAGTCGCCTGCTTACAAGAACGATGGAGTCACTCCGACTACTCTTACCAAGGTTTCAGACCTTGATAAGGGTCCCCACTCTGGCAATGAAGTCACTGGAGAAGTGGACCTTGCGGTTGAACCCAAGGCTCTGCACTCCGGGGACGTCGGCGCTGGGTCGGGAAGCGTTGCCGTGACGAGCACTGACTTGATCGACATCCACTCCTTCATCAACACCTGCGCCGAAAACATCACGTCCGGCGCCTGCTTTAGCACTGATGAAGAGGAACAAGAAGGTCGCGAGACTTGGACCTACTCAAAAGAAGTAACCACCTCCGTCAAGTTGTTTCCCAATGTGCTAGGTGGCATTCAGAATTCTGGAGTGCAGACATCCCAGGTCACAGACCAAGCTTCAAGCGGAAACTCTGACGCAACGGAGGATGTGACTGCTTCTAACATGATGAAGGGACATAACGAACTTGAGCCAGCCGGGGTGTCTCCGGACACGCAGCGCCGTCTCAATCAAGTCCGTCGCAAAGAACTGGAGGATCAAGCACGTGCCTACGACGAAAAGGCTCTGTACTCACTCATGATTTACGCCTCTCTAGACGGGTTACAGGAAGCTCGCTGCTTCTTGGAAAATCATGGTCCTCTGGGGTGTACGGTGAGTCGAATCTTCCGTCAAGCTCCAAAGATCATCACCAACTTGGTTGCTACTAGCAAGAAGGCCATCTTTTTGACTGGAGAGAAAAAGCAGGACAAAAGCGTTTCAATTCTGGACGTGGAGATCGAAGATCTCAAGGGTTACTTCGAACAAATGCAATGCTCATTCCATGCTCTACAAGATCTCATCTACGATTTCAAGCAGCGACTCCAACGAGATGGACACAATGAAAACTACTCGCTGCCGCGTCGAGATCTGACACGTATCCGGATGAATCTGCGCCAACCATATACGCCTTCGGAGCGTATGTTCCGCAAGGCGTACGACGAAGCTGACAATTTGCGCAGTGCGACCATCAACCTCTACAACCTGATCGGATTTGGCAAGGACAAGCTGAAGTTGCCCAATGCAACGACAGAGCAGGTCTCTAACTCTCCAGGTGTGCGTAGAGAGTGCGACGAGGTTCTGGGTTGGATCGACGATTGTGCGATGCGCAAGTCTATCGGGCACCGTCTTCAGCTGGTCGCCAAGATGTACACGAGCAACGTGGAGGGAATCTTCACAACCAAGGGACTTCGACCACTGGATCTGGAGAACTAGAAAGTGGAAAAGGAGACTAAGCCATAATTATAGGCTTCACGAACTTTATCTCTTACATAGTGCATTAAAAAGGATCAACTGTGCAAGATTCTCATAAAGCTCTCCCTCATCGGTTTCTGTAGTCATAAGAGATCTCCAAGCTTTAATTGCAGTGTCCGGCCGTTTAAAAATTTATCAAAAGACTTTCTACCTATTCTTAGAGCTAACAGATATTATAAGTGCCTGACGTGCGAGCTGTGCACTCCAATCCTTTTCTGTTTGGCTCATTATTTCCATAGCGTCAGAATATAGCGCACTACTTTCGTTCCATTCAGTGAACATCTTCGTGAAAATGACGCAGAAAAACAGATCGTTGAAGACTACGGTAAGCCCCTAGCTGTGGCTGTCAAGGGAAGCATCAAATTCCACGAGGTCAGGGAACTGCAGCCAAAACTTGAGGCCGGCCACGTTCTTGTACTCCGTTTCAGACCGGTTGCGGATGCCTCAATTGAATCACAGCACAGCGGCGCTCTCCTTCTCTCCAGGTTGCCACCGGATGTGCGGAAACGTTTTGAAAGTTGTGAGAAGGTAACAGATGTCGACGAGTCCTTTCTCATCCGGTGTGGTCTTGAGAAGGCAATGGAGGCGGCGACTCGAAAGGAGTTGGAAGGAATCTGCAAGACAGTCCAACGTACAGGCAAAACTGTTGCCAAGATCTACGAAGAAGGTGACGAGTATGACACAAAGTTGAATCAACTTCGCACAAGAGGGATCTGGGACCTGAAGAAAAGCTCCCAACATCTAGGGAAGGTAGCTTTCCGGCTGGTGTGCGACGGGTCCTCGGTGAAACTATCACCAGGGGCGGATGCATCTTCTTCCGTGGTTTCACAAGGAGACACTCGCCTGGCAGCTAGCAGTGCTGGTTGCTTTGGGGAACCAGTTGCAGTTATTGTAGATGTGCCGCGTGCTTTCAACCAGAATGATGAACTAGCTCCCACCGGAAGAAGAAGACTTAGATTTCCGATGAATCTCAGAGCCAACTTCACGTTTACGGTTGCTGCTGAGTTCAATTTCTTTCCAACCTCCACAGGTCTTTTCTCTCTTTTCCACTATGGTGATTCGTGTGGATCTCTAGGGTTTTATCGAACAGTAGAGGCAGAACTGAAAGCAAGAGGATACACCTCATCTCCTCTTGCGCCTGCCCTTTTCTTTCTCCAAGGAGGAACTGTCAAAGCGAGCAAGCACATTGCGGGTGCCCACTTAGAAGGTAGTCAAGATCTCCAAGATGCCTGTGATAGGTGGCACTGTGAAAATTCTGCGCCGGGAAAATCCCCCGCTGTCAAGAGCTATAAAGTAGAGCAAATACTACCTAGGAAGAATACTCCTTACGTGGTTCTACCCACCACAGTGGACGACTTCATCCTTCTAGTCGAGCGTAGATTCGCAGGTGCCATCGTCGGGTCACTTCTGGAGCGCTTTGGAATTGCTGATTACGGAACAGGAGAAGGTATCTACGCCGGAAAGCGCATCAAGCACTTGCTTCCAAGACGATGCTTCGAGTTCTCAGTGGCCCACAAGTTCGCCGATGGTCTCAGGGACTTAAAGACGGCAGGTCTGCAGATGGAGGAACCGCTCACACCAGAGCAGATCACCAACATCCTGGGAGTCCGCGGGGAGCTTGGTTTCAGTGTGAATGCTTGCAAACCCGACCTGCTATATGCTTTTAGGGAGGTGAGCCAAGGATCTCTAGTCACAGCAACTCAGGAGCATGCTAAGTCTGTCAAGGTGGCCATCGACCGAGCACGGACACAGAAAGACGTGGCTCTGTGCATCTACTATGATAACAAGGATTGGGCTCTAGTGGTCATCACTGACGCATCCTTTCGAGGGTCTATTGGACCTAGAACAGTTACAGACCCGGCTTTGCTGAGTGAGATGGAAAAGGTTAAGAATACTACTGAGCTGTCAGAAGTAGAGAAGGAAGACAAGCCTGCTGAGCTTAGCAGGGAACGTCAGGCAAAGATAATGCCTTTGGTCGCGTGTTTGGTGCTATTGGTCGACGTTGGCCACCCACTTGAGGAAGGCTACAACGCAACCCTGATAGATTGGCAGCTACAGCAATCTGCCGCCGTTTGCTCATCCAGTTTCAGTGCCGAGGCTGAGAGTGGTGCACAGCATATTCCAGTAGGATCCTTTCGTCGTGAGGTCTTTGCACACCTGGGCCAGAGCCGGAGAATGGCTTGGGGTTCGGACAACGACGGATTGATAAAGAGAATCAGCAAGAGGTCGTCGGTGGAACCAACTAGAGACTTCCAGAGTGTTTGTCTCATCAAGCAAGATCGTGAGCGGGAAGACCTGGGTACTGGTTTCATCACAGACGTTGCGAACCCGTGTGACACAGCTACAAAGAAGATTGCCTTTGACAGCGAGAAGCGCAAGGCACTAATTGCATTAATGCAGGATGGTTTTTGGAAGACGAAACTCAAGGGCGACAAGAAGAGCAAGGGTGCAGATGGGGTAAAGTTCTATTGGCGAGAATATGACTGGGAAAAGGACAGCTGATCTCTCTGCCTCCTCTATAGGATTGTGGAAGATTCTGGGTTTCTCTTTCCTGACATCCGAACCTCCAGAGGGATGCGGCTAAGCAGGACGGATACACTTTGAGGAATACTTGACAAAATTGAAGACTGACCATGAAGCAGATGACATCCCAAGCTAGTAGTCCTTAACATCAGTAACAGTTTGACTGAACATCTTACCATCAGAAATCATGGTCTAAATACCAGTACGAGTAGAGTCATTTTCTTCGATCGGTTATCAAGAATGCCACTACTACAAAATCAATAACTAGGATAGAAGCCCCTCACTTTCCAGACCATCTTTTCCTCCCAGCAACTTTCTTAAGATAATTTCTCTTCTAATAGTAATTTGCAAACTCGTAGAATTCAAGAGCTTACTTTTAACTTCACGGACTAAACAAAACCTACTAGTACGCTCCCACATATCTTATTGGAGTCTTACCTATACTTCTAAGTATTTTTATCACCCCGGGGCATTGAAGGTTGAATAAGTGAGAAATCGGTAGAAGTAAGGACGACATAAACAAGTAGTGCTCGCCTTGTAGTTTGAAAGAACTTGGTCCTGGTTTCGTGTTGTAGTCCCACAAGTCTCTTTCCACAAAGTGAATACGAATGACTCTGCAAAGTTCATGATCGTATTGAAGAAAGTACCTCGAGAATGATTGGAAGGAGGACAAAGGACGAGTGGAATCAAATGAGCTTGAACCACAGAAGCCATTCTTTCCTGAACGCATTGATCCTGACACTCCACAGAGGCAGGAAGAAACCTTTGAGCGTTCTCTTGTCAAACCCAATGTAGTTTTTGACTTACAGCTATTGACTTTCGACCGTGAGGTCGTGCTTTGACTTGAAGACCAAGAGGTCTGTTACTTTGAATCCTCCGCTACCCATTGTGTTCCCCAAGATCTTTCATATAGTTAAAAAGAAAAAATATAATCTTCTTCCCTTTGGTCTACAACTCAACAACCCTAAACCCTGCTCGTTGCAACTCCTACTTTCATTTCTCACGCGCCGCGGCCGCCGTTGCCACAGCTCCTGCAGAACCTGATCCGCAACCTGTCCAGAAGTCGCTTGAAGATGACTCTAAAAGCGAATCTGGATCTTCTGACGTTTCCGAAGAACACAGTACCACTACAGCAGACCAGGAGGACCATGATATGGAAGATCAGAATGAGCAAGCGTTTGAAGAAGTGTCTTTTCGAGACTTGCAAGAGCAAAAAAAACGAGTCGGCCCGGGGCAAGTGGAGCTGCCTTTATCCTTCAAAGACACTCCACTGGGAAGCATCAAGGAGCAGGGAAATTATACGAGAAGAGGATCATCTTCGAGAAGAACTACAACGGGACGAGGACCTCGACCAGGAGGAGATAAGAGTGCGACTGGCGCTGCAACGACTTCTGCAAATAGAAGTAGTAGTCGAGATGAAAGAGATCCTCTTCAACAAAGTACATGCAGAAGTACGAAAGAAGCTATGACTGAATTCCTGAAATCATTACCCGCTTGTGCGGAAGCTGGTCGCGATGGTGCGGAGAGACGCAGTGGCAGTAGAAATAGCCGACTTTTACTTGGTGGTCGTGACAAAAATCATCAACGTCAACCTCAACATCAATACGCGCTGGGGCACTTATCAAGCCGACAACGCGGCAGAGGTCAGCTCCATCGAGATGATCTGTTAGCAGATGCGACTCCATCCTCCTATGGAGGTAATAGTCGACTGAGGGGACGAACACCGAGGAGTAATTATGGTCTGCTGGGTCTTTGATGCTTCATCTTGGCTCCTCTTCTGTAGAAGTCTTGTTCTACAACTTTTTCAAATAAAGAAGGAAAATTTTTATAGACTCATTGATTGTGGTAATCACGACCATCAAGTCGTTTCTGCGTACCTCCTAGTATCTCTTCTAAGACAAGCAGCTCGCCGAGAACCGTGATAGCTTTCTCAAGAAACTGGAAGACGAGAGGCGGCAGCGTAGGGGAAACAGTCTTGTCCGAACAGAGGAGCGCTATGGAGGTTTTGTCACTGCTAAAGAATTTGAGGATACGACAGACGGTGGCATAAGCAAAGACCTAGCGGATGTTATTGAGACAACGTATATTCTGTTACAACTCTAGTTGTTGTAGTCCTCAAAAGAACGAGCTTTGCCGCTCGCCGCCCCAGAGACTTGATGGGAGTCCTCACTACAACTTCACTCCATAGAAATACTGATCTTCTTAGAAAGTCCTAGGCATAGGCTCGTCTTTACATTAACAACCTGCTAAAAATCTCAGATTTTCCTCAGCTGGTGCCACGGTAGGAGGTGCAAACTCAGCAAACCGCGGAAGAAATACGCGAGCCGCAAGCGAGGCTCCAATGAGTATGGCTAGTTTCTCAACACTACCATGATTTTTTTCTTCACGACAACGACAAGAAGAATGAGCGCGTGCTGGCGGAGAAACATTTAAAGTGATTATTTTTTCACTCAAGAAGTTGAAATGATCAACCACCAGCATGACCCGCGTTTTATTGACCATTCATCATTATTCTAAGTTGAGCCACAGCACTTCTGACCGCCAAGAACCCAGTGTGGATGCCGATCTATTGAAGAATTTTGCGGAGATGAAGCTCGGAGGCGGTGTTTCATCATCGAACAGCTCAAGTTCTACTCAAGAAGTTTCTAGAGAAAACCGACTTCGCGAACTCCAGAAAACTCGCGATTCAATCGTGCAATCCTCTAGTTGTAAAGGTAAAACCGGAGGCGCGGCTCCTGCACTAAGAAATGCAAAAAAGAGCTCTTCTTCTAGTACTGCATCTAGCACGGCTTCTACAGCCGCAATATCAAAGAACACTGAGATGGGTTCCTCTCCGGCATCTTCTCAAGATTTGTTTGAGAACACTGAGAAGCAGGAGAAGGGGTCATCTCCAACATCTTCTCAAGATTGCCCAGGCCCTGCTGCTGCTCGTTCTGCTGGACCTGGTGCTACTAGTGGAGCTGCTTTATCACGTGGTGGTGGTCCAACCAATCCCAATGGAAGAACAACGACATCTGCAGGTAATGCAGTAAAGAGAGCAACATCAGTCCGAGGGACCGTTTGTACCGCCGCTCATGGGCCTAACCCTGAGTTGCAAGCAAAACTCGCGAGACAAAGGTCCAAAGCCGATGGGACGGAGGTGAAGACTATTTATTGTAGTTATCTCTCATCTTCAACTTCATCCACGAGCACGACTGTTGAACTTGAAAACAAGTTTTTTAGAAAACTCCTTTTTTTACAACAACACAATCAATAGATAAAGTTCAAGTTGTTAATAATGATCTCATAAATTTGTCTAAAAAAAATATGGTCCACCTAATCAATCTATCTCCAAAAAAATAGGTCACCCCACCCGACGCCAAGCAGCTAGAACGAGATGAGAAGCAAGCAGCGAAGGCTAAGTGCGACCCATCTTTCGTGGATCAGATACAGAGGATGTGTGATGCAGGGCAACACAATCCCAAGAAACTCCTCGAAGACCTCAAGAATCAACATGAGACTGAAGTCTCCTCTGCAAAACGAGACATGGCGAAGATCGCAGGTTGGCTTTCACAGGGACGCATCGCATTTATGTTTTGATGTGCTTGTGTATGTGTTGGATTCTTACCGCTTTTTTGATGTTGGACTGTTGATTCACATCTTCACAACATGACCATAAACATTCGCGGCCAGTGTTGTACAAACTAGCAAGTTGTACCACATGCATCTCTCTCTTAATAAAATATCGAGTTCTTTCGTTATATCACACGATGAAGAACAAAAACTGCTACAACTTCTCGTTGCACTGTTTGAGGGTGATTCCACTTAGATGAAGACACACATTTTGTACACCTCCTTCATCTCCACCCGCGAAACCGAGAAAACGTTGTTGGACAAGCGCGCAGGCGTTAGAGATGGACGACTGGCACTGCTAGATGAAGAGATCCAAAGAGTACAAAAGAGTCAGTCTGGATTGGGAGCGGAACTGATGGGTATCTTTGCACGTAGGTTTGGCTGAACTGGAAGAAAGAATGATCATGAGAAGGCTGCGGAAGCTCAGAGTATAAAAATATGATCGTGGATGGACAAGTACAAGGAGCTTGATTATAGGCAGGTGAGGGTCGTGTATGTCCTCGTCCGTGCTGGGGGTTAAAGAAAAGTTTGATAGGTTCAGATTACAACTACCGGGGACGATTCAACTTCGTCTACGAGTTGTTATGAAGGATTTTTTCTTGTGAAGATATTTCCCATTGTTGTTGTTCATAAAAAGCCCATTTTTCACGCGATCGCGCTCGTGATAATCTTCTTGAACTACATACTTACTGATTATGGCAGCCTTAGCGCGTTATTATAGCAACACGTTATAAAGAAGAATATAGCAACACGTTATAGCAACACTGCCATGAGAATATTGATATCCTGCAGTACAAGATCCTTATATATACTGTGACTTTTTATTTTGATAATCATCCTCCACATCCACTTAAGCTTAAACTTATTTCATCGTTGCACGAGCAGGGGCAACGAACATCAGTATGAGTTGTTCCAAATAAGAGTATCGTCAGTGTCCTCCTCTAGGTGTCTATTTCGCACTACATATACGAGTAGATTCATATTTCAAAAAATACATCTGCAATTTTGGTGTCATTTCGTTTCTTGTTGTGTGATCGCTGAATCCTCATACATATTTCCTGCAGTTCTAGTATGTGAAGATAATTTTTAGATCATGGTCCTCATAACATGACCGACGAGACCGTGGTGAGAGCACAAGCTTTCTGAAATATTTCATCTCCTCATACCATGATCTTCTTGCTGAGGAAATATGTATACAGGGTTATCACTCAGTGTATGATAAAGGATAGGCATAATTCTAAGCGACAACATAAGTAGATCTCATTACAATGACATCATGTTTTTACTGTCTTGACATGCTATTTGGTTGCTTCCAAAAATTATCATTCATCATGTTATTCTACATGCTTTGTCGTAATATCTTCCGTTCGTGAAAATGAACACACATCACTTTCTCATTTAGTGTCTTGACCAGGCGGGTGAACGCATCATGTTGAGTTGTATTCAAGGATGTTATCACTTTTGTTCTCTATTTCTCTCATCTGCTTCATTTCTTCGTCTCCGATTTCAAGAGACCCACCTTGTTTATCCCGTGTCCTCGTGCAATGGCCATCGTACGTTGTCGATGCTGTTATCCCATCCACCCGGCAGCTCCAAAGCTTTGGAAATCGCCAGACGCATCAGAATCTAGTATCTAGCACAAAGGGAAGATTATATCTTCGAGAAGAAGTACTAGTGAGTATAGGCACAATCATCATCATCATCAGTATCAGTTTTCATTCTTGTTGTTGGCTTTTGCAAATCAACAAACATGACGTTGACATATCGTGTCGTTCTCGCTGCGGCGTCCCTCAGCCTCCAGTCGGTTCTGGGCAGTTTTGTCAAAGGTAAAAATGGGAAAGAAGACACCATCCTCCTGCCAGCCGAGATCTGGAACTACGTGCACTCGTTTGGGGCGGACAAAGAGTTACCCTGCCGCTACGACTTCCCGTGCGAAATGGAGACTACACGTAAAAACCTAGAAGCGTTCTATCAAAAACTGAAGTACACAGCAGTTGATGAATTGTTGAGACAGCGTTTGCCTTTGTCCTCTGAGTCTGTGTGTGCATCAGCGAACAATACGGAAGGAGCTGCACGGATCGAACCTGCGTCCAAAGCGATGGGAGGGGGAGAACCTCCATTCAAAGCAGTGGGAGGAGGAGAACCATCCAGCACGGCGATGGGGGCAGGAGAACCGTCCAGCAGCTTCAAGGTGATGGTGATGGAAGGAAAAAGGCGACATCTTCTTTCTCAGATCATCAAAAAGACTGTGCTACAAAAAGTCCTCAGACGCAAGGCCCGCTTGGGACCGGAACACCCCGACTCCGGAGCCGCAGTCGTAGAAAAACTTGCGGGCAGTCTTCTTGCTAGTATTAGAAAGAGAAAAGAAAAGTACTACAATCAGTGGTACGAAAATTTCTTTCCGGAAGGTAGTAGAACGCTGCTTCCGCTCTACCATGGAAAATTTTGGTGCAGCGCGCCTGCTCAGGACAGAGCCTTATCCCCTTTCGATATGCGACACAAAGACTTTGACCCTCATCTGCTACATGGGTGGCTCTCGCAGGATGTTTTATTCACGAAATTACTACAGCGTACGACCACAACTCCTGAAAAGCTGCAGCCGTCTACTTCATCTAGCACTTCTTCGCCTACCAAGAATGTTGACGTTCCAATTCGTATGGAGATGGAGATCGATGAGAGCAATGGTCGCCACATCGAGCAAGGACCAGATGCGGAGGCTTTTTTCCTTGACAATGTAACTCAAAGAAACAACCTAAATGCCTACTACCCGAAGGTCTTTTTCAGACAGAAAGACAAACACAAACTAGATCATCAAGAAGACTTCAGCACAAGACCACCTCCAGTCGAGGACGAAGACCTTGAAAGTTTGATCCAGCCCGATGAAGAGCGTATTTCTGTGAAGATTACCACAACTTTCGGGTATACTATGGAGACCGGTGGTCATGGGTGGAGGGTAGCTTTGAATGAGTTGAAAGCTAGTGGTCCTCTACTCCGTTATACGACGCGTGGTCTTGACCACCTCCTCCGATCCTGGGAAGACGACAAAACCTTCGACGAAGAGGATAAACACAACGAAGATATTTTTATCGAGGATAAAGTTGAAAATTCATCTAGTAAGGGTGAAAATTATAGTAAAGCTCATCCTGATCATAAAGATCATACAGATCATAGTCGTGAAGCCGCGAAGATCGCAAAAGAGCTTTCTTTCCTCATCCTCGAAGCGCCGAACCTGTTCACCTCAATGACTTGCAACCTGGATGGAAATGGCCTCTGGCATTCCTGCCAAGTGATGTTGTGCAAGAAACATGCACGGTATGGAGTAAGTAAGCATGCAACACGGTATGACCAACACTAAAGTATTTCAACATACACGTGATGAAAATGAAATGAGCATAAAGTTAAAGGAGCAGATATAATGAAGTTGATGTTGTAAAGCAACATAATTATACGGCCATCCATGTGTTTAAGTTTAGCTACAAGGAGAACACGGAGCGAACACATGACGTCGTCCATGTGACGCTGCTAGAGTACTAGTGCACATGAGTAAGGAGAAGGCGTGACTCCATAGTATTCATATTTCTTTGGATTCATGATCTTCAACATCTAGACAAAGATTGTGGTGAGAAAGTCTGGAGGAGCATGAGGTCGTGTGTCTCGAAGGCCGCACCTCAAAAGAGCCTCGACGTGCAGTAGAAAACTGTCTACTTATTTTACTGCTCCATTCTCTTGATTAATCACCGTCTAGTCCACCACACACATGATTTTACTGTCCCCTGTACATGATCAAACTTTTTTTTCCTAAATCAATGGATGCATGGGATTTACTCGTACTAGAGTAGTCCTTCCAAAATGTATACTGTAAATATATTTTTTGTCTACTATTTCGAGCTGTTCTTTTGAAGTCGTTGCTGGGGTTTTGAACGATTTGAAGACTGGGTATCTAAAAGCGTTCTGGTCATATCACTGGGAAGACTCTGTTCAGGTTCAAGAAAGTTCTCATATAGCAGTAGCAGCAAAAGAATCCGGGTCGTAAAAGTACTAGAATAATAGTCAGTCTGCACTGGACAAATATGTAGGCAGGTTCTTCACGGAACTCGCTCACGATACAAAAAAAAAAGATTAAGAACTCCCCCCTACGCCGGTAGCTACGCGGAAAATACGCAGGTACGTTTTGATTGATCGGAACTCGCTCGCAAAGTACGCAGGTAGGTTTTGACTTATCGGAACTCGCTCGCACTACAAAAAAAAAAAAGCGAGATTGATTGCGTTGTATTGTAAAGAAGTAAGATTTTGCCAGCCGGAGGCTTCTATCTATATGGTAGCGCTTCTTTTCCAATCCCTCGATGTCAATCGTATTCTCTCGTCGTTAGCGCGTAGATTCCTGTTCGTGTTTCTACTTCTTTTTTTGAATTTTATGTGTTGAAGAAGAATTTCAGGCGCTTTCTTGCAAGCTGCATGAGAAAACCGCGATTCGTTTTATATTATAAGGTACGAAGGCAAGCGTAATTATTTAGTTGACTTCTCAGATGGATATAAATTTTGCGGCTTACAGTTGTCAGAGAACGCTTTTATAATTTCGAGAGATCGCAAGAAGAAGCAGGAGAAGTCGCATTTTTTCCATCAGATTAATACTTGACCTGTTGGCTTATCTTGCTGACCATTCAGAGATCGCAGGGGGGTTCGAGGTCCTCATTGGGGTCAAGCTTTCAGAGTCGGGGAAATTCATAACTGATTTTGTCCTGTCGAACGTGCAATCCGAGAGAGGCCTCGTCTCTCTTCCGAGGGAACGCACCCCCCCCGCATAACAGATTCCGCATCTAGTTTTCGCAACTTAGTTTTTACAACTTGTAGCATACTTCTCCAACTGATCTCGCATCTTGTTTTCGCAACTTCTTACCGTTGTACTTAGCTTAACTTTCACGCTGTATGTTAGCTCTCTGGCTCGTCTCTGTCTGCTTCAATTTACTCTATCTTTTCTGTGAGCTTTCCTTCCTGATTAAGTGCGATTACACTGCTGGCATGTATTGACTTAGTCTAGCTCTTACACTCTTGTGCTGTCTTTTTCTTTGCGTCTGTGAAGTGCGTGCTTTCTTTGCGCCCACCCCAGCTGGTACGTCGAACGATTCGAAAAATTTGTAAGTTGTAAGTAAGAGTGACTGGGATAGTACTGAAAAGTAGCGGGGCCCTCAATAAAACCTAGATGCTCTTTCGCCCCTTGTAGACTCGGGGGAAATTGTTTCCTCGACAAGTTAAAAGCGACGGAGTTTAAATCATGTCGTACCATCCGGGTGTTAGCAAGTATAGGATACTTGGTCAGTTTTAGACTGGCGCTAAAGTTTTTCCATGAATTCTGCCTCAGTAAAGGAGCAGTTCCGATTCACCCATCCAAGACTAACAAGAGCCCGATAGTGCTAATTGAAGGAGACAAGTTGCACGCTTCGAGGCTAGACCTTGAATGCGTGCAAGTCCGGGCGCGAGCAGGAAAGTGGTCGAGAAAATTGTTAGAGTTCATGTTAGAAAAGCCGAGGTATGCGTGTGACGTACCGTGTAATATAGAACTTTCAGATACCAAGAAGAACTTGAAGAGCCAATATATCAACAAAGATCACGTGCAGAAACTGGTTAGCCAGTAGTCAGAAAGCGAGTGACGAGCTTCGCGTGCTCTTGTAGGGTGCCGTTGCTCGGAGAAGGCTCATAGGAAGTCGTAGCCCCCAGATTTAGTACAACACATCCACAGTTCTACTCAGCGTTGTTCCGGGCAGGTTGCTAGCATTATCCTTCAACAGCTGCAAGCTTTCGCGACGACGTTTTCAAACAAAGATGATTAGAATGATCCTAGCTGCAGTGGGGCCTGGACCTGTCTGCCTGGAGAAGAAGCTCTCTGTGGTAGTCGTCTTACCAATATGGAGGTGGTTGGTAGGTCTCCAAACTTACAGCTCCAGGATCTTCGGGTATCAGTACACAGTATAAGTAGTGCCATGAGAAACAACAGTTCGGATATAGCCAAGCCTTACGAATACAGAATTCACCGATGAGAAATGTAAAGATTAGCAAAGGAGCAAACGAGAAGTCAAGAAGGCTCCTGAATAACATCTAGTAGCATGGTGCTCTACGGAGGTAACAGTAACAGACAAACGACTTAAGGAAATATCTTGTTGATGCATATTTTTCATTTCGACATAATCTTTCTCTTTTAACTCGACATGTTACATTCTTCCTTTTTTTTTAGTATATCTCGACACAATTTTATTTTTTTTTCTTTGTTTTGGATTTCCCCTGTCTTTTCGATTTCGTGGTGCCGAAGTTGTTTCCCCTAACAACGGAACTCTAACCCCATTTAGACAGACAGCTTAGAGGTTTCCTTTACTTGCGCCCCTAGGTACTTAGCATCTACTAAAACTTAGTATAAGAGGCGAAAGTATGAATGAACGAAAGAGTTCAATATTTTCCCGGTGGCAGACAAGCGTAAATCTTCCCAAGTGATATATAAAGAAAATTCCGCAAGCTGTATGAGACGCTCCAAAAGACCTTGTGTAGAGGTGAAGGAAGCCTGGGCGTGACACTCAAGAATCCTTCGGAAAGATCAAACAAGTAGAGTACTTAAACTTAGAAGGATAAGTCCAGACGCAACGAAAAACAAAAGCTCACCTAAAAGAGAGTAGACAAGCTTATAGCGTTCACTAGCGAGAAAAAAAAGTCGAAAAATAATGAATATAAAAAGTGGGCGTATCCTGACTTAGGAAATGATGAAGACACTTAAGCGTGCCGGGGCGGCCTCGGATCAGGTGAATCATGCTGATGAGCTCCTCTCAGAAGGAATTCGTCAACGAGGCGCAGCTGATTCGAGGCATGCCCCTGGTGCGAAGCAGATGGGACGGAGACCCGACTTTCTAGGCGCAGGCCCTCAGGCACCGTCTCCTGCCTAGGCTTGGCGGAAGGCGGAGAAGATGACCTTTCTTCCTCAGCGTCCTCGGATTCGAGCGAGAATAGAACAAGAGAGGAAGGCTGACATTAGCGGAGAGAAAGGAGGCAGGTTTGTGGACCCCGCCTGAAGAGGCGGCAGCTGCGTGCTGCGTATCCCAGCAGCAACTCGATCACTGGACTGCTATAGCTAAGGAGCAGAAGCGTCCCTATGGGTGGGCTACGTACATGGCCGCGAGACTCGACACAGTCATGCCTCTCGCAGATCATCGCGCAGGTAAAGGCCGGTGGCTACGACAGACAGAACCAGGCTTACACTCGTACAGTTGGACTGCATATAGGAAGCTGTTCTGCTTCTGTGCAGCAGGAGGCTATAGTGCTTGGACCTCGGAGAATAGAAAGAAGTGCAAGTACCTCAGTAAAAACGAAGGGCTAGCTTCTGAACAAGCGGCTCGCGCAGTTGTGCCTGGGTTTGACGACTTGACGGAGAAGGACAAGAACAAGAAGAGAAAAGAAGTAGAGGAGGCCTACAAGTTTAGTGCAGTTAGTGTTATTCTGGCTAGTGCTAGTGTGAAATGAAAAGTAAAAATGAACGAGAGAGCCGGCGAGGCCTATAGATCCCCTGAAAAGGTAGCCTCCCCTGTTAACGGGACTGGACAAGTCCCGGTGCCAGGTGTTCCTTACTCGTGAGAAGAACTTAAAGAGCAACGCCAAACGGGATCTGATACCGTAGAAAAAACCTAGCAAGTTGTGTTAGTAGGGAGAAGAGTAGTGCAAAACCCTGAAAGGCGCTCGCTCCACTAGAACTAGGCTCGATAAGTAGGTTTAAGAACACGTATGAGCTACAGAAACATGATAGCCACCGGGGAGGCTAACAAACCGGGGTAGTTGATGGTTGCATCAGGTGCAGGTGATGGGCGACAATTTCACGTGCCACCTTCTGCCTAGGGCTGCAGACTCGCGTGACGCTGCACGATTTCAAAACTCGGCCCAAACAACTCTCACCCCCGAAGTGCGCCGGGTACAACTCTCCTGCCAATCATCGTCTTCAACGAGGGCTTCACCTAGAAGGTCGTGAGAACAATCAGCGCCATTTGTTCTTCGTCAAGATGTAGGGAAGCTGAATTCCGCAATCGGCACGACACCGTTGATTTTCATTCTCCTCAATCCCGTGTCTTGGCGCGTGGCTGCGGTGGGGACCCCCTGAATGTGCAGGATGAGGACCTTTCAGCGGAGGAACAACATTTTCGGTTTTAATGTAGTTGTTGGTCCTTGTTCATTTGGTTCCGCAGGAGGAGGACCCTGGTGCATTGGAGGACCACTTGGAGGTAGAAGCTCGCTTGCAGCCACTAGAGCAAAGGTGCTGCTGCACAGCATTTTTTTAGACCCACCAGTAGTTCTCGCGTGCACAAAGGTGTCGCGGCGGACGATGTACGAGGAAACACTTGCAGCGAAACTCCACGGCCGCAAGCTGCGAGCACTCGTGCTTCATCCGGTTTTCGTGTTTATGTTCATCGATGAGAAAAATATCTTAGGCGACCAAGAATAAGAAGATAGATGGACGAAATTCTTGTTATTTTCATTCAGGATCTTGTCTCTTCACTCTACTTGGGATTGTTCATCTCACGAGCAGGTATATTTTCCACCCTTCATTCATTCGGAGTCAAGGCCTCCTGGCGCTCGCCTGCAGCCTCCAGAGGACCAAGGAAGAGGAGAGCAAGGATTTGAGGAAGAAAATGGAAGAGTAAAAGAGATAAGCAATCCTAAAGAAATCCTCCAAGATCCACACACCTTAGCAGACGCGGAAGAAGCGATAGGCCTCTGTCGTGCTTGCAAATGGGACGTGTTGCCAGGACCAAGGGTGCCTTTAGGTGGCTGGAATGGCGAAATCCTAGAAGAGGCTGCCGCAGTCCAGGAGGGTCGAAAGAACGCAGGCGTATCGAATTTGCCTGCTGGCTGGCATTTGGATGACCCAAATGTTGACGCCTCAGACCTGGAGTTCGACTGTGATGAGGCAGCTTGGTACGACTTTCCGGAGATCCGGGATCAGTACGCGGAAAGCTGTCAAGTGCTGATAAAACAACGAGGAAGCAGGAATCGAGCAGTCAATTATATGGCAAGAACAGAGGTACAGGTACAGCAGGGAACAAAGGCGGACCTCCATCCCCACAATCATCAAGATCCCATTCATAGCACCAGCGCGAATAATATGAATACCTCCGTACAATTGCACCAAGCAGGTGACCACCACCATTTGCTGAATCGCGGTCGCCCACACGGCACGAGTTTTTTCTCGAATGAGACGTGGGAGGAGACATTAGTGCCGCATATAAAGCGGATGCTGCCAGATGTAGTGGTGATCAACGCTGTGCTGTCGACCAAACAGCAGATGTTCGCGGAAGAAATCGTACGACAAGCTTTGATGGACCGAAAAGAGGAGGAAAACGAAAAGGAGTTTTTAAGGAATGTTTCGTACGTTTGTTCGTGGTTCTTGTCGTCGTCTTTGATTGTTTTGATATTCAGGAGCTGCATTGATGATAGAATGAAATTTTTAGTGCTAGTAGATGTTCATCTTAGAGCACTTAGAAGAACCAGCGAGGATATGGTGGAAGAAGTACAGCGGGTAAAAGCACAGGCACAGGTCTGCTCTAACTTTCGAACGCGATAAGCTCCGTAGCGGTATGCCTGGCTCCCCACTTTGCACTGAGGATGCAGACGACGAGGGGATCTTAAGGCTTCTCCTAAAAATCCATCTTGTGGAGCATCCTTAGGAGGCATTTCATCAAGGGAAAAATAGTCCCAGACTGGATCATCTCGAGATGGATAAGTGCGAGCTCTAAGGATAAGCTTGGATGAAGATCTCTGTCCCGACGACGAAGAGCGAGATGCAGATGGAAACGTGATCCGAAAGCGTCAAAAGAAATTTCCCTCCTTCATCGAAGTTTGCGATCGCAATCGTCTCGTTTTGGAGATTTTTGCGGAAAGAGCAAACTCTAGACTGGCGAAGATGCAAGTTGCCATAGCGAAACTACGGTTTCTGAAAACGAAGCTGCAACGCGGGAGCAAGATACGGCTGAGAGCAGTGTTGGAGTTGACTGATCACAAGCTGCAGCAAGGTCGTGTGGCGATGAGCAGCACCGAGATGGACCGAGAACGACATAAAAGCGCTGTCACCAACCTCGAACCGCATCAGACCGAAGACATGCTCTTGCAGAACTACTTGAAGAAACTCCACAGGCAGTTAGACGCCCTTCAGAAAATGAAGGCGAACCAGCGAGAAACAAGAAAACAGTCAGGCGTATTCACGATCGGCTTAGTTGGGTACACCAACGCAGGCAAGACCCAATTGATAAACCGATTGAGGACCGACGCGATTGCTGCAGAACGCGCAGCTGCGGATAGTGAGAGGTTGAAAGCCAGGGACTTGCTGTTTCAGACTCTAGACACGACGTTAAGGCTGGACCTAATAGACCTTTGGACGCATCCTTGAAACGTATGGAGGAGTATCCTAAGAGAATACTCTCCCATACTTCTCAAGGATGCACTTGAAAGATGAATTATGGACAGCTCTAACGACGTTGCGCAAAGTGACTTTGCCACGAAGTCGGCGCGTCGCGGTTGTCGCTGACTCGGTTGGATTCGTGCAAAATCTGCCGCATTTTCTGTTCGAAGCCTTTCAAAGTACGATTGCGGAATTAATTGCCTGTGACTTGATCCTTCATGTCCGCGATATTAGTCACGTAAATACCGAAAAACAAAGACAAACGGTGTTACAGACATTGGAGTTGGCAGGTATGGATTTTGCTTCGAAGCCTGTTGTTGAGGTGTGGAATAAAATGGATTTGGTTGTTGAAGGGCGAGATGGAGAAGACGCACTGAAGAAAAGGGCGTCTTCCTCTGCTGTGCTACAAGAAGGGCTCGGATCATTTGCTTCAACGAGCAGCGCGGTGACGACAAGTACTTTTTCCGCTGCCTCCAGCACATCTTCAAGTGAGCAGGATTTATCTGCGTCCTCATCGTCGTCTTCTGCCCCCACGACCACCTCCCCTCATCTTTCTGACAGGAGCAAATTAGAGGAAAAAGATAGTTTCGCCCCAGCCGCTATAGTCAAGATTTCTGCCCTCAGAGGAGACGGATTTTCTGAACTTCTCCACACCATGGAGAAGGAGCTGAACAAGGCAAGGAATTGCGAAAGAAGGCCTTATACTTACCATGTTCGACACACAGCGAGAGTTTCACGTTTCCTGCATGAAGAAGGGCTCTTCTTGATGGGGCAGGGCACAGGTGGCTCTGCTGGAGAGGGAGATGACGACGCTGACACTGACAACTACGACGAGGAAAACGCCGAAGTGGAGGGGCAGCTCAACGCACAGGAGGACGGCTGTGAAGAACAAGGTAGAGGGGCAGCGGCCAAAGATGTTGAAAATCTCGAGGAAGATAGAGGAGAGGAGGACGAGGCAGATGACGCCATATCAGAGGAGGAAGAAGAAGATCTCGAAGACGAGGAAGAAGATATTCAAATATCAGACTGCGGGGAATGGATGACGGCGCAACTCCTTCTCACAGATTTACAACGAGAGCGTTTCGAAAGATTGTTGGGGGAATTGAATTCTAAGGATGGCCGTGCCGACGGCAGAGATGTGAAGAAAAGAAGACGCTGTTGAGGTTACTTGTTGTTGGGGATGGTTGATGATGTTGATGTCGGGACATAATTGAGGTTCTTGATCACATTTAATGAGCACGACAACCACGCGCACACGGATATGGACACACCTAGTGAGGGATATATGCACAACTCGAAGACATTGCACTTGTCACAGCCATGAGGCAGACGAGTAGTACGCACAGGCAGCAATGGGAGGTCTTGCTCCTTGTCGAGAGACTGAAGCGAAGATGAAAATCAAAATTTGCGATCATGAACTGCTAAGGCTATTAATGATATCCATCGACAGAGCAGACAATAAAATGTGCACAAAAAAGAAGTGTAAGACTAATGTTGCCGTACAACTAGGGAGAACGAGGCAAACGCAATGACAATGTTTTCCAAAATAAAAAACTCTACTCTAGATGAGAAATTGAAAAAGCCGAGGAAAAACAAAAACGGCATCAAGAAAAGAAAAAAAAATCGTAGCAGAAACAGAAACGCAAATTGGTTCGGAAGACATCCTGAAAAGCAAAATTCACCATCTCCATGTCGATGAGGCGCAAAACGCAATAAAGGGTAATCGTGGAGTAGACCACCTCGTCATCTCAAACATGATGGGACTCGGGCAAGACGAGACGCGAAGAGGCCCTTTCTGGCTACTGCGATTGCGCCAGGGTTTCGATTTTACTTCAGCCGGCTTCGATGGTGCATCGGATCGAGATGGCTCGGGATGTAAGCTCTTACCGAGCCCCGATGAACGGTATAATCAAGGAGGTCCTCACCAGAGGGCGGGCTCTACTAGTTCTAAGACCGCGAACGCGAGTAAGAAAAGCACCAGCAGTTTGGGAAGGAAAGCTCTAGAATCGCTTGGGTTGAAAAAACCAAAGGAACAAAATGAATTTGACGTACAAGGACAAAATGAATTTGACGTGCAAGAAGCGCCTTCGACGTTATCCACACCATTATCTTCCTACTGTAGTAATGGAGGGAACAGCACAACTACAAGTAGTAGCAAACATTCTTTCTCTGCTCAACTACGTCAGCAAACAACTGCGATTGCCAGTACTAGTGCAAGTACAACTACTCCATCCACCACGACCAAGAGCAGCATCGTGATCCCCCTTATGACGTGGTCACGGACACATGAAGTGCGTATTCCGGAGGTGTGGCTTGGTGGCTTGAGGAAGTCGATTCCGTGGCTGCCATTCTCATCCTCATCCTCATCCTCAGGTAGTGCTGCTGCAAGTTTGCCTGCTCGTCAACAATACCAAGTCACGGCCTATTATTCGATTCTCCTTGATCACGAAGCTCGAACTTGTGATGTCCATTTTTCGACGGAGTCTCCAGCGAAGAGCCTACTGAACGTGGATTTATGCCTCTCATTTTTGCGGTTTCTGGCGCTATGCGAAGCAAGAAGTACCTCCAAGAAAAATGTCACCGAGAGAGGAGAAATAGTGGAGGAGATAGCTGGATGTCGTGCGCAAAATAATGTAGATGATACCGTCGTCAAAGGAGATGGAAAGCAATTATTTTCATACAGCCGCGACCCTCTCGCTTTCGATGACGACAATGACACCATTGCTCCCAGTTCAGCGCCCCCGACTGCATCAGACGCTTCACCATACGACGACGATGATTTGCTCGCTGTTACCACTTCAGCTTCACCGCCTGGTGCTAAAATAGTTGTTAGCAGTCTGGAATTCAATCCCGCGGCGAGAAGATCTTCATCATATGGCGTCGGAAGTTTCGATTCATCAGAAGTATTGATGAAACCACAAGTCATTAACTTTGACGAACCTCCACATCTTCAAGGAAACCGTGAGCACAACTTGAATTTCCAACAGCCACGACTCGCGCAGGAGATGGACTTTCACGCTTGTCCCCACCTTTCATCAGCCTACGACACCAGTGCAGCAACTCCAAATAGCGTCATTGGAGTCGCATCATCTTCTGGTACGTCTACAACTTCTGTTACAACGCAGCCACAACTACTTGTATTTCCCAAAGCAGCGCAGGAGCAGCCTGGTGACGAGCGAGGGCGTCTCCGACTCGACAGAGTCCGTGAGCGAGGCGAGAAACTTGTGCAACTACCAGGAGACGGTATTGATGCAGAGACAAATGGGACTTCCAAGAACCTCCCAGAGGACCTCGATTTTCAGAGAATGTTCGAAGCACTCCTCACGTGCTCGTCTAGCTGTAGTACTACGGGAGACGGTCTTCAGAGAACAAGTAGTAGTTTTCTCACTCCGATACTCGAAAGCCATTTCCAGAAAGAGGAGGAAGGAAACAATGGTACGACTTCAACTCCCTCCGTTGGTCTCGTCCTTGCTGCCATACTCTTTGGGTATCCAGAACTCGCCAAATACACTCTCGACACGTACCTTTTGCAGAAGATCGACTCGCTGCCGGTCTTGATGATAGCACAGACGGCGTTTTTAGGATGTGTACTACAAAGGGCTGATTTACGTCTCCAGAGCTATTGGCTTTTACAGCATGCCTTTGCGAATGGCGCGCCTGGATTGGAGTGTACGCAGAAGGGAGCACCTGTTCCTGTAGCTTGCAACGCTGTCGGAGAAGGCAAGGATGGGAAGAATGGTAATGAAATTTCGGAGGATGATCATAAAAAGACTAAACACGACTTGTAGCTACAAAGTACAAGCAGATGACGTTGTCCTCTAATTCCGCTAACTCCATAATCGTGCTGGAGCTGCCCAATTCGTACTGCAACCTCCTACTGCTCACCGACTCGACTCAATCCTTTTCAGGCGCAACGACCACTGTCTTGTATGATGGTGAATCTTTGCGGTTCTCTGGCTTAAAGATTGAAGTTTCACGCCTCTGGGCCGACTTCCAGAAATTAGAACGACATGACAAAGAATTTGCGACGGCGGTCGTTCCAGGTAACTGCATTGTACCTTTGCCTAACGTCGACGCTTTGATCTAAAATGTGCAGCTACATATCAATTACGGCTTCTTCCGCCTAAAATGTCCACCTCTGTGTGGCGGCGGAAGAAGTTTGACATCGACTACAAAGTGTATACACCTGATATGACAACAAGAAGTACCAAAACACGAATCAAAAAAATGAAAAGGAACACCCAACAGGTTACGCCTTGTGCAAGATCCACGTTATTAGGGATGGCAAGGAGATTTACCCCCAGATCTACGAGCTCCGACGTGATCACGACTCCGCCTTGTTGCTACAAGCTATCAAGGAGAACGACAATGACCCTGTCAGGATTTACAAATGCAATAGCCATCCGGATCTTTTGGGACACAAATTAGGAGCAGATGTTGTACTAGGAGGTTCATCAGAAGATGATGCACAAGGTGCTGATGAACCGCCTCACAGTACCACTACCAAGTCCTTTGAAGTAGGAGGGACAGCGACCGATGACGATCTCGCAAAGTGGGCAAGAAATAATTTGCCGCAGAAGCTGAGTAAACTGGTACAGCGACAACCTCCTGATTTGTTCTCCGGACCAGCACATGACCCGTTCCCATTAGATCCAGAAACTACATCCGAAACAGGTCTGGGTCAAGCAGATGTTGACACAACAGCAAATTTCGCTTCATCAATGAGAAATGAGATGGAAGGATGGACACTGCGCGATTTCGCCAGAAACTACGTCGGATCCGTCGAACCTAGCTTTTGGGGTACGAATTTTTTAATCAAAGACCACGTCTTCTCTAGTACTTCTTCTCTAGGTACTACCACTACAACTGCTGAGAAGGGACGACCAACAACGTCGTCTGGTGGTACTACAGGTGCTACCAGCTCCTGCTGTTGTAGCACGACCACTTCTTCTAGACCTGCTGCAAGAGCAGAACTTCAATACGAGATGAATCTAGCGGGACGTGTACCAAGGAAAATCACTTGCAAATTCCAAGAAGAAGTACTACAGGTTGAAGAGGTGGTGGACGTGGAACCAGAACTACAACTACATCAACATTATCAGGCGGTCGTGAGCAATCAGTCAGCAGCTTCTACTGATGCACTGAGCGATCCTCTTGGAAGTTTTAATGCTTCAACATCTGCACAGACTGCTCGTAGCGTTGTAGCTCCTCCTTCATCTTCATCTACAACTCCTAGTAACTACCCCCACGACCAGCAAGGCCAGAAGAAAGTAGTCTACAAAACCCGCACCTTCGAAAACGTAGCTCCGCGTTGGAATTCGAAGCAGAAGTCCTACGTTTTGCCATTTTTTGGTCGCGTCAAGACATCGTCGGCTAAGAATTTCCAGTTAGTGGATCCCGCGGAGCCTGATGAGGTGCTATTGCTGTTCGGGAAAATCAAAACCGAACTATTTGCTTTGGACTATCGCCATCCGCTGTCCATGCTGGATGCGTTCGGTATCGCGATTTCGTCGTTGGCGAAGAAGAGGGCTGTGAGTTGAAGATGGCTGGGACGAACTCAACATGACGAGCATTCGTAGTTATTTACTACTACTAGGAAATTATTTCAAAGAAGAAAGACTTCAAACTGTTGTAATATTGCGAAAAACAAATACTCAGATTAATATATCAACGTCGCCCTCTGTGAGTAGAAGTTTACAATCATCGAAATTATAACTGCAATCTTTCTGAATAAAAAACTTTTGTTGTAAATTGCGAAAAATACCAAGCTGCAAAACACTTATCACAATCACATCGAACATGATGAGTTAGTGAAGATAGGACATCACATGAACCTCGACATTCGGCGATTGTATAGAACTGAAGATGATCGCATTTTTATTTTCATTGTGCATATTTCTAGTATCGAGCGCATCGTGGGAACTTCGACGAATCATGAACATCAATTTTTATCAATTAATTCGCGTTCGCAGCGAGCTATTCGGTAGACTTGACTGATCGTGCGTCATCTTCATCATCCAAACTTCAAAAATTTTCGCCAGGCTGCTTCTGGCGCTCCCCATGTGCAAAATCCCCACTCCATAAACTACTTGGCCATGTTTACTAAATAATGGTACATCGACGATCGAGCCATTCGGTAGACTTGACTGATCGTGCGCAAGTAGCCGATCTCGGAGAACAAGATCATGATACATTGTGAGGCATGTGACTGGTAGTTTTTATTAGCCGTTCGTTCGAGACGTGCTTGAGTTCTGATAGCAGATGAAGTGACAAGAAAGACTTACAGAGATGTAGAGATTATAGCGCTATCAAGGTCCTTTTTAGGTAAAAGGACAACTAGTACAAGGACATCAAAGAAGTCATGTCCGGTGTTGAAACGATGTTAGCTGGAGGCCTCGGCCTCAAGGCTGTGGCGATGATGAGGCAGGCCAGTCTGACGATGAAGCGAGCAGCCAGACAAGCCTTCGCAATGGCAGCAGACGCTAACATAGCGGCTATTCAAGCACGCACTGCCGAAAGCGAGCTCGAACGGTACGTGCAAGGATCACCTGTTGTCCAAGTAGGAAATGGCGGGAACAGCTTCAAGTTGGATGGGTCGGTACAGCGGATTAGCAGCTTCTGTAACGTTGGAGAACAGAATTTAGCTGGAGGAGTATCGATGTTAAAAATGATGCAAGAGGAGCAAGACCGACTTCGACTTCTGGGGTGGAATACGACGTCGAGGACACACGTCGGAAAATCAAGCTCGCAACCATCTTCATCACGAAAACCAAGACGATCGAATGATCGGTCACAGCACAGAAAACAAAATCTAAGTCGAACGGAAAAATCTAGGCGAGAACAACCAGAAGCGCTTGCGCAGAACTTTTTGTAAACACACGATCTCACTATCACTTGGACTTGGAACTGAAATGATGGTCATCGTGTTTCTCCCAATGCACAGTTTTTCTCATCAACATACAGTTACTTACGTGACATCAATGACATAAGTAAATGAATACTCAAGATGAACAGATGTGATTCAAATTTCTTTCGCTGAACTGACCCTGAATCAAATTCGCAGAGCACTTGGACGTAAAAGGCGAGGAAGAACGCGTTCCCAAATCAAACAGGACTATTCCTACGACGTGCGTTTGTGTTTGTAGTAACTCCTTCATTTCTTGAAAACGAACCTCATGGGACCGCTTTCCGTTTCCGAGAAACGGAGTGCCATCTCAACATTGCTTGCGTGTTCAACAGAGGATGTCATGATTCTACGAGGATCACAAATCTGATGCACAAATCTAGAGAATGTGTCGTGGATCGCGAATTATGTTGCTGTATCGAACACTCTGGTGCAAAATCAAAAAATATTTATCACTACGACCACATGCTCTTGCTCATGCTTATCGTCATAACAGGTGTTGAAAGACAATCTGAGACCTAGAAGAAGTGTTATTCGCGCAATAAAGTTGAAGTACAAGTAGTAACCTCTTCTAGAAAAATGAGTACTAAGACTAAGTAGAGTATGTTCAACTAATTTAGATAAAAACATCATTAATATTATCAACTCATCAAGAGACTGACCATGTCGCACAATCCTTCGTTTAATCCTGCTGGTAGCACTGGTCCAACGATATCAGACCGGTTGCAGAAGCGCCAGCAACATGGGATCACGATGGAGGAGTTTCAGGCACGTGCCTACAAACAGCACACGCAAGGCGAAGCCGCGATGTCAGAATGGGAAAACCAAAACTACCAAAAGAGTCTAGCTGCTTCACGAGCGCTGAGAATGAGACAACAGGAGAAAGAGGATAGGAATGCAGCGGCAGCGAGTAGAATTAAGGGTAGGTTAAAGGTGCTTTTGTTACCGTTTGTTATGGCTCTCCTAAGGGGGACGGCCATAACAAACGGGATTATAAACGAACACCAAAAGCCTACCGCTAATAAAAGCGGAGGCGCTGCTTCAAGTAGAAGCGGAGGAGACCGAGATAAAAGTGCTGCTCAACATAGTTCCCGAGGAGAGACGAAGAAGGAATCGAAGAAGGAGAAGAAGAGCAAAAAAGACGATAAGAAGTCCTCTAAGAAGACTAAGAAAAGCAATGATAAGAAGAAACGGAGCAAGGATAAAAAGAAGAAGCGAAGGAAAAAGAAAAGCTCCTCATCTAGTAGCGATTCAGACTCAGATAGTTCGTCTGGAAGTGATAGTGCTAAAAAGAAGAAGACCGAAGATGGATGGAAAATCTCAAACTTCCTAAACAAAAGCCAATCAGACAGTGATGAAGCTTCGATATGATGCTGATGAATTACTCTCGTCGCACCAGAAGAACGAACTACTACAGCTACTCTTCATAATTATGCCTATATCAACCCAATCCCACCTTCTATTCGACGGTAACAAGACCCTAGGTTGATCATGTACAACTACAACGGTTATAGTTGTTCAATAATTCGGAGATCTTCATCTCGACGCTTGGCCTATTCGTGTTCGTTGAAGTTGGTGGTGTCATGACTTCGTTATGCTTATGCTCGTGAGTAGTCAAGTCAGCGGTTCTATCGAAACGCATTCGTGCCTCTTGATGTTGAAATTTTATCGTCGGTGTTGATAAGTGATCATGTAGTCGATTCATCGTTCTGTACGAGCTACACAAATTCAAAAATATCGAGTGACAAAATATGAGACGACCAATGTGAAATTAGAGACTTCTTCTAAGCGCGCGAATATTTACTAAGATAATAAATGACGCACCATCAGCACGTTTACGACTCCGTTCTCGACACGCTGCTTTCTTTTGGCAGCCGGGGAGAAACGAGGACAAGCGGCCTTAGAAACAGCAGTATAATGGAGGATTGGACGAGCACATCAACTTCAACATCGTCAGCATCGTCCAGAAGAAGCACCAGACCTAAAAGGAGGCACGGCAATACCAGCACATCCTTCCTTCCGTCCTCCAGTTATCAAGCGACCTCCACTCCAACCTCCCTAACTCAACTTGCCTCCATGAGTGAGAGAATGCACAGTATAGCGAAGGATTCTTTGGTGGATCTTGGGAAAATCGATTCGCTTGATGACCACGCGAAGAATATAGTGTCTGCACTAGAAATGTACGCCTATGGACCAAGCCCAAGATACTATGGACCTGCGAGTAGTCCAGAAGTGATCGCAAGAGCACATGATAAATGATGACGACGTACGTTTGAATTTGATGAAAATCAAAATTATTGTACAGGAAAAATAGGAGTAGAAAAATTGAAGATGGGACGAAATAATTCTTCGCATTCTTGCAAAGAAATTTTCTTGCTCCGACTACAATCGGATGAGAATACACAAATAGGGATGCATTGACGAGGATAACTAGTTGTTCGCTCCTACTTGGGGGAATGTGACCGACAAAAGGGTTCTCAAAAGAAGGGCATAATCTGCAACTTCATCGGTGTAGCATCATCAAATTTCGGTTGACATGATTCAGATTCGTTATAGAGAAAGAACTGCAGCTTGGTCTGTCTCATCTGTGCTAAATGTTTTGGTCTCTCTGTTGAAAATGTTCATGAAGTTGAAGATGTATGTCCAGTCATTATCGGTTAAATTATTGCCCTATTAATTCCCCAATTCTGGTCCTCTTATGATAACAATATACAACGTCCTCTGAGTCTGACGAGTGCGAGCTCAATTCAAGAGACGAATTATACATGATTTGTCAACAACTTGTCAGATTCTTTCGCTCATTTCTTCTTTCCGCGGAATATAATTTTCACATAACACACTCATCAACTATTTTGTAGGCGGCAAGTGGGGAGTACTACAAGTGAATAGACACTCCCAGCCTTGACAACGGTCGTTTTTCATGTAGGCGATAAACATCACGACAGGAGGTCGAGGCCCTTTATAATTCTCCTCCTGCTTGGACCATGGGACGCGACAGGCCTAAAACCGCCACCACGAGTGTGGTGTGCACCTTGCCTAGTTGCTCGAGGCACGATGTCCACCTCTCACGGACTACGAGGCCAAAGTCCTCTGGTAGGGCAATGGACAGGACAGCTTCGCTCGAAGCGGCGTATAAGACGATAGACGCGGATAGGGAGGAAGTGGTAATTCGAATTTGACATAAAAGGTTGGTCTAGCTGTAGTGTGAGGACATCAAAACACGTTTTTATTAAAATGTTACTAGACTTAAGCGCCCGGTAGCACTCCTCCCACTAGGATCTTCCACCCTCTGCACGCACTTCCCTCGCTCCCCCGGCTCCTTCCCCGCGCGACAGCCGTCTGGTGGAGTTGGTCGGTGGAACAGCGCAAGAGTCGGGCCCTCGGCGGCCTGCGGCCATTGAAAAGGCACGCCTGGAAATGGTAGGCCTGGGAGTTTGCTGGTCTTCTATTAGGTTTAGCATCTCTGTGGAAAGCTGAAGGCTTATTTAAGTTTCAAATTTTTAAAATTCGCGCCCTGTGCAGAAAGTTAAAAACTTTGCATCCAATTTTTTCAAAGTTTTATTTTCTTTGATAAAATCAAAAATTTTGCTATTTTCGCGTTTTCAAATTTGACGCTTCAGCTTAAAACTTTTCAAAGTGTCAAAGTTTTTAATTTTATCGCCTAGCGAATGAATTTAAATGCCAGGGTGGCGCGTTGTAGGAAGTTCGTAAGTTCATAAGTTCATGCACGTCCTCACAATATTTTTGCCGCACATCGACATCACAGCGAATCTACATCGAAGTGGCTCGAAGATGCATGGAGAACGGCGGTAAGATTCTAGACCAGGCTAAGGGCAGTCCCCGCTTCCAGGAAGCGTTGAAGAGGCAGGGTCTAGAATGGCATGAGATCGAAAGCGAACAAGATGAGATGTACTTCTACTTCTACTTTTTTATTTCACGACAACTACTAGACGAGTGGTCCATTTTCTTCATACAGTTCCTCGATTTTTTTACGACCTTGGAAAGGCAATTCTTGTATTGCTTCATTTCCTGATGTTCATACATCAGATCTTTTCATCTGTGTTGCAGCATTGTGCTCATGCAAATGAAATTTCATCACTTAAAATTCTTGATCATACTAGTCCCGACGCTTTTCACCAGGTACAAGACAAAGCTTCTAACGGACGTTTTTCTCGAGAGGAAACGAATTACTCAGGAAAATGAGACGGCGGCTGATGCGAAGCGGAGGTTCAACAAGTACATAGACAAATTGAACGAGGAGGAGACGAACTTTATTCGCCACGAAACAAGACGCCAAAACGCGCGCGAAAGATGTCGGAATGTCTATAAGCAGAGGAAACAGGCTGTGGCGGTACTAGATTCAGTTTTTGATAGAAACATGTCGCAAAAACCCTGTCTTGAATCATGTTCAACAAAACATCAACTTTGATGTTATGGTAACATCAATCTCCCTGCTCTCCGTCAACCCAGGATCGAGAACACGAGTCGTTTATCAAGAGTCAAAGGCGGATGGAGAGGGACAATAGCAACGCGGAGAAGCTGCGACAACAAGCGGAGGCGCGGGCAAAAAAGGTACTTGTTGAACTTGTTGATGCCTTTGCCAGCTGCCTTCTTGTTACGACTGTACTACAATTATTGGAATCTTCTGAATTGGCGGTAAAAAAACCAAGTAGATGAGTTATCCTCTTGATGTTCACGCTTAGGCTAATTAGTTCCCACGACCGAGCTTTTTCTTGCATCACGACCAAGGTCCAAGAGTGTTTCGACTTAGCCAACCGTCGTGAGCAAGAAAAGATCGACGCCATTATGGAGAGGCGAAATAAGACGGAAGAAAGGATGAAGGAGAGGGCTGACAAGCAAGCGGAGGAGGCAATAGCAAAACAGCGCCACGAGGAGGAGATGGAGGAGATGAGGCAGAAGCGCTATGAAGTAATCGTCAACGCAAAACAAGAAAAAGTCGATGAATTTCAGTCGAAGTACTTACTTGTTCTTTTATTTAGTTCTTATTTTTATTTTTCGCCTACTTAAGTACTCAGGGTTTTGAGTACTAGGCAGTTGTTGTTGTAACTACTTGTTCATAGACCTGGATATGATCTTCTTTATGAACCAAACCCACATGCAAATCCTTCCAATCTGATCTTGAAATTTCAGGCTTAACGAGAAAATGAAGCGGTCTGCGGAACACAAGCAACACTTAACGGAGGAGCTGAAGGCAATTAAAGAGAAGCAAAACCTAGCGATGAAGCATCGGCAGCACCACTGCCTTCGTCTCGAGAGGCAGAGACAGTACTACTACTTGTTTCTCATCATGCTTTCTTTATCTTCTTTTGCAAGTGAAATGATCCTTCCGTGATCGAATACGCGAACACGCACAAGAACAAATTGTTTTTCATTTCTTTCGTTCTTGATGCCATGACACTCATAGTGTGACGTCAGCATCTGAATCACAGTTGATGATGATGGATGTGAGACTTCTTCAATTTACAACAAGGTACTACAACGAGCGCCGCGCAGACGATGTGATAATAAACCAAGTTGGGCACGTCCTTCAGTCCGAGTTAAGGAATGCAGTGCGAAGGCAGCGACAAGAATGGGAGAAGAAGAAGCAAGTCTTCGAACTTAGCATGGTACTAGAATATTTTTTTTCTACTTCTGTTCGATGCTTCTGCTTACTTGATTTCGCAATCGCCCTAGGCGAAACTCCATCATGGTTTCATCAACCATCCCCATTATCATTATCTTCCACCAGGTCGAAAGCGACCGAGAGTTGAAGAAAATGGACCCTCCTGGTCCAGGTAGATACGATCCGGAGATCCCCAAAAAGTATGTAGGATGGACCATGCCTAAATACGTTCAAACGCAGGCGACATTCAAGGGTCCTGGTCCAGAAACGTACTCAATCAAGAGAGATTTGAAGTTATGGCCTTCACCAGATTGTAAAAATCGTGGTATTTTTGAATATTAGCTGCTCTCACAACTTCAACTTGTTGTTGTTCATCGGGTATCGATTCTCAGTTCTGAAATAAAGCGATCAAGGTGAATTTGTCGTCAACTGGTGATTCGTTCCTGCCAGCTCTAATCCCCGTCGGCAGCGTCAAATGGTTCAAGCCAAGGGAAACCGTAAAGCCTGATCCTCAAGTCTCTCCTAGCGCCGAGGACGAGGAAGGCCAAAAAGTAAGGCAGGTGAACCGCGAAAGCGCTCTGTCTGTGTCTCCGAGACCGAAATTCATCGGACCCGGGCCGGCGAACTACCACACGCCACCTCCTAGGAAGTACAGAGGCATCGACGACGTGATGAGCGACTTCGATGAGCTGTGCAACAACTACTCAACGCGCATGATGGCGAGTCCAAGAGGAACTGTGAGGAATAGATACGGCAAACCAGACAACATCATCACACTACCAGTAGAACAGAGCAGTGGTGGTCACGTCCACGTGACCTCCTCGACCTCGTCTACTGGAGCTGCAGGTGGAGGCGTTCCTGCAAGCAAGAAAGCGAAGAAAACTAATGTAGAAAGGCCTGCGCATATGCAGCCAGGCGGATCGCCGCTCGATGAGATGATCGCAAGGGAGGTTCCGGAGGTAGCTGCGCACAACAATATCGGAAGGACTGTTAAGACTTCCCTAATAATTCATCTCTATAGTGACGTAGCTATATTAGGGAGAGAGCCCTCAAGAACCGTATGCCTCCCAATACAGGGGAGTAGATATTGGAAAATATTCTTGAGGGATTTCCTCAGGGATGAATTGGCTTGATGTCTAAGACTGGGAGTAAGGGGACAACAGCTAAGAGTCGACATAGAGAAGCAATAGAGAAAGCCGCAGCAGAAGGTGGAGAACCGTCAGAAGCACAGCATGGCGCTGCGGCAACCGCGCCTGCTCGTCGTGCAACGTCCAACTCTAGAACTGCTTCGAAAGAAGCAGCCCGTGCTGCCGCGGAAAAGGCCGTCGCAGAAGTAGAAACGACTACTGACGCGCCTGCTCCTGCAGCTCCGCTGGAAGAGACACCTGCAGCAGAGGCTGAGCCCGTGGCAGCTCCTGCTGAGGAAGGAGCCCCAGAACGAGCATCTTCAAATCCAGCTGCTGGTCTAGGTCGTGAGATGACGCGCAAGGTAGAGGATCACGAGGTGGGAGCAGAAGACACTGTTCCTGAAGAAAAACCAGTCGAAGCTGATCCTCCAGCTGTAGAAGCACCGGTACTAGTAGAGGAGCCTCCTGTAGAGCATGTAGCGGATGCAGCTGCTGATGTAGTCCCTCCACCTGCTGAAGAAGTAACCGTAGATGCGGCACCACCCGCTGTAGAATCAGAGGTCGTAGACGCTAGTGCTACAACAGAGGCAGTGGTACCAGAGGCTATCCCAGAGGCCCAAGATGAGCCATCAGCCACGACAGAAGTTGATCCTCTAGTAGCGACACAAACAGGAGAAGATAGTGCTGGTGCGATCACGGTACTAGAGCAACCTGGAGCAGACGAATCAGTAGTGGAAGAAGCTGCACCAGCAGCTGAAGAACCAACACTAGAAGAAACTGCAGCGCCCACAGCAGGAACGACACCACCCGTAGTAGAAGAAAATGCTGAAGCTGCACAAGCAGCTCCAGCTGAGGAAGCACCAGCTGCAGCGGAGGAGACCCCTGTAGCCGAAGCACCAGCCGCTGTCGTGGAAGCTTCTGCAGATTCACCGGCGCTTCCTCCCGCAGAAGCCCCATCTGAGGCTCCTGCAGAAGTGCCTCTAGCTCCTCCAGTAGCGGAAGAAGTAGCAGCTGGCGGAGAGCAGGCCGCCGCAGAGGCTGATGCTGCTCCTGCAGCGGTTGTAGAGGAAGCTGTTGCTGAAGAACCCGCAACAGTCGCGGATGAGCAACCCCCGGCTCCCATAGTTGCGGAGAAATCAACTGAAGCACCAGCGGCAGAAGAAGCTGCGCCACAGCAATTCGTCAAAGCAGAAGTAGATCTTGAATCCGTAGAAGAGGTTGCGGCAACTACTGAAGAAGCTCCTGCAGCTGATGAAGCAGTTGCCGCTCCTAGTGGCGAGGCTGCAGGAGAGGCTGGCCGCGAAGATGTAGCTGCTGCGACAGAAGATGTAGCTGCTGCAGCACCAGAAGAAGCAGCTACTGGTGAAAAAGCTCCCGTAGAAGAAGCAGCACAAGCAGCAGTAGAGGAAAAAGCGGCAACTGGAGGAGGAGAGGAGGTAGCAGCCGAGGCGCCAGCTGCGGCAGATGCCGAGGGTGAAAAAGCTACTGCAGCTCCTGCAGAAGAGGCTCCCCCTGCGGAAGCTGCAGCTCCAGAGGAGAGTGCGGAGCCAGCTGCAGAGGCCGCTGGTGAACCCGCTGAGACTGCAGCACCGGCGGAGGGCGAGGTGTAAGAAGGGCAACTGTCATGATCGAGGTTATTGTTAAATGCGTCGTCGTCAACATCATAAATCAGTAGACTTCTCCTGGTACGATTATTCAGAAAAAAACGAAAGCGAATTACACGTTGAGCAGTTCGTACAGATTACATTTGTCATTTTAGCTATAATAGGTAGAGAGTACATAACAATTCAATACTTAGTCTTCTTTCTGTTCTTACAAAATGAATCTTGTTCTGAGTCAACTATTATTTCACGCCCAGCAACATCAGCATTGTGGGGAATTAGAATAAAAGATATGGTAAAGTGACGAAGGTAGAACTCCACCATAATGTTCTCGCAGATGTAGTCAGTAGACGTTTGAGATGATAGATTTTTTGTAGTTATGTAGAAGCGCCGCAAGCGCCGTTGATATTTCAAAATTCTTGTTGTCATAGGAAACTCGAATTATTCTTCATTGGTAAAAATTGGGTCGTCTTTGTTGTTACGAACAGTGAATAGCAAATTTGAAGAGCTTCTTGCCTCTTCGATGACGATGTGGTTCAAAAAATCTTCCATGTAAACTATGTATCTTCAAACGACGAGTTACAAAATATTTGTATGTACATCATCAGCAATTGATTTCGTAATACAAAACGAACCGATTCAGCATAAATAGTTTCAGCTTGAGCTGCAATGGTCATTGGAGATTGGAAAATGAAACCTAATCATGTGCACAGACTACTTGGACTTGAATATGCTTGTTACTTATTTACATTGAAAAAAATAGGCAGACAAATTATAGATGAAAACCATCAAGAAATGAGGAAGGAGCTGCAGCTATTGTGCCCGTTAACCAAGCGGACTTGGTCGTCACAAGGATGTGCGAGAAATGAGAAAAACGAAAAAATGGACTACGTGAAAAAACTGGCAGCAATCGACATAAACAAACTGGCGGCTTAGTTTTTTTCGTAGGAAGATGAAGATGTTGAGATACAAAACTTAACCAGAAGGATCAGGTATTAGATAAACATAAACCCACAAGAAACAAAATGAATCCTTACGCGCCTGGCGCTGCAGCGATGAGTCGACCCGGCGGTGTCGGTGCGTCATCGCTTAGCAGGCCAGGCAGCGCTGGCGTCGGCGCCTCATCGTCGATGAGCAGACCTGGTAGTGCGGGAGTAGGCGCTACGTCAGCTGGCATTGTAGGCGGCTTGACATCGAGCGCAGCAGCAAAGGCTTCGAGCAGTTTAGTTGGTGGTTTGACTAGTGGCGCTGCAGCAAAGGCGACATCTTCTAGTGGCCTTGTCGGTGGCCTCGGAGCGGCAAAAGCGTCTGCAGGAGTAGTTGGGGGACTGACATCTAGTGCAGCATCTAAAGCATCGGCTGGCGCAGTTGGGGGCTTGACGGCCGGCGTCGGAGCAAAACCGTCAGGTATTGGCGTTGGGGGCGGTCTTTCGTCCGCATCGGCTGGCGTTGGAAGTAAGTCAGTAACGATGGGCGGAGTGTCATCTACTTCAGCTTCTTCTAGTCTGGCTAGACCAGGAAGTGCTGGCGTAGGTGTTGGAGCCAAGCCAGGCACTTCTACCGGTTCTACCGCTTCACCGTATGGTGCCAAAGCACCAGGCACCACCGGCTTCGGATCGACATCACCTTACTCCAGCATGGGTGGGGCTAAAGCAGGCGCAACAGTTGGATCCACATCGCCATATGCAGGCGTGGGTTTGAGTAAAGCTGGCGCTGGTGTAGGTGTCGGCGGCAGCAGTGCTTCGGCTACGACAGCAACAGGACTTGTGGCGGGTGCGAAGGTTGGTTCTGGGGTGCAGAGCTCAGCTTCGAATCCTCGTGGAAGTGTCATCATCTCGCAGCTGGTGGATGGTAACGATATCAAGACTTCGTTCTTAGAAGTAGATTCTTCATGTGCAGAATCTCGCAAAATCCTTCATATTAGCATTAAGGTTGTTGATAGTTGCCCTTTTCTCCTTTATATCTTCCTCTGGTCTGTCTTTTTTCTAGTTAGGTCGGCTCCGCCACACATGTTCGTAAAAATGAAGTAGATTCATGCGCAGAATCTCGCAAAATCCTTCACCTTAAGCTTGAGGTTGTCCATGACACATTCTCCTTCTCCCAACAGATTCCAAAGCACGAGCAGGAGCCGGAGGTGTGGTTACTGATCCGACAGGCCCATCGCAAATGCCAATGGTCCAAGCAACGGCGCCTATGCCACCACCGGAAAAGCAAGATGCTGCTGCGTCGTGGTAAGTACGAACTTCTCTTTCTAGTTCCTTCCCCTTGTCAAGAAGTTCGTGGACGTCACAGGATTCCCTCTTATTAAGAGGCTGACAATTCGGATCTCTTCACCAGGTTAAGCAAGCTCGATTCATACAAAGCTGAAGAGGATCAGAAGAAAGCCGACATTGAGAGTCTCAAGGTCGCGAAGACACCACCGCAAACGACACCCCGTGACGACAAGAAAGACGAAGAGGATGATCTCTCTCCAATGAGTTTCGCAGAAAAAACGGGTGGATCCATGAAGACGGTACTTGCTTTTCTGCAACCCTTCGAATACATAGTCGAAAAGACATTTGTTGAACTCGAAACTAGATAGAACCATGAGCATTCGATTTTTGTCCATACTCTCTCTTTCCACAGACGCTCGGCGGCCCTCCTCAATACGGACCTAAGATTCCGAATATAGCTTCCTTCTCCGTCGATGCCCTCCGTCGTGGGTCACTGCATTTCTACACGTATATGGGTCAATACGAGCACGTCGACTTCTTACTCAAAGAGGCTGACCGAGTAGGGGACGGTTTTTTCGTCAACGCAACAGAAGCCTACGGCGAACGCACCGCATTGCACTATGCTTGCTTTCAGGGAGAAGTCGAAATCGCGAACTTGCTCATCGAAAAAGGAGCAGATCTACATGCGAGGGATAATTATGGAAGGACCGTCAGGGGATGAATGGTTCCGGTATTTGGTAACCTGAATTTGATCACAAGGGTTCTCTTCTTGTTTTGCCTTATGATCAAACCCCGGCTATAGTCAATACTCGCACATCAAGGGGAGCAACTTATAACAATTATTCAGGTTTTTATCAAATACCGGAAGCATACAGGGGATGGACAAGACGTGTAGTCTTTGCAGCTATTCTCAGAACCAGGACGAGAGGTCTAGTCGTGGTTAGTTTTACTTCATCACTGACGAGCAGAACTGCATCAAAATCAATCTCAACATCGTCTTCTACTTGTTCTTCCTGATCCTGACCTCTAACGGCCAGAACGGCGAACCCCAATGCACTACGCTTGCTTTCGTGGGGCTACGAAGATCGTCCGTTCCATGGTCGGCATCGCGGTTCACCGATTACGCGCTGACTCGAACAAGAAGTACCGGCAACTAAAACTCCAAGCTCCAGGCTACGACCCCGAATACGGAGAAGAGGGCGGTTACGAGCGCAAGTGTGCGGCGCAGTGTTGTCTCGAGTACTTCAAGAACATTGAGGATTTGCGCTTCAAATTTCTGGCTTCGGAAGATCGGAAGGGCATGACGCCTTTACACTATGCAGTGCACGATGTCTGGCAGGGATGCTTGGCGACTTGTACAATGTTGTTAGAGACGTTGACAGAGTGCCAGGCAAGGAAAATATCGAAGGAGAACAACGTGATGGCGGATCCGAAGTATTTGGTGTTATGGCAATGGCAAGATTGGATTTTCTGGTAGTATAAGCTAAAGCTTTGCTCTTCTTCTAGTACTAGTTTTTGTTCTAGAAGATATTCACAATGAAGCATTTTTGGCTGCAGCTAGTTACAAGAAAATGAATCATGGCCATCCAAGCTTCTAATACCTGGCGTTGCCCCAACGACACGAGGAGGACCGAATTTTTCGGATTACTACTTCCGACTCTTGCTCCCTCACGAAGTGAAGAACCTGAAAGGCGGGCACAAAGAGCGCAGTGCAGTCATCACAGATGAGCTATTGAATGGCGCAGACTGCTTCGGATACACACTGCTTCATCACGCCAGTGTGGGCGGCAATTACCGCTGCACTCATGTTTTGCTCACAAATGGCGCGGACGCAAAGGCAAGGACGGTTGTGCCGACTACTACGGCTCTGGGTGGCAAAAGCAATGGTGCAAACTCATCCAACAAAGAGAACATTCCTGGTCAGTTGGGCAAAACGGGCGGCTCAGATCTAGAATTGAGAGCAGAAAGACAGGCCTTTTCCGGCGATGCGGTTGTCGGTATAACAGCTTTTGAACTGGCCAAAGACGTCGCAACGAAAAAAGCCTTGCAGGGTTCAGCAGCCGGCTTCAAGCGCCAACCAGCTTCTGAGGGGGCGCGTCAAAAAACTTTAGCTGGTTTGTCACCGGGTGGTAGCAAACTCACAACTGGAGGTGGAGAAGATGGAGCTGCTGTTTCGCCACTAGCTTCCAAAGTAACGAGAGGTCGCGCGAATACTGGAGATGTCAGTTTTGTGAGCGAGGGCGGTGCTGGCGGACCTTCCTTCCTTGCGGATCCAGTCGAGATTGCGAGACAGCGAACCAAATTGGCTGAGCGATACGGAGACTACGTGAACGAGGAACAGGGGATTTACAGTCAAAACGGGTGTCATGCGGCACTCTTTGATACGATCACGATGCACACGCAAGCTGCAGAAGCAGGTAAGGATGGTCCGACACCGTCCAGCAGTAGTACCTCTCCAACCAAGGGACGGGCGGCAGCGGATGCAGGACAAGGAGGGGCGGCAGCGCAGTCGTCGTTACGAGTACACTGTGATTGGACTTGGAAGTTTGAGTTTCTTGAAATGAAGAATCAGAATGTAGTTACTAGTCCATTCTTCTCATTTTTAGAAGGTCGACGTCCACAAGAAGTTTATTATCATCGGAAATTCTACTACTAGTGGATTCACGCACCAGCATTTTGATCTATCTGGTGTCCTTACCAAAATAAAAACAAACCTTCAGGCCCTCCTCGACGCCCACCCCGAGACCAATCCTTGGAAACCGGATGCTAGTGGATGGACCTCAATCCATTACGCAGCTTCGCATGGGAAACATGGAGAACTACGCGTTCTCCTTCGGCATAGTAAGAAGCACCTCCACGATCCGAACTGCGATGATCGGAATGGCATGCAAAATGCCTTTTTGTGGCGGGAAAGAGACGAGGATGGAACGAAGGCAGCGTCGACTGGAAGATTGGATTCTTATGATTGAAGTAGATCAGAAGGCGAAGGGAGTACTTGTTGTACTTCTAGAAGAAGAAGAAGACCACTTCTCTAAGAGAACAAGATGAGGTACTAGAGCAGAAGGTGAGACATAAGTTTAAGTACACGGATTCCAAATATCAATTTCAATGGAGTAGTTCAAATAAGTAGTTGTGGACCACTTGCGATTTCCTTTTCTAAAACCCAGACGCCATCAACATCTTAACCGGACCTCTACAGCCTGGTGGTGGCCAACGTGGCATGAACAAGCGACCAAAGTCTGCCGGAGTCGGTGGAAGAAGCGGCGGGACAGCCTACGGTTTAGTGAAACCACAAGCGACGTCGTCGTCAAGGGGAGGGACGATGAGTTTTACTCTATCATCAAAGGGCAGCAACGTGGGTGGCGGCGGCAGCAAGCGTGCTGGCAAAGCAGGCTTGCCACCCGGACCGGAGTCGCTGCTTCACAGGACGCCGACGCACGTCGCTGCTCAGGCTGCGGCGGGTGGCCACGCGGATGTGATTTTGAAGGATAGTGCGCATGTCAAGTGTCTGGAAGTGCTGGAGGATGAAGGATGGCTGCAATTGGAGACGCGGGATCATCAGGGAAACACGCCAATCCTTTTGGCGGGAGCGGCGGGGGCAAGTACTTACTCCTAGAAGAGCTTTTACTACTTCGACATGAAGAATACTGCCTTAATTTTTTAGAAGTACAAGTAGAGCTTCTAGAGCAAAATTGAAATTTTTCTAGCATGTAGTTGATCATCTTTAGCTGTCTGATGTCCTCCAGCACACGACAAGCCCATCTGCTCCACAACAGCCGCTGCCGTGCAATGGCTAATCAATCATGGCGCAGACCCTTTCGTAACCGACAACGCTGGCAGAACGTTGCTACACTTAGCTTTGCTTGGCGGCCATGGACCTCTCACGAGACTTCTAGTCTACTTCGACTCCGATAGAGGCAATTTCTTTCGCGTCAAAGATTGCAGAGGCCAGACGCCCAGTCAATTGCTAGGTTGTGCCCCTGGGGTGAAGTCTGAGGATCTGATCACAATCTGGGATGCAGCTAGGAGAGGTGACATTGACAAGTTGCGAGCGGCTCTGCGAATCGGAGCGGATATAGATACAGTATCACCCAGTGGCTGGACACCTTTGATGTACTGTGCTGCCAGCGGACACGCAGTCATTGCACGCTATCTATTAGGTGTTGGTGCGGCAGAAACAAGACCAATTTTGCCGCATCCGCTGTATAATCTGGAAGTGTTTAGTGCTGGCGGGGGTGTTTCTATGTCAAGTGCAGCGGCAGATACTGTTGTAGCGTGTTGTCGACCGCATAAGGGCCGTTTGCCGATGCACTTGGCAGCAGAGCAGGGCTCTCCCGAAATATGCACACTGCTGCACGATATAAAGGGACAGGATTTGAACGTAGTTGAACCTCAAAAACTCTTGATGTTTGTCTTGCTCTCATGCTCTCTTATCTTCACTACAACTACGTGTTGTCGACAGTCGTGTGTAACTCTCGTCCTTAGAACTACGAGAGAAACAACTACAACGAGAGAAACAACTACATTCACAAAACCATCGCCACCAACCACGACAGGTCCCCTGCGAAGACCTCCAGAAAACACCGCTCATGTACGCTTGCTCAAATGCGAGGATAGAATCCGTCGATGCCCTTCTGAAAAACCCAAGAGTAGACCTCTTCGCCGTTGATGCTCGTGGCAGAACGTGCTTGCATTGGCTCGCACTGTGTGCGGCAGGAGAAAGCGGACTTGGCGAAAGCAAGGTGGTAGAACCTGCTAAGATGTTTTCTTCGACAACTGGCGCATCTGGTGGTATACTATCAAACAACATGCAAGGTAGAGTAAAACAAGCCTTGGTGAGTGTCAATGGTGGCTCGGGAGCAGGAGGTGCAGGTGGTGGCTCAGGAACCGCAGCATCGTCTGGCGCAAAACGGGCGAAGGTTGATAGCGACTGTGCCCAGATAGCGAAGCTGATTGTTTCACTGGTAGGCGTCAAAAAAGCATCTGCTTTATGGAAGCGGACCTACATTCGGAGGGTGTCTGGCGCTGAGCAGGAAATCACCGCACTAGACGAGATCAAGGAGCTGGATAGACTGAGACATGTATTTTTACAGCATTTCCATTATTTGTGAGTATCATGGATGATGGATTTGGATGTCATGCTTGGACATGCCTGGTTTGCTTTTTCCTGTTTCCATCCACCAGCAACATGTTTGAATTTGAAAATAGGCGAAGATATCTCTCATCTTCTTACTTCGCGATAGATTCACTACTACATCCAACTCTCTCACAACCCAGGGTTCCTCCAGTGACTGGAAGAGCAAGACTCAAAACATGCTTTTGCGGCTGGAACATTACCTGAAAGAGGAAACTAGGAAGCGAGACAGCATGATGAAAGAATTGGACGAAAAGGCTGGCTATCAAATCGAACGAATTCAAGAATACGAGAAGTCGGGTGTTATTTTGCCGAAGAATAGGGTAAAAGTGAACATGGATGGCGCACATGGAGCAGCAGCACCGACGTTCGGGGTGTCTCCTTATGAGGCTTGATGATGCATTGAAGAAAATGATAATGTAAATGTCCTAAGTGATAAAAGAACAAGAAATTCAGGTTTGTTTACCGAGGATCCATCTGAGGAAGTATTTCATCTTCATGATCAATGGAGATGAACATGAATCATTGTCGTGGTATTACCGCTCTATCTCTAATCTGCAACTGTGGGAGTTGCCGGAGGAATGACAGCTGCATCTGGGATTCCAAAGCTTGCAACCGGCACAGTTGGAACTAGTGGTGTTACCGGAGCAGCGATGGTATCACCAGCAACATCCTCTGACGTCGGCATCATCAACAGTCTAGCAGCAAAGGGCTCGTTGGTATCCGCTTCTGCGGCTGGGAATTCGGCATTGCTAGAACGAAATATGGCAGCCTCTGGTGCAGCACCGAAAGCAACTACAGCGACTGCTGCTAGCACTTTGGCGACTGGCGTAGCGAGGCCAGGAGGCTCTCTAGTGGGAGGTCTTGGTAGTGGAGGCCCTTCGGCAGTTGCAAAGCCAGCGGGTTCATTAGTTGGAGGAACTGGTACTACTGCGACTTCAGCAACCGCAAGTAAGCCTGCAGGTTTAGTTGCTGGTCTTGGGTCTGCCTCTGCAACAGCAGCTGCCAAACCTGCTGGTCTAGTAGCGGGTATTCCAGCTAAACCAGCTGGTTATCAAGTAGGAGTCGGAGCCACGGCAGCTGCCACTGCCAAACCAGCAGGAGCAGGATTAGTCGGTGGCTTGACCGGTGCACCAGCAAAGCCTGCTGGCCTAGTTGCCGGCCTAGGAGGTGCCGCAGCGAAGCCAGCTGGCGTAGGAGCTTATTCCTCAATGGGTGTACCCCCAAAACCAGCTGGTTTAGCTGTTGGCGCTACATCCACTGGAGTTGCTTCGAAACCGCCTGGCTTCGGCACAACAGGAGTGGCAAATAAACCAGCACCAGGCAGCGTCGCTGGTGGCATGAACATTCCACCAGGCGTCGGCGGTCCTCCGAAAGCCGTTGGGGCCATGGGAGCGAAACCAGCAACTTCAGCTGCCATAGCGAAACAAAAAGCAAATCTTCGTGCTGGAGGTGCTTCTCCTGGATCTGATGGCAGCTATGGCGAAAGTTTTGCTAGCGAGTCGATCGAAATCTCCGATGACTCATCTGATTCTCCCATCGTCGGATTAGCGAAAGCAAAAGCACCTGCTGGCGTGGCAGGAACAGCTGCTGGCATGAATAGGCCAATGAGTGCAGCAATAGGCGCTGCGGCGAATAGACCAATGGGAGCCACGGCTGGCGTCAACAGACCTGCAAGCGCAGCCATAGGCGCTAACAGTAGACCTGCAAGTGGAGGTGCCGGATCGGCTTCGAGTGGAAGTGAAATCCATATTGCTCGTCCCGTAGGTGCAAGACCACAAACGGCAACCAGACGTCAGGATCCGCCGAAAGGACCGAACAGCGACTTTTAGTTCTGGCTGAATAGAGTTCGTGTTGTAGTAGAGGATGAGGAACTGGTATTGCAGTATTTTTTGATTCAACTGCGGTGAGATTCGGCAGCGAACTTCGTTGGAGTTCTTGAACTATCATTTCGTTATAATTTTGTTCTTTTTCTCAACTCCTTCATTAATTCTCCTTCTCGTTGTTGTAAGTATATTATAACTAAGTAGTTACAACAATGTCTTTTTTTATGCAGAGCTTCCTCCTGGACCAACGAGGATCTACAGGTGTTCGGCGTGCTTTCACCGACAAAAACAGACAAGAAACAGACTATTTTCACAACAGACTATCTTGATCTCCAATTCCAAATCCAAATCTTCAACTTTGAACAGCTACTTACAACATCTACTCAATTTCCATTTATTTGAACAACAAGAAAATACAGCAAATTTATTGTTGTACAGACTATCTTGATCTTCATCACTTTTAATCACCCTACTGGCTACTGCCACTGAGCGACTCGTGGGCAGTAGTAGCTCTTGAGCTTGTTAACGTTTCTTCTTCTTGCTATTACTAATATCAATGATCATCATGCTGCAAATCAGATGATGTTGCAGCTCTAGTTCTTGCAGATAATGACTGTACAACATCACAACTTCTTGTAGAAGTAAGTTGAAGTTGAAGAATGGAAATGCAATCTTACACTATCATGTCTCATATCCTTTTTCAAGTCCAAGCTCGATTTTCAATTTCAACAATGTTGTTAGATGTCTACTGCTATCGTCTTGTTGTTAGTCAAAACAATTTTGAACTGTTATTTACCAAAAAAATCAGTGGATTTTTACTGAAAATGTTTTTCACCTCCTAGTATTCAGGAGGTTGTAAATTTAGAGCAACGTCAACATTCTACTTCTACTTTTTATGTAGATCTTCATCATCGTGCATGATATTAGATGAGGACAACTACGTGTTAGTTTTTCTTGAATCAAATACCGAATCAAGAGACTCCTTGAATATACGAAAAAAAAGTCGCTGAATGCAAAATGTCAAGATTCTTGAAGAGTCTGTATGTAGACACAGGAAAGTTGGAGTTGTTCTCTTTTCGTGGAGATGTTGTTGACGACAGCTCATAATGTGATGTTCTTCGGTTCTATTTCTCATACTTCTATTCCAGCTGCTCCTGCTCGTCCTCTTACATCACAACGCGAATTCGATTCAATTACAAGGATGGTGGTGGAAGAAATAGGCCAAGTGGAGATGATCAATCAAAAACTCTGAAGATTTGAGTATACTTATACTTATACTTTTGATTACGTACAACTTGGAGGTCTTCTTTATGTGGTCAGAATAACATTCACAAGCAGGACTTCTTGATTCCCATGCCCCCGCACGCCTACCCCCACTTTTCATTTTGCTGCCCTTTCGCCATTCACCTGCTTCAATGAATTAGTGCAAGAAGATCATGTCTGCGCTTCTTTTGACCATGATGTTTGTCTCAGACACGGGTGTAGAAATGAGGGACCACTAGTTTGCGAGAGTTGTTGTACAGGTAGCACATCTTCCTCCACGACAACGTGTCTGTGAAGATTTTTGTTGAGCATCTTTATTGGCGCACCATTGATATTATCATTATAAACCATGTCGGAAAACAACGCCGCAGAAAACGAGGTTGTGGTGATTAGCGATTCCTCAGAGGAGCAGCAGGACTCAACATCTTCAGAGGATGCTTCCTCAGAAGATGGAGGTTCGGAGGAGAGAGCTGCCTCAGAAGAGATGAATCAGCAGGAGGAAGAGGACGACCAAGAGCAACAAGAAGAGGAAGATTCATCTGAACAAGACGGTCCTGAACGAGGACAGCAGGTGGATGACGATGAGGAGATGGCTGTTTTAGAAGGCACGGCTGAGGGAACAGCTGACTTCGACGGACCTATAGCTGCGCCTGGAGGTAACTACATCGCTGTTCCTGAAGAAGCTGGTGCAGAAGGCGCGTCTTCTAGCGGAGCTTCACACCAACCACAAGCTGCAGCCAGTGGCAACCAGCAGAACCAAGGACAAGGAGGACAGGAGCCATCCTCGCCCACAAGCTCATGGAGGAATATGTCTGGAGTCTCATTAGCATTTTCAGGATCTGGGGATGCTGTGGTTGCGACATCGAAGGCCTCACATGGCAGCCATCGTTCTGGAGTATACGAATTTCCAGTTTCAGCTTTTGCAAACGCTTTCAGACAAGAACCTCCGGCAGGAATTGCGGATCATGCTGGCGCTGCGGAACAAGCGCAGCAAGGTATAATTTCTACTTGTTGTGATTGATGACTCAACATTATTCTGTTTTCTGTCTACTGTAGCGTTTCTACACTGATTTCAACGGTTTTCGGCTTGTTTGTAGACATCAACAAAACTACTTTCATCTTGAAGATGTCTTCAAATACCACTAACAGCGATTGCCCCGTCAGCAACGGCTGAGGGTGCAAACCCGATCCAAGCGCGACAAGAAGAGCCACAGGTGTCACCAGTAGTTGCTGATGTACCTATTGCTAGTGCATCCTCTTTCTCGTCAGCATCGTCGGAGGCTGTACCTTCTGCTTCGTCAGCATCGTCGGAGGCTGTACCTTCTGCTTTGTCTTCCACCGGATTAGTGGTAGAAAAAGAGCAGGTTCTAGTAGAAAAGACGAACCCACAAAGAGATCTCGCGCGATCCGTACTCAAAATGGAGTCGCGTTTTCTGCCACCAGGAATGGAGCTTGCCTCGTCATCAGCATCGAGTGGCGAAGATGCCCCTCTTGCTGGTCCTGTTGTAGGAGGAACAGCAAATAGTGCAGCAAATGCCGATGCCGAAATGAGGCCCGAGGAGCCACCGCAAGAGTCCCTAATAGCACCCGACGATCCTAGGAATCGATCGCCTCTTGCCAGAGCATGGCGTTCCGAAGATCTTGAGGCCAATGCCGTGTCTCCGAGGTCTAGACCAGTTACAACTGGCGCGGCCACGACCTTGGGTGATCTCTATGCGGATCTCGTTCCCTTGACAACTGGCAGTCTAGAACATCAGTCAACCTCCTCGTCCTCCCGACCTGCACCTATCGATGGTCATGGCGAACTACCGAAAGCGAAAAGAGTCCGCTTCGATCCAAGCGACCCTGTTGTGGCCAGAGCAGAGCAGAGAGGCGCGTTTTCTCCAGAGATTCCGGATGTGCAATTTCCTGGTGCGACGGTTGAGATGAAACAAGAAGCATTATTGCAGGAGGCTCTAGCGAGGTATCCAGGACGTGCAGGAGCACTGCAGGCTTTGGCTGGGACATCTTCAATGTCCTCTGGTGTGGCTAATATGGATGGAGTTGTAGATGGTCCAGGTTCCTCTGCAAACGAAAGTGATGACAGCGGTATACGAGGATTGCTGGATAGCATTAGCGGGGCAGAAGGACTACCAGGAGCGTCTTCGTCCGGAGGAGTGTCTTCTAGTTCAGAAGCAGCACCAAACGTCACGGAGGTTGTGGCAAAACCTGAGAACGCACCATCCCCACCGCGCGACGGAGTGAAACTTGCTGACAAGCTTCCACCGCCCATGATGTCCGGAGCCTACCCAGACTTCAATCCTCACAAAGAGATCTTACCTGCGACGTTTGAAACCGCAACTAGTAGAAGTGGTGCTTCTGCTGCGGACAAGTCGGTTAGCGAAAAAGGGGGATCTCAGGGAGCAGGACCATCGTCAACAGCTGCTGCGTCGACATCTGCTGCTAGTGTGTTTGGCAATACAGCATCAATCTTCGCTGTCCCTAATACAGCTCCACAAGCATCTTCGCCCTTTGCAGTGAGTGCTCCGCAAACAACAAGTGGCGCGCAATCTTCATCTTCACCCTTTGCTGTTTCCGCTGGTGAAGAGACAAAACCAGTGGGACTCTCGTCCCTGTTTTCAACTACAACACATAGTAGTTCCTCCTCCTTGTTCAACACGACCAATGCGTACGCGACATCCTCAACTACCTCAATTTTCGGGCAACGAACAGCCTCCTCGCCATCATCTTCTCGGCCACAGCAACCTCAACCTCTGCAGACGATGACTGCGGCAACTACAACTGGAGCAGGTCATCTAGGAGGAGTATCTTCTTCAAGAACATCAACGCTTCTTTTTGGAGGATCAACGTCCCTCTCTTCGTCAACAGGAGTTGCGGCTTCTGCTCCTCCAGGCGAGTTACAACGAACTACGACACCAAGTTCTTCAACAACGCTCGGCGTACCCGTAAGTGGAGCTGCTACGTCTTCTTCTACTGCTGGTCCTTCTACCTCTGCTCCTTCTTCTCGACCTCCGCCAACACTGGCAGGCTACGCGAAGAATTCCGTCCATGCGCGCATTTTAGAACTCGCGCATCCAAGATTAGATGAGGACAGTCTGATGCAATCATCGGCAGAGGAGTTGCGAGCTCAGGTGAGGAAGATGCACAAGGAACGAGCGACTTTGATTGAGAAGTTCAGGAAACTTCAGACTGTAGCATCGTCTTCTAGAAATAGTTTGACGAAAGATGGAGGTGGAGGTGCGCAACTACTAACACCACCAGGAAGTACAGGAGTTGGTCGTGTATCTGCTTCGTCTACAGACGCCGCTGGTACTCCACCTCCAGTGCGGGTACTCGAATCGGCTTTGCAGGCACGTATAGCAGAGCTTGAAGCATTGGTTCGGAAGCTCCAAACAGAAAACGCAGATTTAAGGGAGCAAGCATCTTCCGATGCACGCGCCAGACAGCGGGAGTTGGATTCTCTGCGCGCCGAGTCGGAGCGACAGCTGGAAAGCTTACGGCAGAAGTATGAACATGAATGCAGCGAGAGTGCTCTGGCTAAATCGAAGTTGACCGGTCTGGAGAAGCATATGGCAGAGCTGCGCACTGGCGCAGAGACAGCGCGGAAGCGGCAAGAGCAGTTGCTGTCTGACTTTTTAGAACGGCAGGATGCGTTGCGGAGTTCTGAGTCGGCGGCACAGGAAGGCTTGCGCGTTGCGGAGTTGTCGATCGCTAATTGGAAGCGAGAATGGGAAAACTCGGATCGCGCGTTGCAGAAGAAGCGAGAGGAGTACGCCATTCTGGCGAGCAAGCTGGAGGACTTGGATCGGTTGGGCAGTAAGAATGCAGAACTCAAGGGCCAAACGCAAAAACTAGCCTTCTTAGTTTCTCAATTAGCTGTTTTTGTGCAGCAACGAGAACGCCCTTTCAACATGAAGATGGGTCCTGGGCAGTATGGCTACGAACAGCAACAGCAGTTTGACGACTCTACTTTCGAACACCACCCAAGTCCAGATGCTGAAAATCATTCTGCATTTGGCAATCGTAACAGGAGTAATGCCTCCTCAGGTGTCGATGGTGGTGCTAGTCCCTTCGGCAGTGCTCGTCTCCGAAACACGATGAACGTAGAGCTGAACGTGAGTCAGAGCAGTGTGGTACACAACAACTTCTATAATGTCAATGTTCTGCAGCAACAGCATGTCACAGCAGGAGCCAGACCAGGTGGAATGAGAGGACGCAGCGGAATGTCATCAACGAATGCGGTTGTTTCAGAATTCGTGTCCCAATTACACGGTCGTGGACGCGGACCACCACCTCCGTTGACAGCAACACCCGACATCGTCAGGCGTACAAGCAGCTATCTTCCTGCAGGAGGACCGCAAGATTTCTCTGCGGCACCATCACCTACTCCAGGAGCAGCGTTCGCGCCCGTGCCTGGAGGAGGTACTATGTTCTCCGAGTCCAGTATCCTAGAGCTTGTCGACAATTTGGCAACTCTGAACAGACTAGTAGTCGTTGATGACGTCGATGCTGATGCTGGTGTAGACGCGGCGGACCGAGATGACGAGGGTTTTGAAGATGCGGTGGAAGACGAAGCTGTTGAACTACGCGGCCAAGAGGACGGAGCAGGTGGTGTGATCAATCTCGAATCGGACGAAGACGATGCTCCCCCGCCACCGCAGAAGAAAAGCAAGAAATCTAGAAGTCCAAGCCAAAAAAGAACGAGACAGGCTGCACAAGTTGCCGTTGATCATAAGAAAGTTTCTTCAGCCAAAAGGACTAAGATTCTGCTATCTGATGATCGCGTTGCTGCTTTGTCTCAGCTCGCCGACCACGCTGCCCAGATCCGTCAGTTGACCGCCAGTCTGGAGGAAAAGTCGTCCTTGCTCGAATTCAAGTCTCTCGAATACACGAAGTCACAGGACAAATTCCGCCAAGCAAGGGAGCATCTCTCCAAACTGCTAGAGGAGCACAAGCAAACCGTGGCGCAGAAGGCAGAGATGGAAACGGAATTGGAGAGTCTGAAACTCTCGCTTGGGAAGACGCGCGCTGACGGTGCGAAGAACGAAGACCTTCTGGCTGTGTATCAGAAACAATTGGAGGTTTGGCGTCGGGAGCTGAAGCGCATCCAGAACCAACTGGCGATCGGCGCTGATCAGTATAGACCGACTGAGATTTCGCAATTAGATGCACCCACAGGTGGAGGAGATGCTTCTAGACATCAACTGTTGAGCTATGGAGGAGGCGGTCATGGAGGTAGCGGTCGCATGGACGCTATGCACACTCGTTCTGGTCCTCATCTAGGAGTCTTTGTGGAAACCTCCACTGTCGAGACCGTTGCTCAATCCATCCGTCTCTTAGAGCAATATGATGCAGCCAGTGTCGAAGTCTACCGCGAAAACGCCGATCTACGCCATCAAAACGCGGTCCTTAATTCCGAAAAACAGATCCTCTTCGAAAAAAGCAAGAAGAAAGTGCAAGAACTGCGTGTGAGTCTGGAGAAGATGGAGGAGGAGAAGAGCAGAGAGGAATGTCGTGGTCAGAAATTGGATGAGGAGATTAAGGAATTGCGATTGCGAACCGAGATGGCCGAAAAGAGTTTCAGCGAAACCGAAGTCGAGCGACAAAGACTAGAACGTTTAGCCACAGCTCTGCAGAAAAAGATTGGCGGGAGCTCGACTTTGTTCGGCGACAAAGACGGAAAACAACTCTCGGTCGAACAAATTCTGAAGGGGGCGGCGGAAGAAGGTACTTACTTGTACCATGTTCATAAGGTGCAGCTTCAGAGACAGATTCTTGCGTCATCCAATTCTTGACATCTGGCAATAATTAAGCTCAAAGTCGCCTTGGCGTCAAAAGATACCTCCAGAACAGGTAAATGAATGAATGAATGAATGAATGAATAGATTGGATAGTTTCGTCTTCTACTTCACAAACTTACTTGATCTTGTTCATCCACTCTTTGTCTTTTTTTGTTACTCAGCCGAGCGCGCCGTCCTTGCCTCGGATCCTGAAGTGATCAAAAGAGTTACGCGAACGCTCGAGAAGAAGGATGAGGAGATACAGGGTTTGCTATCTAAGAACGCGGAAGCGTCGACCCGTGCTGAGGGGTTACAGCAAGCTCTCAAGATCGCGGAAAGTGCGAACTTGCGTCTGACAGTAGAGAAGCACGAGCTCAAGTCCGAAAGCGACAATATCCTAGTACCAAAAATCGCATCGTTGGAGCAAGACTTGGTGAAGAAGACAGCACAAATCGGAAACTTGGAAATGAATAAAGACCTGGATCAGCAAAAGATTGCGCGTACCTTGTTTAACTTCATACTTTTTAGAGGTGTGCTGCAAATCTTGATTGGCTTTCACCTTTTAGGTGAAGGTTTAGGTCTCGCGACGCTCAAAGCACTAAGTAAAACAGCCGGGGCCAGTTTTCACCTTTAAAGTCTAGTAAGTCTATCCCGTGCAACAACATACTTAGAAGCTCTAGGCCTTCTTTTTCCAGCTACAACAACAACTATGACATAGGAATTGAAATCTTCTGTCGATACGACGTCCATGATCTCCATCTCCTTATGCTCTTTCGCGTAATATCAACCACCGCAACATTAACCACATTAACCAGGTCTAAGCACATCACGATCACCACCAACCACATTAACCAGGTCTAAGCAACGAAGTTCGGCAGATGCAAACTTCAGAGCTGGAACAGTCGCAGAAGTATGCGGATGCTGTGAAACGACATTCCACTGAAATTCTTGCAAAAGAAGACGAAGTCAGTCAACTCCAGACCCAGATGCGCGATAGCGAACATAACCTCCGCAAAGACATCGCAGCACGCGAAAAACTCATCGCAGACAAGGAAAAAACCATGGGGCTGTATAGGAAGACGCAGGTACTTGATCATAGTTGCTCTTGTTGGCATACTTGTTGTACTTGTACGCGCTAGATCTTAGTTTTAATCTTAATGTTGATGGAATTATACAAAGTGATGATGTTGAGCTTCCACTCAGGAAACAACCTGATCTTCTAGTACAGGCCCAAGTTCATAATGTTCTCTCAATGATCTCAAAAATACAGGAAGAGCAAATCAACGTTGACCAATCGCGTAAGCGTGAAATTGCGGATTTGCAACAAAAAATCGTGGATCTCTACAAGGAAATCGACAAAGAAAAAGCGACAAACGAACGCTTCCGTCTCCATCTTGAGCAGACGGAGAACAAACTACGTAGGGCTACGGCTCTCCAGCAACCTGCTGGAGCATCTGGTGCTGGTCATCAACCATCTTCGTCTCCACGGGGAGGTGTTGAGGGAGGAGGGGCTAAAAATGCCTCTGGAGGTTCTAGTGAAGATGGAACTCGTACAACAGCGGAAGCGCTTCGGTTAGCCCAGGAAGAGCGGGACCGTTTGAAGAAGAATCTGGAGGAGAGCAGCGCGCAACGGCGTATGTTGCAGAAAGACTTCAGTGACTTGCAAAAGAAAGCCACAGAATCTGCCACCACATTAGAAGAAGCCAAAGCAGTCAGTGACAGTCGGCGAAAACGCAATGATGTCTTGCAGAAACAGATTGACACGTTGGCCAAGGAAGCGGAAACTGCGCAAGCGAAGCAGAAAGAACTGGAACAGGCATTGATTAGTGCGAAGCAACAAGCGGCAGCGGCAGTGCGTGCAGCAGCTGCTTCTACTGCTGGTCTGATGAAAGGAGGAGCAACTTCTACTTCTGCAGCCACGTCTTCAGCTACTCCTAGTGGAGCAAATAGTGCAGGCACATCTTCGACATCTTCATCCTCTTCCAACAAGCGTCCTCGCATTCAGTCAGCTTCTCAGATTCCTGCTGGTGCCGTCGCTGCCGCTGGGCCCGCGGCTGAGATTTTACAGGGAAAAAACAAGCAAATTGGCGAGTTGAAGCAGGAGTTGCAGCAACTGCAAGCCGATATGGAGAAGATGAAGAAGAATCAAGCTTCCGCCCTTCAAGCCAAGTCAGAACTAGGCGCAAAAGTGCATATTCTCACAGAAGAAAAGCAATCACTCGAGAAGCGAATTGCAGCTTTGTTTGAAGATCAACAGAAGATGCTGGAACAAGTCGGAGGGGCAAGAACATCTTCGGCGAGAGGAGGCGCTCCTGGTGACACAGCTGCAGGTGCACAAGAAGATGGAGACGCTGCTGGCGTAGATCCATCATCATCTTCGAAAAAAGTAGCAGAGCAAAGCAAGTCTTCGTCTTCGATGTTCATGATGTCATCGTCGGACCGCGAAAAAGCCTTGGAGCGCGACAACAGCTCGAAAGCCATGAAGATAGAAGCACTAAGAAGGCAGATAGAGATGAAGAATCACGAAGTGGAGTCGCTGCACACGATGATGAAGGAGAAATCACGTGTCGAAAGTACTGAGAAGAAAGAAGGTGCCGCGTCGGCAACCGCTGCTGCTAGCACAGGGACTTCATCTTCTAGTGCGGTTGGATCGGGCTCTTCCTCGTCGACGACGCCAGGACTACTTTCGACATCTGACCCAACATATTCTACAAGAACAGCCGATGCACAAACCTCTTCTTCCTCGTCGAGTACAACCTCGAAACAAGAACTTCCACTCGAAGCTCAGCGCGAGTTACGACAAACGATTCAGATGGAGTTTCGCCACGACTTGGAGCTTTTTAAAGCCGATGCAAATCGCAGACTCCAACAATTGAGGGAGGCACTGGATTCGAGAACTCAGACTATGAGTGATATGGAGCGTCGACTCCAACAGGAGTTGGACAAGAAACAAGCGGAAGTGACGGAGTCGCAAGCTTGGGCCGCATCGTTGGAGGAAGATGTGCAGAAGCGGAAGGAAATCTATCGTCGCTTGGAAGAGCAAATCCAACAAAGTCGAGAGCGGGAAGCAGAGGAAAGGCAGGAAGCGAGAGCGGAAGTCGCGAGTCTGAAACAGAAACTGAAGGAAATGGAAAAAGAATGGCAAAAGGAACGGGAGGAAGCACAGCGATTATCGTCCATAGCAAAGGCACATCAAGACGAGGATCAAGAAATGGAGCAAGTGGTTCTTGCAGAAGACAGAGCGGCCAAGGAAGTTGCAGCTGATGTTGCGGCTGCGGAGCCCACAACACATCAAGCAGTGGGAGAGGTAGATGCTGTCACTGGTGGTCCTTTCATAGTGGGCGAGGAAGAAACCGCAATTACATCAGAAGCAAAGCCTCCTGCTGCTGGTGCCGATGACGCAGTAACTACAGAGGCTAAAAAGCCCGCTCCAGCAGCTGCTGAGGCCGCCGTTGCAGATGACCAGCAGACAAGTGCTGGCGCAGCAGCTGCCAGTGACGCACCTGCTGTGACCGGGCAAGAGACCGCACGCACCCCTGCGGTTGCTGGTGTAGTTGCTGAAGAATCGTCAACGCCAGCCGTGCCTCCGACCACTACTGAGGTGCCGGCCCCCGCTGATCAAGATTCTGAACCTGTCTCACCGGATATTGAGATGAAAGAGACCGTTGCTGAGGCAGAGGCCGAACTGGAAGAAATCGACGATGCGTTAAAAGCTGTTGAAGAGGTCGAAGAACAAGAGAAGCAAGAAGCTGCTGCAGCTATGGCTTCTGGAAGTGGAGAGGCTACAACCACAGGTACAGGAGAAGTTGCTCCACGACTCGCTGGAGTTGCCCCGGCAGCTGCTTCTGATGTAGTCCTCACTTCTGAAGCCCCCGCTTCCGCGGAGGGGCCGAGTCGTGAGTCCGTTGCTCCTTCTGCTGAAGCTGCGCCAGCCGAGGTTGCGCATGGTACTGCCGCTGCTGCTTCTGATGCTGCTACAGCAGCGCTAGCTTCTACTCAAGTGGCCCCCGCCGTCGCTCCTGCAGAAGACGGAGGAGCGGCACAAGGACAGGAAGGCGCGCCTAATCAAGAGGGTGTGGAGGAGCCACCTGCTTCTGAAGACAAGTAGAGCGAAAAGAAATCTGAGTTGAGTTATTTGCTACAACGACGGCGTTCAGTTATTTCATTTTTACGACACAATGTCTCTGTCGAATTTCAAGAAGGTGAGTCTACTTCTGCTGCTACCTACACGGTCAGGAGAGAACACTTTCAGAAATCAAAACGTCCCAGACCCATTCATCGCGATTGTATTGTGATTTTTACAACATCATGAAACTCGATGCTGCAGCAGCATTTTTGGTGCCTGCACAAATGCCTGCCCGATTGTGTTCGTTTTTCATCATCAAAGCAAAAAAAACATTAGAGTCGACGTAAAAGTTGGCACACTGCACTTCATTTGTTCCACCGTGAACGTGATGTTGGCACACTGCACTTCTCAATAACTATCTAGTTGAGTGTTTCTCTTTCTTGTTCAAAATGACGTCCTTTCGTGTCTTCTTTCCCGCGGCCCTTCTCGTGCTGAACCTCCCTCGGGTACTTCTGTGCCCACTTTTTACGCTGGTCAACATCATTTGCTAAGCGACAGGCTGTCGTGGAGCAGCGTTTCGAGGCTCCTCATTTGAGGACAATATTTTCGAAGATGATGAGCAGTTACCTGACTTGTCACTTGACGATATTTTCGAAGATGATGAGCAGTTACCTGACTCACCAGACGACCTTGCAGCTGCAGACTTTCTGGATCCACGTTCTGGGGATGCCTACGATGATACTCACGCTGATGATCACGCTGATGCCCACGTTGATGCTGTAGCTCCAGCTGCTGAAGCTGAACGCGTTCCTGCAGACGCTTGCCTGTTATGTTTAAGGTTCTGGAGAATTGAGTGCTTCTGCTATCAGTGTCAAAGTAGAAAGTAGAAATATAACTCAAGAAAGTTAGTACTTCGTAGATGGATCATGACCAAATACTACTATAAAAAAACTACCAGAAGAAGACAACTTCGACGAAGATATGGCAGCATCGTCGTGGGATTTCTTGACTCCTTCTACACACATCCCACATCGTCGTGGGATTGCTCTAGTACCAGTAGGTGTCTAACCTCAATTGTCACCGCAGATGAAGGGACGAGAACCCCTCGAACACGAAAGCTTCTTTCTTTTCTACGACGACCGGCTAGGGCTACTTCAGCTTTGCAACGAAAAAATACTCTTGTTTCTAGAAGAGTACGAACTCGCGGAGATTTACGGAAGTTGCCTCAGGCTCAGGGTTTATGATGCTGGTTTTTTATCTTTTTCATGAGGATCATGCTCATGATCATGATCATGATGGTGTCATTGTCATAAGTTGTAATGACGTTGATATTTTCGTGCGCACCGAAGGTCTACGTCCTCGTTTAGTATGCAGCATTGTAGTTGTCATTTCTAATCTTCGCAAAATTCTATTGCCCCTCTCTGGCTCCCATCTGCGAAGAAGATGATACACAGGAAATGATATCTTTTGCAGATTCCCTTTCTCATCAAGATGATCATGACGATGACGAGGAGTATCCTACTTGCTGGTCTCCCATTCGTGAAGACTACAACATCGACGACATCGAAGGCCAGGTCGAATTGGAGGAGCAAATAAGACGGACTGGTGCAGCGTCTGTACTATCTTCTATCATCAATCAACATCAACATGATCATGCACGTGGTGCTGGCCGAAAAGTAGTAGATCCAAAAAGAGTTCCGTCATGTCTGAGTCTGGTTCCCCCTCCATCATACGATAACCGCGCCACCGCCAGCGCCAGCTCCTCCTCAACAAGAACGGCCGGACCCTCCTCTGTCCCAATTGTCACAATCGCGGACGACTTTCATGACGTCAGAAGATTGCACGTGGACCTGCTCGATTACATCACAGATCCTCCAGCTTTAGAAGAACCTGACTTACGCCACGGACATGGTGCAGAACAGCCACGACCACCACGGATGTCTATGACTCCTCGTACGGCCAACGTTACTAGGTCTAGGAGCGTCTTGATGTGCGGGCATGCTGATCACGATGAACGTCATGATCTCCAGCAGCCAATTGCAGCAGAAATAGACGATGACGTTGATCATGTTGGGCATACGCTACACGAGCCTGCTTCGCAGGAACCACTACGACCACCACGGAGGAATAGAAGAATAACCGACATTGAAGTCGGAACCATTAAGATGGCAACGGTTGCAGAAGCTGTCATATTTGCGAATGGGCGTGATTTAATGCTTGACGGGAGACTATGATTATGAAGAAAATGCTGGACCATGCATGTGGTCTTGCGAAGTAGAAGTCTTGTTCGTGGTTTATTTCGAAGTACGTCAGTAGTTCGTGTAAGTAAGTTGAAAACGAAAAATAATAATTCTTCCTCCCGACTGTGTTCGTTCTGATTATTTATTTTCCTTGTGCAGTAGTACATACTGTTATTTTCCTTGCGCAGGGTTAGTTCTTTGTCCGTTGATTTATCACCGTCTAGAAAACACTCACATACTGAACACTTGATAACTTCTTCATGGAGGAGGTCAAGTGGCATTTCGATTTTGCAATTTTGTTTAATTGATCGCCCCCAAAGAGACCCTACGGGCAGAAGCAGATAACCCTCTTAGAGAGAGAGAGAACTCATCCATAGTTAAAGAACCTTTAATACTCAAAAATGATCTTACAAAGATGACCATCTCCGCATAAATCATGTGCATCAACTGAATTTTCATGCGCACTCCTATTTTCCTAACCCTTATGGGTATGGGTTTTTTTATCAAACCTAGTTGTCTCTCTTAAAAATACTTGTGATGTAGTTGTAGGCTAGGTGTATTAGAGATGTTCTATCGTTACCTCAAGTTGAGCATGCTAATAATTGATTGCGAAAAGGCAGCTGTAGGAGGATTTTTTTATTCCAGTTTCAGTCCAACATCTTTTTGTCGTTATCCCAGCACTAGGTGGGATGTTTCTGTCATGGTTGCAGAGCCTAGTAGTAGGGCTAGAGCACCACAAACGAGCACATCATTATGGTGTTCAAAAGAAGTGATTCGCTTTTTTGTTGAAAAGATAAACCGGAGTACATCAAACGGGCTGAGAGACCACACTGTCGAGTGAAAATCTTCCACAAGAAGCTGCACGTCTGAAACCTTCCTTAGATGGAACAACAACATTACAGAACAATCCACAGCAGTCCATTAAAAGAACAACAACATTACAGAACAGTGCAAAGCTAAGTTGGTGTAACGTTCTTCTAGTGTAGCATGTTTGCGAGGCTCGTCAGCAGCCTTTAAAGTCTGCCACATCGGATGGTAGGCCCCAACCTAACCTAACCACGAAGAAGTTCTCACTCTCAAACGGTTTTCCCATGTAAGTACAAGTAGCACAACGCTATGCACATGATCGCTAATATTTCATTGACGGCTCCTTGATTTTGAATTTGAGAGAATAACACGGTCGACTGCCTGAAGTGAAGACGAAGAGCATAGAAATCAAGCTAAGTTACTATAGGATCATGATTTCTATGCTAGGATCATGATGGATTTCCGCAGTGCGATACCAGCGCCACATCCGGCGCCAAGGGACGACGACATTGAACGCAAGCTTCAAGAGGGCCTCAGGCGTCTAGAGGATGCACGCTCTCTTGTGTCGGCTGCAGCTCAGTTCAAGGGTGGATCGGAGCAAAAATTTACGACGAGCAAAACAAGTAAACTAGGAGGTTTTGGAGGCGCAGCAGGAGACTTCTCAGTATTAAGGCTACAATAAATGCATCTTCACAGACATCCTGAGACCGTTTTTCAAGGGGACGAAAGCAGGCCCAAGATGCTGCTGAAGATGGACTTCTCCTAGTTCTAACAGTAATGGGCGTAGGAGAAGAGCCATCAACTGCATCTACGACAGTCTCCGAAAGAGCGGACAGCAAGATGTTGCAATCATCTTCTACGACCAGATTAAACCGCGGGAATCATATGTCTTCGTCGCGAAGTGCCCTACAAGCGTTAGCGCCAGAATTCAGCACTTCAGTGTCTCTCTCTGGAGGACCTTCCTCGGCAAGTGTGTCAAAAACTAGTGTTTTCACTGGTGCCGGAAGTAGAAGTGCGAGTAAACAAGTAGATCGGGAGGAAATAGGCGGAGGAGGAATAGCTGCAGTGGACAACTCGGTCGTCTCAGCAAGCGTCTATCCAGCACCGTCACCATTGATTATGTTGTTGATTGGTTTTGACTATGACGTATGTTGACCTCTAGTGCTTGTTGTTCCTGTCGACAATTTCGGACTACTGATCTGGGCAACTCGCCATGGCCTCTACTAGTGCTTGTTGTTCTACATTCTAGCTTTCCGTTCTACTGCTCAAACTCAAATGCAAGCAGAGGTAGGAGTCGGACGTGAGATCCACAGAGAAGTAGTTTTTGAGCTTCTCGAAATTCATCAATGATCGAAGAGGTCTAATTTCTGCACGCGAAGTCGAGGAGGTCTGGGTGGTGATCCAGGGAATACCTCAGGTCTCTTTCACCTTCCGAAAACACCAAGCAGTTCTTCAGCTGCATATAATGCTGCCGGTGGAGCTGGCAGCTACAACAACGACAACGCGTTGAACACGACGAATTTCATCACTCGATATAACCCTGTTGGAACTTCCGCGTCTTCAGTCCGCTCTATGCCAGTGACGACAGGTGGCAGAACGCAGCCCTACTTTGGAAATCAGGGAGGAGGACCTACTTTTAAGGCATCCACATTTTTATAATATATCACAAAACAAAGAGAAGAAAGTAGTAGAAGAAGCTCACCACGTCAACTGCAACTTCAACTTCTTATTTTGACTCGTCTTCTATTTTACTGATTAAGATTATCGGAAACATCAAATCAATCTTTTCGTGTCGCTAATTCCGCACCAGCCAGCACCATGCGAGGCGGAACTTCACTTTTAGAACGGACCAAGCCAGGCCATCTGCGCGACCAGGAGCTGAGGATCAAACAAATGGAGTTCGAACTGAGAAATCGAAGGTTAGAAGACGAAGTCGAAGGCCTATCCCGTAGATTAGAGGAGCAGAAAAATCAGAGTGAAGAGCGAGACCGAAATGCTGCAGAGCTAGCACAGGAGGCGAAATTTATGAAACAGATTTACAACGCCATCTGTAATCAGTAGGAGTGTCGCTAGAAGTACGTACTTACTAGAAGAGCTAGTTAGATTTAGATGTCCTCCTCCTCGCTTTCTCAACATCGTACAACACGCTCCACGACAACGGACCCTTTCATCCCACCTCTCCGCTCCGAAAACGAAGAGCTTTATGCGCGTTTAGAACGCGCAGTGGCTGAGGCAGCGAGTCTGCGACAATTTCAAGAGAATTACAGTGGCGAAAAAGCCGCTCTAGAGGATAGGGTGAAGGAACTCGAGATCGCAGGAAGCGAGATCCAAAACAAAGCAGTAGAACTAGAGGCTGAGTTGGAGGGTACCCAGAAATATGCGTCAGACCTCGAGGACGCAGAACTACGAACGACTGGGGAGAGCGAGGAGATCAAAAGGAAATTGGAGGAGACGCAGGTTTTGCTAATGCTAGTACAGATGATGAAAAAAACTTCATATTATTATATTTATTTCATCTACTTCTTCATGGGATCCACATTCTCATAAACACACCAACAACGATGAAACAGAAAATTCTATTACTAGTACAGATGAAACAGAAAATTATATCTGTAGAGATGAAACAGAAAATTCTATTACTAGTTGTAGAGATGAGAAACAGAAAATTCTATTAATTTGCAGCTAGTAAAGATGAAACAGAAAATTCTATTTCATCTACTTCATGGACAAAAACTTCATCTTGATTCGTTTTCGCGGGATCCACATTCTCATAAACACACCAACAACTGCATAATTGCTCAACGAACAGGTAGCCCTCTGTTCCAGCACCAAGCAGTGTGACGCTTACCACGCAGAGCTCAGTGGCCTACGCAACGCACTCCAAGAACAGAAGACTCAGATGAGCGTTATGCTAGCACAAATGCAGCATATTTCACAGTCGAAGGACCGTCTAAAAGCCGAAAAAAGAAGAGCGGTTGAGGAAGAGAAAAGTTATGATGGTTATTTGGATATTGATTTGGATAGGACGAGTGGTAACTACTAAACTAGTAGACCTTTTTTAGAAGTACTGAGCCACATGAATCATGTCGAACGTGAATCAACTGCACGCAGTGTATTGATCATGCGGTGATTCATTCAATTCCAATTGTTCTGAGCAACATACTTTTCTGATCATCTTCCTTCTCTAACTCCCAACACGCGAAGAAACCTTCGAGTTAGAGCAACAGTTTCAAATTATGAAAGCGCAGCTTGATCATGCCTACGTCCGGAACGGCGAGATTTGTAAAGAACTAGGGACGACCGCGACAGGGGTGAAAGTGAAGAACAGGGCAGCGAAGTGGGCGAGGGAGGTATTTGTTCTTAGAATTATGACATACATGGCTCCAAGAAGAACTACAGAAGTAGAGTACAATGGTCAACATATCCAGCATGATCCTATCCCAGTCGCAACAGCAGCCATGCATAACATATCCACAACATCAAGATCAACCCACCAGGTAGAAATCCTACACAAGTGGAAAGGCAAAGCACTTATCACGATACATGCGCTCCAGACAGAGTTGAAGCAGGTCCAAGGAAAATACCACAAGTATCTTCAGTACGCGCATAGACTTCACCAGCAAGAAAAAGAAGCGGCAAGAAATGCTCAAGGGGGTGCTGGTAAATAAGTACATACTTAAGTAGATCAACAAGCCGTGCATAAAAATATGCCAACATCAGGATCATCATAAAAGAACTCTCGTTAACGTAATATTGAACGAGTATCTTCAACGATGTGTATGTGTTGCACGACTTCCACCCCCTGATGGGGAATTATATCCATCTTCTTCACCTCTCTCCCTAGGGGCAATTATATCCGCCAGTACTGCCGGAGGGAGCAGTCCACAGCAGCCTGCTTTCTCCAATGCAGTCTTGGCCGCTCATCAATTCGGAGACGACCAGGGTCAACAGCTACTATATCCCTCTGATGATACGAGTGACAGCGACGAACAGAACCTGTCGTTCGAGGACTTGGAACGATGATGGTGTTCTCGTTAGCTTCTCCTCGTCCAACAACTGAGCAGAGTTCAGTTTAATAGACGTTTTGCTTGTGGATGCTCATCTTAGATTCATGAAACAAGAATTACCATGATCGCCAAGTGCCAGTGCGTGTTTGAAAACAAGAGAAACTTTCCGGCTACTTCTAGTAGGTTTTTTCCATGATCCTCGTCAACGTCAAGTGCGTGTTGAAAACAAGGGAAACTTTCGAGTTACTAGCAGCTCAGTTTTTTAGATTAGTCATCATCTTAAATAAAGTTCAAGTTCTGTTTAGACGTTCTTTTGAACAAACGGGCATCAGATTCAGTTCAGACCTTTGGGTGTGCGTGTGCAACGCAGACGCAATATAATCAACATCTTCACGATGACAATTCTCCGTTGTCTTAGAATTAAATTCGACCGTTCTGCTAAAACGCAAATACGACCAAAGAAGTCAAATGATCCTTATCCGCTTCTGCAAGGACCACGCAGACTGATTGCGACACACGGCGGCAGGGAGGTGGCAGTACCACAATTATGTCCTCCTAAGCTACCTTTGTGTTATTTCCCCTCCCCTTCAGAAAGCGCAAAATTTCAAAGAAATGGAAACAAAGTTGTAAAAAGAAAGAGATGACGGCAGCACAAGAACCGAGAGCAACAACTACCGTGAGAGTAAAAAATATGAGAGATGATGGCTGCTCTACGATAAGATGGAAGATGTATGAGAGGGACTAGACGATGTCACGCTCACGAAAAAAGAGACTTAGCGCTAGAACTACTTGCTAATTAGAGTACTGAAAGGGCGGTTGTTCCCTGCATGACGACATCATTGTCCGTTTATTGCTATTGGTGGGTACTGATAAATGAATTAGGCGGGGATGGAACAATTATTATTTCCTACTGTTTTTGTGTTTTTGTTTCCTAGATAGGCGTGCTCCACCAACTGTATTATCCCGATTCAGTTTTTGTACGTCTTGTAGCCAATTTTCCTTCATAGTGTAAATCATCCTTCTGGCGTTGTAGTTCTAGTAGAATACTAGCAAATTTACTTCCATCATGACCACCATGACACGATCTTCCGCAGCCCACGTCGAGCAGCAGCGCATGTTGCTCGAGCGCGTGCAGACACTGACTCGCGTAGCGAAAAGCTTGATGGGTAAACCTCTGCCTTCAGAACAAAGCCACCTAACTGATGATCTCGACCGCATTCGTGCTTTCGCATCAAGGCTAGAGTTGGCACGTTTCCGAGTCGCAAATTTGCGCGATGCCAGTACACAAACTGAAGAAGACCTCGCCAGCGAGGAAGGGAGAACCAGGAGCAGAGGCATGTTGGGAATCAAAGGTGAGAGGATGAACGACTCTCGAGAACATGATGCTGATGCTGACGATGCGCTCTCTACACCTACAGGAGACCACGCCCATAGCAGTAAGCGCTGGACCCCTCACGGTCGTACTTTGTCGGATTGCAGTTCGAATCTCGTAGAGGAACAGCTGCCTTTCTTTCCAGAGCATATTCCTTTATGACGACTGAAGGGCATAGAAAAAGCCTAAAAGTTTTCTAGTACATGAAGAGTAGCTTATTGTATTTGTAGTACTATACTGCAAACCGGTTTGGTCATTTTCATAGATGAAGTTCCTGCTAGTAACAAGTTTCTCACTCTGCATTTTTAGCTTGATGTTAGGTGTACCTAGTACTACACCTCTAACCCACGTCGAGATCGAAGTCGATGGCTTGGAGGAGCTAGGGAATGACGGAAGCCTCCTCGCTGATCGCGAAGACCAGAACAAGGCCACAGAGGGCACAGCCACCGGTGGCTGCATTGAACCGACCACGACTGCTCTTTCTGAGGATCGTGCTGGAGAAACGGCACTACACGACGAGGATATTTTGATGGATCACGACGGCGACAATCAAGATAGTAGTACACCTCCTGATGCAGTGATTCGTCCTCAAGAAGAAGATGGCGACACCCTCATCCAGCTTGACGAGGGTGCTATCATAATACAACGTTCTTCATCAACATCACTTGCAGATTCTGATGATGATGAAGAAGATGATCATTATCATGAGAGCTTGGAGCGGGAAACAGACAATGACAAGGACAGCATAGCCACCTCCGTTCAACAGAATGTGCAGAAAGTACTTGAAGCGTTGGCGGAACAAAAAGCGGAACATCATGATCAAGAAGAAAATCATTCATCTCAACAAGGTTCTCCAGTAGGAGCAGCACCCCACTCTTCACTTTCTTCTCCTACTCCGCCAATGTCGAGAGCAACAGTATCTTTACAAGGGTTGGAGGACCCGCCACTACAGGAGCCGGACGAAATTGATTCGGAAGAGCTCGTCACACTTCCAAGTCCGAGAGAGGCAGATGACGATGAGCAAGTAGAAGAACAACAGCACCCACCGAATCCGAAAAATACAACTAGTCGTCGTGTAGCAGGAGGACCTGCACGGTTTTCCGACTACACTGCACCACCGCCGGCTTCTGTGGCTCTAGACACCGTACTTGGAGGAGACACGATGAACGACGACGAGGTGGAAGATGCTCCAGAGGATGCTATGAATCCAGTCTACGAAATCGATGCAGACGATGTGGAGACAGTTGAGGAGACGGAACAGGAATTTGTAGAGAATCTTGTAGAGGAAGATCCAGCTGCAGTAGAGAACCTTGTAGAACAAGATCATGCAGATTCTCATGTTGTAGAACAAGGTGGAGGACCCCAACAAGAAGATGCTCAGCCAACTACAACATCTTCGTCTTCCAAATTAGATCTTCATCGAGCTGCGCCAGCAGCAAGTTTTACTCCTGCAGCTGCCGCGCCTGTGATCTCTCCTCAATCGTCTGAAGGTACAGCTGCCTCACCTGCAGACATGAACAGCTTTTGGTCGGAGCGCGAAAAAAACATCAGAGGTATCGACGTCCCCACAGTCGCTAAGAATCCTACATTGCGAGCCCTATTGCAAGAGCGACAGGAGAAGAAGCATGAAGCTGCTCAGACGAGCAAAAAAGCAGACGAGTTGTCTACTTCTGATGCGACTTTATCTTCATCAGCTATTAAAAAAACGGCACCCAGCAAGTTGGAGCAGGAGCCGGCTATAGATGCACGAGGTCAAGGACCTGCTCCACATGATGTTGGTACTACAACACTACGAGGTATGTTGCAAGAACAAGAAGAGGAAGCAGAGTCCCTTGGTACTACAGAACCAACAGGACATCATGGTGAGGAGAATCTACTTGCAGCAGTAATGGAGCATATGCAGAGGGAGAAGGGTGAAGACGATTATAATGTACCTTCTGGCGCGACTAGTAATACAAATACACAGAAATCTGAGATAATGAACGTTCCCGCACCAGCAAAGGCCTCGCCACTTTCCATGTCCTATGGTGAAGAGCTCGTAAGCTCATCAAGCCTCGTCTCGAGAAATGATCCGGAAGCGCCGTTTGTGCTTGCACCATCAGGCGAAAACCTTCGTTCTCAGGCTGACGTCCCGTTGGCGGTACTTTGTTGCTTGTTTGTTAATCAAAAATTCTAAAATATTATCTTGCTGTATTCTCTTTGAAAAGTGGTGAAGATGGCGCTTGCGCTATTTCATTCACAGCATAATTTTCAGGCTTTCGCTCCCCCGAAGCGCGTCGCTTCTACCGAAGGACCACGTCTCCGTAGTCGGAATGGCTCCGAAACAAGGCGAAGCCGTGTCGCAAAAGGAACCGACCAGGCACCTCCAGTCATGCGTGAGAATTCAACGCTCTTTGCCGCCACTGCATCAACAGACAACAAACAACGACGTAAGTCCACTGGAGGAGGCGCAATCGCTGCAATTGCTGCAGCGGCTTGTACTTCGCGTACGAGAACCAATGCTCCTAGTGTTAAGGGTTGCCGAATTGCATAATTCTTCACTTGCATCCTTGACCTTTTTTCAGGTGGAAAATGTGTCCTCAAGGATGTTCTGAAGAATGTACTTAAAATGCTGCAACCTCTAATAGTGGGGGCATTAACACAACTACTACAACTCGAAGAAACGGCTCGCGAGGATCATCTACTGCACGAACGGGAACATCTTCTCAACAGAACGCCTCAAATTACAAAGACAAATCCTCTAGTAATCTCGTCCAGCATGGTCAACAGATGAACGAAACGACTCCACGTGTAGCTGCCGGTTCTGCGCAAGCTTCCTCTAGAAGTACACCACGGGTTGGAGGGGGAGCTGCAAGTGCTAAAGGAAATATCTCTACCTCGTCAACAGATCAGGAAGAGGAAGGCCACCAAGATCATCTAACTCCGCCGTCCTCTTCCCCGACAGGAGCAACTACATCTTCCGCAGTTGGTTCTGCGCAACAACATATGATAGCGTCTACGCCGCCAGCAGCCCAAGCACATCGTTCCCGACTCGGTTCGCGTAGTCCTCGTGATGGTCGTCGCGTGACGAGATCGCCTAGATCAGCGAGACTTTCGACGCCACAGGGTCCACCGCCAATCGCGTCTCCACACCAGCTCCAAGCTGCAAATCATAGAGCAGGAGGTCTTGGTGTTGGACAGGTGATATCCACTTCTAGTTCAACCAAGACGTTGAGCACTTCTAATACTATGCAACAAGTGAATATTGCTTCGAGTACAACTAGTACACCTGTCGTGGTGCCGTCCTCATCTGGAGGCAACAACTCTTCAGCATCTTCCTCAGCTCCTCCGACGTCTTCTGAAGAGGAATTCTTCACATCCGGTGGGATAAAGACTACACCTACGACCTCGCGTCTTCGGAAGCCGAAAACCAGTGCACGTGGTACTAGTGCAAGCAAACATCATTCGTCAAGAGGAACATCAAGGTCAGGTTCATTTGGAGCATCAAGACATGCAGATGATTCTCCACGACCACCACCACAGCCACGTGATGAAAAAGGAGGAGCCAAAACAAAAGTTGTAGACAAGAAGTCTCCAGACTCATCTGCTGTCTTAGTGAACGACATGGAGAGGGCACCAGCAGTTTTCTCTCGTCCAAACCAGTTTTCTAAGAAAACACCTAGCAGTCGAACAAGTGGCAGGAGCAGCAACAGCAGTGCTGAGGAACAAGTTGTACAACCAGAGCAGTTGCAGATGAGACTAGGAAGTAGGACTGGTGCCAGTGCGGCAAGTACTTCGACGTCGACATCCTCATCAAGCAGGAATTCGTCCAAGCCAGGCAGTGTCGACGGTGGGGACATCAATTATGCACAAGAATCTAGTAGGACACCAGTAGGAGCTGTAGCTCCTGCGGAGAAGTACTACACCGCAGTTCCGACCAGGAATTCGTCCAAGCCAGGCAGAAGTGTCGACGGTGGGGACATCAATTATGCACAAGAATCTAGTAGGACACCAGATAGAACCAATTATGCACAAGAATCTAGTAGTACTTCTCCGCAGGAGCTGATTTCGAAGTACTACACCGCAGTTCCAATTGATGACGGTCCCCCCAACGCGCAGCAAATGTCGAGGAAGCAGACTGTAGCACGACCTTCCGCCATGAGCACTCCGAGTGCTTCTACCCTAGGCTCAGCAGGTGGAAGCTTTGGAACGCTGTCGCTATCGGCTGGTGCTCTTGGTACAACGACGCTTCGACGAGTTGCTAGTCATGAGACGACTCCAGTTGCTTCTTCAGGATCAGCGAATGGTCGTAGTACCAGGAATTTGTCGAAACCACAAACTGCTAGAAGCGCAAAAGAAAGCGTGATATTGGCGACGCCAGAGAAGGCACAACATGCACAGCTTTCTAGTACTTACAACAACAACAACCTTAATAACCATTCAAATGTTGTGTATGTGGTTGGTTCGGCGCCACATCCTCCGACGACATCTAAGGCTGCTAGTATCAGAACGTCTTCGGGAGGACGCACGACTACAGGAGCATCGTTGAGATCAACGTCGCGAGAGCAGCAAGACGAGCAAAAAGGTGGTCAAGGTGCGTTCTATACCCCACCTACCTCAGCAGCTTCTTTAGGAGCAGTCGGTGGAGCTCCTTCGGGACGTGTTCCCACATCCGGCACCACAACAACTTCTGCGGCACATCGTAAATCTCTACCTCCACCTGTTCCTCGGAAAGCCTCACACGGCGAACAGCAACTCGCAAGTGAAGTTGTGCCGAGTGTGAGTGCAAACGGGCAACAACAAGTGCTGCAGCATAAGAAGATCATGAACAACGATTTCGCTGGGGCACCATCTTCATCTCAACACCCTATGGCCGCTACAGGTGGGGCGTTTCAACAAGAGGAAGATGACGGAGGTGTTGAGCGTGTTGCTAGACGACCTCGCAGCAGTGACAAACCGTCGTATCGTGTTATGTCACTCGGAGGAGGTGATCAGAGTAGACCTCCTGGAGTCATGCCCTTACCAGGATTGAGGATAATGCAACCAAGGATGCCGCCGACACAGGTACTTCATTTCTTTTTGTTCATGAGGTTATTGTTACATCAAGAAGAAATAGGGGACAGTAGAGTTTTAGAGAGACTTGTAACTACACCGTTTCATCAAAATCCAAATCTACTTGTTTCATCAAGTTCTCCTTGTTTTTCTTGCGAAAACACAACTCTACGCTACCACTACCAATCTCAATCTGAAGGTAATGCAGCCTGTTTCTTTGGGTATCGAAGTCCTTCGCCACGCATCGAGCTCGCCGACAACAACAAATCTTCACGGTCACGCTCCTGGTCAGCTCTTCCAACCAATGCTATCCGCTCTGTCTCCGAGACCACAGGTAATATTGATACATGCTGGACGACGATAGAATCAGAACACTCGACATCCTCGCAAAGAAATAAGATCCTGCTAAAGATTACTTTCATCTTCATCTAATTCATCTAAGTGGTTCTAAACTCTTTACCACGACAGCGCCTCCTGGGACCACAGCAGACACGGGGCCGGACAACCGGTATGATCCGCTTGAGCTCGCCTAGTGGATTATAGTTCTTGGAGAGTTGTACAGGGAAGAGGGGCAGCAGCGATCTGTCAAAAAGAATTAAAGCAATTTTGTCTCTACTTCTTGCACGATGAGGATTTTCATCTCAACCTTTTATTTTTGAACATCATATTGCCAATTTTTCAGATCAGAAAATTCAACGTTTTCGAATCTTCCTTGAACAACAGCAGACAAGAACTGTCATATACTAAAAATATTTTCCTTAATAATTTTGATGTCAAAATCAAAGATTAAGCTCAGATAATGCTCTGCTTTTTTATCTTTGTCCTCAAGAATTCTCTTTCACTAGTATCAGAGCTGAAACGCACCGCTGATGGAGCTGCAGCTGCCAGCAGAGGATCGGAGTGATCAGGAAAAAGATGATCAACGAAATATGTAAGGTGAGTATACTAGCCTGCAGCGCCCGACTACAACACCCCCTCGCGCTAGGATTCCCCTCCTCCCGAAGTAACCCGCGGAACACTAAGCAAGGTTGCCTGCAATTCAATTTCTTGGATTTGAATTCCTAAAATCCAAAAACTTCCGATTTTACCAAATTTTTCTGAGATTCATTATCTTGGATTTGAATTCCTCAAATCTAAAAGGCTTACGACTTTCGCAAGTTTTTCAGAAATTCAAGCTCTTGGATCTGATTCGTAAGCCCAAGCTTTTGGATTTGAATTCTTCAAATCCCAAAATTTTTGATTTTGCCAAGTTTTGCCGAGATTCATTCTCTTGAATTTGATTCGCAAGCCCATAAGTTTGGAAGTGCGTAAGGCCCCACGTCCATGAGTTCAGAAGTTCGCAAGTTCATAAGTGTAGGCCCAATCTCTTGGATTTGAATTCATCAAATCCCAAAATTTTTGATTTTAACGAGTTTCGCTGAGATTCAATTTCTTGGATTTGATTCGCAAGCCCATAAGTTCAGAAGTTCGTAAGTTCATAAGTGTAAGTAAGCCCAATGCCTTGGATTTGAATTCCTCAAATCCCAAAACTTTTGATTTTATCGAGCTTTGCCGCGATTCAACTTCTTGGATTTGCAAGCTCGTAAGTTCATGAGTTTAGGATTTTCGAAGTTCATAAGTTTGGGGTTTGGGGTTTGGAAGTGGGAGAGTGCGAGTTTGGTGGGGTCGTTGTTGTTTTTTAGTTTAGCTCCTTAATATTTAATCATCGGTCTTCTGATGTGGTTCAAAGATGAAAAAGCAAGCTGCAAGTATGATCGGTGGAATCTGTTCTGTTTCGGAAAGCAGGAAGAGTAGAGGGCCTTAGCATGATAGTACCCCCACGACACCAGGCGGCATGGATGGTTTGTGTACTAGAATTTTGGTCATGCTGACGACCTTTTCTTGCTTTGACTTTAGATGACTTCATTTGCTCGGCACAATTTGTCATGCTTTTCGTGATGAATTGATGAGTAGTTCACTATAATGCTTCAAACTGCCACAACGCGACTGTTACCAAGGTAGATCACTAACACTAGATCTAGAATCACAGTACTAAAAAACTATGGCGACGTGTTAGTTCTTAGCTGCTTCTTCTTCCACCAACGAGGAGCATCAAAATGTCCACCAGCAAAAACTCTGACTTAAAGATGACGTCCCCTGGAGCCGACGGTCTAGCTAGGCCTCTGCTCCTTGCCCGCGAAGATGTTTTTAGAGGCACAACTTCTTTAGAAGTGTTAAGAGAAACACCGCTATGGGTACCCTGTTTCATCAGTTTCCTGTCCCTTTTCGGGTATTGCGCAGTGGCGAAGTTTCTGGTGGTCGTACTAGCAGATGTCGGGTTTGACCCTACACAAATAGCAGCTACGATTTTCCTGAACCGGTGTGGAAGCATTTTCGGAACCCTTGTCGTGGCAAGATACGTGGATCAGGCTGTGAGGAAGAGCCAGAAGACTGCAGAGGAGGATCGAGTAGATGGACGAAGAAGTACTACAACGCCTACGACGAGCTCATCCACGGTATTGCACACCAGCATTTGGTCCTGCATGCTAGTGGAGCTTGTCTGTTTCACCTTGGTGCCCTTTGCCCTGTTGGTGTTCGCGAGTGCGGGGACCGACGTACAGCTGTACTCGGTGAGTTTTCTGCTGTTTCTCGGGGCGGCAGCGAATGCGGGCTACGGCAGTCCACTCACTGTTCTAGTGCTGCGATTCATCAAGCGATATAATGAGAGAGCAGGGAAACATTAAGGGAAGAGCTTCTTGAAAAAGTTTTTCACTATGCTGTAGCTGTTGCTGTGGCAAGTCGATATCACATTACACGGAGAGGAACCCCTAAAACGAGGAGTGATGATTTTTGCAGCTTGCTTCTGAAATCACCTCGTAAGCACGACCTTCAGCAGCAGTGGTCATCAGCATTATACATAGTGAAATACTAATACTTCTTCCCCCCGCCCTAGCTCTAACTCTAGAATCACCCCACAACAGACTACGGCTCCATCATGAAGTATGGCCCCATCGGATGGGGAAGTTCAGCTCTCTTTCTCGGCTTTACCTTTGATCTTTTCGGAAAGTGGGTAGTGTTCGCGTCTTTCACAATATCCTTCGGATTGGTCACGTTCTTGGCATTCACGTTTTTTAGAGATTGTGCGTCAGAGGATGGTGGAACTAACGATGAAACTCAAGGAAGACCAGGAGATAACAAAGCCCACAAGAGGACTACATCAACTTCTGGTGGCCAGCAGATATTCTTGAAGACATCAACTTGTTCTGATAGCCAAGGGCAGGAAGCGCCCGATTATATCAGAAGAGCTAGTACTCCAGAAACTGCATCTTCATCGAGCAGGAGCACTTCATCATTCTATTCCACGTATTCCATCCTGGTTCTCTTACACCTCTGCCTTTACGGCATCGCCAAATCCGGATCCGATGATTTCCTCTTCGTTTTTTTGAGGAGAACTTTGCATGCACCAGCAACGATCCTAGGCCTCTCAGTCGGCGTCATGTGCACTGCTGAAGTGCCTGTTTTCAGCTATTTCGAATCGAAACTGTTCCCTTTATTCCGCAATTCCGTCGTCCGCGTCTTTCTCTTCTGTGATTTAGTACTTGCAGTTCGATACTTACTCTACTCCGGTTTGCAGAATCCATACCTTGTGCTGTTTATCGAGCCTTTGCATGGAATCACGTATGCGCTGATGTGGCAAGCGGCAGTGCGGTTTGCGACAAACATCTCAACAGAGCAAACGAGGACAACTGCACAAGCACTTGTGGGAGCTTCCTATCGCCAGTTTGGACTGATGCTGGGGTCACTGATCTGGGGTCCTCTGTCTACGGCCTATGGCTTCAGGGTAGTTTATTTGGCGTGTTCGCAACTGCTTGTTGTTATTTGCGGATTGTTCGGGCTGGCGTTTTGGGGGTTGGCGGGGGTGCTGTAGTAGGTTTTCTCATTGGGCTCAAGGAAGAGTGATACAGCTTGTACATCCGCACATGGGGAAGCAATAACCGAAGCGCTATGAGCACTGACGTGCACCGAATATTGGAAAGGTGTGTTCTTGAAAAAGAAAATAATAGGAGAGCTGAAAGAACACAAAAAGAACCATCAACAAGCTTGATCCGATCATCAATATGTTGAGGATATTTTTCATGCTCTCCCTCTCGTCGACGCTCATGATTTTCAAATAAGAAGTTCGTCGACGCTCATGATTTTCAAATAACCGAAACTTCTAACCCGATCACTCAACAGCAAAAAGACGCAATTCGTGATTGCGTTGCAATGAACAGAAAAGACTCGTCGTGTTCGTGTTCGTCCGAGATTGTGCGTACTTATTACTGGCAGCGTCGCCAAGCAGCATTTAACAGCTTGCTCGTCCTTTTTTGACAACGACTTGGAACTGCATACAGATACAACAGAGACATTTTTTTAGTATCCGAAGGCAGAGAGAGAAAGAGAGCACTAGTAGCACAAGCAGTAAAACAGCTTTTACGACATCTCGCTCTGTGGATTTAAATACTTGTTTGCCTTTTTACCCTTTGCGCTTGCGCCTCGACAAATAAGCATGACGGTCGTCCCCGCTTCCAGCGCGGCTCCTACTCTGGCTGCCGTTGCAGCAGCTTCCGGGGCAAAGTGCCACATACAGCTTGGTTATTGGAAGATCCGCGGTTTAGGATCTAACCTAAAGTATCAGCTGGCCTACTCCAATGTACCCTATAAAATGATCGAATACGAACAGGGAGATGAGTCTACAGGGTTCTCAAAGCAGTGCTGGTTCGATGTGAAATGGAATATGGGCATGTCCTTTCCGAATCTGCCGTATTTGCAAGTCGTTTCGGAAGGAGGCGACGGTGCATCGGAAAAATTAAGGAGGGTGAACAATGTGAGAGCATCGTTAAAAGTCGACTTCCATCCGAGCAGCTATTGATATGAGGGTCATAACATGAGTCAACATACAACACTGAGTAGCTTTCAAGACTAATCTACTATACTTCTTCTAATCACAACCAGCACGTTCAAGATTTCGGAGACACAGGCGATTCACCAGTACCTCGCGGCTAAATTTGCCCCTCACTTACTCGGACAGACTCCCGAGGAAGCTGCCGAACTCAACGAACTATTTGGCGTATTGGAAGCGGTGAAAAACACCTGCACTGGAGTCTGCTATCGCGCAGGTGCGGCGAGGGAGACTATAATGGAGAATTGTGAACCAGGTTTCAAAAGGATGGAAGACTTCCTGAAGAGTGAAAGTGCTGGGAGTGGAGGATCTAGTGCTAGAGACTTTCTCACAGGTCTAGAACCAAAGTGGATTGATTTCTACTTCCTAGAACTACTAGAAAGGTTCAACTGGTTACTCGATGACCAGTTGGCGCAGAAATACCCTGTCCTGGGTGCTTACCGTGCACGTGTGGCATCTCTGAACGGTGTCGCTAAGCAATTGGAAGCAGAATTGGCATTAACCTTCAATAACAAGCACGCGCCGCTCAATGGGAAGGCGTTTCCTTTGAAATAAGATATGGCGTGAGCATGTGAGAGTGAGGCACAACGAAGTAAGTATTTGAATGTGGCCGACCACGAAGTTGATCATGATGATCTTTACGCTTGACTTCTTTGAAATAAGATATGGCGTGAGCATGTGAGAGTGAGGCACAACTAAGTAAGTATTTGAATGTGGCCGACCACGAAGTTGATCATGATGATCTTTACGCTTGACTTTTTTAAAGACAAGAACATGTTAAGAAAAAAGTATCATTAATAATCTTGCTGCGCCTAGTTGTTCTGCTCGGTGATCGCTGAAACACACAGACAGTCAACAACATAAACATAAGCCCTACTTCACGGCCTGGGCTCTGGACACCGACACACGCACAGACAGCACACTATCAGTGTCAACTGTCCCGTAACACTACATGGTCAACATGCCATTCAGTGGGAACTCGTTGTACTTCTAGCTGTGTTCTTCTGTAGATCTAGATGCCGGATTGACGTGGATCCTGATAAAACAATTGACGATATCATCATACAGCTTTGCTCTTCCTGTTTCATGTTGTAATAGAGACTGAAGAAGAAAGCAAACAAGAAACAAGCTAGCTAGTTGTTGTACAACTAATAAATATTAAGGCTTCAGGTAATCCATCTCCAGAGGCATCCTGGGACCTTCCTCTAAGGGAAAAGCAAGCCCAGGATGACACTCAAGATGGATTCCAGGAAGCTCTAAAAATACAAAAGCTCCTGAAGATTGATTTGCATGAAGAAGTTGCTGTACTAGCTGTCTTCCTTTCACGACTTGATGTTGAATGTGTCAGTTGTACATAAGAACTGTTGACTAAACTACGGACTTGTTTCGTCAAGAACATCATCTTCTGAATAGCCCTCATTATTTATCATTTAATTAAAGATTGAGATTTAGATCCTCGTCAAACAAGAATGCCTCCTTGGCTCCCACGAGCCGCGCGTCGGCGACGCTTGCGGTCAAAAATGGAGGCCGTGGCGGACAATACCTACTACGAAATTTGGAACGCCAGATGGCAACCTTGGCTGCACCAGTTGATCGACGACGCGGAATGGCCAGTGATAGACGCTCTTGCCCACACTGTTGGAACCTCTTGCTCTCCTTGCTATCCGGAACATCAGAAAGTCACGCTGTTCCCATGCTCTTTCTTGGATGTGGGTTGTGCCAGAGCGAGGCTGGAGAGAAGGTAACGGCAGCCAAGCATGCTTACTGTAGTACAGGAACACCTGCTTAAGTAATTTTTGTAATACAATAGCCAAGTAGTTCTTCTTGGTCACAGAAGATATGCTGGAAGTTTTTAGGTAGCTTGTGCTTGTCCTACTTTCATCCCGGAAATAGAAATTGAGAAGTATTATCAAAGATTTTGTTTCATCCACCCGTAGTTTTTCTAACTACCGAATAAGAATCGTCGAAATCGTTTCCTCAGTTTCAGCTTCACTCATCAGGCTCCTTTCTATCGCGCCACGTGATGAAGACTTGCACTTCGTACACGTAGCAGAACATAGATTCGACACGCTGCCAGAAATTCTCTTCGATCTCTCAAACGAAAGCCCAGTCTTTGCAAAGATTCTTGCAGACCTTGATGATCATGATGATTATCATAATCATATTTTTCTTGGCGAAGATAGAAGCCATTCTGCTTCTACAAAAGTCCCAGGTGGACAAGGTGAACAACTACATGCTGACGTTCTGCGGGAAGATGGTTTTGCGGCTGATAGTGCTATGGTTGGACTCGAGGACCAAGTAAGTAACAGAATTACTTCCTCTGGCCATCTTGTACAATCCTCACGAACAAGCAGCAGACCTTGCAGACTAGTTCTTTTCCTTACTGCAGATTTTCCTGCAGAAAGCTCGACTGGCGAATGCGTTGCATCCGATTTTTTTGAGTTGCTGCATAAGATCTCGGCAGTACTTGGCATCTCAGTGAAAGTGTTGCATGTTGGCTCTTCTGTACTGCCAAGATACGAAGACACGCATCACATGAGGCTTCGACAGCTCTGGTACGGTGCACCCGAAAAGTTCGAGACACATTATTGGGAACGACCTGATAACGCTTTTTCGAGAGTGGAGCAAGTGGGTTCTTCTACATCAATAGCTGGAAGGACCGCTGTGTCAGTGCTAGAAGACCAAGAAGACGGACAAGGAAGTGGACAGGCTCTTCTTCAGTCCTCCTCATCATCTTCTTCATCTTCGTCGTCCTCCTCCTGGGCTGCAACCGTCACCGCATCATCAAGCTCATCTGCAGCAAGCGCTAGCGCTCCCTCTACGAAAGTTTGCGCGTTTTGTCTGCCATCCGACCGCAGACAGGAGTTGGTGCGCGACATGCTACACATGGTGCAAACCGACTTCATTGTGCCGCTTCTGATCCCACCTGCGGTCGTCCGTCAGTGGCTAGCGTGCATTGCGCATAGAAATTGGGACCCTCTCCTCGTGTGCAATTGGATCGCGTCTTACGTGCACACTTGGGTCTTTTCAGATTCAAAGGCAGGCCTTCCACCAGATTGGTTCCGCCCCATGCATAGTGTGGAACGCAGATTGCGTCTGAAGTTCTTCAATAACCGAACGCAGACGAAGGAAGATTTGGTACTTCCTAACTATGATCATGATGTTATTTTACAAATTCCTTGTTCTCCGAGTACTTGTTCTAGTACAACTGTAGTTGCATATACAACAGCAATTCATTCATTTCTGTTTGTTGTATTGCGACCACTACTACTACTAGAATTCTTGTGTCATCGTCATGACATCAACCAAGCAGAAACACTAACACAAGAATCCACGTTCATTATATTAACAGGCACTCCTTGCACAAAAGCATGCATCGATTCGGGTAAACCCCTTTCTGGGTCTTCTTCGGATCACAGAGGGTCAAGTTTGTCGGGAAACAGGAACGACGAACCCACTGCAAGAACTTTTTCGAGATACGGCGATTGCAGAAGTCAAAACATACTGCAAAGCCTTGACTGAGGCAGCTTTCTCCAGCGGCGCAGGGAAATCTTGTGATACTAGAGATGACAGTAGCTCCTTGGCGCCTCTACACCTGCAGGAGAAGATGAAGAACAATGCTGGTGTCGAGAAGAGCGCGATGTTTTTCAACGACAGGCGAAAGGCTGTGGCCACACCTCAAAGCTTTAGCGGCAGCTACACGGGCATTGCCGCGTCCTCGAACCTGCAAACTACTGCAGTCGAATCATCCAACAGTAGTACAACTAGAGTTGTAGAAACTGCATCCTTGCTAAAGAGGCGTCCTGGAGGTGGTCGTGGAGGAAACATGTTGAAGGGCGCACCAGTCCACCTAGATGAAGATGTTGACGCTACTAGTGCCAATGCCAATCAGTTGAACATATTAGAACAGCCTCCTTCAAATGCTGAATCGAGCCGAAATAGAACGCCGGATGTGAAGAGGAAAGAAGCTGGTAAAAGTGGCAAGGGCACGCCATCAAACTCTACTCTACTGAAGAAAACAAGGGGTCGTACTCCTAAGGAGGATGAACTTGTTGATGAAAATGACGATGAAACTGGGCTTGAACCACCAAGCAAGAAACGCGCTAGAAGCCGCGGACCAGCGGAGGCTTCTAGGGCAAGCAGGACTAGAGATGAGAAGAGTCCTCTTGCTGAAGTACTGGATCAACCTACTTTGAAGACACCAACACGAGGCGAGAAGAACAAAACCCCTGCACGAGGACGCGGTGCCACACCAAAGCAGAATACTCCGTCAAGGGCGCGAACGCCGACAGCGAAGAGCGGGGTGAAGAGTATGAAAAGCTCTTGGACTCCTTCACGCAAAGAGCCAGTGGTCGTGGTGCTAGATGATGAAACAGCAGAGGAGCAAGAACCCAATCAACGAGCAAGGGTGGAATCTGCATCTTCTTCGGGTATGTTTCTTTTACCAAGATGTACTAGAACAACAACCACAACCACGACGAGAGGACAGGCGGTCCTCGACGAACATCAAAGCATGATCAGCAATGATCTCGAGCCGCATCATCTACTGAGCGATGCTAGTAGAGCATTGTTGGAGAAGATGCGAGCGCCAGCTGACGCAGTCTTCGAAGACCATGTTAACAGTCTCGCAGACCTAGCGATGCACTTGGACTTAGAGGAAGAAGATGAGAAGAAAAACAGAAACACTAACATTTCTGGTGCAAGTTCGTCATCTCATGAAGAGCAGCCGCCCTTAGATCATCATCAGCATCTTCTCAATAAAGTCAAATCCCTTCTATTAACCGCACAAACCCACTTGCTGGGTACAGCGCGCTTGAGCTTCCTTGCGGCATTTTACGAAACCTACTTACCTCAACTTGAGGTGGACAGAAAGCATCACCTGGGAGACTCGGAATTTGAGGCTTTCCTGTCCTTGTCAGAAGCAGAAGAATCGGCTTGGAAGCGTGACGACTTAACTCATTTCCGGCAGTTGTGTGGTCGGTTCATTTATGCTTTTGCAAATAGTATACGTAATGGTGTTTTCTTGTATACTAACGTACAACAAGTACTACAACTTCGTTTTACAACGCTTGTTTTGCGCACGAGCTAATCTTGACTACAACTAACTTCTCATTTTCAGTTGTAGGTAGAAGCGGTCCATTCTCTAGTTCGACAACAACATTGCTTCTTCACATAAGTACTTACTGTCTTACAAAGCAAATACGCCGTCGAATCTCCTCCTTCATACCTCGGGCGGTGCCAACGAGACTGATATCGCGAATTTTACACAGCTCTTTCAAGAGGAATGCGGTTTGCTAACAGGCGGAACTAGTTGTACTGACTCCGACATCTCCGCAGCGAAGCAATTGCGCTGGCTCTTTGAGTCTCCAGAAATTTGGGAGTCTGGCTCAGCTCATCAAAGCATTGAGAACATTTTGGATACGACGAAGATGAGGATGACGAATAGCACGACCTCCACTTCTAACCTTTCCATCACCGCAACCAACACAGTATCTCCATACCTACACGATCGCGCTCCAGGACCATGTCGGTTGTTCTCCTGCAGTGAGCGAGAATGGAAACTGTGCGCTTCGAGAGCATTTGTTATGATGAATATCAACTTGGCCACAACAACGAATTAGAAGAAATAATTTCCACTTGTTGAGTTGATGTAGGAGGTATCTATAAATATCATAGGTGAAATAAAATAAAAGATTAACATGTGAATGTGATCCTGCACCTAGTCTCTTTAACCTCGAGCTCGATCAATACCAGACTGAGCACTCTTCATCTACTTCCTCCTCGTCCTCTAATTTTAGCGACTTTGGCTACAGTGTTCGCTTGCTGGAGCTGTGCGGTACTCGTGTGCCATTGCGCGAACTAAATCCAGTAAGTTTGGCCCAGCTCTGCTACACGAATCTCGTACATGCACCTACGAGGGCGCAAACAATTTTGAAATCAGGAAGTTTGGGTCGCGTCTGGTACACACCGGCACCTGAGATACAGATGCTTCAATTATGGAGACGTGGTTGTTTTTTTCAAAATGATGTTCGCTGATGATGTATTGGGTTCTTTTCATATTTTTCAGAGTCAAAAATGTGCGACATAGCACCATAAGTATACAACTAGCTTGCGGCACACCATTCGGGTGGGCATCTTTTTCCTCTAACTCAATACGGTGATGAATCAAACAAGCAGGGAGGCGTCTTTGCCGACGACGATGGCCTTCTGGGTGATGCAGGGTCACCTGATAAGCTCGCCGGCGCACACGCCATCACGAGTGAAGCGGAGGAGGTAGCGACGTCTTATAATTTGATTCGATGAAAGTAGGAACATCAGAAAATAAGCTAACAACAATCAGCGGATTAGCTTGCGACTCTGCAAGATACATACTGACTTTTTTCTCAAGAAGAGAAAGAGTTTCTTGAATTCTAAGGCCAATGAGAATGTTTGCACCGTAAAATTTAAATTACTTCGTCTACTATGACTTGCTCAGGATCAAGATTTCAATGAATCCTTCACCAGCTCCTCCATTCAACATGAGCACAGACATGCTATTATTGTCCACATCACCGACTCAACAAACGCCCCCCAGCGCCGCCTGCTCGAGGAGCAAGAGCGCCGTTTGCGAGAGAGGAATAAGACGCCACAGGGTAATCGTAAAGGCGGCGTGCTAAAAACCCCACCTCCGATGAAGCAGACGCCTCAAGCCATGAAGAAAACTCCACGTCAACAGAAACTAGGTGGTGTCAAATTTGGGACCAACTCCAAGTTGTCAATGTGGAATGCATAGAAGATCATCATCTTGTACTCAGCATCAATATACTTTTCCTAGTTAGCTTGGCTCCACCAATATAATATACTACTACAAGAATAAGAAGTCAAGGACATGCACCTCACATTTAATAGGAAAGCAGAAGCAGGTCTCGGTCTGGTCGTAATCTTTTGATCTTGAAGATGTTGTCTGTTTCTGTTCGTTCCCCTTCCTTATAAGCTCCTTCGTTGATGACATCAGACGGCTCAGAGAATTTATCACCATGTCGTTCGTTCTTAACGTGGAATAAGCGTGTTCGCCTTCGCATCTTCATACTGGTTGGTGACCACGAGGACGAGTCGAGATATGAGCACGAGTTGTAGAGGAATCATGAGACATCAGTTAATGAAGAACAGTTGTGAGTCAAAAACGTGAAAAAAACGCAAAGTGAGAAGCATCAAGTTGCTTACATTCCCATCGAACATTCAAAAACCATCTGGGAGAGAACAAGTTTTCTGTCCAGTGAGCGTGCGATGAGGTTGAGGTCGTCTTCGATTGAGATAGAAATCTTTGAGAGCCATAAAAACAACTGTAGCTGTCTGTCAGTCACACGAAGACTATGTCTCTGTTTCGAATGCGGGTATTGCATTTGTCGAGTGCGAGAGCAGTCAGAGATGAGAGAGATCGGATAAAAAAGTTCATAAAAGGGTTATCTTCATCTTGTTCGAATTTTCCATCACCCCCTTTTTACAGGAGCAAGAAAAAGACTTGAACGCCCTTCAAGGTCACAAAGAAAAGATAGACAAAAAAAATTAAGCAGATTCAATCACTGAATCTTCATCGAATCTGCCAGATCTAGTCGTCTAAATAGACTTAGAAATCATCTTCCGATCAGCTGTCAAGCAGGTCTCTTCACGACAGTTTTTCAACTCAAAGAGTTCTTAAAGTCCATATTTTTTGGACTTTTTTAACACACGAAACAAAATGGGTGCCGAAGCTTTCGATGCTGCCACCTTCGCTGCCGCGAAGAACAACCTCAAGAAGGGTGGTGCCCCCGCCGCTAAGAAGGCCGCTGAGCCCTCCAAGGAACAAATTGATGTACAACTACTGACTTCTTGCTTTTTTTGTTTAGATGACTATCTTGTTTTTGGTAGTTCTACATCTTCTACTACAACGATGAACTACCATTTTCTATTTCTTGAGACACACAATAATAAAACACACAAAGATGATCACAACAAGAATTCTCATACACAAATTCCATTCTCCACTCCACACGACAGGCCATCGCGAAGTTGTACACCAAGCACAAGGGTGATTTGAAGGCTGTTGCCACCGAGTGCCACTGCGCTTTGGCCGCTATGCAGAAGAACCCGCCGAAGGATGCCAACGACTTCGCCAAGAAGATGCTCAGTGGAGCTTATTCCCTTGAATAATTAACGAATTTTTCACTTGACAAACATGATCAACGCAAACAATCATCACTCTATGTAAAGGCGCAACATCATATTAAAGAAAGAAACACGTGGTAATTGTCAACGATATTTTTAAGTTCTTAGAAAAATTAATGATCATGAAAATGTTAATGTTAATAGTTTTTGAGTAATTGTTTGATGTGATATTTTGGTTTTTTACAAGGTGGAACTGGACTAACTAAGGAGGTTGTAGACGTGGTGATAGCTACTTCCAAGAAGATTATAAGGAAGTAATCATCTTCTTCATCTGGTTCTCCTTCGTGAAGAGTCACTGTCACACCAATGAATTGCAATATTCTTTTAAAGGAGTAGAGGTAGGAATTTTGCTGAACCACGAGTACTAGCACCACTGATATTGACGCCAGTTTTCGCTTGCTGTGACGTAATCCTCCTGGCGTACGTAAAAATGCTGGACCAGACATCCTCTAGCTGTACTCTCAGTACCTACTGCTCCTCATACATTTTTTTAGCTCAGATTAGCAGAAAGTGAAATAAGAACTACATCAAGTTCATACATTAGATTGATTTTACGAAGATATCTTCGAAGTTGGACTCGTCACGTGTGTACTTAGCGCAAGAACATCGTTGTACTACTTCTAGGAGCAGATGAGCACTACTAGGTTAAGAAATACTATGGTAACATAGTATATACATGTTGGAAGTGCATACCCCCACGATCCTCTTCTTCTCAACTACATGGTCATCGATATCTTCATACATTGAATCGTCTTATCATCTAACTGTATATCTAAGTAGTTTATTTAAAAGTGAAACAAAGAACAACATGAAATAAGCCGAGCTCAGACGGAAGTGACGTAGTCACGCTCGCAGGTGCAAAAACCTATTTGATGAAGGAATGAAAGCGCACTCGCTTATATTTCAGTTCTTTGAATCAGATTCGTGAAAATACACACAGAGAATGCATTGGCAGTTCTTACCTGCTAAGGAATAAGGACCGGCAAGAATATTAAGTCCGCTCTCCGTGTTCTATTTCCACGTGCATGATCATGAAGGTGAAATGGGAGCCTACAAGTACTAGGAAAAGGAAGTAGTCGACCTCGAACTACCAGGGCCGTTTGTTGCGGGTTCAAATTCCAAAAAATGCAAGTGGGGTGATCCAGACGATGATGATCAAAAGTCATTCTCATCAATCAAGAACGAGTGCTGCAAAGGGGTGCGAGGAACACTCGCCCTTTTTCCAGGTATTGATCTGTCAGTTGGTCAAGGTACTACAACTGGCCGCCCTGAGGAAACAAGAACACTTACCCTGCTCTCAAGGGTATTCTACCATACCCCACGAAAGGGTACACTACTACTACTAAGTAGAAAATAGAAAAGATGCTTCCTCGACCGGCCACTCGTATCCGGTTCACGTTGGAGGATGCCCAGGAGTACGGAAGATATTTGCAGTGTATGGCTTTCAGATCACAATCACATTAAGTTGTCATCTCCTTGTAAGTATGTAGGTCCAGGGTTTTTTAGGTAGGTCATGGAGGTCCAGGGTTTAGGTAACCCTCTTTCAGATGAGTACATTCATACAACAGACTGGCGGAGCAGTAGGAGGTGCTGACGCAGGACCTTCTAGAGAACCCAATCAGCGTGGAGCTCAACCTGCGGACTCAGCTAACGACCCAGTAGTCGGAGATAGAGCAGGACCTGGTGGTGGATTAGGCTTTAACGCATATGGAAATAACGTTAACGTTGGTATGGGTATACACAGAGATGGTTGTAGCGGTAATGATCTTGGTGGACGACTTCCACCCAGAGGGAGCTCATCGATAGCGGGAGGACCGCCTAGCAACCCAGAACCGGCAGGTAATCGTGTGCCTGCTTCGCCTGGAGGATCCTGAGGTTGAAGACGATTTTAGCATTGTAAGTAAAATGTTCTTGCGACCAAGATTGCGATCATGGCCCTCGTTTTAGTCTAAGTTGTTTTTCAGAAACGAACATCTTCACTATATGATCGCTGCACCACCACCAGGAGGACCAGTTGTTGTGGAGGCAGTAGATCTTGATGTTGTCTCTTCCACCTGCTCTGTCTCTGAAAACCCCTTCCTTGATGACATCAGCCTACTCGTCAGAGAAATAGTGACCTACAAGATTTACTACCTCCGATCAATCCCCGTTTCTCATTTTCCCAACACCGAAATTGTCCCAATAAAAAACTTCAGGAAGCGTTCGAGAGTGAAATTTTCTAGCTAAGTATAGAAGGAAGAACAGAAGAGTATCATATCCTTAATATCCATCTCGTCAGGGAAATCTTAGGCAGCTCGCCGAATAGATTCAAATCATCCCATCATCCTTATCCGTCTTCAGTCAGACTGACTACCTCGCTCACCCTCTTTTCCCCACCTCCAGGAACGCCTCTTGATGTCGCTTGTTTTGGAATTATAATGTTTGACAAGAAGCTGAAACATCTACTTTTTTTCACTGAAGATAACCGAAAATAAATCCATACTATCGTCTAAGAACAACAACATTAATGTCATTATGTCGTTCGTTCTGAGCGTTGGAAAACCGTGTTCGGCTTTGCATCATCAGAAGACCATGAGGACGAGTGAATTAGAGACGAGAACGAGTAGAGGAGAAGTCATGAGTGAAATATGTACGCTAACTTCCATCGAACAACATCCGAAAATTATCTGGGAGAGAACAAGTTTTCTGTCGAGTGATCGTGTGATGAGGTCGCTATAACTTTGGAGATGAGCGCCATAAAAAGTACAACTGCAGCTCCTGCCGTCTGTGGTCATTGAGGAGGACAATCTCTCTGTTTCGAGTGCGGGTATTAAGTACATTTGTCGAGTACGAGGGTCACAGATGAGAGAGATAAGACAAAAAAGTTCATAAAAGGGTTATCTTCATCTTGTTCGAATTTCTCATCCCCCCCTCTCAGGAGAAAGAAAAAGACTTGAACGCCATTCGAGGTCCGCAAAAAAAGGATAGACAAGTAAGACTAAGATTCATCGAATCTTCCAATCAAAAATCTTTTTTTAGGTAGAAGTCTAAAAAGATCTAGCCGTCTAGATAGACTTGGAAATCATCTTCCGATCAGCTTTCAAGCAGGTCTCTTCACAGTTTTTGCGACTCAAAGAGTTCTTAAAGTCCATATTTTTTGGACTTTTTTTAACACACGAAACAAAATGGGTGCCGAAGCTTTCGATGCTGCCACCTTCGCTGCCGCGAAGTCCAACTTGAAGAAGGGTGCTGCGCCTGCCGCTAAGAAGGCCGCTGAGCCCTCCAAGGAACAAATTGACGTACAACTACTGACTTCTTGCTTTTTTTTGTTTACATGACTATCTTGTTTTTGGTAGTTCTACATCTTCTACTACAGCGATGAACTACCATTTTCTATTTCTTGAGAATCACAATAATAAAACAAAAACACACAAAGATGATCAACACAACAATAATTCTCATACACAAATTCCATTCTCCACTCCACACGACTACAGGCCATCGCGAAGTTGTACACCAAGCACAAGGGTGATTTGAAGGCTGTTGCCACCGAATGCCACTGCGCTCTGGCCACGATGCAGAAGAACCCTCCGAAGGATGCCAACGACTTCGCCAAGAAGATGCTCAGTGGAGCTTACTCTCTTGAATAATTAACGATTTTTTCACTTGACAAACATGATCAACGCAAACAATCATCATATTATTTGTAAAGGCGCAACATGAACATCATATTCAAGAAAGAAACACGTGGTACAAGAACTAGTTGTCAACGATATTTTTAGGAGAATGAATGATCATGAAAATGTTATTGTTAATGTTAATCGTTTTTGAGTTTTAATTGTTTGATGTGCATGTGATTTCTTCCTTTACGAGGTGGAATAGCAATAACTAGGAAGGTAGACGTGGTGATAGCTTCCAAGAAGACTATGTATCTATAGGGAAGTGGTCATCTGGATCTTGTTGTTGTTCTCTCTCGTGAAGAGACGATTAATTTCACACCAAGAACGAATTGCAATATTTTTTCAAACGAGAGTTGTATAGGTAGGAATTACTAAATGCTGGATCACGAGTACAACTCGCACTAAAAAAATTGTCGCCAGTAGTTTAAAAGTGAAAGAACATCAGCAGAAAAGCCGAGCTCAGAAGGAAGTGACCTAGTCACACCCCCAGGTGCAAAAACCCATATGATCGTCCAAAAAACCGCGCACTCGGTTATATTTCAGTTCTTTGAAGAGTCATGATTTTTTACACGTAAAAGTTGTGATGCTAGTGCATATCGCAACTACATTAGCAGTTCTTACCTACCAAGGAATAAGGACCGGCAAGGATATTAAGTCCGCTCTCCGTGTTCTACGTGCATGATCATGAAGATGAAAGCGCACTGGGAAAAGGATGTCGACCCTCCAGGGCTTCTTCTTAGGGACAAGTAGAATTGATGCAAAGGAGGTGCGAACGCGAACGTTCACTCAATTAAATGATGTTAATGTTTTTACTTGTTGTTTCATCTTCAAAGTACTGATCCAGATCTACTTCCAGCACATTATCAACGTTGTAGTTCATCTGGAGATACTTACAACTCACTAGAAGTCGTTTAATAAATCAACAACAAAAAGAACGAGTAGAACACAGAAACGATGCTTCCTCGACCTGCAACTCGGATCCGTTTCACCCTGGAGGATGCTCAGGAGTATGGCAGATACTTGCAGTGTATGGCTTCTTTCAAATTGAGATAAGGAAATTCAACTTTAAGTTGCTCGGCTGACATGCATTGATGCTTTGGATGTTGATTTAAGTAGCGACTCTCGTTAATAAGTACGTATGATCAGTTAAATCTACTTCTACGAGAACTGTGATATCTATCATACGGATTATCATAATAGTGAACCTTAGTACTTAAATCCCGAACTACCATACTGCATGACCTAGTTCTACTTCATACAAACTGGCGGAGCAGTAAGTAGTGGAGGAGCTGGTGCGGAGTTAAATCCAGCAGCCGGAAGTAGAGGACTACCTGGTGGAAGCTTTGACGCAGGTGGCAACAACGTTAACGTGGGTATGGGTATACACAGAGATGGCGGCGGTAATGATCTTGGTGGAGCACTTCCACCAAGAGGGAGCTCATCGATAGAAGCGGGAGGACCACCTAGCAATGTGGTACTGGCGACACCAGCGCCGGCAGGTAATCGTGTGCCTTTCTCACCTGGAGGATCCTGATCTTCTGATGGCATCAATGCGACTGTGAGGAGGATTGTTAAATTGTGATCAATAATGAGATTATGACCATGACCCACGGGACCGGTCTCGTATTCAGAAGCTGAGGAAAGAATATAAACCACTTCGCCAGGACCAGCACTTGTCGTCAGTGAGGCAGGAGAAGCTGGGCCAGCACTTGTCGTCAGTGAGGCAGAAGAAGCTCCTTGTTCTTGTTGTTCTGAAAAAACACCTGCTACTTGGAGAAAACACTACTTGTTCCTGAGATGTGTGGATTACGATCCACCAGTTGCTCTTCCTTGAGAAAGCATCCATCTTCATCCATCTTCCACGGTGCTCTTCACCAGATCTAGATCACAATTATGTTGAGAAGATCAGAGAACCCGTCATAAGTAGAGATGTTCCCATGATGCACGTAGATTGAAAATTTGCGCTCCTTCGATAGAGCTAAGGTCTGAATATAGATTCCTCTTGACCACTAGTAAACATCTCGGTTACCTCCGTGATAAGTAGAGTTGTTCCCATGATGCTCGTAGATTGAAAATGGTGCTTAAGAAGAACTCACCACATCAACATACTAAAATGATAAGCACTGCAGGACGACAGAAGCGACTACTTTTACAGATGTTACTGATACTTCATCATGTAGATCCTTCATCATGCAAGAACAAATAGATACGTGAACTAGTGAACTATTACTCACAAGGACGAGACATCAAGCAAGTAAGGAATTGACTCTCAAAAAAACAATGGGTAAAGTGATGAAAAAGATGAAACGGGCAGCGACGACGTCCTCCTCCTCATTACCAGGCGAGCCAACCATGAAGAAAGCAAAAATGGAAGAGGACAAGGCCACTGCGTTGGAAGCAAACAAGCCTTCTACTTCTACTCGTAAAAAGCCCGTGACCTTGAACGGCTACGTCTATGAGAATACGGAGTGGCAGGCAATAGGCGAAAAAAAGATGATGCCAAAAGCTGCTCTTCATCTTCCTATGGACCTTTTGATACGGAAGTTTGCTGAGGAAATTTTGTCGACGACGACTAAGAGGACTATGGAGGCTCCTTCAAAACCCTCGTCGGAAGCGGAAAGTCTTCTCGTGCTAGAACGCTACGCCACCTACGCTTCGAATCCCGAAAAATTTCGAGTCCGTGGCAAGTCCATCCTAGCTCGTCACTCTATGATGCAGAAGAACGCGATGGTGGAGGCAGTCAAAATAGGCACATACGAAACACCTGACAGACAAGAAATGCTCGATTATATCGGAGGCCACTGTTTCGAGTGGGTCCAATCCGAGGACAAGATCCGGGACGACTTGGAACTTTTCATGAACGGCACAGGGGTGCTGGAGATTGAGGCAAAGATCAAAGATTTGCTTGTTGACGGAAAGGCAGAAGATGAAACGAATCTTCGTCCAATCTGGACGCGAGTAGGCGACCTGTTTCGAGAAGCAGTCTGGGGTGACGAAGAAGCTGGTGAGACGGTGAAAAAGCTTGTTGCGATGGCGAGAACCGAATGGCTTCTTTCTGGAGGTGAGGGTGATAAAGAAGCTTCTAGCACTACCACCTCGTCAGATGAAGATGAAGACGCTGAGTCGGAAGTCTCGTCCCTCAAGGAAGCGAAGGAAGAAGATTCTGACGACGCTAAAGAAGGTCGTGAAGCAGACGAAAAAATCGATGTCTTCGGAGATGAAGAAATTGACTCAGATCTTTTTATGTCCGATATCGAGGAAGAGAATCAAGAGAAAGATCAAGAAGCGGACGTCACTCCCGCTAGCGAAAAAGTAGATGAACAAGGCGCTTCTCATTCTGGTTCTGACGCTGCAGAAATGAAGCAAAACGTAAAATTCCTGTTGGACTATGTACTCCCTTCGCATTTCCTATTTCGAGCACCATCCACGACACATCAGCCAGGAAGAACACAAGGATCCTCATCTCTAGATGTCTCAGAATTTTCGCTTCAGGAAATTTTGGAAGGCAAGCATGCTCAAAAGGGCACTAACATCTTTGACCCTTATAACGAGGAGGCGACGGCCGATAAAAGATACGACGGAGAGGTATCCTTTCAGAATGCTCAGGGAAAGAAAATCAAGACCTCGAAGCAGAGCACATCGATGACTTCTTCTTCGTCAACGGGCACATCCAGTACATCGATGACCTCTTCTTCGTCTACGGGCACATCCAGTACATCGATCACTTCCTCGACCACAACAAGTACAACAAAAGTGGCCGCCGCATGGAACGACCCTATCATGCCTATCAAAAATCTCCAGAATATACTAAGTAAGGAACATGCGAAGCTGTTTTCCGTGATCTCGAAAGCTGTAGAAGAGTTGAATCCTGAAAATGCTGCAGAACCATTGGAGCAACTTCTCCATGCTGCAGACGAGACTGCAATATCAACGACAACTACAGGTTGTAGACTCGAGTTGCTACGCGCAGCCTTCCAAGCGGCAAAACCACTTTATGGCAACCCCAATGTGGTTAAAAAGAGCAAGCGCTTCAACCGAGTTCTGAATGAAATACCGAAAGCTATCAAGAAGCTGGAGAAGGAACTTCTTCAACGTGCAGAAAAAGCAACAGCGGATGGACAACTAGGAGGTGATGAACAACTAGGAGTCGTTGCTCTTCAGCAAGGTGAACATCAGGTGTTGAGAGAGATGAACAAAAACACACTTAGCTTCAGTAGCGAAACCATGCGTCGTAAAGTTGCAGCAAAGGCTTTTCGGGTCGCTTTTGCTAGTGCGTCTGAAATGAAACGTGGAGAGTTGAAGGATCGATTGGTAGAGTTTTTTGGGAAGGAGATGATCACAACGACAAGAACGAGTCCTCCGTCTAAAACAAGTGGAGAAGATATGAACCTGAAAGAAGTGGCGTTCTTGTTCATGCACTGGGCCCAGCATGATTTCGGCTGGCTGAAATTACAAAAGCGAGTACTCAAACTGACCGAGGATGGTAGTAAAGCGAGTACTCAAACTGATGAATCGAAAGGAGCAGAACAGGATAGAAGTAAAAAGATGGACATGTTCCAATTCCTAAAATCTTGCTCAGAAGAGGCTGATGCTAAAGCAGCCAGGCGAAAAGCAAGGAAGGATGGACGTGGTGGAAAGAAATGAAGCGAACCTTTTCAGCAATTTCCTTTCCCCGGGAGTGAAATCCGAGTCATCTTGATTGATCCGAATTATACTGTATTTAAACTAGGATTGCACCACTCAATCTCAAGAACATTTATCTGGCACCCTTCGTGATCTACTCGGAAATAAATTTTATTCCATGTCAGCCCTTCATCTTCTCAAACGAAAGTGACCTCGCGCGTTCTTGCATTTTCTATTTGTTCGGCCCTGTTGTGACCCTAAGGTCATATAGTTTTTGTTTTATTAAAGAGTCCGAATCCAACGATTTAACCTGTCCTTACAAAGACAGAGCGATGAGGGTAACTGTCTATGCATCCCCCCGCTGCAAAATCCGCAATTCTCTGTTTGTGGTCGCGAAATTCATCCGTATCGAAGCGAGCTGCACTTCGCTTCAACATCTGTAGTTGGTAAGAGTGAGTGATGAAGATGATGACAGAATCCGATACAACAACACATCAGCTTCAAGAACTCCCGTCTCTCTCCAATTAGAACACATCAGTTGCGAGACCGACGTCGCTTCCGCTCAACCTCAAGCGATAAACGGTCTGTGGCAAGTCGCTAACGCTCCTCACGAAAGCACAAGCCAGAAGTTAGTTACCGTGGAAGTAAGAATAAGATTTAACAAAAATAACAAACCTCTACTTGTTTCTCGTCGTTAGGAAGGGCATAGCCATAGCGGAAACAACACTGTTGCGGGAGAGTAAGCCCAGATATCTAGCCCGACGAAGAGTGGCTGAAGGGAACGTTCTCCGAAAGAGGTTATGTTCTTGCTGCACGGCTAAGGAACAACGAAGTTGTTGATATCTAGAAAGCACTAGACAAAAACTCAATTTCTTCTATGATCACAGCGCCAAAGTATTAACTAGTTGATGATGGATGTGCAGGTATCATACTGATGAGTCGATGTAGACTTCGAGCATGAGTAATTTTTGCACTCCTTCTGTTCTTTCTGCTTCAAAGCGTATTGACTAGAGCACTGACTTCACATTCCTAGTACTCGCGACCGTGCTGTGCCTCAAAGTAGCAGGTCCTTCTTCTACAACTTTTTTATACTGTGAAGATGCCATGGATGAAGCGACAGCGAGGAGCAGGCGAATCATGTGGCTGCATACAACATTCGGCCAGTCGGATCATGTGGCTGTTGAACAAGAGGAAATTAGACCCCACCCGTGCGATGAACACAACGACCCAGTAAAGATACGTGACTGGGGAACATTTTATCCTTAGAATTATGAATGAAGACTCTCAAGCCGATCATGGACAGCTTTACTTGCCGAAAACTATTCCACTTGAAAAAGGACGCCCACCCCCACCTCCACCTTGTATAGAATTTTTCAACAAGAGCCGTTAATTTTTCAACTCGCTCGCTATGAAGCCCCGACCAGGAGGGACGAGTGTTCTTAATATGTCAGTATTCTGAAGAGGACGTCGAGAGAGTAGATCAGATCATGCTGATCAAACAGGGTGGAGCAGCACAACATTACCGTGATCGCAAAGATTCAGTCATTTGGCATAGTTGAAGATCCGAGATTGTTGTAAGTGTGAGACGACGCATCATGCAGAATCGTTACGGCACGACGACACATTCATGATGACTGCTGCTCAGTCATTGCTCATTCATGATGACTGCTGCTCAGTCAGTGCTCATTCATGGTGACCGCTGCTCAGTCAGTGCTCTGTAGCTGGAAGTAGTCCACTTCTACGACCACATTGGAGGTCGCAGTAAGTGCCGAGCAGAGTACGATGAAGTGTGCTGGACTAGTGAAAAAAACCATCACTAGTCCATTTTTTGAACTAGTCCAGCACGAACAACCACTCAACACGCGTCCCCAACCCAAACTGCCATGTAGGGTGTGTGTACTTTCCTAGAAAATTAAGTTCTTGTTACTTATTCGCAGTTCTTGTACTATTATGCATCCGTTGTATTAACTGAGTAGGTCTTGTTCTTTTCAACTAGCAACAACTACATCATAATCGCAGTTCTTCTTGTTTCTCATTCATTAAATGATTTATACAGTAGAAGAAGTCATTTCTGTTATTAAACTACCTTTTAAAAAGGAGGAATCCTTTAACATACAACAGTAAGCCGATCAAAGCTATCGGGTTTTCTGTTACTACTTATTTCTTGTCGTGTCTTTTATTACTTTTATCTTCAGCCACACATTCTTGATACGTATTTTTTGAAACTTAACTTCATTTGATTTCTTCCTGACATAAAATAATTCGAAAAAAATGAAGGAGTTTTCGATTCTCATTCTCGCCATGACTTTTCTAGTCGAAAAGGCATGTTGTGCTTCCTCGACATCCGACGGTCGGCCACGTTACCGCGGGCGTTCAACAACATCAAGGCCTTGTATCAGCGCGGGAGTTGTTGATATTATGTTGACCACTTCTGAGGAGAGTGATGGAGGTGCGCGTAGTGACTATAGTGGTTCAAGAAGGCGAAGAGAGATCAAAATTGAGATTGAGTACTTCTAGTTGAAAAAGGCAGTTCTTGTCGAGATATTGATACCGCGAGTTGCGCATAAGCATGTGATTGTGAATACTGTTGAACTACAGAAAGGTGCGCCGCTACTTAGTCCTACTTCGGAAGGTGTATGAATAAACCGAGGACGCTTAGGTGATTTATTATTTCAAATAGGAGCTAGCTCTAGCGTGCTCTAGATAGATCATACAGCGACCCCTCATGATCCCGATCTACAACTTTTAATCGTCCCAGCAACGCTGGTTCCTCTGCCTGTGGCTCCACGCCTCGTGTCTCCGACGATGATGAAGCAGCGCCAGCAACACGTGAGAGAACCAGAGCGAACAACACGAAGGAGGAGAGCTGCAACTACGAGGCGGTGAGCAAGACTCTAGCACGTACAACTGGCAATAATGCGACGTGGTCCAGTTCTGGAACTATAGCCTCGTCTAGTGGGACTACTGCCTCAACTACGTCTTCTGGAAATACAACCTCGTCTGGAGGAGCAGGACCAGAAGGAGAAGTACTTGCACCACCGCCGTCTCTTCCGGCGACACCGAAGTCACTGGGAGAAGGCTTGCTTGCTTCTCAACCTGATATTACAACAGGTCAATACGACAACTACGTTCAACTTCAGAGTTCTCCCGCCTCGTACCTTGCGCATAGTTCTGCTCCATCCAGTCCAACGTACTACAAGCCTTTTCCATCAACACCAGTAGAGCAATTGCCAAATTCCTTTGCTCAACCATCGCACAACTACGCAATGAGTTCAGGCGCATCTCTTGCCGCGTCGTCTCATGGTCCGCGTTCGCCGGTCGCGCAGCAGAGTGCTATGATTATGAACATGGATCTGAGCAGCCAGTCGTAGCTGAACTAAACCAATGAAGTTTTTACTGCTCTACTCAAGAAGATTTTATCTTGATGTTCTTCATCAAACTTTCTCAGCGACAATTAGCGTTAGTACCTGTACCGTTGTCGTGACAATTTTCCTTTTGATCTCCTCACCCCTCTCCTTCATCCCGCGAGGAGAGCCCACGAAGGAGCTGAAGCCATTGAAGAAAACGAATTTTGCGGAGGATCTTATGCGCTATGGCATCTTCCCTCCAAGTGTGCACCAGCCGTCATGCACCTATACCATCAACGTTCAGGCTCACCTAGATTCGCTTCCTACGCGTGCCGAGTTCCAAACTGCGCTGTTTAGTCACTGGGTCAAAAGGTACTAGTAGTACTCAAGCTTTGATGTAGAAGCAAATGCGTGGTCATTATATCATGAAAAACTTTTCCCGAACAGCACTAACCACCTGTAGCTAAGGGGCTCCAACTACTCCACACAGGTTTGAACGTCCACGCAGTATATTGACAGAGGATGGGAACTTTATGCGACTTCCGCTAGACGCGTTGGACTGGGATTACCACCTAAAGGGACCAATCGACCTCGACGACAGTATGACAGTTGACGAATACCTCGACCACCTGTATCAGGGATACTTTCCGCCAGCTGCATTATGAAGAAGGGGTTGCAGCTCTTCGAAATTCGTTTTTTTTTACTTATTTGGATTTCCTGCTTAGGTGAGCTGAAGAACAGAACTCAAATATTAAGCAAGAGCAATTACTTCGCCAAAAATCGTTTTGGGTCTTCTTCACCACCTCGTCATTCTACTTCTCAGATGAAGAACGCGCTTCTGCGCCAGTTTTCGTCCACGACCTCATGCTCATTCTCATCCTCCAACCCCTACTGAACTTTCATCTGCCAGCGTCAACGGTGGTCAGCGACAGGATCAGGAAGGAAGTTCCACCACTTCCTCCTCTTCAGGAGGCGTGATAGAACCTGCTCCGGTAAAACCATTATACCGCAATAACTCTTTTAGTTTTTCTCGCGTTTCATCATCGGGGGGCGGTGGACACGGAGCAGTGACGATTCCAGCATCCTCGCCGCGGGGAGGCCGTGCGAAATTACCTGGTCTTGTTGGTGTTTTAGACCATGAATCAGGGCAACGTATCTCGGCACCCCATCCAGGACGGATGTGCGACTTGGATCCGAGTCGACCGCTTTGGCAAGCGCACATGATCAGAGGGAAAGTCTCCCGAGACAACCCAGCGCCACTATCAGAGTTACTTCTCGAGCCAAAGTTCAAAAATGCAAACGTCATCGTCTTCCGGGTTCATCACGCTCTGGCGGACGGGCTGCGCGTGGCGCTGGCGGTTAACAAAGGTACTTTTGTACCTAGAGGTGGTGAAGAAGTACCACGCGTAGACCTAGTTCTTGCATATGTGGTGAAGACTGAAGAAGTACCACGCGTAGACCTAGAAGTTGCATATGTACTAGTTTGCTACTGGAATCGACGACTGCATATGTAGTCTGCTACTGGAATCGAAGACACGAAATCTACTTAAATGTAGTAGAAGACAACTACTACAGGCAGCTACTTAGTACCTACAGGCACAGCATCGTGTTCGTGACGATCATCTACTTTATAGATCCTAGACTAGTTCCTAGCGCGGTTTATAGATTCCTAGTAAACCTTCTTCATTGAGGTATCCTCAGCGACGCAGCTGGCGCTCCAGTCGATTTCGGGAAGTTCGGTAATGAACGCGTCCAGGCATTCTTGAAAAAACGTGCACAAAGAGGCTTTGTCCAAAGAGTAACGGATGGGCTTGGATTTGCGGGATCTAGCGTCCTTTCCTCTGGCGCTCTGTTGAAGCACATGCTTGGTCTGCCGAAGCAAACGCTGACGTCTTTCACTGGCCGTCAAGACTCTGCTGAGCATGCGGAGGAAGGCCTTACCTACCGGAAGTTCCTCTATTTTCCACCCTTGGACTTGAACGCAGTGAAACTAGTGAAAACGATTTTGTCGAGGACATTATGATGGAATTGACTTTTACTCAATAACATCACTTTTTCCTTTCAGATTCAAAAAGTAATTAACTAGAAGGTTAGTGCTAGTTATGGACCTAATAAAGATTAACTATTCCACTATCGTCTAGAACAACTGCTTAACTAGAAGATGAAAGATGAAAACCAATACAAATCTAGCCCTAAGTAAAGCCGTTGTAAAGGAGGGTGCGACGTCGACCAAAAGCAAAAGCATCGCGGAAATGCAAGACCATCAGGACCTTGCTTTGCCGCCAGGAATATGCCGAGCGCGTCAAAAAGAACATCAACATGCAGAGGCTGTAGAGGGAAAAACAGTACCACTTCCACCGAAAGTGTTGCCAGACCACGACCCATCATCACAGAATCAGCAGAAAGAAAGAAGTGACGAAATTTTCTCGCAGCCACGTCTCGATGACGAGGTAGAGGACCCAGACGAAGATATATCTATCCTTGCAGCTTCGCAAATGGGAGGTTGTTCTAGTACTTCATCATCTTCTGCCGTAGGAGGTGGATCTTCTTCGTCGGCGTGCATTCATAAAAGATCAGTAGGAGGAGGAACTGGAGCTACTCTAAATGATGACGAAGACAGTAGTAGAGCATGCCAATCTCCAACTACTTCAACGAAGTATTCCTTTGAAATTGAAGACGCAACGACAGACAAGAAGAAGGGAGACAAACCAAAACAGGCAAGCAAGTGTTCCTCCTGGTTATCGGACTCCTTAATCGTCTCAAAACTTCGTGTCGCGCTAGCACAACTACGCCGCTGTGGTCTCCCAATCTGCCTTATGTGGCGGAAAATAGCGGCTGTGGTCTCCCGCAATTATTTCCGAGGAAAGCGGGGTCTTCTCTCTGCGCCTCAAAGCCTGCTAAAGAGGATTAAAGGATTGTCACTAGCAGAGGTTATGGCCCAAGAACAAATGTTGAAGTACCGATCTCTGAGTTGTTCATTCTACTTTCTCTTTGAGAAAGAAGAGATGCAAGAAAAATTTGTAGAAAAATTAGTGATAGTTCTTGTTACCACCTCTAAGCGGCCTCCAGAATCTGAAGGAGCGAACCCTAAGCGCGATACGTCTACGACCGTGGTCTCCGTAAACGACGTACTGCAGTCATGCCTTTTCGGAGCCATTGCTAGGTACATGGAAAAGACGCGCAAAGACCCCATGATGCAACCACACGATTCTTTTCTGATTCCTACGCCTAAAATACGGAAGCAAGAGAAGAAACGGTTCGGAAGGTCTGCAAGGCGCAGGTCAAATCAGAGGGTGACCATGCACTCAGCGGCATTTATGGGATTTCCGGATATGGTCATGCGTGACGGGGAAAACGACACTGATGATGATGACCACGATCCTGATTGCCTGCATAATGACTGGGTTTCCCTTATGGGACAGCGAGTGCCGCTTTGGAGCGAAACGCATCAAAGACCATACTCGGCGATAGTTAAGGCTTGTTGGGCTAGTTTTTACCTCGTCGTGTTATTAATGCAGTTGTTCTAGACGATAGTGGAATAGTTAATCTTTATTAGGTCTCGTCGTGTTATTAAATCAGAACTACAACTACTTATCCACCTTCTGTTGTTGTTGATATTAGTTGACATCAATGACATTGACAACAACTTCAACTACTAGTACATGATCGAGGATGTAGTTCTCTTCCTCGCGAAGATTGTTCTCCTCCTGGTTCTTAATGAAGGGTGTCTAGTGCGTGAGTCAAACTACAGCATTCCGCTGCACCGGAACGAAGACGTCATCGTGGTCCCATGATCTTCTAATTCGGAGCGTCTCTTCGCAGTGAAGAAAGATAGCGATTGGTACAAACGGCACGCATATCCTTTCCTTTATGCTCAATTTGAGACATCATGATCATTCCTCTATCAAACATCATGATCATGATCCTGACATCAGGATCATCATTCCTCCTCTAGAAAATCAAGTTCAAGATCGTTCTGCATGCCTGCTACAAATTCAGAAAAGCTACTTAAACTTATTTTGCTAAGTAGAAGGGTCAGAAACTACAGAATCAAACTACTCTCATGACAACTACTGCTCGATAACATAATTATGCTAGGAGTCTTACTAAGAGGTCCTCCTGAGCAGGGTCCTCTAGGACTGTCTTAGTTGTAGCACCACCACCCAACACCAGCAATATAGCGGCAACATCCGCGATCATGCCCCTCCTTCTTTTCTTCTCCGCTAATCCTTACTCCGATTCTTGCTACGCAACGTCCTTTGGGTCCTCGGATTACGCGGTAACCAAGAGGTATTGAAGCGCGCGTTCAGTCGGCATTCATTGATCACTAGCAACGTTCCTGGGTACAACGAAGGTGCAGCCTATCTTCTTGGGAAGAAGATCCTAGGGATTTACGTTCCGATGCCACAGGTGGTCAATTTTGCGATGATTATGGCAACAAAAAGAAAGTTGTAAAACAAGTATCATCAACATATTAAGTAGGCATAAAAACATGCCATTTTTAAGTAGCATCTCAACATTATGATCCTTGGTTGTTTGAGTTCGTCGGTCTAAGATCCTTGTTTCGTACAACAACGCAGTCTTCGTTACGATGAGTGTAAATGGGCAGACAGTTACACGGGCAGAGACCTTGAAGCAGCACTTTCTTGATGAATTTCAAGAACTAGTGCGCGTAGCGATGCAAAAAGCGACACCTGCGGAACAAGAGCAGCTAGTCGGCTATCTAGAGGGGCAGCACACCAACAGCAGTAGTCCGATGGCAGTATTCTAGTGGAATGGGGTCGAGTGAATTTGTATTTGAGTTTCATATTTTTACTTCATAATATGTGTGTGCGTTGTAACTGAATAATAAGTACCTATAAAATAATAGTGCGCTGGGCCTCTTGTTAAACACCGGCTAGTCGTCCATTCATCATCATATTTCTACTCCATGATGTTGATGTGGGTGCTGGTGTAAACATGGATGTCATCGTCGTAATATCATGTTGGATTAGCTCTAGAAGCATGTCGTAAAACATCAAGAGTATTGAAACATCAAGACGAGCATCACAATCACACAAGGACATCAAACTTGAGGCAGCTTGGCGCCTCTGTCTCGTTTTATTCCGAACAGGCTAAGTAACATATTAGAGGATGCACATGATTATATCATTTCGGCTCAGCACGATATTTGAGGATGAACAGAGGTGGCAGCAGATTATGGATGCACTAGCACCTAGTACACGACAGGTGAAAATATCATGACCTACAAACAGCAATTATTAAGAGAACATGTAGCACAACAAGCACATAAGTTACTATGTTGACTTGATATTCAGATGATATCGCACCGACTAAAATACCGAAGATTTAACGATTAACACTAGTACACACCAAAAAACTTCTCATCGTTACCTCAAGTAGTGCATACTGATATTGACAGACCACACTTCTGAGCTTGAACTATCTTCTAGTTGTAGCAGTACCAGTAGCTTGGGCTTGCTGTAAATCATTGATTTACTGTTCATTATCATTAACAACTCATGCTCTTCAAAGAAATTTGATGATCGCTTTTTTTTTCCAGAATCTGTGGAAGAAAATTCACCTAAACCTGCTGGCTTTTGAGGTATTGTGAATCCAGTTCTGTCAGCTCCAAGCCCAGTACAAAAATTGTTGACTCCACACAAAATGACGACTCCAATACGGTGAATGTCCCTCTTCATGATGGACATTTTCATCCCATCAATCTCTGGCTTACGAATACTGTTCCTCCAGCTAGTACCTCAGCTGGTCGCGAGGAAACATCTGAAGAACTACTTCTGTATTAGATGGGGACGGTGACCATCACCATACCAGAGGTGGGAGAGAGAGAGAATGACAACTACCCGTGCAGCGCCATCTCGGTACCAACAAGATCGATTAAAGATGGCCTGACGAGTGCTGGGTTTTCTTCTGCTCCTTGACAAGAAAAAGTTTCCAAAGAAACCACTGCAAAAACATTCAACCAGCATAGGCAGCACGTCCTCCTTGCGGACTCCCAACGGAACATAAAAGGACAAGACTGACTAACTATTCTTCACCCAAAATAATGAAGAAAGAAAAACTTCCTAAATATGAAAAATTGAAGACTGGTCGCATCCCAAAACCGACGTTCGTCATGTCAAGTATCCGGATGATGTGAGGAAAATAGTCTGCTGTCATCGGAGACAGAGGACCCCTTAGTTATAGGAAAAATAGAGTATTTGAAACCATTTCCATTTTCAAGTGCAGCAAGAGCAACAAAAAGAAAAAATAGAGAGCGACTTAGAATCATTGTGCAACTACTACTAAGCGACCCCATCGTCCACATACATGCCTCCTCTCTACAGGCTCCTCCTCGTCCTCCTCGAACAGCACAACTATATAGAGGCTTCACAGCATGATCGATCCTCCATTACACGAGCCTCGTTGTGATGAGGTCATTGTGGATCGCGCGCGGCGGAGCACTTCTTCACCTTGTCCTCCTGCACCTCCCATGGCGAGGACCGGAATTAGGAGCACCTCCAAGTCCGAAGACCACCAAGAGCCGCTCTTGTACTGCAGCTCTAGCTTTCGTACTGGAATTTGACAAGACGAAGCACTCGAAGAAATACGTCAGAAGTAGACAAAGGAAGAGAAACAAGAAAAACAATGGAAGAGAACGAAGGAAGAAGAAGAAAGACAAGAGGTGGAAGAGAGCAGATGGTCTTTATGGATAGAAGAGAGCAGATGGATCATCTTGGATGGACTGAATTAGTTTTGGTACTAGCTGGTCGTCATGTTGATGTTCGTAAGTGGATAGAAGAATGTCATCTGAATGGTTTAGAACAGTTTAGAGATCAGAACAAACTTGGTTTTACGCTGTCCAAGAACTGCTAGTACTAGTAGCTGTAGCGTTTTTTTTGTTGCCTACGTACTTGTCTACAAGTGCCCCAACATTTACTTACGTGACTTGAAGCGGGGTCGTAGCTCCTCCATTCTAAGACACATTTGCCAGAGATAGACCACTTCAACGAGGAAGTGAGCGGCAGAGGAGCCTCCCAGACTTTCAAGACAACGAGGATGAAGAAGGACTGATTGTAGTGGATGGACGACGTATTGCTCATGAAGAGGTGCAAGAGGACAGACCATTCAGAAATGAAGACGACGGTGATGTTGCTCAGCATGCGGAGGAAGATGAAGACGCAGTCAGAAATGAAGACGACGGTGATGTTGCTCAGCATGCGGAGGAAGATGAAGACACAGTCAGAAATGAAAATGGAGCAGATGTTGATGCTGAGAATCAAAAAGACGACGGTGATGTTGCTCAGCATGACGAGGCAGATGAAGACACAGTCAGAAATGAAGACGACGGTGATGTTGCTCAGGATAAGGAGGCAGATGAAGGCGAGGTACAAGAACAAGAAATAGTAGACCTCGTAGTTGACGCTCCTGTTTTTTACAAGGAGGGTCTACAAGAGCGTCTGGTCCCTGAAATACACGAGCAACAGACGGAGCAGGATCTACAAGCACAGCGCGTCGTTCCTGAAATACAAGACATCAACATGATAGGTGAGTATGAGGATGAACAGAAGAATCAGGGTCCTCCTCGTGAGCTAATGGAGGAAGTAGAACTACAGCCGCAAGATGATGATGACAAAGTAGAGGATGACGTTGATGAAGAGAAGGTCATGTTCTATGATTTAGAGGATGAACTCGATAATTATGGTAAAAATGCTGGAGACAAGGACAGCGCGACTGCAGTTTTTTCCCTCCCAGGTAGTAGAAAAAATACCCAGGAGGAAGTTCGAGAGCAGGAAGAGTACGATCACGAAGATGAAGAAGATGTTGCTGCTCAGCGGCCAAGCAGAAATCCCCACGTGCCAGAACAACAATTATACGATGAAGACGCTACAACTTCTGCTCAATCAGCAACACCTTCAAGTGCCCGATTTCGTCTAGAGCAAGAACACGGTAATGCCTCTCCACCAACATCTTCAAGGGCAGCCAACCTATCTCCGGAAGAGTCCAATGATGAAGACGGTAACGCTTCTGCAGAGGAAGGCAGTAGTCAGAGATTGGAGGACGCGGTGAGCCTTCATCTTGATGACGACACCGATAACGAAGAGGAGTTTGTAGTTAAGGCTCTTGAAGATCAACATATCGGTATCGTTGTTAATTTCGATTCCATTTGCATGCGGCACCATTGATGTTGTTCCACCTTGGGGACCTTTACCTTTTTGCTTCTTTTTATAGACATCAAGAGAAACTACATTTAAAGAAGTTAAGGGTCCAACAAGGTTACATATCACACTCATGATAGCTCTAATACAACGAGAGCTAATGAGCAAAGAAGATACGCTCAGAGCAGTCGCGAAGCTATAAAGGAGGATGATGGCGAAAATGATGATCAGAGCGATACCGATATCGACGAAGACTCAGATGCATCTTATGAATTTGGATACTAGAACTAGAAGCCGTTGGGGCTGAGTATTCAATGCATTATACTCAACTTCTACTTCAACATGTTGTGACAGACAACATGTTGAAGTTGTGACAACATTTTTGTCTTTCTTCCAACCACTACTAGTGACTCTTCTAGCATTTCTTCCTCTAAAGGTTACAGTTAGCGGATTCCGATTCCTCTCGATTGCTTTTCCAAAAGAACATTCCGCGGTCTCAGTGTCAAACGAGCGCCAATATAATTTTGTTATGAATTCTATTGGCTGTAGTTGGCTGATGCTGAAGACGTTGTAGAATACATTTGAATTTCTTAATATCACTGACGTGTGGCACTTCTTGTTGTTTTGATTCTTGATTTTGGCAGTGTTGGTAGTACCTACACCTAGCTGGCTCTTCCTTGTTCTGCTCGTTGATTTCATTGGCAGGTGAAGGTGAATGACATCGAAGTCACTGTTGTGGCTCTAACGAATGAAGACAAGCGCTGCACAAGCGATATCAAGATTGGTGAAAAGAAATGTTAAGATAAACAAGAATGTCTCACTCATGATGCAAGGATACGCATACGGATAGGCGAGTAGATAATGATAGAAAAAAGGAATAGATACTTGCTCAAGAACTTCGACTAGCTTGTGGCAGCGATATGTGGATCAATAGAGTATTCTTTCTCGAATCCTACATTTGCACTTGCAGTGGGTGAAACCATTTCTAAATGAGAAACCTTTCCTCAAGAGTTCTTCTTTGAGAGGAAGACCTACGTGCTAGTAACCTGCGGCCATTCTTGCCATAGGATCAGGAACCTACAACAATAAAAGTAAAACGCAATTATATGGAAAAAATAGATGCTTCTTCTAACCAGGGCGGTGGAAACCAGCTTTATCTGCCTTAAAGAACAAATGCCGGGGACTTTGTACTGCTTCACCTATGTGTTGTAGTTGTAGTAGAGAACATCAAGTTTTGATGAAACATCCTTGTAATGGAATCCCTGAAAAGACACAGAAGAAGAGAAACCGAAACGAATTCAAATATATTAACTGAAGACAGTAGAATTGTGAATAGACCAACTAGTATGAATGCTTAGACTGTCGGTGCTCAAAATTCGTTTACTTATCGATGTTCATGTTCTCATTCACTTTCAGGCACTGTTCTCTCCGTTTTAAAGCTTCCTGATGTTCATAATTCTTATTCTTGTACCTCCTCCTTCGCCATCTCGTCATCCATCTCCTCCATCTCGTCCTCCTTCTCCTCCTCCTCCTCCATCTCGTCCTCCATCTCGTCCTCCATCTCCTCCTCATCCTCCTCCTCGTCATCCATCTTCTCCATCTCCTCCTCCTCCACCTCCTCCTCCTGTAACAAGTACACGTAGTGGTCTTGAACTAAGCGAGTAACTTACACAATAACTGAGCACTTGATATTTTCATTATCTTCTAGGCCAATCCGTTATTTCAGTTTATCAATGAAAGTTCTGGCATACTTCTTCTTACGTTTTTTACAGGTCGAGACAAGACTCTTTGCAAGTCTTTCGCTGTGCGGCAGAATTTAGGACGGTTATGGCTAAAACAAATCCTACATTGTACTAGTCATTGGATGGGGTACTAGACAACTACGGAGGTAGTGGTCCTCCTGAACCCTGAGTCATGTAGTTGTCATGATACGACTCACCAGCACAGGGTACCAACATCCTGTTCATCCTGTCTTGAGTACTATATGGGTCATGCCAAAAATTAATACTTGTTGTACTTATGTATAATTGAAGGTGCTCTTGGTGTAGGTGTTTCAGAATGAATGTGGAGTCGTTGTATGTAGAGTTGTAAGTAGGAGAGCAGCGCTCGATCTTCTACAAGATACGGCTGCTCTCGTCGATCCTTACGGTTTATTAGGGTTCATGTTCTCTTCTAATGCGCTGCTACCTCTACAAAAGCAAAATGACCGCCTTATGGAAAAATGAAATACTTTTACTTCATCTTTTGCCATTGTGAAAAATTTGAAATTAATTATTTATCGTCAGTGAAATCTTAGGCATCATCGCTCATCACGAGTCTCAGCTCTGAAGTCTGCTGGTTTACCTAGTAGACCCACGCCTAACCTAACCTAACACTGTGTGGAGTGACATGATCACAGGCAGCTTCCCTTTTCATACGGCGCAACTATCGACAACCATTGCACTTTGTCTTGGCCGACGGGAAAGATTTACAATCTTATCTTAAGGCTACTTTATCACTATCCCTACTTGTGGAGTAAGTGTAAGAGTATGCTGAGATGAAATATTATTGTTAGAAATATCAACAAGTGCATGTTGACATATAAAGTATAAACAAGTAGTACATGCAGATGGAGTTTTTCGTGCTAGCTGCGTGCGGGCATTTAAAGGGGAAACGAAGAGGGGAACAAAAACTCAGGGGAACGAAATAGACCAAGGGGGACAAAAACTAAAAGGTTTTCACCACTCCACCAAGTGGGATAGTGAGAGACTAAGGCTAATTATGTGTCCAACCACTTCAACGACAACGTCAACAACGACGCCAGGACCTGTACCGGCAACAACCAGCAGTAGCACGGCACCTTCGACAACCAGCAGCAGCACGGCACCTTCGACAACCAGCAGCACGACGGCACCTTCGACAACCAGCAGCAGCACGACGGCACCTTCGACAACCAGGAGCAGCAGCACGACGGCACCTTCGACAACCAGCAGCAGCACGGCACTACCGACCACCACCGCATCAACATCGACAACCGATCCGTAAATTTTTTTTGTTTTTATATCAGAACAATTGTCAACTTTCCTATGCTACAACTTCGTTTCATCTTCCATTATATCAGAACAGTTCATAGAAGGGATGTCCCGTTGTAAGGCTAAGGGTGTTTAATCCTGTGAGTTATTTGCTAGTGCTACGTACTCACTGTAAAAATTCATTCTTGTGACGTGTACTACCACTTTATTCATCTCCACATCCCGACTACAGCATCACGCCTCTTTTTGCGACGCTTACGGCAACTACTACGATAACATCGACTTCGACGACAACAACCACCCTACCGCCGCTGGATCTTAACACCTTATGAGATATGTAACAGTTGTGCATGATCCCTAACCTAACCCAACCTAACCTGGCCTTACTTTCCCTTTTGATACTCGAGATAGAAGAGGTAGGCTTGCGTCAGAACTATGACTCAGAATGAACAAGCTTCCGATCGAATGAAAACTCAAAATAACCGAGTTACTGACTGAAATAAGGGAGGTAGCTTAACGCCAATTCTACTCTTCCTTCTCATCAGTATCTCGGTTATTCTGATCAGTTACTTGCTTATTTCAGTTTTTCGAATAGTTAGTTCAACAAGTAGCCCTAGGTGGTACCCTATCTCACATTCCTCCTACTACGTATCTCTCGATCTCACATTCTTGCACTTGCTGCCGCGTATCTTCCTATCCCTTCTCATGATCCCTGATCCCATGTCACTAGTCTCCCTATCTGTTGTTCTTACTACAAGTCTCCGTGTACCCTGTTGCCATGTTGCTATTACACTCTCCCTGTATTGGTATTGCAATCCCTAATCTGTATGGTTCTGGTATTTGGTAACCTGAATTTGATCCTAAGAGTTCTCTTCTTGTTTTCCCTTAGGATCAAACTCAGGTTACCAAATACCGGAACAATTCACAATCCCATGTCAACACTATTCTCCCCGTATTGTTGTCACGTGATTCGCAAATGAATGAATGAATGAACGTATTGCAAGTACACTCTCTCCGTGTTCCTTCGTATTCCATTCTTCATTTCTGTGCGAAGCGTCACCCGCTGCCGGCAATACTATCACTCGTGGTGCTGGCGCAACCTGCGAAGACGGAGAATACCAGGATGCAACGGATCCTGTAGTTAAGGAACCTTCAACAGGATCCTGTGCATATTGTATCACAGTACCTAACAGCTAAGCTCCTAACAGCTAAGCTAAGGTCCTGTTAAGCAATGATGTAGATCATCATCACTGTAAAAACGTAAAGTCCGTAAAGTTTTACTTCCTGTCGTAACGTAAAGTCTTTACAACCTTCTGTTGCGGAACAGGGCTGTTGTAGATCTAATCTAGAAACGGAAAGCGAAAAGACAGTCGACGACTACGGTATCATAGCAGAAAGAGACGACTGTCTTCGAAAATGTAATTTTAGCTTTTTTATTGCTATTTGATCTTTATTTTAGAAGTTTTTTTAGTCGATCTTCGTACAAAGAAAAGCTGCAAAGGTAAGTAGTTGATTATGGAGATGAAAAGCTACGCTGCTTCTTCAAGAAAGTGAAAACTATCAAGGAGCACAGACAAGCACCAGAGAGACGGAGAACTCGGAACCTCGACGCTATAGTCTTCGCTTGTCAAGAGCTAGTTTTGTCTTACTTTTATGTTCGGTTTTGGCCTTAGTTCTACTGGCTAGGCTAATCCTTGCCTTCAATCAATCGCAGTCTATTCCTTACATCTTACTTTGTCAAGGGCTACAACAAACGACATTGCAGCACTGCGTTTCTGATAAACATTTCTGATAATCATCGACATCGACATTATCATTTAGGAAGAAATCATTTCAGCCCATAGTGATAGTTATCACCAACATTTTTAGGTAAACTCCGTGTGGAAGCGCTTGGGGATGAAGGTGCCTGCCGGTCTTTTGGGGTACTCGGAGAGTTTTGTCGCCTGTATGCAATGCCGTTCGACGAAGCCTCCTGCGTACCAAATTTAAGGCTAATTACGTAAGTATGCTAGTAACGTAAGTTATAGAGTTGTAAAAGCGATGAACTACGAAACGTATCTATAAGAAAGGTTCAATAGGAAAGCGAATGAAACATTTATCAACGATGAACTTGTAGGCGGAACAAGTCGGATAGGTGGAAGTTCATCGTTCAACGATGAACCGGTTGATCCAGGCTGTCGTGGGCCGCCCTTAGTGATGCAACTCTGTTGGTGTTGGAAACTTCTTCTTCTAACTACCTGGGGAACAGAAGGCAACAACGCACTGATCTACGACATGGTATGTCAGCGCCAAAAATCTGGTGGTTTTAGTGTCGTGATAGGCGGAGAAAGTCGATGATTGGTGGAGGAGGAGGATGACGACGAGTAGATCAGATGGATGGAGGACGATGAAAAGGCCTAAAGAATCTTTCACAAAGACTAGGTAACAAGAAAGTGTAGCTACTGCCGCCGCTGCTAATGCAGTTGAGGACCTTTCTACAAGCATCTTGTGCCACTGTTGTTGCGATGGTTGACTTACGTGACTAGGATGATATCCACATTTAGTCATTTTTTTTTTTGCGCAGTATTAAATAAGTATGTTTGATGTAGTTATTTAAGAAATCTAGTGATGACAGCCACTCAACTGGGTTTATGACTATATTCTTTCCTAATGACGTTCACATTGACACCCGTGATAATTAGAGAAGTCGCATGCATGAATGCATGCTGCATGCTAAACATTTCCACGATTAACGGCGCATTCGAAGAAATACAAAGAGCAAAGATTATTTTAGGTACGTACCTGCTAAGAAACGACAGAACACTATTTTTCATTATAATTTAGCGCAAGCTTCGGCTGCGCTGTGCGCGATTTCTGAACGAGTAATGATCTCTTCGACAATGAAGTGAGTCAGCTAATTTTTTTTGGACAGAAACGGCGTGGACACAAACAGCTAGTCGTGTCGGATGAAGAAAGCACAATTACCAAATTGGAATTGCATCAACTTGCAACGCTTGCTAGGAGTTGTTGTCCTACGACCTTGCTAAGGTTCGGGACACTCCCCTTACAGCGGTGAACCACAAAACCATTACGGAAGAAAAGGGAAAGACAAAGAGGCATCTTCACCATGTCTACTCGACCAAAGAAAGTAGAATGACGAGTTCATACAAGTAGTTACTCGATACCTACAAAGACATGTGTCGTCCATGAAAAGACATGTTGCCAGAAGCTGTCATCCCTTGAGAGGGGATGACAAGTGCTGATGTGGGAGGGCGGCGGCCCTTCGCGCGCCTCTTTAGAACACTCCTAGTATGCAGCAGTGTGCTACTGCAGGAACAACAGGGGGTAGAATGTCGACGCATCGCGTCCTCTATTGGAGGACGAGCCCTTTTCGGCGGGGAGCGCCATATGTCGGGTTTTGGAGGGGAGAAAAGAAGCAGCTTGCGGTTAACTGCGAAGAGGTTAGTTAAGGGCACCTTAATAGACTCAATGTGTATCGTTTGAAAGTCAACGCAGACCCTGCCCTCAGGATTCCTAATGATGATGAGCGCTAATACCAAGACCGGTGCAAGTGCTGGAGCGGTGCAACCGACTACAGCGAGCGCTAGTACTGCAGCGGGTGTTGGAGCTACCGCCGGCGCTGGAGCTAGCACCACGGCACCCGCTAGTGCTGCGACCGGAGCTAGCACCACAGTACCCGCTAGTGCAGGTGCTGGGGCTAGTACCACAGTGGGCGCAAGTACTGCAGGTGCACTAGGTAATAGTACAGCGGGTGCTGCAGGAGGTAATAGTACAGCTGTGGTATCATCGGTTTCTTCCACAGGTCCAGTAGTAGCCAAAACGAGTGCAACAAGTTCAACGACCATATCAGGAGTACCGCTTTCTAGCATTTCTATCGCACCATCATCTTCCTCGACTAATAGTGGTAGTGGTAGTGTTAGTACATCAGCGTCTTCAAACGGAACGTCTAGCAAGAACACAACGAGAAGCAACACCCGGATTCTCTTTATTAAGGCTGCGACACCAGCACCACCTAGAAGATGTAGATGTATCTATAATTTAGCATGAAGATCTGTGAATATCCTTATAGCAAGAAGTTCAAGTATGATCTTCTAATCTTAGCCGATTCAATACGAGTAATGCGACATTAGACGGGGATAGATGTGGTGAATGCGCCTGCATCTCAGTAGACAGACGAGCTGCTCCCCAGAACCGTCGGTGCCCTGAAGAGAATCGCTTCGCGACTACGCTTCTAACATGGGGAGATGGCGTGTCCTTGCGCACTCAATGCTTGAGAGAATGTACTATCTAGTGCTTTTTTATACTGTTGAAGCTTGCTCATGCGTTTTCTTAAAAGTGATCAATTGTACTACTAGTAAGCGAGGAACAAGAAGAAGACATCTTCTACGTCTGTATCACCACCTCAAACGGACGCACTGTTGTTTCCCTTTGACCACTCTACTCCACCCACAATCTGCGGATCGCCGACGCACTATTGTTTCCCTTTGACCACTCTACTCCATGCACAGCACATCGCCATGGGACAAGGAAAGCCAATTCCCGCATCTATCACACATCTTCCAGGTGAAAAATACAACAATTCGACTGACAAAAACGCGACTACGAAGTGCCGTTCCTTTCAAACGCAGTCGATGCCTCCGAACTGTCATTTGCTCAATACGAGCTACAACGCAACTGTCTGCTAAGGCAAATTGTACCATTTGATGAAAATTCTTCATCAAAATAGACCTCTTGGTGCCAGGCACATCAATCAATCAATCAATCAATCAATCAATCAAGACTTGTGCATGTACTCGTGATCTTCATCCTCCTATGACTTCCACGACTCTCCAGGAGGCTGTTGGAAAATGTGCACCTTTGGAAAGTTGGTTTAAGACAAGAGCACCTACTGTATAATAGGGCTAAAATGAGATCATTTTGTGAGAATTCGAATTCACACTTTCAACACACTCTAACATCACAACGTTTCGCTATCGACTCTGGGCTGGGGAGTCTACGGTATGACTTGCCCTTGGGACAAAAACGCAGACCTTGTTTTTTGGAAGGGCGTTCCGTCACAAATCTAGACGCGCGCTCCGTAGCTTTCTGGAAGGGCGATCCGTAGCTATTGTGAGGATGTGCGTGTGGCGATCCGTAACCAGTGCTGTGGATGTGCGTGTGGAGTGGTGGCTTTGCCTCTGGACGGGAACGAAACAAATCTAGTGAAGAAGACATAGAATTTTGTTTCAATTTCAAACAGACCACTTTTTAGCAACAAATGGACAACTACTAATATGAAATAAACGACCAGCATATGTTGTCCTCACAGATGTTTAACATATAGAGAAATCGTCTTCGTGTCGATGCGATTTGAAAATAAAGACGACCCATTCCACATCCATTCTCCTGATTGAAGACTCGTTCTCCATTCCTTTCAATCCTACAAATAAAATGCACTGCTCTGTAAAACTTTTGAAACGTCATTTGAATTATTCGAAGAAGATGAGCTGACGCCTCATCCGGGGACGAGACGCGGCCTTTGTGGCGGGGGCACTAGTGGATATAGTGCACCCTCAATCCTTTTCCTTCCTTGAAAAACGAATTGAGAGAAATGGAAGATGGCTAAAAAACGATTCTGAGACTGTGAGCAACAGCAACACTCATTCTCTTACGAACACAGTCCCACTACTTGGACTAGAGAGACCTACGTCGCGAAATTATGAAACAAATTTACGGACTTGGACGACGTGGGCCGCGGGTCCGATCGCGCCATGTACTTTCCGATCGATGGTCGTTACGCCACACGAAGGCTCCGGTCGTCCTGCAGCGATCTTTCCATACGACAAGCGGCCTTTTATCATCATCCTCAGCTAGTCAAAGGCCTCTCTCACCGCAGACATCGGCTTCCTCTCAAGCTCCAACAACATCAACTTCAGAACCATCGTCATCTGGTGCAGTTTCCTCAATATCTTCAACAAACAAATTTTTCGGCAGATCCGATGTGGTGCCACAAGATGGAGAACCGCCGTCGATGTTGTACTTAAGGAACTATTGATCATATTTGCATCTTGTAACAAGTTCTTGTTCTACTCGTCCTACTTGATGTCGATCTAACTAGCACGAGTAGAAGTAGAACTTGCACATGAACTACTTCAACTTCGTCTCCTCTAATATTCTCTCGCTTAGTGAAAGCAGGCGAACTCCAGGAGGATCCGCAACAACGCAAAGCACTGGAGGTTTTAGATGGGCTTTTTTCGCAACTGCTTGAAAGCAGGAAGACGTCTAATACGAGTGAAAAGCCAGGAGCTCCATCTCGCGGTCTCTACATTCATGGGCCTGCGGGTTCAGGGAAGTCGCTCTCTATGGACTTGTTTCACCTGTGTCTTCTCCAACGTCGATCCTTAGCGAGACGACAGCACTTCCACGAATTCGTTTACGAGTTGCATGTGCGGTTGAAGCAATTCGAGGATGGGCAAATTGGAGGAAAAAGTATGACATGGAGAAGGATGTGGTTGTCGTAGATTCATGTAGATCATTCTCATTGATCAATGCGAATTTTGTAGGAGTTTATGATCCAAGCCAGCACCTCTACTTGTTCATTGTAAAGCATGATCAGGTTCTCGAATAATATTCTAACTTGACCACCTTTACCGGCGTGCAACGACAGGCCCTGTCGACAAGAGAGCGTCTACGGGCTTTGGCTCGGGAAATCACACAAGAGTGTGACGGCGTTCTCTGCTTTGATGAGTTTGCGATTACGACAATCCAAGACTGCACCATGCTGACGACGTTGCTTTATGGAACAAATGATGAAAACTCGCAGCCGCTACTGATCATTTTACTAGTTTTGTTCGGACAGACTTACTTACTACTTAGTTCAACTTCAACAGTGGTGCAACTTCTTCTAGACCCTCCTCCACCACCACCTCTAAACTTTCCGCGAAATGTTTGACGCTGGAGTCGTCTTAGTTACGACGTCAAACCGGCAACCGGAGGACCTCTACGAGGACGGTCTGAACCGGCACATGTATCTCCCTGAATTCCTAGAGTTGCTGCATTCAAATTGCGACGTCATTGCGGTCGCTGGTGGCAAGGACTACAGATGTTTGGCTCTAGACGAGCAAGTAGACGGAGTCTTAAGAGTGATTCAATCTATTCATCTCCTCTTTCTGTGGGCTGGGATAGGTTTGCGTTCCGTAGTAGTTTTCTTAATATGACGAGAAGATGAATTATCATTTTCGAGAGGACTTTCCTTCTTTCGGTTTTTGTTTTTCTAGTACTTGGGTCTGCTCCACCAACATTATCATGGAGAGTAGAAGCTCTAAATCTAATTGTTCAGCAAGCTTCAAGTACAAGCAAGAGCAACGGCATTCCAGTAGGTCCTACTGGAGCGAAAAGTACGAAGCCCCAACTCTTTTTCTCCGCTGAAGAAGCACTTACGTTGAAGGAAATTTGTGCGACAGCAGCGTCTTCATCTGCTGATACGAAAGACGCTAGAACTATTAAGGGTAGGTTACAGGTGCTTGTTTTGTTATCGTTTGTTATGGCTCTCCTAAGGGGGACAGCCATAACAAGCGGGATAAACGAACACCAAACGCCTACCTCTAAAACTAGCGAATCTGGTGCACCCATGAAGGTTCCTGTAGCTTACGGACGCTTTCTCCACTGCGAAACGCATGGACCTGGATGGGCACTCTTCGAATTCGGACCGCTCTTCAAAGAGGGAAACTTTTCTGCGGACGATTTCAATATGCTCTGTCGGAGATTTCATAGTTACGAAAAAATGAAAATAAACGTTACCCTCCCACTCGCACTCCTTCACCACCCCTTTATTTCACAACCCTTCTTCTAATTCCCCCTCGTAATCCAAGACGTTCCCGCACTCACTACTGACGACCACAACGCAGCAAAGCGATTCACAAACTTTCTCGATTGTGCCTACGAACATCACTGTCGCGTGATATTCTTCAAAATGCAGGCACCGAGTCTTTCTGCTGTTTTCGACGACTTGAGGAGTCTAGAGCAACTCCGAATGGCCGATTTTGGCCAAGATGTGCCAGCCGGTGCGGCAGACCAAGACACAACGCCGGAAGCCAGTGCAATCGTCCAAGCAATCAAGAAATTAAAAGAGAGAAAGACGCAATTGGAGGAAGGGGATGGTATAATTGTTGCTAGAACATCGAGAGGAGGATCATCCAGCAGATGCATTTGTATTATTGTAGACGGGACAAAAACAGCTGAACAAAGTTTCCACCAACTACACCACCTCAGAATCTGCAGCAGACTCGCACCCAGAGAAGCGGATGCGGCATCCGTTGAGTCTCCAGGATTTTGAACCGGAAAGAGACATGGATATCTGGCGTCAGGATGCACGGGGCATGCCTCAAGTTACTAAAAGTTATGGCCTTGATGGAATACGAATACACAACGTTCACCACAAGAATGTAGTCACTTCTTGAGAGACGAAGATGTCAAATTGAAACTTCTAATATGGCTGGGATGATCGCAGAAGAGCAGCGCAATTCTTGTGGGAAGTTAAGGCCTTGCTGTTGAGTAGAAATTCTGCCTGACAAGAACTTACTACAGTTGTTTACAAATCATGAGAAATACAACTGTGCCTAGAAATACAACTCTGGTGCCTGCTGATCATCATCTCCATTCAAATACTTGTCTTAAAAGTGAAACGAGCTTTTTCAAGTTCAACAACTGTCCGTTTGCAGTAAAAAGAGCTTTTTTCTCCCTCCCGTCGTTCTCGCTTTTTACTCTTTCGTCTTTGTGACTCTTCCTCTCTGAATCTGCCTCCTCTAAGCAGCCAGCAGACCCAACGGCAGAGCAGCAAACGTTTAAAGGTGTTTTTGCAGCTGCCATCGCGAGTTTGCACGAAACAGGCTTCGCAGTGAAGCGGGCCATCAGCCGTCTGCATGAAATGCAGTCACCAAAATACCTTGATATATGGGAGAAAAAGAGGTTTCAGATTCAGAATAACAATTAGATGGCATCGACGACGTTGACGAAGATATTCATTAATATATCCATCGAGAATAGCTTCTCGTATTCATGGAGAAGCATGAGGATTTTTGAGGTTTTATATGAACAGCCGCTTAGTTTTGAACAGATCCGCAAAGAACATGCTTACAACACCATCTAATCGGCGTACATGATCGCAGCATAAACATAGACATGATCAACATGAGATAAGTGCTCAAAAAATTCGACACGACACACGACACTTCGACTTCTTTTGACATGGTATCACTTAGATTTTTTATCATGCATTCTTTGAATCATCGAGCATTGGCTCTGTCATCAAAAAGACTATCAACAGGAAGTTGTAATGGGAATATAGTGTGAAGATTAGATACTGGAGGATGTGCACATACTACTATGACCTGTGCTCACCAGAACGATATTCCTAAGAAATATGCTGTGCAGACATGAAGCAAGAGTCATGATAGCAGGAGAAACCCTTTTTCAGGCACTTTTTCGATTTTCTAGCGGCCGAAAAGCACGACAGGCATGCACATCGCATAGTACTCGTGCGTGGGCGTGTGCCAATGTAGTTTCATACAAACACAGTAGAGAGCGTTCTTGCTGTAGCAGGAAAGAAGAAGACCTCGGCAATAGCTAGGGTTTTTTTCTTTATTGTGGTGCCATCAAAAAGGGCTCAATCTACTCAGAAATCACTCGCACCCGAACGATCAATATGCTACTGCACGCTCCCCCCGATCAGTCCACACATTGTACGAGATTTTTCTGCCTTGAGTAACTACTGGGTGTGTTGGTTGCAAGTTATCCTCTAGTAGTGCTTAGTACCTACACGACCTCTTTTGTTGATAGGAGCTTTACTGATCTACCTAGCACCTTGTTCCGGTGCACGAGCATGTCATCGACGTCGGCGAAGAACAAATGGAGCCGCGTCGAAGTAAGGGAAGACAGAAAAGCGCGCTTCTCTTGTTGAAGCTCGTCGTTGGCTCCTCCTTGACCACAAGGACGAGAGAGGCATACGCAGTTTCCCTCGAGCAGTATACAACCAACCATGGTGCTGCAAGTTCTGCAGAAAATGTAGAGTTTGTAGAGTTAAGGTTCAGAGGCTCAGGTTCATTTCAATAATCCTCCATCATCCAGCACCACTCAGAATAGGGAAGATACGGCATGATGAGGGATCAATGTTAGGATTAGTCAACTCTAATTATAGGAGAAGGGGAGGCGCATGTGGCTGTCGAGCCCGCTGCGGAAGCAGAATGGCAACCACGAAATACTACTTTATGTACAAGAACCTCAGTACGACAGCCTATGCTCCTCTACCATTTTTCAAGCTTAACTTTAATCATCCTCCACACCTCCTCCTCGTCCCCTTCTGCAGCTTCTCGGTCAGACTCGCCACAAGAATATTGGATACACCAACACTCTCACTACTTTTACTACCATGATATGATGATCCGAAGATCCCAAAAGTCTGAAGGGCTTGCTACTCCAATAGTATCAGTAGTGTACACGATCCGACTACTAGCACTAGTAGGGTTAATGGTCCACTACTAGCACTTTTAGTAGCGACAACTGTCACATGAAATAACGCGAATTTGATAGCAACAGCTACCACATCTAATATGGTTACTGCAAACGAGCGAGACCACCACAACACCTGGCCCGCCTGGGACGAGCACAAGCACAACAACGGCAAGTCCGCCACCAATAGTTATGATGTCGAGGATGTTCTACTGTTGTGAGGTGAAGTCGTGAGTTGAGTTGATCTTGATGATCATCGTGTAGATCTTCATGTTCGTAATGTCTTCAAAGCCAAATACGTCGCGAAAATCAAAAGAAGTAGCTTCCGCAAAAAAAGCAAGATGCCTAAAATATTTGAACAAATTCTGGCATTATTATCTTTTTCCTCTACGTCTCAGGTCTCACTCCTTAGCAGCCATCTTCTTGCACCTCTTCATGTCTTCAGTCTTTCTCTTCTATCTTCTCCTCCTTAAATGACCTTATACTTTCTTTTCTATCTTCTTCTTCTCCACCTTCGCTAATCCCCGCGGCGCAACCTGTGCTACGTCCAAGTTTGGCGGTACAAGGTGCGACGAAGAAGACAACCGCGAAGACTATCAGATCGGTTTTCTGAATACAACGGATTATGATGGCGCTGTTGTCGCGGGACACAACGAAACTCTCCGAAGGATAAGCTGCGAGGAAGCTTGTACTTTTTGCCTTTACAAGTAGTAGTTCTCTTTATCATAATTAAACTTAGAGGTCTTTACAAGTCGTGGAGCTGGAGGTATAACTATAAACAAGCGGATCTAACACAATTTTCCAGATTTCTTTACCAGGTATCAACAGGCAATCGGTATTCGGATGCGAGGCCTTTCAGATGGAAAAAGCACGCGGTATATGCAAGCTATTCAAGATGTCGCTGAGTGAATTGTTAAGGCCAACAAGAATGACGACGATGATGATTTATTCTGCTTCTAGTATGAGTCCTACCTACGATGTCCATCTTCAAACTAGATCTTCACCTAGATCTACAAGTTGAATGTTGACATCGCGATTATAGGCACACACATTCAACACTTCACCATTATCCTGTATCTCATCCACATCCACATCCACATCCACATCCACGTCCTCATCCGCTCACCCACCCAGCCATCATCAGCCTCCTGACTCTCATCGCGCTTATTTTCTTTTTCTAACATTCTATACCGAAAATCGGTGCAGTCTAGACGCTGGGTTTGATACCTTCAACATCCCAATTTCCGGTGCGTGCCCCATTGTCAACGAAGATCCAGCTTCGGGGAGTAATACGTGAGCAAGTTGTAGTAGGAAAATGGGCTACAACAACTTTGTTGTACAACACATAGTGACAATAGAAGAAAACTGAAGAAAAAAACTCGCAACATGATAAAGAGTGATTTTCATAGTGATTTCTGTAAACTGTGTGAGTCAAGAACTACAAACCCAGTCAGCACTCTCCAAAAACCTCAAGAATCTCAAATTCGTAGACGCAACTCTTCCTATCGTCCTATCCTCTCTCATTATCAACCGTTTTTTTGTTTCAAAAATTTAGTCAAGTCATCTACATGAGTTATGAATTGCAGCACCACGAGGAGGGGAATTCTCGGTTTATGTGGTTGGATAGGAAAGAAACTCCGTCCCATGGATGACATCCAGATTCGCAGGGCTGCACAGCTTTACTGGAAACAATGCATATCGAGAAATTCCACAGCGACTACATTGAAATCAAAGAAATATAACGAATGTAGTTTTTTTGACATGATAATTCAACTAAAAATCTTCAACACTGGCTGCTGTTGGCGAGGTCGATCCTTGTTTGCCTTGTCGTGGTTTGCTATTTCATTTCTCAGAGAACTCTGTGTCTTCACTTATCCACATCTTGTTACATATAAGTGCAACGTGAAAAAATTTCAATACCGACTAGTTTGATTTTAGTCTGGCTCACAAATAGAAATTATTTCGTACTAAGAACGATATGAAGGTCGTCCTGTTGTTGTTCTCACGATACACACCTTGAAATGAATCAGAGCAATTGTTCTCCTCTGGCGTCGTCGTGGTTGTTGTAGAAGAGAATCTGCCAAAAAGAAAAAGGAAACCGCATAAAGTTGAGGTTGGTGTAGAATTCAAACGCGAGAGCGAAGCATGAGAGTAACACCAACAAGGTTTTTCGTTCACGTCTGCGATTGTTGGTGTTCGAAGCAAACGCAGAATTTTAAAAACCTAAACCCTATGATAATGGTTCCCATGTCGTGACCGCGGGTACCTAGATCATTGGGCATGATTGAAAGTAGCATCAGGTGGTCATAAAGATTATGTCAGCACACTGTGCTTGGAGACGGATCGCTCTATGCTAGCATCCGCGGACGACACATGTCTCCATGGATGCAGAAAAGGCATGGAGGTCTGTGGTAGCTTTAGCATGGCAGCTAGCGGTGGAGATGCAGCCTCAGTATCTCGTTCCCGACGACGTCACACCTCCAGTGCCTCTTGGGCGATCCTTTTGCTCGTCCATGCCACCTTCGACATATCATGCCTCCAGCTGCTAGTGCTTGCTTCCTGTGCTACCTCCAGCGGTGCCAATGAGGAGGTGGCTCATAGTTCCGAATTGCGACGCGTTTTTATCGATCGCGTCTTCGGTGGCAGAGACATTCTGCGAGATCGACCTGTCAATCACGTTTTAGAAGCCGAAAAAAACGCCACCCTGCCAGAGGATGTTTTGGACCGCTTCAGCGATGGTGGCTGGCAGACGCATCTAACAGAAGCCGATCTGGAACTCGTCACCTACGCTGCTACCAGAGCACCTGGAGGTAAGACTCGGCCGATAAAGTTCTGGCTAGAGCTAGGGTCGTTTCGAGGGCAATCCTGCTTGAAGACTGCGCGGTTTCTGAAGGACAACGAGGAATTTGAGGGCGACGGCGATTTGTGGAAGCAACTAGCGAAAGAACAGCAGCTGTATTACAAGGCACGCGATAGAGTTCTTGGACGACGCGTTCCAGTACAACACGAAGAAAATCAGAGCCCGAATGACGAGGTGCTAAAACAAGATGGAGATCGAGATTTGTCTACCACCTGGAGACCCTTTACACAGGAAGCTGATCGAGACCAGTTCATGGTTTTGTGCGTTGATTCCTTCGTTTTCGGTAGCTCCTTTGTCTCTACCTTGGTGCAGGATCTGGAAGGCGGACCACCAAAAGACGACGCTGAAGACCAGATAAAGCACGAAGAAGAGGAAGCTGACAATACCAAAATTCTGGACCGCATGCTTTTCAAAGACGGTGCGAGTAAATTATTGGACCAGTTTATACTGAATGTGCGACATCAGGGATTACAAAATGTCATCGCAGTATGGCCACAAACAACACTTTCAGCGCTGAGGTTACTGGGGAAAAGTCCTGCGAGTTTACCGACACTGTTGGAAGATGGACTTGCGAGTACCGTGGATCCTCCGATGCAATGGGTCAACGAACTCAATCGGCCTCAAGGCAATAATTATAATATCAATAATCGTGGAAAAAATAAAGCTGCACGTCGTCGAAGAGACAGAGCGGGAAACGTCGAACGGTCGCCATCCTATGTTGCCTCATCGTCATCTCGTACAGTGACAGCTAGCAGCAGCAGTGCGGGAGACGAAATAGATCGCCTTTCTCCTTCGAAGGCCAACTCTTGGGGGCTTCTCGGGTTATCAGAGGGTGGCGCAGACGTCATCTACCTAGACGCGAGTCATTTGCGCGATGAAACGCTGATGGAGTTAGAGCACTGTTGGCAAGTGCTTAGACCTGGAGGCATTTTATTCGGCGATGACTGGTCACTGGAAGAAGTGGCAGAAGACGTGTTGAAATTCGTGGAAATGCTCAACTTGGCGCAATTGTACGAGGACGATCCAGTGGAGTGGAGGAGGCGAAATAACGTTAGGGTTGGAGGTTCCACGGAATCGGCTTCGGAGACGATGAAGCGAGAAGGAGGAGAGGAAGAAGGAAAGCAGGACATGATAACTGGTTCAGGTAAAAAGAAGCTTTATATCGCTGATCAACATCTACTTCAAGAGGCAAAGCCTCTACCCGGTCCACTTCAACGCTTACCTCATTTGCGCGAGTTGAATGAGGCTGACCACAGGAGAGAAAAACGGATGAAACTCTTGTTACCAGAAAACGACAAGGGGTTTTTCGCTAATGAAGAAATGTTCCGCGAAAAAAACATGCCTTGGTTTTATCGACGTGCGAACTTCACCAAGAGCTTCGGAAAACTAGACCTCAACTGGTTCCCGCACCAGTTCTACCGGAAGCGTGTGGCAATGCTTCGCCCGGGATTGTTCGTGTCGAGGGATACTTTTCTTATGATGATGAAATGTAAATCTTCTAGCCCCGTAGTTTGCATTGCTGCATTACAACCTCTTGTACCTAAATTTCTCTAGACTTGTACCTATTTGTGTAAACCCTGATTTAGAATTACACCTATTGATGTAGACGACCCTGATTTTTTAGAATTACCAGGCAGCATTGGTTGTAACGAAGGAATCTAATAGATACATAGTGATTATGATCCACACCCATAGCACATGATCGATCCCATGTATTTGCTCTAATCCAAAGTGGTTCCTGAGAAAAGGGGACCCACTAGAAGTCGCAGAACGACGTCGCACGCGGTACGAATTGGTAACTCCTGCTTTTGCCCCTTTTGACAGAACGAACATGGAGTTCGTCGAATCTGCGGAGAAGAGTCCGGCGTTTTTTAACCCAATGCCGCCAGCTCTCCGACTACGGACATGGGTACAAGGCATGTTCTATGAGAGCGACTTCTTCGACGCGTATAAATCCGGAGTCATGCCTGCTGATAGCGAGACGAACTTCAATATGAAGTTGTGTTTCATGGGTACTTCAACTGACTCTTATTTAATGTTGCTTGTTTTTATATCTTTTACTCTCTTTGTTCTCTGTCTCTCGACTCTCGTGGTCGTCTTCGAAATAATTTTGATACTTTCAGTTGTCATCAAGTAGACATGTGGTTGTAGAGGCGTTTGCGGATGATCAGTTGCAATGCATCAACTACAACGATGTAGCAACCACTACATCTCAACAGGTATGTCCACAGAAAAGCTCTCGGGATGGCGTCGTAGCTGCTGTCAAGATTGGTCGGAAGCGAACAAAGAGTGCTGGGACATTGTGTATCACCCGAAACATTGCTGTTTTCCACAGCTGCACAACTCCTTGGAATACCACGAGCAACTAGGACCCGCACAGGTTCAGTTGACGGTGGATCGGATTCGGTAAGTAGAACGAGTAGCTTCCTGAAGCTTGTCCTAGAAGTTGGTTCATGTGTTCCTGTATTTTAACGATTATGACGCAAATTATAGTTCTTGATAAACTGTTTGATGACCGACGCAAATAAAAATGAATCGATTTCGATTTGATGTGCGCGCTTGTTGTTACAACATCCGATAAAAGCCAGGAACTCTCCTGTCCTGTTGCAAGCAGGTTTATTACACGTGGTCTTGGGCTCCTCTTACAGCAGCGGTCGTGACATCGTAGACGTAGATGTACTTCTACATCCTGGTGTTCTAGAACAAGCACACGATCCAAGCAGCGAAGTACTTGATGAATCTAGAAGCGTTGAAACACACACGTAGTCATTTCCGTCAGGAGGAAAATATAGTATTGACCGGCAGTGCATTTCGTTAATACGACATCAATCAGCAGTACTACAGCGCACACACAGTTTGTTCTTGTGAAAATTGAGTGTGGAAGCAGTAACCCAAGCGCTTTGCTGGCTGTTTATAACTGCTGGATAAAATACAGAGGCCTGCGGGGAAATCAGCGATACAACAGCAGAGCTTTATAAAAAGTGAACGAGTCATCTCGGTTCCAACATTCCACCATTTGTTCTTGTCGTCAGCAGCTTGATTTCTCTCATCCTGCTGCATCAGTTTATTTATTTTAAGATCTCAGCTGAATTTAGCAAAAACAGAAACAAAAGATGAGTTTTTTTGGCACTCCAACGTATGCGTCGAGCTCGGGTGGTGCTCAAGATCAGCAAAGCGGACGAGACGACATGCTGGCATCTCTATTGCACACCCTTGATCCAGATGCCGTTGCTGTTCAGCAGGACAACGTGAATTTGAGGATGTTGCCCCAAGGAAAGGAAGCCTTTGCACCAGATCAGGACTTGTACTCGCAGAAAATGCAGATGCAGAAGGCACAGACGCAGAAAAAAATCCAAGCACAGAATATGCAGCTCAACAAAGCTCTATGTGCTGGAAACCAAGGGCAGAATACAGCGATAATAACTTCTTCTGACGGCAGCAATACTGTGGAGCACGTGAAAGTTGCGCCCTTTCAGTTTCAAGCAGATCTGTCTAGAAAAGTGATGCGAGAACGACGTGAAAGACAGGAGATTGTCAAAGAAAACCTTCGGAAAGGTGCTATCCGTCGGATGGCACGCCGTGGAGGCGTACGACGGGTTTCGAAGCTTATGTATGTTATGACAAAACTAACTCAGAGTAAGTAAGTTGTACACTCACTAGTTCTTTATCTACTTCTACCTGATCCTTTCTCCACCTACACCCTCCTCATCCTCTAACTCTCACGAATGTCGTGAAGCCTTCGGCAGTTTCCTTCAGGCGGTTCTGAAAGATGTTCTTGCTTATGCTCGTCACGGTCGAAGAAAGACTGCACGTTCCCGTGACATCCTCGCAGCACTGAAAAGACAGGGAACGACTTTATACGGTTTTGGGCCTGCGCGTTGAGGTCGTGGATTCATTGTTGGAGAAGAGGTGCTAAAAATGTTCTTGACTTCGCTGAAGATGGAAGTCACTCCCATCCCCAACAGAATAATCGAAACGTAATGAAAAAAAATGAATCTGAAGTTTTGCTATTTGGATGCAACATTTCATCACCACCGTTCTACGGCTGGTGGTCTCTGTTCACTTGGGAAGTACAATACCGGCACTGCGTTATTCAGCAATGTTGAAGCAAACTGTGGAACCAATCTTGGTTGTGCTCCAAAAAGGGATCGCTTAGCTGCAAATGTCTGGAGTCATGGCCCCTGAAATCAAGCCAGAAATCTTCTAATTCTAATTCTAATTCTAAGTTTCTTCTGATTTAGATTTCTATTTCTTCGAGTTGAATATAGTTAGTTGTCACGAAAACGATAGGATGGGGGGCTTCCCGTCTCTTGTTGCCAAAGTTTCGGTTGCGCAGGAATTTGCGAACTTCGAAAAAGCCGCACGCAGCTGGTTTAGTTCAACTCACGGCGGTCAACTTGTTCCAGTTGAGGAGGATGAATTAGTAAACAGAAAAATCATTCCTGCGTACCACAAAAACAACGCTAGTAGACTGCTTCCATCTATACTAGGTGCATTCGTGATACGAGAAATGGAAAAAGTCATGAATTGCGAGGAGGAGGAGAATGAAAAACCAATTGCAAATAAAGGTAATTTGTTTTGGGATCCTCATCATGAGTGGAAGCATAGATACCAGAAAGAGGCGTCAATATCCGGATCCGATGCCAACGAGAAGATCTACTTGGACTACCTTTTCGACGCTGATGGAAGTAGAAAACTACCCAGCGTTATTGTCTTTTCGCTATTGTCAAAGAGCACTGGCAAGAAAGAGAACAAATACAAATGTAGCCAACAATTAGTTTTTGAGCGCTCTCTCATAGAGAGGAATGTCCATGAACGCACTGAGAATGCGAAGATTGGCGAGCCTCAGAAGGCGTTGATGTTCTTGACACAGGCGTTTTGGGAACTCAGCAAACGACCCGGAAGTGAGGACATTGTTTTCTATGGAGGGGAGTCAGAGTCTGCCTTCACAGAACTTCATCCAGTAGAACTAGCTGTATCCGAGTGGGTTTGGCATGGTGCTGCAGCCACTGGGTTCATCTTCATACTAGTGGCTATCTACTTCTTCTTCTATCGCAGCGCAGCGGTTGCTGCTTCTTCACCTCCTCGTGCATGTAGCTTCTTTGCTGGTAGTTCTCTCGAAAACAGTGCAGGAGATCATGATGAGCAGCATGACAACAAGAACTACGGCTCGACAAGCTCGAAGGACAGCCCTTTCTTGTTCTACTCCGGACGTGCGGACGATGATCATCATAGTAGTAGCGGCACTGAGCTGCAGGCGTCCTTCTCCTCTACTGCAGCAAGAAGCAACGAGATCGCCGCTACCTGCGAAGGCGCAACGCGAGTACATCCAGTGAAGAAACGCACAGGTCACGCTAAGATCGCAGATGTCAGCAGTAAGGACGAGCTTAGTGTCGATGATGATCAACTACCAGATTTCACATTTGACAGAAATGATGCTTCTTCTTCAGTAGTAGGCGCAGAGAATGGAGAATGCGAATGCCAGTCAGCATCCATCATGCAGCGAGCACTCCTGAGTAGGGAGCCGAAGGAGGGTGGTAGCAAGAAGTGTTAAGAATTCGATAACGTGAGATGAAGTTGGGATGTTTCTACATCTTGATTTCCGTGACTGCGGATGACAGCAGGAGCAGATGTAAGTCTATGTGAGACTATCGTTCCAGCGATGAATCTGGTGATCATCACATATGATTTTTTCAAAGATGAACCTTGTAGCTGCTGTTGTACAGGGATGAAGTTTTCTTGTTTCAACAGACATGTTGATGGAGACGACTGATTTGATGGTACAGAAGGACAAATTTGGACGACGTCGTCAACTCATTCATGATGTGCTACCACTTTTTTTAGTTCATAAATCTTTTGTGTATGTCGATTCGGCCTGGCAGCGGTGCAGCGGACCCTCAACCTTAACCTCCTGCCGATCCTCAGTTGCTTAATGCGCAGGGCTGAGTTGGAAGTTCCGCCGAATCATCTAAATCTAGGATATGAGGTAGTCGTCGACTACCATGAGTGCGAATGTCTATGTTCTTATAAATATATTGATAGATATCAGCACTTCTACAGGAGCTAGATGAACCATGGTAGCTCACCTTGATGATCAATAAAGGTAGCTCTTGACATTTGATGAGCCGTAGAGCTCTATCCTATCCCCGATCGATGCGCAGTTCTTAGCTCCCAGATCTTGGATCTTCTGTACGTCCGGATCATGTGCAATCTGTTTCTGTTCCGATGAAAAGGATAAAGATTGACGCTTTTCTTGCTCCGAATTCGTAGGTTTTTTGTCCTACTGCCTTGATTCTCTGCGCTGATTTATCGACTGACTGATTGCTACGAAGATGGGTCGTGTGTTTGTATTGTTTTCGAAACCTAAAAAAAGATATGCTGAGGTGCTCTTTGACTTTCAGCTGATTGCTAGTACTGTCTCTTTTCTTGAGCTTCCGCCCTCTGCTGGGTCGTTTGTCTTATAAATCGTAGCTTTCCTGCTGTTTCTCGTCCTGTCTACTCTTACTTCACTGGAGGCGCTGTCTCATCTTCTATCCCAAGTTGCTTGGATTGGCTTATAGTTGGGTCTAGTCTACTAGGTTATTGAGTATGTGAGTGGGCTATAGTAGTTGGCTGTTGCTGGTCGTAGAGTAGTTCTCTTTTCCTTCTGGCTTTTTCTTTTCAAAATTCAAAGCTTTGCTGTTGCTTGCGAACCGTACTGCGCCTCATTGGAAGTTTCTCTTCTTTCTTAGTGGCTACCTTTTTTTAGTCTTCCACTTGTCTGTCGCTTGTGAAACGCACTTCTGCGCTTCATAAGGTTCGCCGCATAAGTGCTTCTGAGAGCATTTGTAGTTGCTCCTTCCATCTGATGGTTAGGAGTGCTTCAAATACTGAGGAGATCAGCGCTCGACCCTGTCCTTTGTCGTCTTTGGACCTGAGAGAGAGAGACCTTTTTTCTGCATCGGTCTGGCGCTGCCGCTGCAACAAAAAAAGCACGCTTCATCTGATCTCACTACTTGCATGGTTTTTTGCCGCAACTTATCGGTGCTTTTTCCTGTGCCCCCTTAGCAGATCCCCTTGTTGTATTTTTCAGTATTTTCCGGCTTCCCTGGTTTTGTATTTTCCGATCTTTTGTGTGCGAACAGACGGCGGTCGGGGTCGTGCGATGGATGGAGCTTCCTGCAGCAATAGAAGCGTGCGTGGCCGTCTGGATGGGACGCGGGAAGGATGCGTGACAATTGACGAAGAGGAGCCTTCGCTTGAAGAGATGAGACAACTAGTGTAGTGTCGCTTTTCTGATGTGATTAAGCAGTCAGAATGTTCGCACTTAGGGTCTTATACATAAAGCAACTTATTCGTAGTTCCAGTTTCACAAGTGGTTGTGCGCGTCGATGAGTGTAGAAGAAGTAGGTGGCACCCTGCTCGCCCCGACCTGTGTGTCTGCGTTATGAGTGAGGCGATACCGGCAAATCGCTGGGAATTGTGGCGTAGTCATTCCCTCAACCTCCTAGCTTCTTGACCATTCTAAAATCGGCGGGCTCGTAGCGAATGGTGTGATAAAGGCGCTAACTTGCCCCGCCTGCCGCCGGTTTGCGAACTGGATAAAGGTCAGGAGATTCCTTCAATCTCCCCGGCATTACAAAAAAAAAGGAACTGTTCTGAAATCTCCAAATCCAAGTCGTAAATTCTGTGAGTATGAAGTCAAAATCTTCTTGAATACAAAGAAGATCATGGTGATCGAGGAGGATCAATCTGTGCCTGTTTGGCGCTCCTATGTGATTATACTGACCGTTCTTCTGGTACTAAAACCTATACTTTTGTCTCAGAAAGTCCAATTCCGTCCCATTTCATAACCACTTGATGTCCAAGTCCATACTTTTTGTTACAGGTAAATGCAGTGCGTTGTTGCCGAAGCAGATTTAGTGCTCTAACTCTAGAAGCAACATCTCAAGTGAACATAACTCAAAACAAAATGACGGACCATTCTGAAGAAGACCCGCGTTTCATCAATGCTGGGCGCAGCGATTTGTCGTCTGGCGTCTTTTTCGGTGGTGAAGGAGGGGCTTCATCTTCCTCTTCAGGCAGAGGAGGACACCGCTTCTATGGCGGCGAAAAAACAGCTCCTCCACTCCACAGTGTGCTGAGGGTGCGCGTAGCCAGTATCGTGGATTTCGGTGCCTTTGTGCAGCCAATAGTGGAAGACTCTAGGAGGTATGACGACGACGACAATGGTCCAGAAGACGACAGGAGGTATAAACAGGGGTTATTGCACAAGTCTCGGATATCTGGAACCACTAGAGTAGAGAAAATCACCGACTTTATCACAGAAGGCGAACAGCTTTTTGTGAAAGTGGTGGAAGTAGGAGGAGGTGGAGAAAAAGGCTCTTCAGGAGGAAAAAAAGATGAAGAACACGATGTCGATGGGCCAGGAGGTGGAGCTTCAGGATCCAGATCTAGTTCTTCCGGTGGCAAATACAGTGTCGACATGCGTTTTGTGCAACAAGCGACTGGGCGAGATCAAGATCCCGACAATACAGAGTACGAAAAGAAAGAGGCAGCCAGAAAAGGTGGCGGAGACAAGGGTCCTCCTGGTGGAGGCAAAGGTGAAGGCAAGAAAGGAGGTAAGAAAAAAGGTGGTTTCAGACCGGATGACAAGATCGAGCTCGGCGCCATCCATCATAATGTTACCTGTACACGCTGTGGCGCGACAGGACATATAGCGTTGGAGTGTTTTGCTTCGAAAAAGTACGATTTGATTCCTGAAGACGCTGAGCTCGGTGGTCGTGATGAGAAAAATGCAAGTGGTAGTGGCTCTGGTGCAAACAGTATACCAATCGGAAAATCATTTGGTGCTGCTGTCGCTGCACAACGAAATACTGGTGCTGAAGGTTCTAGTACAACGGGAGGATCCTTGTCTATGTTTGGAGGAGGAGGACGAGGAGGAGCCTCTGGCTCTGGGACAACAGGCGACTGGGCTTCCCAAGAGGAAAAATTGGTGATGCGACGCCATATATCAACAGAGCTAGAACTGTTCCGTGGTGTTGTCGTCCAGAGTCAGCAACCGGCAGCAAGGAGACAGAAATTCCTAGAGGGATTTGGATCAGAAGCGACCGCTCTATTCTTCTTAGACAAGGACAATGATCCTGCCATAAAAAGTGCCGCAGGTGGACTAGGAAGTGAGGAGGAGAGAAAACGACAACTGCAGATCGAGAAGAAGCGACAAGAGCGGAGTTTGAGGGATAAGTGGGGCACTGAGCTCTTCGAAAAAGTCAAAGAAGAGGCGAAGAAGCTAAAGAAGGAGTTAGAGAAGGGTGGTAAGAAATCGAAGAAGCAGTCCAAAGCAGACGCGAAGATGGATAAAAAAGCTGCAAAAAAAGCCGCAAAAGAACATTATGAAAAATTGAAACTTTAGACAAAATACAATATATATTCTAGTAGTTGTTCAAGAATTACTTCCCTCTGTATCCTTAACTTGAGTACTCGAACATATATACGTCACTTTCATACCCCAAAGAAGGCAGCGAAAAAATCACGAAAGAAGGAGAAGAAGGAGCTCAAGAAAGTGCGGAAAGAGAAGAAGCACGCAGCCAAGAAGAAAAAGAAACGGAAAGACGACTCATCATCTTCTTCCGATTCACCCGACTCGTCTGACGATAGTGGCATGTCTGACGACTCTTAGAAGTGTGACTGCATGTAGTCAAAGCGCTACTGCGAATGCTAAAAAACCAGTGATGAACAAACGTCTGCTCACCCCGTTTTATCGCCTCTTCATCAATGCCAGTCTACCCGTCGAAGTACCTCCTTTAACTTGAACTTAGCCGGCCATTGAATCCATCGCACGGCGGATCCGTATTGTTCAGTGTTCAGAGATTCGTTCTGGCAGTGAATGAGACTGCTGCACATGGTCAGTGAATGAGTTTCTGCTCTGTACAAAGTGGTTTCTGTCAATGATCATGTCCGGGTTATGGGACAACATTCTTGTCGCGTTTGAAAGGATGCGTAAGAGCCTATCGTTCTATATGTCCTCTTGCTCACAAGCACATCATCGCTTGGTGCGCCTGCTCGCAACTTTCGTCAGTATTGATCGGTCGTCAGAGACTCGGTGCGCCCCCTAAGCAGGACCAACAGCACCTGGGGATGTGTCTGAACTTGTACTATCGGTAATTTAGTATCAATCTATTGCTCGAAACGAATCGGTATCCTCGCTGTACTAGCCAGGAACCCGAACCATCGCGACCCCCAACTTTCCCTAACTCAGCACTTTCGTGCGGTGTTGCAGTAGTCCCACAATATTATCTTCAGCTGCCGAAGTGTAACTGTAGTTTTTCTTTCATCTAGTACATGTACATGAATCTTCTAAACAGTTCCATGAGAAGTAGTTCTTGTGGGCTCCTTTTTGTAACACACTCTATAGGAGCAAACTACATCAGAGAAATTGAGTTTCTATGGTTCGCCAAGATGAACGCCACGCCCACGCGAGGCTTCCGCGTTTTGAGTCGCCGGTCAGAGGTGCTCTAGTGTCATTCCGAGCATAGCTCCTGCGAAGCGACGCGCCATCACCAAGACATTATTTACACAGAAGATTGAATCAAAACTACCTCCAACCAAGGGAAACGCGCTTGCTAAGAAATTAGTGCGGTAGAATAATGTTAAAAGAAGTGAAGAACTAAGTGCTCGAGAGAAGGCACTGAGAAGTGCAACCTCCTTGTGGTCATCCTCTCCCTTTGGTAGTACTACATCAGGACGAGGACGACTACGAGTACGACAGGACGTGGGCATAGGCGCCACATCAAAGGATTGGAGGACTTCTAGTCGTGACAACTACAGTAATCACTGGTGCTGGTCAACATCATCTCCACTACTTCGCGATTGTTGCAACTTCGAAAACTACCACAAGATGCCAGCGAACGTTTTCAGTCCGAACGCGGCTAAGCTAGCTGATACCAAAAAGTACTACAAGGCGTCAAACCACATAACTAGGCAAAATGACGACCGTTTCGATCGGCAGAGGTTCGAGAACTACACAGCTTGGTTGGACACGCAGTCAAGAGCAATGCAAAAGTTATGATGATATCTGCTTGTGGTTGGCATTGGCTTTCGTCTTGAGCAACTTTGTATGTGGTACTTGTCATTGTCTCACAGGTGACCATATTGACGATGACCTTTCATTTTCCATCGCAATGTAAGTATGTGTATTTTAATTTTTATTTGCAAGTAAGTTGATTCATTTTCATAATTCTTCACTTGCAACCACCTCTTCTAACGCAAAGTGAGACTTACTTTTTCGGAAGAAAAGTCGAGAAGCCATTGTACGGCTTCGAGCCGCCAAGAGAGCTCTTCCAGAAGGACAAGCAAGAAAAGCCTTTCGTGATTCAGGTATCTACTTTGGTCTCAATTTTAGTCGCTTGTTAAGGTTGTTTATTGGAATTGGTCAATCACCAGTATCAGTATCTTGACAGATGCGCAATAGGAAAAGCAAATGTTTATGTTTACTTCTCAAAGACCACGATCAGAAACAGAATGAGCTATCTCTGTAACTGATGTGCCACCTGTCACACATGCATGATCCTCAATCTATCACCTTAAAACAGGAACCGAGTTTTACATCCGGAACAGTTTGCGCGAGAAAGTACGATAAAAACTACATTGTCACTGATGACAAACTTGAGGACTTGAGGGCGGATCCATATCACGAGCCAAACTTCATGGCTATCAAAACGAAGGATCACTTTGGAGATCACAGGTACAACTGATAGAAGAAGTAAGCTCATGTAAGATGTTCTTCTTCCCATCATCCTCGGAGGCGAGCAGGTGCCGGTGGGGCTCGTCGTGCAGGATCCATAACCTAACCTAACCATCTTGTAGCTTGTAAAAGATTATTCTAGTAGTTCGAAATTCATTTTCATTTACTATTTAATTCGCTATAAGCATAAGCTCCTTTTCTCCGGCTCGGCAACATCAAAATCAACATCAAAATCGAGGTCCGGATCACGGCATCCAATGAAAGAGAGGCTTCCGCAACTATGGAGACCGGTGGACAAGGAACTTAGGAAAGCTGTGCCCCAGGAGATGGTAGACTCGTGGATGAAGGCGAATGGCGGCGATAGCAAAAAATCGAATAAAACGGTACTGATTTTCCATCTGAAACAAGTCTAGTAAAGACTGATTTCTTGATGTAGTAGATCATGTGCTTGCATCTACTAAACGTACTAAACCACTATTAGTATTACGTGGTTGTAAATGATTAATGCTTATGCTGTGCCTGTGGTGGTGCTGCTGCTGATGACCATGTTCATCGTCGTTCATCGTCGTGCGTTGCCCTTCATCTCAAACACTTGGTTTAGGTTTGCTTGACCTAGTATCCTTCAAAATCGAATTCTACAGGATCCAACTTTCCAAGTGCTCTTTCGCAGCGACAACGACGTCCTGGCGCGTTCCAACGCACAGAGAATACGCGAGTTGAATTTGGACACTAGTACCACAGCATTGCCTCACTACCTAGAGGAACAGAAAAAAGGACTGCCTTATGGCTTCTAAAAGATTAAGCAGCACTATAGACTATGCTATGCGTACTAGTAATGCTTGTACTTGCCCCCGTTACTACTTGTACTTCTTCGTGAATATGAAACAAGAGAGACATTATGTACTCCTAATTTGCACATTTTTCGAAGAGTACAAATTGGTGCTCTAATCCCGACCACCTCCAGAACCTCCTGTTATTGGTGAAGATTCCCTACTCCCAGCCGACAAGACCGGAAGAATCTTCAAAAATCACGAATCAGCGAGATTGCAGAACGTTGTGCGGAAAGACGAACGTTTTGTGCAGGAAATCGATCACTTGTATTTATGAAGATGGTTTTTTTATAGGCTGGTAGGAACAAAGCGAAAGCTTGTTTACTTTAAATCCTCATGCAAGAAGTCAGTGACTTGCATGAAGATGAATTACAAGTCATACATTAGGAATGACTTTTGAAGTCACTTCTAATGCATTTCTTTCCTGACTAGAATCCCATGTCGATTTCAACCAGAGGACTAGTTCCTTCTCCCTTCCTCACCTCTAATTTCCCCCGCAAAAGAGTTTCCACCACCGTTCGAGAACCAAGGAGCACTGAAGTATGCAGGTGGTCTCAGGGACCCCAAGGCGACGAGAGAGGAATTCCTCAGTCCTAGAAGTCAAGCAGATATAATGAGCGTGACGTTATGGCTTCGTCATGTTGAAAATTTGTCCCTAGACGTACATCACGTAGATACGGAAATGGATTCATCCCCTACCTCGATTAATAAGTATTTGCAAACGGATTATTCCTAGAAGAGGTGGAGGGTATGGCTATGGGAAGATAGAGATACCCTTTTATTTCCACATCAAGGATGATCTACAGCTACGCGCTGCTCTAATCACATCACCTAGGAGCTCTCCAGGAGGCGGAAGACTCCCAGCAAAATGGCTTGGGAAGCACATGAAAGGAGACGCGCTGAAGGAGTATGAGACTGTCACCGGGGTTACAGCAACCGTTTCCTCTCCTGCTAAAAGGGTCTATCCAGAAGAAAGAATTGGCACGGAACAAGAACGATTAGCGGAGTGGAAAAGTCTAGCTTTATGACAGACTTCTTCGTCTTGTGTAATATAACAACATGATAAACATTCTAGATCTAGTTCTAGGTGTACGCGATGTAGTTACACATAATTTGCAATTTTCTCTAAAGTTGTCGTACTTATGCACTAGCGGGAGTCCTGCTTCATGATTATGCTACCGATCTAAAGATGGCTAAGACTAGAGACAAGGCCCTCACTGCTAATACCCAAAGTCCCTGCCCACGGTGTCAAAGGCGGTGTCAAAGAAATACTGAGGCAAAGCTCAATCCTCCTCAAGGTCCAGCAACATCCACCGGTAGTACCTCGAAAGGTGTTCGTATCCGGCGCAGACTTCGATCGCAGAGGCTGGGACAGAGACACACATCGAAATAGAATGAGATATAGAGGAGGTACCGCAGTTGTGTCAGCTGCTTTTCAACATCATATTATATATATAACATTTGGCTTTTATTTGATCATTATCCGATGTCCTGGAACAAGGTGTTGCCGGAAGAACATATGATATTGAATTTTTTTTTCCAAACCAGGTCCTCGCGTCCTGGAAGGTGTTGCCGGAACATGGGCGCCAGAGGGTAGCGGCATGGGAGCATTTGCAGCGGCGCAGGCAGGCTGATAAGGGCACTACTTCTCGAAGGAGGAACAGATTATTTCGTCTGATGAAGTAGAACAAATTAGAAGAGTAAAACGAATACCCGATTCTGTTCTGTTCATCGCAATACAATACAACATCGCTTGCGCAAGAACATGAAAGTTTTATAATGCACTCGTTTTTATTACCATGAAAATGAAAAAGTCGAAATACAAATAGGAAATTGAAATACGAAATTAGTTGTTGAAATGCTTTGACAAAGTAATACTTCCTCGTCCCGAGAGCAAGTTGTAGTCACTCATTATTCGTTGAAATCACACTTTTTGCTCAGTGCTTAAGCTAAATGACGCGCGTAAATGTACTAGGTATTATCAAGAGTACTATTTGTTCCAACATATCTATCTCAGTAGGGACCAAAGAAGTCAGAGATGAAGGGAACAAATTCAAACGTAGACAACAAGTTAAACGACGTACGAAGTGAAAAGTAGGCGTGGAGGTTGTGAAAACAGAATGAACGATATAATACTGGACATCCACTATCCAGCACCTCTTGAAGATGACACCAGGAGACGTCGACTGCATAGAGAATGAACAGGTTGATTTTTGACCCCGATGTGCTTCCCTTGTACCGCAAACCAAGGCAGACAAGATATGGTGCTGTGCATGTACATCATCCATCAGAACTACAGGATGTAAGTAGCTTCAATGTCCCTAAAGTAGGGAGTTGGCTTCAAGGACACCTATGGGCGGTCCCCCGTGTGTCTTCATGCGCCAGTGCCGGTGAATGGTTCTGACACAATAAATGTCGGCACTTGAAGATGATGTAGTCTCAGTATTCATGCTGCACCTTACAAAAGTTATCAAAGCAAAAGTCTGAAATCGGCGGGTGGCGACCGCAAAATAGGATAAAAGATTCCCAAGCGAGAGAAAGGCCGTTGTTTAGAATCAAAAAAATTGCTATGCATTCAATTCCAATTGCGAAAATATGTAGTAGTCATCTTTCTCTAAGTAACCAGAACATGAAGATCTCGGTCGCCAGTGGTAGCGAACATTGTCCTGTTCGCTAGTTCTTAAGTTTACTAGATAAAGTCACGACCGAGCTTTATTAACAAACTCGAACAAAATGAAAATGCTTTACGCCTAATGCTGTCAATGAGACGGACAGCGAACTACCTTTACCAAAGACAAAGCAAATTCACATCAGCAGTTCTATGTCTGTTGATATAAATGCAACATCATGGATCGTTTAGCCTTGCTCCGGAAGAAGCATCCAGGACTGGGAAATTCGCCAAACGCTAAATCAGGATCGCCCGTCCTGTTAAACGCAGCTCCTGCTGAGGCTGAACATCAAAGTTTGACACATGGAGTGAGTGGTCTAGTGCGTGGAGGAAATCACGACCTTTTCCAACGTCCCGCACATGCACCACAAGGGCTAGGAGTTGTATCCGCACCTGCACAAGGTCCGGATGCCAATGTTGGAGGTAGAAATCCAAATGCTTCTCCAGCTACAGGAGTCGCTGCTCCGTCGATATCCTCCACTGTCGGAGTTGAACAGCCATCCTCCTCTTCAACCTCGCATTCGCATGTAGCTGGTGCAAGTCATCATCGTCATTTTTCCCGATCGGCAGGTGCTCCTGCTCCGACTGGAGGCACGACTTTGAGAGTAGGCACTAGTGCTGCAAGTAGTTCAACGGCTCCTCCTGTAAGCCATAGTCAACATAATATCATAGGTAGTTGTTCCACGAGCAGGAGCACGACTTCCTCCATCCAGCAGACGTCAGCTAACACCAGAGGACCATCATTAAGGCTCAACTGAGGGGTTGGTCACTGAGATCGAAGAGGCGACCCCTTGAGAGAACAGGGGAAAACGAAGGGAAAGGGGAGGAGACCTCTGAAGGGGGTCGCTTCCGTTCAGAGTCAGTGGCCAATGAGTCGCGCTGAGCTTTAACATCACCAGGCACTCGCAAGGTTCGCACAGCCTCTACTCGACGTCCCTCACCCATTCGGTCGCGCGTTGCTCCGAATCAACATTTTCCTGGGACCACTTCAGCAGGATCTTCTTCACTCGATCTTTCTTCTGGAGGAGCAGCAGGTGGCCCAACACCCACTACAGCCAGAAGCACAACTGCTCCACCACCAGCACCACAGGTAGTCCCACCAGCACCACAGGTTCCACCACATCAATCTTCGGTGGTGGTAGATGTAATAGCAGATCGGGCCAAGCCCTTGCCGAAACCTGTGGGGCAGAAACCTCAACTTCTCGTCCGTCCAGTCGTGTCAGCACCGCGAAAAGCGTCCTACAATGTCGTTTCTAGAATTGACACAGGGATCAAAGATCCGACTTGGAGCTCTTTTCTACAAGAACATTTACCAGAACTGCCTCCGCCTGTGTCCTCGCATGCTTCAGGAGTTGGTGGGAGTTCGTCTTCGCATTATGCTACAAGCGCCTAACACAATATGATGTACCCCACCCTGCGGATTTTGACCGCTCAAAAGTACCACGTCCTTGCACTTCTATCAGATAGATGATCTGTTGCTCTTGCCCCCATCCCTGGTGCACCCATGCCCATCATGTAGTTTTGACATTCACATTCATAGACTATGTCTATGTCTAATCGACTCAGAATCCTCAAGCAGCAGCACAACATCGAGGTGGAAGAGCAAGGTCCCGCACGCCGGCTGGAGGCGGTGGATATGGCGACGAGAGGCACCATCAGACCAAGCCAGGAAGCAGGGATGGTTCTGCACAACGAACTAGGAGTAGATACAAAGGTGTAGCCGCTGCACCAGGTGTTGGAGGTGTGCCTCCGGCTAGTTGTAATTCAGCTGCTACTTCTTCATCTGGAACGGCAAGGACAGTGCCAGGTGGAAAGACATCTAATCGTTCTCAGCATCAGGAAATCTTGGCGCCTTCTTCGTCGAGTATTAAGGGTGGGCTAAAGGTGTTCTTTTTACCGTTTGTTATGGAAGCTCTCCTAAGGGAGACAGACACAAAAAGCGGGATAAACGAACACAAAAAACCTACCTCTAAGAGTACTATAGGTAGCGCGACTGCTGCTGCGGATACCACAGGCATACCACCAAGCATAACCTCCAATCATGACCATCAAGTTCCAGTTGATCGTGGCTACCAACCTGAATCCGAGAAGGAACAGCAGGAACAGGTGGAAGCTGCGAGGGCACGGTTGCGGGAACTGGCAGCCAGAAATGAAGACGCAACTTCTCCGGGGAGGACTGGGGATGGGGATGAAAAATTTCACTCTCTTAGTCCTACGCGTTCTACCCATAAGAACAACCAACACGGTACGAGTCGTAGAATGCAAGACATCGAAGTTCCTGTGTCTCTCAGTACGCAAGCAAGCCCAAGATTGCCATCAAACAGAGATCCCAGTCCAGTGACCAGTGGTACAACTGCGATGGCAAAAAATCAAGAGACGATGGGCAATGACGTCAACAACAAGGACGCCACGATGAAGTTTTTATCTCCCTTGTCTGAAGACACGCAAGGGACTGCGCGTGGTGCTGGTGAAGCAGCTTCATCAAACTTCATTTCTTCGAGTGTCTTTCCGACGGAAGCGTTTGCAGCACTCACCGAGCCTTCTGCTCTACCAGTATTTGCCTCGAGTCCTAGCGGTAGTGGGAATGCTCAGGTGAACTACAATAGTACTTCTCTACTTACTTCAACTTCAACAGCAAACGCTGCAGCTGCTCCTGTCCTAGCAGATGCTAACCCGGAAGGGGACGTTCTTGGGGGAGGTTTCATACGGATGAAACGAAACGACAAGACCACTACTTCTAGCGCATCTAGTAGTTCAACGTCAGCGTCCTCAGGCTCAGGGACAAATAATTCCTTAAACGCAACAGGACGCCTAATCGCAGAAGCAAGCCATCATTTTGAAGCGGCGTCAGCAACGTCATCAGCCAGTGCTGGGTCTACAGCAACGTCCAGCTTTAGAGTCGACAAAGCCCGGGAGGCATTTTCTTCTTCAGTTGTATTTGACCAAGAAGCTGGGAGAAGTACTGATGTGGAGATGCGTCTAGATAAGGAGACAAGAACTTCCTCATCGCAACAGCAAGACGAAGTGGCCAAAACGAAACCAGGAACAAAGCCAGATGGGTGTTCACAAGGTGCGGATCCCATGGTGGGCGATAGTAGTCGAGTACAAAAGGCAGACGAAGGACCACACGCTCACCGACAGCGACAAGGTGGCACAACTACGTCAACTCCAGCTCCTCCTCTTCCACCTCCTCGCTATAGCAACGTGCCTCTTGTTGACCCCGATGCTTCATCGGATGCGATCTTGCAGCCAATCAATCCTCTAGAATCTTCCGTGAGTTACGGTTTTGCGCGTCCGCCTCTGGTCTCTCCTCTGTCAACCCTAGTCGACGCAGGCTCAGAGATAATTACGGCAAGAGCGGCGTTTGGTGGAGCGTCGGCTAGTATGAAACGAACACGCGGAAGCAATACGGGAGGAGGAGCTCCCTCTGGCGCGGCCGGACACCACTCAATACTGCTTCCACATGTAGGATTAAGGCTTGTTGCTTTGTTTTCGCTCATTTCTCTATTCTAATGTTTGAGGTTCTGTTGTCGTTGCTGCTCGCTTTGTGTCTGTTTCTGTTAAGTCGAACTTGAAGCGCTTTTGCATAGAATAAAAAACACTGACCAGCACTCTTTGAAGTAAGTACTTAGAAAAAGGTAGAATGCACAAATACAACACAAACAACTTCAACACAGCACACGCGCGCCCGCGCACCTCTTCTACACCTCTAATTGTACACCCAGGAGAGCAGCAGCTGTCGCCTAAAACGTCCGCGAGCAACGCTTTCGAAACGATGAATCCCCATGCCGCTGGTAATAATGTCCGCCTTTCCACTAGTAGCCGCAATTCAACAGTAAAACGCTTAGAGGAGCACGCTGAATGGCAGAACGTCATTATGAAGAGTGTAGGACGCGAAGCGCGGTCCTCCTTTTCTGTCCGCGACCAGTTCGAAGAAGAGCAGCTTTCTTCACCAAAGGGGCGCCTCGCAGTACTACGGAAACTAACACAAGACGCCAAGTCTCCCACGTCACCGTCTGGAAGGAATACACATACAGGGGTAGTACCTGCAAATGCTGCCAAGCAAGGGCTAGTACCTGTCGAGGAAGAGCAAAATCAACTAGTGGAGTTGAAGAGCAGTCCTACGAGTCCGAAGCTGAAGAAAGCGCACTACTCAGCGGCAGCTTCGTCGTCCACTTTCGTGGCAGGTGCGGCTAGAATCCCACAAAACGGAGGTGTCGATGGTTCGGAGCAGATGCAGATGAACACTAGCAATAGTAATAGCCTGAGTAAAGTGATCAAACCAGGATCTTCTGGCAGCGGCAAAATGTTTCCGCCTCTTTCGTCCAGTAGAGGCGTGTCGGAGCTGAGTCGAGAGCCATCGCCATCGTCTTGTCGTGCACGATTCCTGCAAAAGATGACTATGATAGAGCTATTCTTTTAACCGCTAACGGTAACGCTAACGCAATGATATTAATGTATCTCGACCGCGAGGTTCCGATACCGACTGTAGCACTCTTGCTAGATGACATAGATGATATTCATAAGCGACGACATCATCGCTATCGACGCGATGCTCTTCTAACACTAGTCTTCGCAGCAAGGATCCAGGGAGTTTAGCTTCTTCAGCATCAGCTTCGTCGATGGCAGGGGGAACCGGTGAGAAAGAGACGACTACGGGAACGACTAAAAGTGGAAATCAGGCCCCGACTAGTTGTAGCAACACCGCAACAGCTGGTGCTGGTCGTACTGCGCAGCCTCATGCACCAGTAGAGAATCATTTGCAGCTGCCGGCGATTCAACATAAAGCGACCACAGCAAGCAATTCTTCATCTAGAATGTTTTCCCCGAAAAACGGAGAGGTTGCAGCGTCTCTCAAGATAGCATCACCACCTTCTACGCTTAAGGCAAGTTGTTTTATTTGTGTAAATATTTTGTCATTCTTCAGCTAAAGTGGCGAGGAAGCCGTTTTTAGTAGCAAATTCGTTTAGCTCTAAAATACGCCAAAAACGCGCTTCAGGCCCCGCCCCCGGCCGGAGTCCTCCGCAAGCTAAGAGAAGTAAAGACTCATCTGCCCATCAAGACCAAAAGAAGGCAGTAGAGGACCTAGAAGAGCAAAAGTTACACGACCAACTACATGACCCATCGTCGTCGCGGTCCTACCAGTTTGCAACTGGGAAATTCGGAAGAGACCTGCAGGACGAGCAGGATCATCAAGAAGAAGCTGGGCCTCCAGGTGGTGGTGCCGAGGTGTTACTCTGCGACCCTTCAGTGCGACAGAATCATGTAGTTCCTGCATCTAGGACGTCAACGTCTTCATCTGAATTCTTCAGAGGGCAACATCAACATCATCAAGAAAAACAGCAACATTTTGCCTATGGCGATTATAGTGGTCGAATCTTACAGTCCTCTACTTCTACTACGTCAGCACTGAGTCCAGCATCAAAGTTGTCGCGTGTCGAGATCAAAAGCAACTACAAGTACCAACCGGGTAACATGCCGGATGTAGCCTACGTCAGCAGCGAGGGCATACTGTCAGAAAGAGGTGTTCCACTATCGCCGAAAGCAGAACGACAACCACATGACCCGCCACGCCCATTGTTCTACAGCGAGGAGCCTATGGAGGTCGATTCGGGTGCAGCTCCAGTAAACACCCTAGCAGATGAGCAGAAGCAATTCGTAGGACATCAAGCACAAGGACAAGACCAACATGATGCACAAGTTGGTCATCAAAATCAATCTCGATCATCATCTATGATAGTTAAAACGCCGCCGAACGCAATTGGCAGAAGTAGTAGAAATATGAGAAGATCGAGTACTACGAGTTATAACCTCGAAGAAGAAGATGTTGATGAGTGGAGCACCGGATACAACCCCTATGACAATAGCCAGCGCGTTTACCGGTATCCGCCGAAGAAAGCCAAGGCCCCGCAAGGACTGTATGGAAATGCTGGATTCAAATGGCTCTGCTGCTAAAAATAAGTGTGTTGATTCATTTTCTTGATTATAACGCAGATTGATATTAATTACTATTCTGGTCGCGATTTCTTCATCTTGAAGAGATCATCGTCATTCTTTCTCCCTCAAGTAAGTACAACGGCTCCTTGCTACTTCATCAGTCTTAACGACGACGTTCAAGACCTTTCATTTTCCTGGAGGTTCAGAGCGACTGGAAGGCATGCTAGAGGAGTCTGCACTAGAGCATACTTTTGACCCTAGGGCCGCGACAACACATCTTGTGCCGCGAAGCGAATTGATTGAAATCGAAAAACCGAGTGCCGCACTTGCCCCTACCGCAACCCATAGCGCTCCTCATAAGACCCTGGAAGTGGACCCCATGCTGAATGCGACAAATATGCCGCATCGATATACAGCGAATTATATTACGGCAGATTGACACTGACCACAGCCACACTGGCTCTGACACTGTTGTCTCACTGTTTCGCTTCGGACATTTTTTTATCACTAGTGCATGCACATTATACAAAGCAGTTTATCGCACGAATGGTGCATGGAGTGCATGGAGCCCAGACCGATACGGGACGCAAGAAGCGCCCCCTTTAGCTCCATGCAACTCCATACCATCCAAGTCCATGCACTCCATGCCATGCGAGCTGGCAAACCTTAGAGATCAACCTCGTGCAAGTACCTGCACCGAAGCAGGGAACTGATTAGGATCATTCTGCTTGTTCTTTCCAATTTACTGCCCGTGCTACTTACTTATATATTTAAATATTTATCATAATATCGCGACCAAGTCTTATTTAATGCGAGTAATTCTGGACTAGGACGACTTTCTGGAGTCCTCTACTAATTCTAGTGCAGAAACAGGACCATTTGAAGACCAAGACCTGCCTGAGCCAGGGTTTGAGCAGCAGGATATTGCAATGACTGTCGACGACGCTGCGGGAGCGCCACAGCGTGAGGCAGCCGCGGCTAGAAGTACCCCAGCAGGTCCAAGTAGCCCTTTTATGGAAGGTGCTTCTTTATCCATCTCTTGTCAGCCTCGGTATCGGTATGGACGACAAAGATCGTCCTCAACATGGTCGCGGTCATTTTCATGAGAACCTGGACCTGTATTGAAGCAGAGAAGCATTTCTTTTTAGTTTTCTAAAATGCTAGAAAATATCTACAAGCTACAACAGATTCCTTTTATAGTTTCAAAGAAACTCGTCATTATCATACGGACCCAGTACGTTGTACCCCCACTCCTAGTCGTCCTGCTTCTATTATGAGAAAAGCCTCCCTTGTCACCCTTGTTCTTCATTCCGCCATCGTACAACAACCGGCAAGCCGCGCACCAACAAGAGCAAGTCTATGGAGGTGGAGTCACCAAATCCACAACTTCAGAATACACCTTAATGGAGTCGGGCCTTATTGCACCTACTCGCGAAGAACCCAAAATCCTATGCCCTCATTGTGGACGTATCATCTTCAAATAAGTTTGAATTTATCAAGATCATCCCTGCTCTGCGTCTTAAACCTCCGATGAAACTGAAAATCGTGTGTGTGTATGATCAGAAGTACTAACTTACACATAGACATAGATACACAACTACAGACGTCACTGTCATTAATAGATAAATTCTCAAATAAGGTAAATTTGCGGAAGCTGCGAGTATACGGCATATAGCGGTTTGTGCGCGACTAAAGTCTAAACCGAAGGGAGCTTGTCGCAACCAAAAACAGCGCATGCGAACAGATCACCTTGGCCGTCGTGTTCCTGTAGAAGATGTGTCACCAAGTAACAAGGACATGATCTTCCTCGGTCGTGAAGGCATAGAAGCAGTGGAAAATACAACTGTGCTTACGGCCATTATCATTATCATTATCATTATCGTGACCGCCCTTTTCGCTTTTCTATCTTCCTCTGGTCTTTCTTTTTTCTAGTTAGGTCTCTCTGCTCGGCCACAATTATCGCACTAATCTAGAGCACTTAGAAGACATTTTCTACTATGACCTTCATCTTGAAGCTGAACTAATTGTCATCTGTAAAGTGTGAGAATTAAGAAGCACTTCGACACTCATTCTATTATTCTCCACAACGGGTATTAAGAAGCAGTTGTTCTACGCTCAACGCTCATTCTATTATTCTCTACCTGCTGATAATAGAATGAGCTGACGATTGTACTAACTTCTCCTCGTCTAATCGCTCATCCTCTGAGCCAAGAACGTCTCGCCAAGAGTTGCAGGCACAGTGGGAGCAAGTACGTTTGTTGCTTTCTTCGGGAGTGCAGGGTGTCGCGTCTGAGCAAGCCATCGCGACAACTATGCGCACAACAGACGAAGGGCTCTCATGGCTCCGTGAGGCGATAGAGACTGCAGCGAAGCTGCAAGTTAGGAAAGGTACAGAAGATTTTACAACAAATACAATATGATCAGGACTTATTCATTGCAATCACATCAACGGTAAACGATCATACGTACATGATGTAAAGACACTTACATAGAAACCTTGCTACAATTTGGTAGAACCAAAATGCTATTGCTAGTGTTCCGACTAACTTTTTTCACAACCGTATCACCTCACTCTGTATGGTTCTGGTATTTTTGGTATAGCCTGAATTTGATCCTAAGGGTTCTCTCCTTGTTTTCCCTTAGGATCAAACTCAGGCTATACCAAATACCAGAACCATTCACACTCTCCTTCTACTAACTACACTCAACATACTTATGTTTCGCTGCTGCTCAGGTCACTTTTGCCGTTCTCTTTTGTCTTCGTCTCCGCCTCCTGCCGAATGGAAGTTAAAGAGCGACGTTCGCGAGAGGCTGCAGCTGCAAGGGATTAGTGTCCGTAAATTGCTGAAAATCAAAGTCTCCGATGACGCAGACGTTGACCTACTTTAAGAGCAGTAGCAATGATTGCAACTTTTTCTGCGCTCTACTTAGTTGTAATTACAATTATACATAGTCATAGACAACATCGCAGTCAGAGGAGGACAGTGAGGAAAAAAAAGGAATAAAACCGCTATTCGCGGCTTCGCGAATCGGATAAACGTTCTTTTCAAGTAGGGAAAACCACAGGCAAGAACTTGCAGCTAGTGTACTAACAAGTTCACTACTGATTCTGATTCTACTTGAAGATATTGCATCTCATCGTCTATATGATCTAATCTCTCTTGGACTCTTTGCGCTTGGTGAAGGCGTTCTTTCAGAACCTGGATTATGTCTGTCGAGAAGAGCAAGCACAGCAATTTCAGGGGACAAACCAGGAGCGCGCAGACTACATCCGACAGCATTTTTTGGGCTGAAGCAAATGCCGTGGAATTCGAGTTGCTACTCAGCAAGTCTGCCTACCTATAATCATCTTATTTTATGAAAATCGTACTGGTACTGGTACAGACACAGAGCAAGCATTTGCTGTCGAGTTTCTAGGACTGTAGTTTTTGCACATACTTTGGGTTTAGCTTTACCTTTACAATAAATCGCCGAATTATTTTGGGCGATTACAGACAGTTTGGAACAACTTCTAACACATACATCTTTTACTTATCGATTACCCTGCATGATTGGAACAGTCAATCCCTAATATGTTCCTCCCGATCTTTATCTTGGTTTGTGAGACTGGTGTCAAACACTGCGTCATTGTTGTATTGAGCTTCATTTCCATATTTAATCTCCAATATAGATTAGAAAAAGAAATGGCAGACTTCGTAAAAAAAATCTTGCAGCGGAACGAGTTACTCACTTCATGAGGAGTCGTGCGTACTGAGGGTTTCTCTGGAGAGTGCCTGAGAGTCCAAAAAATTGCTGCCTGAAGATACAAATGACAAAAAAAAGAGAGAATCCAGCATCACCGAATAGCCAGAAGTAAACTACTCTTTCTAAAGCAGGCTCTGTTTCTGTGGTCTGTGTCTGTGCTGGATTTATGCGTCCAATTATCGTATCCGTTGACAACATCAACGCTAGCGATGACCGCAGTTGAGTTCGTGTAGAAGTATTCGAGTTCGAAAGTGTTACAAGGGAAAAGAAGATCCTGGGGTTAATCGGTGATAATTACATCTGAACACACTAATACCATTTCTTCACCCTCACCTCCCTGCAACGAAAAGTCCCAAAATTCCATGACCTCGACCTATACCTCTTCATCTACCTCAGTCGTTAAAATCTTCTCGAAGTTGATATTTACAATTGATTCATTCATTGTTTGATTTTTCTAGTTCTTGACTGACAAAACCTCTCGATTATTCACTGACAATTCAACATAGAATTAGAAGCCCGTCCTGTTCTGGGAGGGTAGAAAGCAAAGAGAAGTTTGGCACGTTTGTGCTGTGAGTTTGGTGAAGTCCAAGCATTTGTTGCATTGGGTTCATGGTTCTACTCGTCTGGTGAAGGTGAAGTTTCTCTGAATTATATACCATCAATCTAGAAGATGATCAATTGGCTCACTCCAACAATTACAATGTCGTTCACGCAACGAAGATCAGCAGGACAAGACATGGGCTTCTCCGGCTGTAAACGACCGTCAGAACAACTAGGAGCATCCAATAAGTCTTCAGGATTGTTAAGGCTGTACTTTATTCATCTTTGACTGCGTCCTTGAGTAGTCGCTTGTGTGGGGGAGTATCACAGGAAAGCACTCAGCCATATTTTTCAAGGATGCAGCTGAAAGATGAACTGCGGACAGCTTTAAGATTGGGACTGGTCAACATGTTGAAGCTCATCCTCCTAGTTCCTCTTTTCATGGGCTCGCTCGCCATGGCCCGCTTGGGGGAAAAACGAAATGCGGGAAATAAACAAGACATTATGGCTATAAAAAGCTCGTGAGCTGTAATTCGTAAGATCGAATATCTTAATTTGTCGGCTCAGCAGCGGCATCCTATCCTATCCTATCCGTTCCTATCCTATTGTCGGACTCTGGCGTGCTCAGTCTATAAGAAGTTTGTTATTTTTTTGTCATCCATCGTGAATCTAGAGACTTCTCTAATATCAATACCGCAGCAGCACAAGGAGGATCTGTTGTACCTCCTACAGATACAAAAACGGAAGGGGTCTTGGGATCGACTGCGTCATTTTTCGGATTTCTTAAGGCTTCTTTAGCATGCCGTAGCCATTTTGGCTCAAGGACAACCCACTAACAACCACCATAGGGAAAGAAATCCAAAAGTGACCTCGTGCCCCCGTCTCCAGCTGTCTACACGACAGCTACCACTGAAAGACTATTAACTTGGCTCTATTGTTATATTTTTTTGTCCAAAGAAACTGAAGGATCTTGGTCTTCTTCGGTTCAAAACATTAATGGGATTCCATAGCCATGTTAAAGCTCATTAGACTTAGAGAAAGTGAGTCCATATTAAAATTCTTTAAAGAGATTTGAGGTTTGTGTTTGATCCTTCCTTCAGGCTACTCACAGAGACCACTATGCACTTTTCCTCTTCCGAAACTCTAGCGAAACACAACACTTTATTTTTTTGGCATATCAATAAATCACTTGCGTCTGATCCTTGAAATTCTACAACCAAGAGAAGCGGAAATGTTGGAAACGTGGAGCACGTTTGTTGGCGATTTCGGAAGCAGAAATATTCGGAATAATGTTTTTTGTTTCTGGTAGGAATTTTTCCTACGGGAAACTGAAGAATTTCAGAAATCTGGATGAAGGCGAAGCGGAAAAAGGGAGCAGGCGATCCGGTGATTTTTTTACTTTTTGTGATCATTATTTTCAGATTAATTCATGCTTCATGGCAAGAAAGTTGGAGGCTGATCTTGATCTTGTATTTCTATTTGTGTCCAGTACCAGTACCAGTAGAAGTAGAACTACAACTTACATGACAACTTTAATTCCATCTACTTTTTTCTGCTCTTCTTCTTATGGTATTGCTCCTTCCTGAAATTACTTTTTCAGGGAAGCACACGGCACACGCCACACTCACACAACAAGCAGTAGCAGTAGCGGAAGAATGGATGGCCACAACGAGCGGCATTTGATTTTTAAGCGAAGCGGAGTCGGAGAAGGAACGAATTTGAATAGGAACAAGGCACAGGCAGATGAAGGCGCTTCAAGAGCAGATGTAGGATTTGAGTCGGCAAGCCAAATCGAAATCCAGACCTTGGGTCCAAAACCTTGCGTGCCCGCAATCCCAATCGCAATCGAATACGGCGCGGCCGAGACGTAGACCTGGTGTTGGAGTTATGGTTGAAGATATTCATATTGATATTGAGAATGTCAATGTGAATGAGAAAGGAAAACGACATTGATAATCATATTCATAACGAGTTTGAGTTAAGTAATACTAATAGTAAAGTGTAAGTATATTCTTATTCTGAATCTTATTTCACATTCACTTTCACATTCACACTCAGATCACTAGATCTAGACCAACACTAAGTGGAAGTCTATGTCTAATAGTTAATACTATAGCTATACCTATACGTATGCCTATACCTATGCGTATACCTATACATATACTACGCATCGGATGACGGATGAAGTCTGAGAAACAGACGAGAGATGACGCTGGCCACGACCTCATGCCCATGGCAACCAAGCAAACTTATTGTTATTCATATAGATTGAGATAGAGATATACTTATACATATACATATAGATATACATTTCTTATTCTTTTGCTTTACGAGAAAATGAAAAGCAAAAAGTAAGAGTTAGTGAAAAAGTCCGCCTAGCACTACCAGTACCATTACGAGAGAGAGAGAGTGAGAGTGTCTGAGACAGAGACTGAGACTGTAACCGCAAAAAAAGTTTTTCTTTCTTTTTCTCTACTTGTACTAGTACTTGTAGTTGAAGTTGTACTTTTAGTGAATACCAGCACCAGTACCAGTAGAGATTGAGATAGAGCCAGTAAATCTAAATTTTCTAAATCTAAATGTTATTGTTAATGTTTTAACTTGATCTTTTTCTTTAAGTTTAACTTTATCGCTATGCTATGCCTATGCGTATGCCTATGGCTATGCGTATGCGTATCCCTATCCCTATGTCTACTCATCTGTTGTAGATGAGCACGAAGATGGTAATGATGAAGTTGTAGCTGAAGTTGTATTAGTGATAAGCGTAACTCTAACTGTAAGTCTTAGCTTTAGTCCTTAGACTCTGACTCACACTCAGTAGCAAAAAAAATGGATCCGGATCCTACCAGTTCGGGTACGATATCTGGTAGAGGAATCTACCATCCGATGAGGCAGAGTATCGGAAGGAAGCTAATGGAAAGAACAATAACGAAGATGGAGGACTCGATATTTTACCTGGCTACGAAAGCAACGGTACTATTCTAAATTTCTACTTTGTATTTCTATTTCTATTTCGCGTTCACCTTCACCTTCACGATTTAGAAAATTTAGATTTAGTCCTAGTCGTACTCGTAGAGCTAGACCTAGACCTAGTAGTACTAGTTCTAGGACTAATAGTACTAAGTAAAGAGAAAGTGAAAGATGAAGATGAAAAGGAAAACCAAAAACACTACGCAATTCCCAAGCAATCTCTACCTGACCCCTATCCCTCTCCCCAATCCCTAACCATATTCCTATCACGAACTCCATCTCCAACACGAACACCAACAACATCCCATCAGAATAAACTCGCGCGCGGATCGAAACCACATAGTTCCGCCAAACAGGAAGGAACCCCGTGGTACGATCTTGGAACGCTTTTCACAGCGCTAAGGAGGCAGGAGGAGTGGGACTATCTTCAAGATGACGAGTTGAAGTATCTCCTGACGACCTCCTTGGATCGCATGGTCAACGAAGCTAGGGCAAAGATGGAATACGCACAAAACGATGGCGTCTATGATCTGGATTGCCCGACAAGCTTTTGCTTGGTCACGAGGAAAGGCAACAGCACGATGGCGCAGCCGTATTCGCCATACGGCTTCGGGAGCTCGCAGTAATAGTTTCTGTTACCCAATGATTGGGATTGGGATTGGAGATTGGAATCGGGATTGAGTTGATTGTGGTTACCATTACCTTTGAAACTCTAAAAAACTGAGTAGTCAAGAACTAGTAGCAGTAGCTATACTTCTATTTGTCAAGGTCAGCGTCAACGTCAAGGTCAACTTAAAATTGAATATGATTATAAATGTTTATGCTATTGTTATTGTTAAATGTTAATGTTTCTGTTTCATGTTAAATGTTTAATATGCTGTGCCAGTACCTGTAGAAGTAGATGTAGTCCTAGTTCTAGATCTAGTGGTTGTTGTCAAACTCAAAGTTAAACGCAAAATCAAAAAGAGCTAGAAACTGAAAGACAAACTCAACAGGAAAAAGTACTAGTAGAGGGACTTGAACTGGAACTCGAACTGAAACAAGAGGGAAGCCGAACATCTCGTTCATTTTCTCCATCGGATCAGGAGTAGTGAATCGTCTGTGCACAGCCACAACCTCAACCACATCCAGCACCACGAGCGGCGTGAAATACATGCTGGACGTTACACGAGTACTCGTATCGTGATGCAGAGCTTGATATCGATAACGACAGGTTAAAACCTGGGAGTTGAGAAAGAGAAAGGTTAGGGCGATGACTCTGAAATCAAAACTGTGAGAGTGTGAGTGACTGTGACAGTGAATAAGAATATATTATGTAGAAGAAGAAGTTAAATCGTCTAGATCTTGTTCGTGTAGAACTTTCTATCGTACAAGGACGAGTGTGTTGAAGTTTTTAGAAAATTTAGATTTGGACTTACAGACACACTTTCATACACTTAGTGACTTAGAAAATTTAGAAAAAGGGTGCGAAGTTCTAGTAAATATCTGTGACAGCCTTGTGCTAAGCGCGGCTGCAAGTCCGTGTCTAGTTGTAAGCGTAGTTGACATTTGACTAGACCCTCAGATGTAGCTGTAAGTCTGGAGCTGCGTTCTCCTAAAAACAAAATGGATGGATGCGCGCTGGGGTTTGACGGCAGGAAAAGACGAGGCCGTCAGACCACCGTTCTTCGACCTCTCGAAGTCGAAGATGCAGAAGGCGAGCCGACAGTCGGGTCTCAGTCTCAAACAAACGACTCAGACCCGCAGAGCAGCATCGACTACACCTTGGTCGCGATTGCAGAAGACGGCTCGCTCATGACGGGAGCTCCCGAGACGAAACGCCGCAGGGGAAAAAAAGATCATCAACTTGGGATTGATACTGCTGTCGAGATCGCAGGACGCTGCGGAGGGCGAACCTTAGCGCATCCCGAGAAACAGATGGGAAATGCAACAGGTAACACGTCGCTCGGAAATCTGTTCGCGATCAACGATGGAGCGAGAGAGCCGATCATGGAAGCGGGATGCGCAAGAGGGAGTAGCAGTCCAACCTTCTTTGAAGGTCTTTATGTTGGACGGGGAACGGGAAGCGGCAGCGCGAACAGCCAGCTCTTGGAGATGTGTTCTTCGTCTTCTTCTTCGAGTGGTCTAACGAAGACCCAAAAATACCAACAGAGCATGCATCTCAAAGGCAGAAGTATGGACACCATGGGCAGCACAACCATGCAGAAGACCGACGAACAGGAACACACTGGATCAAATGAAAAGGCAAAAGCGAAGGCTCTTCTCGCTAAGGAAGCTAAAGTGCTTCTGAAGGAACAACAACGAAAAGACCAAGAGCAAGCAGGCCTTTCGGATGAACAAGAAAGGCGCCGCGAAGAGGCGGAGGACGCAGTCAACAGGTAACCTACATGCACATGCACAATCTAGATCTACTTCTACGACTGCCTATTCATATTCTACTACAACTAACAACTACAACTAGAACTACAACTGAGTAGAAGTAATATCGTTTATTTTTATCTTTGTGATTGTCATTGATATTGAAACTGATTCTCCTTGAGCTTGACCTAGTCCTTGTGTACTTCAACCCTCAGTTCTACTTCTACAGATACTGAATGACATTAGAAATTTAGTAACTCTCACTTTCAAACTCAAACACAAACAGAATCTAAAAAATCTAAATTCTTACTCAACATCCTGATCCTCATCCACATCCAGTAGAGTAAGGAGAATGAGAAGGAAAAAGTCACTGAATGTGTACAACTACAACAACTAGTACTAGCAGTAGCAACAACTACAACACAATCACAAGTAACGGAAACAATTACATCTACTTCTACACTCTTATGATCTTGATTCTTGACTCTACTAGAAGTAGAATCAAGATCAACTTCAACCAAAACAATATGTCACGAAGACCTTCTCCTTCCACTTCGTCATCCGATCTCAAACTTCGTCAACCTTCGCGACATCATGATCATCCTCATAGCGCAACTAGCTCGGCTTCTCCCGCGTGCGGAGTCATCAACTTCTGGCCCTGACAGCATGAGCATGAAGGACAAGAAGGTCAATCCGGTGCTTAAGCGGATTCGTACTCGTAAGCATCGCGAGCGTGAGGGCGAAGGTGAATGAATACTGCGATCAAGAACCAGATCCATCGTGTCTTACTGAAGGCCATGGGGTTGATCTAATCGTAGCTGCGGTTGCGGCGGAGTCTGTCGCTTCCTTGCGCGTTAAGCTGTAGGTGTAGTGTAGGAGTAAGAATATATGTTTCTGTTTGTAGTTTTACTTTTAGTTTTAGTTTTAGTTTTAGAAAAACAAAAAGTAAAAGAGTCGTGCTAGTAGTAGTAGACACTATTACTCAATTATCTTTACATGAGATACAGTTACAGCACAGATGGAGTTACTGATACTTTCCGTTTCCCACTCCCTCACCCCACTTCCACCAGTTACCTTTGGGATTACATACCGTCGGCAGTATCTGGAGGATGGGCGGGAAAGAAGTTGGTCCATGTGGACCGTCTCGCGCAGAAAATTATTCGCGAAGACGCCGTTGAATCTCATCAGTGCAAGCCGCATAAGATCCGCATGGAATGGGACGGGGCAGGAGTTAAGAGCTCGCAGTTCTAGTCGCATCTTTATCTTAATAGGATTACCACTACCAGTACGAGTAGGAGAACTGAGTAACTGTAACAGTAAGTTTAAGTAGAAGTCTAGTGCTAGTACAGTATCTAAATCTAAATCTATACGCAAACGCAATGCATTTGCAATAGCATAAGCATCTGTATATAAGTATATGTATAACTATAAGTTACTTACTTTTTACTCCTTCATACTTTGCACAATTTTAGACTCCGGAGAATTCTTCGAGTCTCAAACGTCCAGACGCGACCGCATCAAGATCCAGATCAAGTGGATGGTGCACATGGCCGCACTGTTAAGGTCTATTGTTTAGATAGCTCTCTGTCTCTCACTTCCTCTCGCTCTCTCCCTCAAGTCCCTCTCCGTCTCAAGATGTACTGCTCTCTAACTTCCGTACCCTTGAACGAGCAGGGACAGGCGATGTATGACAAGAGAGTTGAAGTACCGCTGCCGGTCACATCACTAGCCAAGGACGAAGAGTCCGAAGAAAACGAATCGTGGAGGAATGCCAAATCGGTGTTCAGATTAAGGCTAAGCTTAGCTAAAACTTAATATTTTAGTACTATATCTATAACTATAAGTATCTGTATAAGTATAAGTAAAACTAAAAGTATAACTATAAGAATGAGTATAGCTATAGGTATAAGATAGGTATAAGAGCGTCCTTTTTCTCTTCCCCCGTCTATCTCCATGCTATCTCAACCCAAGCCCGGACCCTCCACCCTCTAACCAACCACCTCTACTACCTGCTCCCTTGGCATCCTTGGGCACAGTTGTGCATTTGTGACCCTAATGTTGATTCGGGGGGCGCGTCGTTGCCTTCTGTCCACTATATCGAAGAACTGGTGTTCGAGATAATCGAGGTACGAGAAGAAAACGACTCACAGATGTGGAAAATGTTTGCAGATTGCGAGACGGGCTTTTTCTTTCTCCCTGGGACTTGCTGGCAGCATCCGTACTTCTTCTTTTATTTCTATCTTATACAACTACAACTACAACTACCAGCTAGGTTATAGCTATACTTATGCTAAATTTAAAACTATAATTTAAATTTAATTTTAAATTTTGTTTTTGATTTTCTAAATTTTCTAAAACTAAATCTAAATGTAGTTGTTCGGGGAAGATGTGCATGTGCTTCTACTTGTAGTTTTAGAAGGTCAAACTCTTTCATTTTCTAATTTTTTAGATTTAGATTTTGATTTTGAAAAACTCAAACACAAACAGGAACAATACGACTTCGCAGAACGCTTCGACAGAGGGATGCTGGGCCTTAAATATCGACTCGTCCTGTCTCTTGAATCGCTTATGAGAATGGTTATCGTTATCTACATTGTAGTATATGTCTATATGTCTAACTATATCTATAAGTATAAGCTTAAGCTTGTAGTTAACAGTTAAGCTACAGCCAGACTCTAACTCTAAGACTACGGAGTAGTTGTAGTTGTGCGTGTACTACTCGTACTCCCAGTGATTGAAGATGAACATGAAGTCCTCTAATGAAATTGCGCAAGGAAATCCAGGCTACGACGCGACATAGACTGGGGATTAGCCGCGCCATGTCGCAAAATCGTGAGAAGTTTGGAGCTAAGCCAGGAATAGGCGGCAGGGATCTATCTAGGGTTATCAACATTTACGGTAAATGGAGCAAGATTTCGAAGCTGCAGTTTAGGATGGAGCGACTCGCAGAGGCGCACGCACGAGCTGAAACTTCGCAGAGATGTCGTGGCATACAAGAAGGAAGTGAAGAATTCGCGGACGCGGTGCAGCGGGAGACGAGAATGGAGCAGCAAAAACTTCGTACTATGTCTATCTCTAATCTCTATCCTATTCCTATAGCCTATCGAATTCCAAGTGAGGACGTGTATGAATAATTCAAGTAGAAGTAGCGTAGAAGTACGAGTATGAGTAACACAAATAAAATTAGAAATACAAATAGTAATAGTAGTAGTACTAGCACCACAACCACTACCACTAGCGCGACTACTTTAAGTTCTGTATTTATATTCACAATGAGAATCAAATTGATAGACATAGACATAGAGGAATTATAAGGATAGCTTCAACTCAAGTTGAACTTGTCACTGAAAAAAAGATTTGATTGAAAACCAGAAAGACAAAGAGAACGTTGTAGCAGTACCTGAGACTTACCCTCCATTGTTTCTCATCCAGATGATGCGGAGATGGATTGCCTTGCTGGTTTACGACAATGCCAACCAACTAGATGGGGCTCGGTGGGAAACGCTGCGCGGAGTCGAGCCGAGATCGAGATTGTCGGAGGAATGCTATACTTAGAGGCGGGTACGCAGATTGATTTCGATGCCGGGAAGTATCTTCGTACCCCAGCGGAAGGTATTGTTAGAGATCCGTGGGGGTGGGGGTGGTGATTGATTCACAACTACAAGCACTAACACGAACACCAACACCGTGCAATCAGAATTTGAATTACGAGTACCTAGTGCTAGTGGTTAGTGCTAGTGCTTGTAGTTCACGTCCAACACCATCGCCATCATATACCGTACTTAGACTAGTGATGCAGGATTCTGGTGCAATCGTACTCGACACTCCATCTCCAACTTCTCCTCCCATACTCACTACTAGTACTACTCGTACCTCAGAAGCAGAGTCTCCTATTGCTATTACCACAACCACTTGCACAGATTCACACGTTGCTGCTTGCCGTGTTGTCGGCGCTGGACTCATTCCTAGTGATCGTCTGACCAGAAAGATGAATGATAACGATTCGGTCACGAAGGAGGATATCCTTGGACAGGTTGCCAGGTCTACGTCTGCAGTTTTACTGCAGTATTATCTTGTAGACGAGCAGGAATGGGCTGCAACTGAATTGCCAGAGGGGTTTTGCAAAAACCGGTTTTGGGCTCCAGGTCTTGTGATGGGAGCTGGAGTTTTTATCCTCTTCTGCTACGATCTCGAGATGCAGACTCGTCTCTTGGAGCTGGATGATGCAGATAAGTTCTTTCTCGGGTTTGATCGTATTGGCAAACAGGAGCAGCTGGAAAATGAAGAAGATTTAGATTTTCGCAAAAAGGTTGCTGCGGAAGAGGAAGCATACGTAACAGCATTTTGCGCAGGTCCTTATGAGAGGATTTGTTTAGGTTTACCTTTACTGTTACTGACTTAGCAGATGCGTTACAGTAGTACTAGCATAACTTGTGCTCCTAGATGTAGATCTAGACGTAGACTTAAAAACCTGATACCATACTCGTAATCATTATCATATACATATACATACTAATATACTAATCCTTAATCTCAAGTTGTATATCTATACCTATACATTTACATCTACAACTTGTAGATGTAGTTGTACACACTAATGCTCCAAACTATGGCATACACATACTTATACCTACAAACATACCACACACATCGAAGACGAAGTCTAACTCTACTATAAGTCTTATAGTACTATTAGTATTAGAATTACAATGAGTACTACTAGTACTACGACAACTACTAGAAGAAGATTGAAAGGCATTCTAAAAATTCTAAAAAATCTAAAATCGATAAGACTAAGAATAAGGAAACAACTAGAATTACGTCTACAACTACTACCTGTGCCTGTGCCTCCTGATCGACCGGAAATACTATAAGTTATTGCAAGGATTCGCCATAACATTTGAGTTTCTCGCTTCCTCTCATATGGTTGCACCGCAAAGAATTCGAACCCGTCCGAACGGTCTTCAAAGTGTCTGGCGTACATTGCGGCGAAAGACTCCCAAGTGTGCTGTTGCATTGACAAGAAAACTGATGGAATGCCGTCAAAGCAAGTGGAAAAGTACTCGGAGATGCGAGAGCAATCATGCGATCGTTGGTAAGGCGTCAGACACTAGCTCTCGCGTGCGTGGTTTGGAGTTGGTATCGAGTATGTCGCACGCGGCTGCACTGTGTGGACGATTGCGGAATGCTCAGAAATTGTTGAAGAAGATCGAGGCTTTGCAAGCTACTGGGAATTTTACTCGTTACGAGAACCAACGACCCTACGATGGCAGAGACGTCTTGAAAGGAGCAGCTGGATTCGGAGCGTCTGTTCGTGTGGAAGAACAAACGCTAGAAGTACAGCAGAAGATCAAAGAGGTCGCAGAGGTGTGGAACAGGCTCCGCAAATCTGACAACCACTTTGCTGCTGAGAAGGCACGAGAACGGTTACTGCAATTGGCTCAAGAGAAGGGAACGCCGATCAGAAAGCTGGAGCAGACCTGCCAGGAGACGCTCGACTACTTCTTGGTTCTACGTAGCCGGCTTATCGAGGAATACCTGAAGAAGGATTATTCGATAGAGGATTCTGTAATGGCCCAGATTGAACGAACATACAATCCGCTGAATTTTGTTCTTCCAGGCAGTAGCAAAAATTTATGATGACACCGTAAAGGTAAACGTAAAGTCTTCGAACAAATAAGTAGTAGTATTGCTAATCCTAATCCTAATGTTGCTAACGGAACGGTAACCGTAACTCTAACAGTAAAAGTATAAGTAGTAGTATTAGTATTTAGTATTACTAATAGTTATAGTAAGCTGCAGTACGGTACTGCCAGTGCCAGTACTTAGAAGTAGTACTAGTAGCAGTAGTACTAGAAGGAGACTAATCTGAGACTCAGACTCTCCTCTAAAGAACCAATTCCGTCTCTGGGGTGACAAACGGGAAAGCGAAGGGCGACACTTCGCGCATGTCTGCAACTGGTTCTTCAGTTAAGGGAATGGACAAGACAAAGATGCTTTTGTAAAGGCACACGCTCATGTAGTTGCTGCTACAGTTCTTCGTCTTGTTCATCAAGACTCAAGGCACAGTCTTGGGAACGGCGAAGATGAAGAATGTGGAGCAGCAACGATTTGTATTTGTCATCTCAGTCTCTAGGTTTAGACTTTAGCGCTGCCCTAAGCCTAAGCCTAAATCTAAAGATCTTGCTCTTGCTCTACCTCTAATTCAATCTCCGGTCCCGGAAAAGGAAAGCACAGGCAGCGAAGCTAAGAGCGGACAGCACGTTGTCTTTTCTTCAATCACGCTTGAAAGAAACAGGAGTGACGAAGGGCGGAAGAGCAACAGGACAAGAGCCTAGTTCAACATCCTCGCACAATGCAACGGCTCAAGTGATGGAAGAGATGATGGGGGTATTAGAACAAGAAATGGTTGAGCATCGGCACAAGCCTCAACGTAACCCGAAGAGGGAAGACAAGGACGCACTGAAACTAAACGAAGATGACGACTTGTTTGACGAGCAGGAGCAAGAGGAAGGAAATGACGCTGAGATTGAGAAGAACTCTAAAAATTCTAAAAAATCTAAAACCAATAAGAATAAGAAAGTTGGACCAACTACGTCTACAGCTACTACATCTACCACAACATCAACGAACGATAAAAGCAAAAAAGGTAAGTGCAATACCACAACCACAACCACTAGCACCACCGAAGGCGACGCACTACATGCAGGGCAGGAGGATGAAGAGGATGATGTGGGCGGGAACCTGAAGAAGGAAGTAGAGCAGGCGTCGGCGGTAATTCAGCACGACAGTATTCTAGTTCTGCGTGTGCGTTTCGACACTCTGCAGATTTCTCCTGGTGGAAACATGTACGACAGTAAAAGCAGATGGTTCCTGGTTCCTCACGTATCTGGTGACGGTACATACTCCGGCGTAGAGCTTGGCCAGTCGCCATCTGACAGCGATTACGAAACAGAAGAACCAGATCCGCAAATGCGCATTAGTTATTGTGGGGGCAAGTTCCCACGAGCAACCATCTCCAGCTCTTTTCCACCACCTTTCGATATGGAGTCAGGAGGGACAACAGTCGAAGCGTACGTGACTCACATTGTTGGTTGTGAAGGAGCAGTGGGCAGTCTACATTTTGGAAAGCCAGAACCAGTACAGCTCCCGAAATTATGGCAAGGTTTCTCCATTTTCGTCGTTGAATGTTACTAGGCTTCTTCTTCAGCTTCTAACAAACATGAACGTGCGGTTCGCAGGTCGGAAAATGAAACAGCTGGAGAAGTTTCTTCCCTCTATCGAAGAAGAAGAAGAGGATGGCTTTGCCGAGGAAGTGGTTGACGAAGGAGCTTGCCAGGATCTGCAGCAACCAAGAGTAGTAGAACTAGAAGGTCGCGAAGTAGAAGAAGATGAAGGAAATGCTACTGGGAAGCAGAAAAAACCACCAGCAAATAATCAGATATGGGCTTTCTCTAAACCATCTCTGCATCCGTTGCTGACAGGCGAGAGCTTTTATGGTGGGTTCGAGCCACCTCGGGACGATCGTGGCTTCATGGTCGATAGTCGTCTGCTTATTCGCAAGCCGCGCAACGATGCAGGCCTGGACCGAAAGCCTTACAACCTGAAACCAAAGGGAGTTCCGAGTGCGCAAACCTGTAAGCATGGACATGGAGATGCGGAAAAGGAAGCTGGTCAGGTTCCATGTTCAGTAGCAGAAACACCGGCTAGGCCATCCCCTTCAGCGTCCTCCTCGATCCCTATCTCGATTGCCGTCGACAACCACAACGCTGGTAGTGGAGGCAGTGCTGCGACTGCCGCTGGCATTCTACCAGTACCAATTCCAATGCCGCCATCAGCATCAGGATCAGCAGCAACTTCCTCTTCTCCTTCAAGTTCTGCTAATACTTCTTCTAGTTCTAGTTCTGATTGTGCTTCTGGTACTGGTACTGGTTCAGATATTACTACTAAATTAGTAGAAGACTTAGCAAGAACAAGAAGGAGTGGGCAAGAAGTGGCGAATACAGGAAGTGGTCCTGGTGATATCGTTTGCCCCGACTTGGAAGCAGATGGAGATCTGAATGTCCGCAAGTCCTTTGGCGAGTGGACAAACCATTTCGGCCTGCAGAACGTGCTGAAGTACGTAGAAAAAAAGCGGGAATCATTTAGACAGGCAGCGGCTCAAGAACAAGTGAATATCAGTGCTGAAGTTGGTCCTCTATCTTCTCCTCCCGCACCTGCTGTTGTCAATCAGGCTTCTCTGGGTTCGTCGGCGTTGTCGAATAAGGAGAATATCGTCAACACTAACATTAACAACAACGAAGTGGAAGTCCCACAAGATGGTGTCCCAGGTCTTGTTACGCCACGAAATGACGCATCGAAGCAGACTCCAAGTAGCAACAAAAGTCAAGTAATGCAGCTACTGCCAGCGGCGTCGCAATTGAGAAGCAGGCGAGCAAGTGTAAGTAACATCGACTTCGACGGTGAGGTTGATGAAATCTCGAAGGGAGTGCAGAAGCTAGATCTTGATAATGCCGTGCCAGTGACTGTCGCAGATGCTAGCAAGAACCTCGTAACGCCATGCAGCAAGAGCATCAATCCTCCAGTTACTTCTAGATCTGCATCTAAAGCAGCAGCAACGGTAGCGGTAACAGAAGCAGGTGGAAGCACAGCTCGCAACAAGACCTCGCCCATGTGCATCTCTGACGAAGCCAAGAAGCGTATCCAGAAAGCATCGTCAGCCCGAAAGGCCGCTCTGTATCAACAGCAGCAATCATCGTCAAAGGATCAGCAGCGTAAAACGTCTGCTAACTGGAAGAGCAGCCTTGTGATCCGGAGTGCGGGTAGATCAGCGCAAAAAGCACCATCTTCGGGTCTCGTCCTACAGGCGTCAACTCCTGGCTCTGGTAGAAAGGAAATGGAAACCAGTGAAGTCGATCTGCTCTACGAGGTTGATGGAGACCACGGCTTGGCGCGTCGTCTGTGGAGCACGGAGATTGAGCGTAATGCGCCTCGTGCGTCTACTTCTGGAGACGTCGGTGTGGCAGCGAATGCGAAGGAGGCTGATGAAATGCTTACACGTACCTCCGCTGACTGGCTTGCTGATGCAGAGAAGGCTCAAGCGATGCGTCGTCGCAAACAAGTTGCTGCTCAAATGCTGCGAGATCAAGAGAAAGCCAAAGAGCATGCTTCTACATCTAGATCAGCATCTCCAAATCCACTAGAAGCAGATGAAGACCTTGTGCTCAATCGGCGGCTTCAGGTTCACCATTTCCACGGCGATGAAGAGCAAGAGGGGAAGCCGAAGGCTGCTGATGAGAGTCAAAACCAGCTGAAACGAGTGAAACGACCAGCAAACATGGCTCCGGAAGCAGTACAAGCCAGAGCAGAAGCACGCGACCGTCATCGGAAGTCTGTTGATGCTGTACTAGCTGACACAATTGGAGGATTCTATTTCCGACCGTTGACCACTGGAATCCTGTGTCGAATCGGCGTCCATCACATCGAGTATCCCGCGTTTCATTCGCTGTTTAGTCTCCGCGATGGACCACAGCTGCTTGGTTGCCAGAGTAACGGCGATTTCACCAAGTGTTCAATGGGTCATGGTCCTGCTGCTTTGAACGTTTATCTCTCCATAATGGCTGGTCGTGCAAGATTCATGATGCGGTTTCTTCGAAGCAGTTATCCCATCTACATGTCGTCGGCAGACAAGAAGAAGGTCGACGAGTGCTACGCTGAGTGGATGAAACCGCTCCGAGATGTGCTCCATCTTCACCCGACTATACGACCAGACTGCGAGATGTCCATTCCTCTTCATGATGACGCTTATCGACGCCTAGTAGCACCAACTAGTACTGATCTACACTTCATCAAGGAGGGCGACAGGTCCGTTGTGATGAAGAACCGGGAAAGTGCCGCGAAAGTGGTCATCTGTAATCCATTTACGGACGAGGGAGACGACTATACCGGGTATGACGCCTTTGATCCGGAGGTCGCATTTAAAGACGAGGGCATCTGCAACTCATCGGATGAGGAGGAATTTGTCGACAATTGGAAGGGATTATAACCGTGGCAAGCGTCTCAGAAGCGTCTGGAAGAGGTACCTAAAATAGATTGGAAAAAGTGATGGATTCTAATGCGCTAAGCTCCAAAAAATTTAGATTTTTTAGAAAATTTAGATATCTTAGAAATGACCCTAAAATCGTCCATTCCTCGGCCTGCAGAATCTCCAAAATACGATCTTCCTGGAAATCGCTGATTTGGAGCTTCCGAAACTCTTGCGCAACACAACAGTTTTGTGTTTCGGCAGTCCGCTTCTGGGAAAGCCGAAACACAGCATTCGCTATGCGAAAGAGAGTTTCGGCAGCTCTTTCGGCAGACCCCACTTTTGTCTTTCGGCTGCCTTTCGGAAGGCTTGCGGAACAGCCAAAATGGAAGATTTTCGATTTTGTCCGAAATGATCCCATTTCTGACACCCTGCGCGCCCGAGAAAGTGCTGCTTTTCCGTTGAATTCCGCAGATTTAGCGTTTGGGCTGAGTCAGGACGTAGCCACTATGGAGGCTCTACAAGGACTAGGAATGGACGTTTTAAGTGGTTAAATACATGGACATTGGTCTCGGCTTCACCCTCATCGCAACAATTTGGAGGTACTCCAGAGCAGGAAGTGGAGGAATGGGTGGAGATAAGCGAGTATTGGTGATGTTTTTATGCCGTGGCACGAGCAAACGACTGCCCAGACAAGCAAGAGTCAAGGACAAGCACAGGTTATAACTTCAAACTACTATCGTCCTCTACCTATTTGCATCGTGCGTACGAGTAAGCGTAAGCGTAAGGCAAAATCTGAAACTAAATCAGGAACAATTAGTCGACTACACATCACCAAGAGTAACAGTAGGAGTAGCACACCCCTTGACACATTGACACTCCACAATGAGAATTAGATACAGCAGTAGAAATAGATATATATAGGACATTTTAGAATATTTAGATTTTTTAGAATTGTGAATGTGTACGTGAAGAGCAGTACTGTCAGTATTAGTATCTTCAGAGCCGAACGGTAATGCCAACCAGTCACAGAGACGGTCTCAACTTCAACAGGAACTGAAACACGAACACGAACAGTAAATATAAATATATAACTTCGAGTAAGTCTAACTGGTGACGCTGATGGTCTCAATAAGAAACATAGAGTGCGTCTAAAGAAGAGCAGGCACTGTGAAGAACTCAATGGTTGTATTTGTAAATGTTATTACTTTTACTTAATCTTTTACTACTACTAAGTTAGTACTAACACTAAGACCCGTGACTAAGACTAAGTATATGCGCAAGTAAATCTAAATACCACTAGAACGACAATCAAATCAGTAATAGAAAACAGAAATAACGATTTAATTAAATGAGAATGAGTACAAATCTCAGACTAAATGTAGCAGCAACTAAGACTGTCAGGAACTATAACAAGTGAAGCCAGCACAATCACAATACTCGCACTTGATGAGACAGAAGGGCAAGGAAGTGGGTAGCTGAGGAAGAGCAGTATGACGGAGAGCGTGAGTATCAAGTTCAAGACCAACCCTTAGAAGAGTCAGATCTTGCGTAGCTTGTTGCATCTGCAACAGCAGCGAGCTAACCGTCAATGAGACGTAGGAGGACTGAAAGCATCGTCGATGTGACGTAGGTGTAGCAGTATCAGTATAGGCTGAACGAAAAGTCGGAAACGAGTGACGAGGATGAGTGGATCGCGAACGAGAGATGCAAGACTCGTGTCCTCTTTTTCACTCAGTGACTCACTGGCACACGTACTGCTACGTGCTACTGGTAGAATCAATCTAATTTTTTTAACGGACTGAAAGAGAGAGACATAGTGAGTGAGGGTGAGCGAATAGACCGTCGTGATTATCGTTCTTTTCTTTTCCTTTTCGTGATCTAACTGCATCTAATTTTAGATCTACGTACACTGACACTCACTCCATCTACCTGTTGCCAAGACAATGTCGAAGAGGAAGACCAACTTTTACATATATTTTTTACCATTACCATGTAGTTGTAGGTGCATGCGCTACGGCTACATGTTGTTATTGATGTTTTTTATCTTTAATCTTTCATCTTCCACTTTTTCTTCTAGTTCTACTTCAATGCACATTGAGTTTGAATGTTCATTGCCTCTTTGCCCTTACTTTATGCATCATTCATTATGATCATCCTCATCGTCATCGACATCCTCAAAATCAAAATCTAAAACAGTAGTTGTAGCACAAAGAGAAAATCTAAAAACAAAACATATAATTATACCTGATCCTCTCCAAAATGGACGGCGAGATGGATTCGAATTTCGCCCTTTGGGACGAAACCAATGGCGAGAAATGGGAAGGCGATTTGAATACTGGCGGAGGTGAGTTTTCAACCCACCAATCGGGTGCGTTAGAGCTGTTAGCGCAACGAGGAGACGTCTTATTCGGCAATGATGATCTTATCGATCGTCAGGCTGATTTCCTCGGCCAAGGCAATACCTACGAGGGAACAGTTCTCAACGCGAAGCAACAGGACGAGTTCATCAAGAAGTTCGCCTCCAAGTTATTCGACACGCAAATGCCACCAGATCTGCGAGAAGAGGTACTGGAATCTTCTTCAGTTAGAGCTATAGGTAGAGGATTTGTTCCACATATTCATACTATCCTGGATAATTACCATTGATTTTACTTTTAGTTTTACTTTTAGATTTTTTAACTAAAATTTACTTTTAGCTTTACGGCCTTGACCTTGTTGCCTATACCTACCCTCTACCTCAGGTTCTTTCCATTGCTAGGACAACAAACCCACCTTACAATATCCGCGAGACACGCTCGCTGGCTGCCTCAATCATCAAGCAGATGGTTGAGGCAGACAATGGAGGACTTCCATTCAAGAAACCTGGCAATATAGCGGCGCTCCTCGACGCCATGAAGAACAACACCCTAGAGGATTCCCATGCAACTGCTCTATTGTACTAAGCTTTTCTTTCACTTTCCAAAGTGTATAAGTACAACTACAACTGCTAGGACTAGACTAGATGTAGATGTAGATGTAGAATTGGGATTCAATTCAAACTACAAGTATAAGAAACCTACTTCATACTTCTTAATCTTCCTTCCCTATTTCATTTCTATCATCCTGTCCCATAACGATAACAGGCAGCTGACTCCGCTCCTCGAACCTTTGAACAAGAAGTCCTCCGCTCACTCCGGTGCGAGATCCAAGGACGCCGCAGCGAAGTTGTCCATTTGCGTCGACACTCATGAGGAGCGGCTCAGGATTAATCAACCTGAAATCAACGCTATGAAGCTGCAAGACCGACCGTTCACCAACATCATGAACACCTTCACTGTTTTCTTCCTAACGCTCTGGAAGTCGTTTCATTTCCAGACGATTGAGGAAGCAATGAAGTGGTACTCTTTTCCCTTAGCCTTATGCTTATCTAATCTAAATTCTAAATGTGAATCACGACGGCGACACCATGTTGCTGTGTATCTGTATCTGTAACTGTGTGGGTATTTACATTTAATATGAGTATAGCTATAGCTAAAGCTATAGCATACTATCCCATTCCGTAACTTATCCGACGGCAATTCCAAATCCATTGCTTCTGCAGGTGCGAAATGAACCAGCGTTTGCTCAACAAGTTCTGTATGGACGTGCCTCCCAACATTAAGAACCAGAAGCAGCTGCAGAAGGAAAACAAGGCCCTCCGTCTTCTAGGATGTTACTTGGTCAAGCAGATCGCCACTCATCGCGATTTGCCGGACAAATATGCAGGATTAAAAAGCGCCATTGAAACAAATAAACTTGGCATGTTACGCCGCGCGGCGTTAGAGCCGCTTCTGCCAGGTACACCTAAAACTTTTAGTTTTCGTTTTTATTTTTAGAAAATGAAAATACTCCAATACATCTTCTAGGTCTAGTCGTAGCTCTATTTCTACTAGTAGAAGTAGTACGTAGTACAAGTTTAAGTACTGAGTTCAGAGTTGAAGCTGAAGAATTTAGATTTTTTAGATCTACTTATAGATTTAGATTTAGGTATACAATATACTTATACATATAGATATAGATGTACGCACTGTCTACCACACCAAACGCAAACACAGTTTTTCTCGAATGGGAAACACGTGCGTCCAGAGAATGCGCGATCAAGTTAAGTGGAGTTTCTAGCTGAGCGCCATCTTTTTCCCCGATAGGAAGCCCCTAGTATAGGTCCCTCAGCTATTTTCTATAAGTAAAACTTACTCTCCGGTCAGGATTACGATTGAAATTAGTTAGACTTAGAGACTGACTCCTCAACGTCAATAACAATTACAATACTCCTTAACAGCATAACAATATCAATAGCAGCTCCTCCCCCTCACGCACCTCTAAATTTCTGCTTGCGCGCCGTGATGCAAGTCATGTTGTACTTCGTTCACTTCAAGTCGCTGTCCACGATTATCGACATGTTCAACGCTGGCCACATGCACGCTCTGTCCGCTCGTAGAACAGCGATCAAGAAGAAGACAGACAGTCTTCAGAAGCAGCTGCAACTACAAGAAGCGAATCCTGAAGGCGAAGGCGGCATCAACATCAAGAGAGAGTCCGGCGGAAGCGACGGCATGGTGCATCCTCGTAACCTTCAAGACGAGCTCAGCATGCCTACTCCCCGCGACAACATGCTGTATCCTGCCAATACGCCGCCTGATGACTCCTCTGCTGTACTGCAAGGAGCGGCTAAGCGCTACGCGCCATCGCCTTCCGGTGTTGGTCCAGAAGCAAAACGTCAAGACTGTAATCCGTCTCCGGAACGTCAGGCACAGCTGGACGCTGCAATGAAGGCAGGAACCGCGCTGCAGAACGCAACATGCACAACCATGAAAGAAGCACAAAAGCTTCTGGGCACCAAGAAGGCGCAGAAGCACTTCGAGCAAACAACTCGTGAACTGCAAGGACAAGCTGACCTAGAGCCAGAAGATGTTTACTTGCAGGGATTGGACCGCCAGAAAGCCGCTGCCGATGAAGATCAAGATGAAGACTCTGACGTTGAAGAAGAACCTGTAGCGCCACAGCTCTGCGAGGTCAAGATGATCGACGTTACCGATGAGGTTGGGCAAGCGACGCAGCCACGGGTAAAGGTAGTACCCATGCGAACGACAAACGATCCTATCAGAGTGGCCAACCACCAGGAGTTCAATCTCATCACACCAGAAGAAATGGATAAGATTCTCCTTGAGCGAGATCTTTTCACCGACATCAAAAATGGCACAGCAGCAGCTTCTACTACAACAACGACTACTACTACCACTACTTCGAACAAGAAGCAGAAGTGGAATTACAGCATGGGAGGTTCCCGCAACCAGGACTACCACTCCGCTGCAGTCCCGCACCTGATCACCATTGCGTCTGAATCCGTCTACTATCTCGTCGGCAGTGCTCTAGATCTGGATCCGTTTAAGATGACTGCTTCCACCATGATGGCGATGCAGGAAAGAATGGAGAAAAACAGAATCGCACTAGTAGAAGCGAAAGAGAAGAAAAAGCGCGAAGATGAAGCATCTGTAAGCTTCTCAACTTCAGGCGGTGATGGTCCTAGTGCCGTGACACCTTCAGACCTATTGTCCTCCAACTCGAAAGAAGATGAAGTTGATCTCTTCCTCCACAAAGCGTTGTCCGATGAACGCCGAGCTAGTAGTGAATCAGCCGCAACAGCTAACCGCAAATCCAGCATCAAGATCAAGCAAGAACTTCTGTCCAGTAACAAAGACGCGTCTACTAGTCAGTGTCAGGCTGGTTTAGAAGAACAAGAAGATGGGCCCAACGCTGAGTTTCCGTTTGGTGGTGCAGATGAACCTGGAATCGATAGCACTCCTGGTCCGCTAATCAGCTCACCGAAAGAGTACCAGGGACGCATCTACAAGCCGGCCGCTTCTGTCGTCAGGATGGCTATCATGGGCGCTGATGAACTCCGCAAAGAAAACTACCAAAAGATGATGAAACTGGACATCAAGAAAAACAAAGCAACTTCGTCCACAGTACTACTTTTGATTTTCATTTTGTTTTTGTGATAATTATAATTTAGATTTTTTAGATAATTTAGATTTTTCAGATAACTAATTATAATTTTAGTTTTAGTCTATGTCTAAATCTAAAACTTTTAGAAAATCAAAATAGAAATGGAGTAGTACAATTACGAGTGCGAGTAGTTGTGCTTGTACTTGTAGTTGTAGCACTAGTAGATATAGATATACTCATATGACATAGATATAGATATGGTATACCCACGCCTTTACATAGCTACACCTTTACCTATAGCTCTTGACTATGATAATCCAACATCCCATAACAACACAGCAGGCCCCTTTGGCTTACCACCCGGAACGACAGTTGCTTACGGATGAGCACCATTCTGAAATTCCCGCAGCTCTTGAATATCGTGACGCCGACGAGTGTCCCTACTACCTTCCAGTCCAGTTGCTTAAGGCCAAACCGCAATCCTCCTCTCGTTCTCGTTCTGGTTCACGTTCTCGCTCTCCAGTAATTAGAAATAGAATTGACCTTAAGCTCGCAACTTAATGCTGATTACTTTTACTATACTTTTGCCGATGTGCGTGTGCATGTAGTTGTAGGAGCATCCCCTTCCCCTTCCCTAACGCCTTCTAATATTCGCAGCAGGGTCATTGGCGGGTTCAAAATTGATTTATCTCTCGCCGAGTGGATGCCATTTATCATGGGATTTGAGGCCGCCGAAACCTGTCGTCCGCTACTCTATGTACTACCTCTTTCTCTCGTTGTACTACCTACAGCTACTAGCTCGTGTTGATGTTGGTGTTCGTGTTGGTGTTGGCAACACCATGACATTGACATAGACGTGTCGACTTAGATTCTAAATGAGTAGCTTCTAACTTTCTCTCTCTCAAGTAGAACTAGAAGCACCACTACGCACTATGAGTATGGCGATGGCCTATGACTATAAGTATGATGTTGTTCTAGTTCTAGATGATCTTAACTTTTCTTCGACTCTTCTATTTCTTGTCCTTCCTCTTCCCTTTCAGATTCGGCACGGCACGATCAACCGTATCGTCGCCGCAAAAATTCATCCCAACGTCGAGATTGGATTTCCTGAACAAGAATCCTTACTGGAGGCTGCTCGCAACTTGGCCGCTTTTTCCAGATCCCTCACCAGTTGGCCATTGGAAACGTGTACCAAATTCCCGAACTCTTGTCTCGACCTTAAGAGCTTGAAGAGTTTCAAATTAGAGATAAAGAGAAGGACGAAGTTAATGTTAAAAAGTAGGAAAGCTACTACTTCTGTTGCGCCTCTCAATCTCAATCCTCAAGCTCAGCCTCAAGCTCAATGTCAAACATAATCTAAAACTTTTTCTCTTGCTCTTCTAATTCTCGCTTCGCACTGAAATGGGGCGTGCTCGCGGGTGGTTTACCGTTAACACGTGCAGTCTTAACGCAGCGGGAGATTGTCGATTATTTCTTAACTTCCGACGAGTTGAAATCTGACCTGCGTCAGCCGTTTGCCTGTCTTGATCAGCTGAGTTTGACGGCGAAAAAGGACCCCCTTGACTGGCAGATCTTGGACTGGTTCAAGCAGTGCGGACAGCTGAAAATCGAAGAGCTCGCGCAACATTATAGAAAGGGTAATACTGATATCTGATGACGATCCTGATCGTGATCGTGATTGTGAAATCTAAAAAATCTAAAGACTTAACTTGATCTACTTCTACTTAGACATGTGCAAGTACTTGTACTTCTAGAACTACAAGTATCTACTATCACACTGCTAGTGCTACCTCTTGCTCTTCTGCGATCATACTAATCGTAATCTTAATCATCAGACGCAGCCGCGAAGAAGCTAAAAGGCAAGGCTGCTAAAATCGTGGCAGCTCGAGACATCACGATTATCCGCCTGGATGCAGCCACTACACTATCGAAAGGAATCATCGCCATGGCTAACGCCACTGCTAAGAGTACTGCCGCCGACTACAACTTTCCGGGCCAGGTCGCGGACAGCGTGAGAAAAGTGCAGAACTTAAAGGAAGAAATTACACGATCAACATCGCCTTATCGTGGACAGTTATGAATCACCCAGTCTCAAACACAAATCGACTCGAAAGTCCTAAAGTCTAAATGTCACTTGGCTTGTGCTTGTAGTTGTACTTGTAGACGTACTAGTCCTTGTAGTAGACAGTAAGAAGTAGCTCTACTAGTACGAGTTATCATTGTCATTTATAGTTACATTACTAACTAAGTCTAAGTGTATCTGTGACTGTGTGTATAAGTATAACTATAACTATAAGTATATGTATAAGTATAAGTATACGATCTAAATGTTTAAGTTGTCCTTGTCATCACGATCACCTTCTAATTTTGGTTCTGGCGGAAGTGGACGCAAATGAAAATTATGGCATTCACACGCAGCGCGTGTCTCACACCCCACAAATGCTTCTACCTCTACATACTCATACTCATCCGCTGCACTACTCCTAGTTCTCGCGCTATAGTAACCGCAATGCAGTTTCCAATTGTCTACATCGATACTCCTGCAGATGGGAGTACGAGTAATGGCGCTATAGCCTATGAGTATGTGTATGAGACGCTACTAGTAAATACTTTCCCACTCTCTAACGATTAACGATGCACAACTACAGAAAGATCAACTTCGAGTATCTGGCGGGAGGAATTGAGAAAATGGAGGCGTTGCGAAAGGAGGTGGCCCAGATTGTCCCGATCCAAGGAATCATGGGAGGACAGAGACTGGCCAACAATAACAGTTTATGGCTTGTGGTTGTGTGGGTGTGCTAGATGTATTCGAAACTTTGACTTGTACTAAGTACGACTCCTGATGATGTAACAGACACAAACTCTGAAATACTAGGACAAGAACAAGTCCTAAAAGGACTACTTCAACTTGAACTACTACAAAGTATAGTATCCCACTGACTCTGACACGCCTTTCCATAAAACGTCCTGCTATCCCCACCTTCATTATGCCTCACGCGACTTCGCCACCTGTATCCGAATTTCGATTATGGCCACCAGCGCCACCAGTTCCAGTTAAATCCTCAGTATCAGTTTCAGTTCCAGTGCAGCTGCAGACGCAGTCCAGTTGAACTGTGACCAGTTCCAGTTGCAGTTCCAGTTCTAGTTCAGTTCCAGTTCTTCCAGTTGAACAATTATAATTAGTTTTTTTAGATTTCCAAATATAATCAAGAAAATGGAAATCTAAATTCTAAAAATAAAATCAAGTTTCCACTTATTTCTACTGCAGGGCCTATACAGCTTCCACTTCCTCACCTTTCTAACTTCCGATTTCCTTACATCAAACTGCAACAACGGCTCAGGGACAAATGAATCAGCGATCCCACTTCGCGAAACACGTAGCGGAACAGCGCAACAACATCCTGGACGGCACCGCAATTCAGTCTGCAGCTCCGGGTGAGGTATGCACCCCACCAGCGCAAGGTGGCAAGGCGCCGGGCGAGGAAGGCTCCTCGCCAGAAGAGGAGGCCGATGACCTCTACTAAAGGAATAACAATAGGCGACTATATCTCTGAAGGTGGATAGAAATCGCCTAGAAAAAGAAAGCTTCACCTTCATAGCGTCTACACCACGCCATCTATACTCTAGTAGTAGTAGTAGTAGTCGGAGTAGAAGCAGTCGCACTACTTAAAGATCTGCACCAGTACGAGTGCGAGTTCTAGTACTACTTTCTTCTTCTTCGACTTGCGAAATGAAAAGAACGAGAAGCATCCAACTACGACTGGAAGTATCCAACTACAGACGCCACCGTACGTGTATCAAGCCATATCGTGATCGTATCCAAAGTGCAGCCGGTTCGGCTCGATGCGTCGCGACATGAGGCTGAGATGAGACTCCATGCTGAAGTTAGATTTTATGTTTAAGTATTTGCATTAAGTTTAAGATTAAGTTGAAGTTGAAAATGAATAAGAACGCCACCAGATTAAGATAAAGGTATACCTATTCCTATGACTATCACTATGTATACTTATAGATTTAGATATAGATAATAGACATATAATAATGCTATTGTTATCAGACACTAGCACAACTGACAGGGAAATTGCCGCACTTTCGACTTGGCTATTTGATATGTGTATGTGATTGCGATATCATCTTCATCAGTACAATGCCAATGCGCTTGTGCTATAGTTGAAGAAACAGTCATCGTGATTCTGGTTCAACTAACATCAGGAGTTATATCCTTCTCGATCTACGTTTACTTCTAGTACTAGTTACTACTAGTAGTAGTACTAGTACAACTACTATTCTCGATAATGATAACGATATTGAATAGCGATAAGAGTAAGAGAAAGAGTAGAGTTAGTGTTGGCAATTAGTATTGGGATAGGGATTGTGATGAGTCACTGATTGTTCCAATAGCAATTTTTTTCAGTACGAATACCCAAAGCAAAACCAATTCAAATGATTGATTATGATTAAAGATTATCATTATGTCTGAAATTTAGATAATTTAGAATTTTTAGATTTCTGTGTGCCTGGAGATATAAATGTAGTTGAAGTTGTACTTGTGCTAATGCTAGTACATTGTTATAGTTATAGATTGATTGATTGATTGATGTGCCTGGCAAGAGGTTGATGCTGGCACCACCACTAGAGATCAATAAAAGTCCACTCCTAGACTGTAGTCCTGAGCTAAGAACTAGTCGGCTTCATAAACTTAAACTCAATTTCATTTAGAAAAATTTCACTTACAAATTACGAGTATAAGTATAAGTATAGTAATAGAAATAGTAGCTGTAATAGAAATAGATAGTCATAAGATAATGCGAATGTTGATCTTAATAATGAAGATGGTAATCAGTTTAGATTTAGTATAAATGCAAACGTTTGTATCTGATAGTGTGCCAAACTGAGAAGGAGAGTGACGATGTGATACCCTTATCGAACTTGAAGAAGAAGAGCATCCATATTTCTCACTGATTCTGAAATCGAGGTCGAGGCGAGAAGTGACACAAACCACTGACTCTGACACTGACCTGACCTTGAGTCTGAGTAAACATAAGTCCGACCCTTTCATAACTTCAGCTCCTTATGTCGTACACCCTCCAAAAGCCTTGTCCTCTAATTCTCGAGGCCCTGCGGTTCCGGTTCCTGTTCTGCTTCGCCACGGTGATCGACTTGACGTAGACGCATTGCCGAATGTGAGAGGAGGTCTCCCGCTCAGTGAAAGATAAAAGGTTAGAGAAACAGAAAGTGCTAATGATCAGAATCAGAGTGAGTATCTAAATCGATGTAGGACTATGGTCTACTCGTAAGTCAATCAACAACTAGAACTACAACATAAACACTCAGCTTCAAGCTCATGGATGATTATCATAGGTATAGGCTCGATTTTATTATTTTTATTATTAAAGTTAAACTTATACTTATTGTTATTCTTATACTTATTATTTGAAGATAATATCCTAATAGTTACTGATTCTGAATCATTGACTTCCATAAGCATAACACAATAGTAATACTAATAGAGTCCAGTCTATTAGAATTAGATTTAGAGATAGATTTAAGTGTTGATGTGCTACACCTAGAGGCACAGCTAGACCTTGACCTAGACCTACCTAGTCCTAGTGACTACGACTAGCAATAGCACTAGCACTACCACTAGGTAGTGTAAAAATAAAACTAGAGTTTAGATTTTGATTTAGTACAGCTACAAGTACAACTGGATCAACTTCAACATTTTGAATTTCGCAAAAAGATAGAGGTAGCAACATTTAGAATCACAATCAGACTTACTTGGCACGTAACGATTTGCGTTTCTTTTGCTGTTTTACTTTTAGATATTATAAATTGATTTTGTTATTGTTATTTATATTTATGTCCCTTCTCGTCCTCTTTGGCTGTACATCTACAAATACAAGCACAACTACGTTTAAGAATAAGACTAGCATTAAGATTAAGCTTAAGTTAATCTTGAAACCATATGCGACGCATAGCATTCCACCGTCTTGCAGGGTTCCCGCTTCACGGACCACGAGCACCCTACACCTTCACCAACACGTGCTCCCGCGCCGCCTTTTACTTTTTTTAGAATTTGAGATTGAGTTACTATTAGAATTAGTAACTAAACTACTCGCAGTTTGAGTCAGCGGCAGAATGATAATCATAATTTTGAATGTGTATGTGATACTGATTGCGTTTTTGATATTCATATTGTTATTGATAGGATTAAAAGAAAGAATAGGACTAGTAATAGAGCTAGAGGCTATAGCTATAGGCATAGCTATACCTAAATGTAAATGATATGACCATGTTCATGCTCATCTTCATGCTCAAGTTCATCTTCATGATGAGTGAAAATTTAATCAAGAAAATGCGAGTTAGAAACTCGAAAAGACTCTTGTGCCCGCACAGTTTAACTCAGCATGGTCATGGAGATCAAGACAATGAGAAACACAAAGAATCTGAATCATGTACTTTTACAGTAACTGATCGTGATCAGGATTGGAATTGAAATTGTGAAGAAGACTCAACTTAATTTTAATTACATAACGAAAACGAAAGCGATAACCTTAACCATAAGTCAGCGTCAGAGACGATTCACCCACCAAGCTCTGAGTCAGGGGCGCTGGATTGGATCAGGATTCTCGTCATGGTGGTCTTGGTCATACCATAAGGGTCAACATGTCCATGACCATCACGATCAAAGTCTGGTACTTGTACTCTTATTACAACATCTAGATCGTTTTCGTTGTCGTTGTCGTTGATACTCATAAAGATAATAGTAAGCTAGAGTCAGTCAGCTGTTGTTGTGGTTGTGGTTGTCTACATCTACAACTACTAGAACAAAAACTACTACTAACTACACCATAATCATAAATCAATGGCGACTCCGCTCCCCTCATGTCTGACAGGCATTGGCTGTCCTATCAGATTTACTGCGCAGAACGCAGTCAGCCGCCAGAACCGGATATAGAACCACCACCAGTCTCCGAATTGCTAGCGCAGTTGTATCATGAGCGAAGAAATCGTTGTGAAGACTGGCAGAGGCAGCTCGACCGTCTCGAGTACCACGCTGAACATTGCCATGCAGTAAGAACCCGTGCTCAGCGGGAAAAAGATGATGCGTGCCGCGAACTGCAAGAACGTCTCACAAGACGAGAAAAAAAAATACTGGAACTCGAGAAAGAAACTGAGACGGCTCAGAATCTACGACGGTCCGCCGAAAAGCGAGCTTCTCGCCTAAGAATAGTCGTGATCTCGTTGCTGCTCGTTTCAGCTGTTGTGAGTGTTCGGCTTGGCTGGAGCTACTGGTAATACAAATAGAAATTGAAATACTGATACTGTTATAGTTATAGTTATTTACATTTGACATTAATTTAACTATAAAAATAAGACTTATTCAATAAGAATAAGTATTTAAGTAAAAGTAATTATATTTATTAATATATAGTAATAGTTATAGTTATAGACTTACTTTTCCCTATAACCATCGACATGGACATGGAAATGACATAGACATAGACAAAGACATCCTAAATCTAAAAAAAAGGTTCGCCGTTCCGTGAACGTTTGTGGCTCATTGGATGTGCTGGGCGCGCGCGCAGATCCAGATGAGCGCTCATCTACATCTTTAGCCTACAGCAACAACTTCAGCGTGAGCCTGAAGACTTGCTCGATTATCATTATAACGAAGATGAAGATCAGTAGGCACAAACACAAAGGTGGCGGTCGCAGCGTGGCTGGCCTTGGCGTTAGCCTTGCCGCTGGAAGTGGCGATAGCGACGCATCTGGAGAAGGGGGTAAGGCTAGGGGGTCAGGGCTACGACCTGCTCTCGCTCTAGCTCTAGGTCTAGTAGACGAAGACCAAGACGGAGAGGCAGAGAAGGGGGATGGACGGCAGGATCCGATCTGGAACTGGATCTGGAACTGGAACCGGAACCGGAAGAGGATGAGGAACAGGAAGTCGAACTAAAACTAAAAGATTAAAACTACGGTAGTCGTAGTGGTAGCGGTAGGAGTACTAATAGAGACTTTCCTTTGTTTTGAGTAACGAAAAATGTGACAAAGTCAAAGACAGAAAAAAAGTACCTGCTCCCACACCTCAAAGATGATCTTGAGTGTGAATGTTGCTTGTGCTTCTCCTTTTCTCTCATGATCCATCTCCATGTTGATGATGAATCATCTCGGAAGACAGCGGCAGCGAAAGCCTCGTCGCATAAAATGAGGATGGGGCGAAATGTCGCAAGTTCCCACCGAGAAGAGCAAAGTCAGAGAAAGAGAGTGAGACACTGAGTTACACGCGAGAGAGAGAGACTGTGCGTGTGGTAGTTGTAGTAGTGGCAGAATGAAGATCAAGACGAAGATCATTGATATGAAGAAGAAGATCCCTCCGGAGAAGATTCTTAACATCAAGATCAAAATCAAGCTCAAGCTCCATCTCTCATCGGTAAAATTCCTAAGAAAGCAAGATCCAAAATCAGCACTGAATGGTAATCGTAATTTCACTCAAATAGTAATTGCGCTCAAGCAGGTCTGTCTTTTTGTGTTTAAGATCAACAGTTCGATATCAGAAAAGCAAACCTCGGTTTTTTGATTTTTCCCGTCGAAAGACGTAAAAAATCTCGTAATATTCTACATCCCCTTGCCCCTGTTGATCTCTTATATGTTTTCCTGCAATTGTTGACTTTATTATTTCCGAAATACGTAATTTCACTCTGGCAAAAAACTTACTACATTGATTACTTGATTTCTGTTACCTAATATTTTGTTTTTTTTGGTAACTCGAAAACAAAAACCCTTGTGTTTCGCTAGAGTTTCGGCTCGTCAAAAGTGCATAGTGGTCTTGTTGAGTAGCCTTCAGGAGATCCTTATAGAGGATTTCTTCGATAGTTATAATAGAGTCGAGTCTAATAAGTTATTAGGCTTCTTCTACTTCGAGTTACTCGAGTTGCATCAACGGGAACAAGAAGTAGAAGAGGGTGAGCGTGATATTACATATTAGGATGTGCTGCATCACCTGACGCTGATAGTCGCATTTCCATCACTTCTAATGAGAACGATGGTGGAGACGCTGCAAGAGTCGAAAGTCAAGAAGAGGACGGTCAAGCGAGAGATATGACAGGAAAAACAGAAAGTGTGTACTCATGTAATTATTGCAATACTCCAGAAATAGAGAGGCACGACCACAGTTTCCTATTTTTCCTACTGAAGATCGCCTCAAGAAAATACGACAAAGTGGAACCACCTTCCTATTCCTAGTTAACATCTTGAATCAAATCGCGTGCGTATTCATATTTTCTGGAGGACCTCCTATACCCTAAGCCCTAAGCTATTTCCTCTCATTCTTGGCGCCGACGAATCTTCCTGGTTTTTGGATATATCCACAGAGCTGCAGAAACAACAGATACGCATGATGACAGGGAAAGCCGAAGAAAGTACCAAATTGAAATCCTTTCAGTTTCCATATGTATCACTGCAACTGCTAAAAACGAGGACCTTAACTATTATTACAACTAGTACTACTACTGATTTCAATGAACTGATGAATCATCTACACTTCTACTTCTGAATTTATGTACTTATTTTCTCCTACAGTTTAACAAGATGAAGATAACGTCGTAGTGCGTCTACGTGGTCAAGGTCATGATCTTGGTTGCATATACTTATGAGATGAAGCTCGTGTTGACACTAAAGGTAATAGTTTTACCACTTCTCTCTGTTTGGCAGACGCAGACATGGATGCGTGAGTGTAGTCTTAATGTTAGTTTCTGTAAGTATCTTCAGATACATTTTGATTTTGATTTTTGAGGCCTTAGTTAACAACATACTAGTACTGAAACGACAAAAAAAGTACTGAAGGAGCCTGAGCCTCAGACGATTAGAACTAACCGAGGCAATAAGAATATCATCTGACTTTCGGAAGCAGGAGACTAGGTAGTGTTAGTTCATACTACACTAGTATCATCAACCTGTCCGAACACGCAGCCTAGTCCATAGGCATAGCCATACGAGATCATAAATCTGTAGAAAAAACGTACTAGTACATCACTAGAACCAAAAAATAACGACATTACTTAACCTGAGTGATGCAAGAACAAAACAATTACCAACACTACTTGGCACAGGTGCGGCCGCGGGTTCTAATGAAGAGGGTGGCGGAGGCGGCAACTCGTTTGCAGATTGTGGCGTGATCACGCTGATCTCTCTTGTTAGCGTCCTCGTGTTAGCCCTGACCGTTGGTGTCATTATTGTTATGCCTCACAAGTAATGGTGCCATATGCGACAGGTAGTTGCTGTACAACTAGGTTGTACTTGTCGTGACCTAATAGATAGTTTGTGTAGTAGATTCTTATTCTACTTCTAGATAATGCCAACGACACCTTAGAAATTTCAGACTGTACAGCTTGTATGCAAAAATTTCTGTCACTATTGCTAATACTAATAGCTGTAGTGCTTCTAACCATCCTCACTTCTCTCACTCAAATCAGTAGTACCAACATCACTATCACGACTAGTATATTAGTCCGATGTTTCAGCATATCTGCACTAGAACTAACTTATGTTAGAAGTCTCTCTGTACTACTGCGGTGCTTGATGCGCAGGGCTGAGGCGGGAGCCCCTCAGAATCTGAATCTAATAATCTAAATCTAAATCAGTGACTAACCCCCACACTCTTGCTACAGAAGTGTTAATATTGATGATTCTAAGGTCTCCACCTGTAGTATAAACTCCACCTCCACCTCCCTCACCCACACGTCTATGATCTCTAATGAAGCTATTGTTCACTTTACTCCGGCGGCAGCAGCGGGTGGATCGGGAGACGTGACCGAGTTTGAGGACGAAGTACAAGGAGAATCTCCAGCAGAAAGCTTAAGGCAGATTGATGAGCAATAGCGATAGATTGAGTGTAGGCTCTGCGAGTTCCTTTTGATGTTTAAAGACCAGATACTCAGTCTTTGGTCTTCATCGGTCAACATCATCGTCATCATTAATAGCTATAGATATAGTCGAGAACTAACTCTACAGAGTGCTTGCGTGCGTGGTAATCCGCACGTGGAAGCAATAGCATGAGCATCGAGATGGACTAAGAATTGAAGTGAAAACCTCTCTCATTCGCAACTACCGTTCTTTCCAAAAATTGTAGGTAGTAGGAGAAAACGTGCATTATGCGGCACAACGGTCGAAAAATACAGCTAGAAATTGAGCCGAGGTATCCAGCTATTTGTATTTCTATTTACTGCCTTCTAGAATAAGAATCAAGAGTACCACTCAGGATGACAATCAATCAATTAAGAGTCTTGAGATGAAGTAGAGACAGAATATATTTCACCAGTGCTTGAAGACGCGTCGCCTCTAATTCTTTCGAATGCAAACAACACCTCGCTGCTTGATGTTATGGCTTCTTTTTGTACGTTCCAGAGTGGCAGTGGCTCCAGAGTGGCTTCCTTGTATACATGAAATAGAAACTGAAACTGAAGACCTCCAAGACTTTTCTTGTTCATAATGATCAGATCATTAATTATCGTACTAATAGTTCTAGTATGAATATGTTCCTTCTAGATTCATTCAAGTAGAAGTAGATCCCGATCACCCGCTTGTACTTACAGCGCTAACTACAGCACGACGACGACTAGTCCGGGTCCGCCTCCTATTATTATTAATCCCAGTTGTTCTTCTTCTTGTTGTGTTTGAAAGCTAACTATAAAGAAAATTCTAATGAGCCACTGGAGAGCCCGGTTGGAAAAGAGGGTGAAGAGGACAAGGACGAGGGGGGCGCGCCTCCGAACATGGAGGTTTTCGCGTTTGATGAGCCTGCGAATTATGCGAAGAATCAACGTTGTAATTGTAATTCTCATAGTAATAGGAAGTAAGAAGTGAAAAAGTGGTAGTTGTACTAGTACCTTCCTCGTGAACCTGAAGTACTACAACTTCAGAGTGTCCACTACTTTCACATGCACACACGTGCTTCTTTCTCTTGTCGAAGTCTATCAGGACATCTGATTCAGAGGACTTCTAGACTAAAACCCCTATGATTAGCTAATTTCTAATACCCCATCTTTATCATCCTCAGAGGAAAGTCTGAATCTGCTCTACAGCGAAACAGACTACACACTCAAGAACTACTACTAGCTGTAACAAGTCAAATGAAGATAGTACCGCCCAGCCACGACCTGTTAGTAATAGTACCAGGCGACGGATATAATATCATTCCTTGACTTAAAAGCAATATACTTTTCAGTCTACGCATTCGCATTGGTATTCAAGTATGTAAATGAACTAATCTCGACGGGCACTACTAAAAGTGTCATCAGGGATCCACACATACACTCATTGTTCTATGTAAGTATATGTATTCCGCTAAATAATATGCATGGATGAAAGAAAAGCAAGTGCAAGAGGGATACCTTTATTTAATTCTATTCTTATAGATGACTGATATAGATGACTCATTCTGTCGATACGTACCTTTAAAAATACTTTTTTGATCCTCACTGAACTACAACTGCTTATAATTCTTGCTCAAATTTTTATTACTGATGTTGCGCTTCCGCTCATGCATGAAGGAAGAGGGATACAACCAAACTGACTCTTTAATTCTATTCCGACTGATAGATGACTGAAGATGCTCTACTGTAAGTAATAAGTAAAAGTATGTACCTTTGAAAATCAAAATTTCATAACTAGCTATAAATCTGGAAAAACTTCTTGTGATTTTGTTTTTTCCTTTCCTGCTGAAGGTGCTACTAATAAATTAGAGTTGTCTTATTTGATTCGTGTTTAGTTAGGGGTCTAAGACAGAAGATTGAATAGTCCGCTATCGTCTAGAAAAACTGCATTAGAGTTGTCGCTAATACATGAAGGAAGACGAAGAGGTGCCTGCGCGAGACGCGTCAGGCCGCTTTTTGGATTTGGCGGATGATAAGTCTCAGGGAAAGCCATCTACCGCATCTGCAGCTGGATTACCAGAGAAAGACGCATCTGTTATGATTTGAAATAAGAACTGAACGACAATCAAGAGAGTGAGATTTTTTTTTTAGATTTTCGATCAGGTGGATTATCAACATCTGGATTAACCACTTTATAACTTTTTTTTTTATTCTCGACATCAAATTTTCGTTATGTTATTAATTGGTTTATTTCAGGAGCGTTATGCGGGGAAGCAACAAGAAGAGAGCAACTACATCCCTACTTGAAGAGATCGAAGTCTCGTAACCACCCGAATACACGATGATGATGATGATGATGATCCTTATTAACATTAAGTATTTTCTAGTTAGGTCTGCCTCTGCTCCAACAACAATATAATTAAAATTCAATTCAACATTAACATTATCAAGTAGTTTCATTATGATCTAAAGTTACGAAGAAGATGTCGCAGGACAGCATTCCCGACCGACCTAAAACCGGAATCTTGCAGTTCCAGGATACTCCCGCGAACCCAGGTGCAGAGAACCCAGCACCCGCAGAAGAGGACCAAGCTGCTTATGCAATACTTACTCAACCCACTGCCACTGTATGAACATTAAAACACATACTGGGTTGGAAGTTGACATCTCTATGAGCATGTCTATGGTTTCTTCTAGTAGGAAAGCCATAGATATGCGAGCTAGAAGAGCGGTCAACTTTCAACCCCTACACTCAGACTAAGCGCGTGTAGGTGTACGAGGACAGGGACACAATTGATAAATAGAATTACAGAAAGATCTTGTCAAAGTTGTACTAGTCAGAGTTATTAGTAGTGACACCCCCAGGGCAGTTGGACGAACTAGCGGAGCCAGAATAGACGGATCCTAGCATAAACATGGCCACGAACTAACTTTCTAATGGACTATTCTTTTTCTTTTTTTGTGTTTTTGTTTCCTAGTTAAGTAGGCGTGCTGGTGCTCCACCGTTTTTATTAGTTTTTTCTAGTAGTTAGGTCATCTGCGTCTACTCCACCACATAAAAAGGGTATTAGACTGTTCTAACATCACGGAGGAGCACCCGCCCAGTTCTACAATGATGCCCTTGCTGATGATTCTGGCGAGGACTTCACGTTCTCCAAGCAGGATTCCTACGATGCGAAGCGCCGCCCTCTAGTCGCGGCTTCCTTATGGTGATGCCTAAGTCAAAGTCTGTCATTGTCAATTACTTGGTGAATGTTTTCTTGAGTATGAGATAATAACTATCAGAACTTGTCTTATGCGCCCCCAGTATGTAATTTGGATGACAATAGTTGAACATGTTAGTTGATTGTTTGAAAGGGTGGTGGCATATAGTCCTAACGCAAAAGAAAAACACGGGTGCTAGGAACAGTACCATCAGGGAAACACACATGACATTTCTACATCTAGTAATAGTAGGAGTGCTAGGTGGAGTAATGTGAGTCTTGATGTTTGAAGTATACCTATACGTAGGCGTTGCTTGTTTGTTGAGATGCAGCAGGCTCCCGGAACTAGAAAATTGTGTAGTCTAAGTCAATAGGACAAGTATTGGAGATACTCTGTTGAAGTTGTTATCCAAGTCATATCTACGTCATCTAACTACATCCTTTTCTTGCTTAGGTGGACTATAATTTCTATGAACAAGAACTCGTACAAGTAAAAGTCAGACTATCTTGTTCATATGATTACATCATAATCTTCAGAAGAAGCAAGTTGCTGAATAGTTGTAATATTTCTTTCTTCGCGAGAACAACAAGTGCAAGTGCGAGTCTAGCGGTTCTAATGAAGAAACAAGTTCGCGAAGCCAGGAAGAGGGCAAAGCCGAGTCCAACCGACGGGTAAAGCACGGGTAAATTGCGATGTAAGCCTCCAGAATTAGAATATTCACAGAGCTTGAACGCATCACAATCACTCCTCGTTGCCGATGAATGAACAGTGAAGGTATAAATCTTAGCATGCACATGATGACGATCAGGAGGAAGATAGAATTTCAAATTCCATTTACAGACGCAATATTAATACCGATACTTCTCCGCAGATAATTGTCGAACCTTTCTCCCGCTGAATCTATGGACTACAGCAAAACAGATCAAAACCTAACTAATAATTTGCAACAATTCTTTCACAAGAATTTACTCGAATTTATTTTCTACAAGAACACAACGAACACGTTTACAAGAGCTATTGCAACGCTTCTAACTTCTCAGCATGATCGATACGAACAAGAAAGTGTTAGTACAATGATTTAATATTCACATCATGCCTGCCATCCAGTGGTTTACGTTTAGTACCTTGAGCATTGATAACTTATACTTACATCACCTGTTTTCAGCATTAACATCCTCATTCAGTTGCAACTCTGATCAAAATGAATTGCATTAACAACTTACAATTCTTCTCAAAATGAATTCGAATACGAATTAATGTCTCTTATTTTCATAGAAGTCAACATTAAGATTACGATTACCATTGTTCATAAAAAATTTCAAAAATATCACCATTCAGACAGTCATAGGTAGAAAAAAAAATCATCCTGCACAGCCACAGAAGATCTAAAGACATCAAATGAGGACGAACGAGAATACTCGTGACCTCTATTGCGATTGCCTATCAGGGTATATGCAGCAGTGAAGTTGAATTTAGTATTATGATCGGGCGTCGATGATGATGACCATGACGTCACAACAAGAAGAAGAGGCACAGCTAGAACCTGTTGTTGACAAAGATTGAGGTATTACCTGTACAACTAGTTTGCTCCCTACTAGTAGAATCTGAGGAACGAATCTGTGCTAGAAATTTACCCAGACCGAGTTGTCTGAATTAATTTGAAGCTTTTCGTGTTCATGAGAGGACTGCTTCGTGTTTAGAGTGCTGCAGCAGTTCTTTGTACTTCAGCTCAAAAAATCGGTTCTGCGATTTCGCTTCTTGCTTACAATCATCGTAAAAGGAGCACGACAACGTCGACATCGGTTATTCGTTCCTCGAAGCAGGAGACATCGGGATCGGTCACGCCATAATCGTCAATTTAGCCTCGAATGAATGCTGATGTCGGTCCTCTCGAACTCTAGAATCTAGTGGCCGCCTCTCTTCTCTCCTGTCCTACCGCCGAACGTGCCACCTTATTGAGTATCTTCCACCTCCTCCCAAGGTAATACAATTACAACTCGAAGAACGAAGAACTGTTCGAGAGACATCTTCTCGTTGTATCTACAGCAGGTACCAAGGTCCTACAGAATCAATAGCAGATATTTCGCTTAATTACAACTCTTCGTGATATACTTATTTCGCTTACTTATTTCATCGACGAGAATATCGTTTTTCTCATACTACGACAATTCTAACTACAATTTTTAAAAGACGAGAGGAACAACAACATCATCAACATCGAATATACTAAATCTTCTTGTTCTTGTACATACTTAATAAACTAGTACTTTGGCAACCTTAAAACGTTATTTTAGCAAAACGTCAAAAGTTGATTTTTTAAAATAGCCGACTAGATTCCTAAGAAGTCAATTTTTAACGTTTTGCTAAAATAACGCTTTAAGACTGCCATAAGTACTAGCTCTACAAGATGACCAACGTGCTAGATGTAGTAGATTCAGACTGTCTGCTCGTACTCTACTTGATGTTCTTCATGATCTTTTCAATGATTTGAGAAAATGCCGGGTTCTTCTCAGAAGCTTATCCTTCTACCATCATCCGCTTCTACCATCATCCGCGCTTATCCTTTCACCATAGACGCGTTTTTTCATCTATCAAGTCACCTTTTCCTGTGGGTCCCACATGCTGCAGTCGACGCAAAAAAGGGCAACTACAATTATGGGACTGAAGTCAAGAACTAGTTTACAATGAAGAATGTTCAGCATGTTGACCTGCTTGACCACTAGCACTAGCTGGCAGCAGTAAGAGCGACCACTAGCTGCAGGACGCGAGTCTTTCTTCAAACTATCCAGCCTTCGTTGGTAAGCGATATAAAATTAAAAACGATTTGCAATACCTTTCGCTTTCGCTGGGCACATTCATTCACTCACTCCCTCATTCACTCACGCTAGCACTTCCAACCACGACAGGTTCTCTTTCAAAGTAAATATCATGTATTTTTCTAAAACATCGGCAACAAAGCAGCTTCAACATGGGAGGTGGGGGAAGATTCATCGGACTTGTCGGACACGGAGAGGAAGCCACGTTTGCGGGGTCACGCTAAGCTAGTGCGACAATGGAAAGCAAATTATGCTGGGATAAACATCACCATAGTGGAAAAAATGTAATTGGTTGTAACTAGTACTGCGGCTGGATCTTCGCTTAGGAGGTACTGCATCTCTTATACGGTACTGTAATGTTTGCTATTGCTGGCTAATTGGTAACTGGCAGCTGATTGTTCTTGCTATTGCCTATTATTACTAACTGCTAGTCGATGTAGTCGCATTGAGATATAGTTCGTTGCTTCATCTTGAGCCCCACAACTAAAGACCTAGGCACGCTAGGTGGTCCTAAAACCAGCCCCACACCTAAAGACCTAGGCACGCTTCCATAGCAAGTTGTTTCAATGCTGCACTCGGTTTAACAGGAACCACACGCAAGTCGTGGGTTTTAGATTATTGTACTTCTAAGTACTTTATTTTAGAAGAAAGATTCTCTAATACTCACGGGAACGACGTCGACTTCAAAAGGATACACACCAGTCACGTGCCTGGCAAACAACCGCTGCGCCAGAGAAAAACTCGTTTCTGTTAAGGAGAAGAACAAGAAGATGTATAAAATATTACAATGAATCTCCATCTCGTACAAAGTTGTCACTACAGACTATCTTTTCATAGAAGGTGATTCATTGTTGGCAGTCTATCTGCGGCTGCACATATTCGCTCTGAGAGTTGTACAGGTCACCCTGTAGATACATAGCGAGTCAACGCCTACCCTAGACACCTGTTTCTGATAGTGAACCTGGTAGACCAACACGACCGAAGAGAGCGCTAGTGACAGATGGTAAGGGCGCTCGCAAACGCGTCACGTGTGAGGCGGTAGGGTCGCGCGCGAACATAATAATAACAATGAATAAAAACAATAATAATAATAATTTTTTGCAAGCCTGAACGAAGACTTAGAGATACATAGTAGAAGGTCAAGATCGTGGTTATTGACGTAAGGGATCGGCTTCGGCACTAATGTTCGAGTTTGGACATGGAGCGGGACAGTTCGCCACAGATGAGGACGCGCATCCTGAAGCTAGCAGGCCGCGTTCGGCGCCAGCGTCTTTTCTGTCATTAAGGACTGATTAGGTATGGGTATCTATAAAAGATCTATAATAAAGAAAGTATAAGTATTTGAATTTGTAGTGGTACAGGTACAACTTGGTACTATTGGTCTTCGAAGCGTTTCTCTAGCGCACCTACTCGCACTACGCCTTCTTGTTGGATGGATTTAGATAAGGTTTTTTTACAGGAGTAGGGTGTAAGATGACAGAACGACGTAGTTGTAAACCAAACCCTAGTAGAGCTGGAACAAGTACTAGAAGACGGTCTTGAATATTCCTCCCTGCCTTAGATATGAGTATGAGAGGACCATCGTGCTTCTACAGGAAAAATGATATCATAGGCTTCACGTAATTATGGGAACAACAGGAAACAATAAGTATCCTGGAGCAGCACCAGCATTTCCATTTGCGTTTATTTCCTTCTACATTTTACGCCTTTTCTACGGAAACCACCAATGATCTTAGCCATTTTTCACGTTCATGGAAACCAAACGACGAGCGGCGTAGCCGTTTTGAACTTGCATATAAAGCAAACGAGGAGCAGCTGAAGATGGAAAGCAAACAAGGGGCTTCTAGTGGAGATGGTTTGCGGAGCGGTTTGAGGGAGGAGGCGAATTCCCCGAAAGGCCCTCGAGTAGAGGATCACCAGCGAACAGCACCGCGTCCTGGCCCTGGTAGTGCACAACCAGTAACAGTTTCTAGTGGTCACGGCACAGCGTCTGCGCCGCCTCTTCCTGCTGGTGGTGACCACCAGATACAGTTACACTCTTCTTCAACTTCATCTAGTGATGGCGATGCAGCGCCTCAACAACATCCAAAAGATACTACTGCAGGTGCTGGTGGCGCAGCGCCTTCTACTGCGAGTGATGCCCTAGAACCACCTGCTAGACCTACTGATAGATTGCCACCTCGTCCGGAGGCTCCTGCTGCTGTAACCCCTTCTGGAGGTGGAACCAACCCTGGAGTTGGTCGTCGTCCTCCTCGTGCTTAAGGCTACTACTTCTTAGACCACAAGCTTGAAGTTTTTGATTTGGTAGTTTCTGTCATTGTACTGATCGCGGCAATTGGTAGGAGGTAACTTCTTAAACTCTTCTAACCAATTTCCTCCTCACCGGCTAGACAAGAAAGCTCGTCCGCTGCCGCTGACGGTCTAGGGGGCTCTGTAGTTGCCGATGCTGATGACGGGTCTGGTATCTCAGGCGCTGATGCCGATGACGGGTCTGTTACCTCGTCAGGCGCCGATGCCGATGAAGAGTCTGTTACCTCAGGCGCCGATGCCGATGAAGAGTCTGCTACCTCAGGCGCCGATGCCGCTGGGCAGTCTGGTGGTAAGCCAGTAGTTACCGCTGCAGATGGCGATTCTGAGGCCGCACCAAAGTCCTCTGAGACCGCTAGCAAGTCTGGTTCGGCCTCAAGTCCCTCTGGTGCCCCTGATGGATCTGGTGCCCTGGTACCCTCTGCTGGAGGTGCCCCTGATGGATCGGGTGCCCGCGTACAACAAGGTGGCGCTGAAGACGGCTCTACTGCCCAAGAACCACAGGAGCCTGATCATGGTGCCGCTGACGAATCTGGTCCCCAAGCACTCTCCGCTGAACACGGTGGCGCCGATCCAGTCCCCCTCCTCTCCGCTGCTGCCAATGAGCCGGCAGCAGCTCCAGTACCTGGAGGTGGTGATGCTCCAACCTCAAGTGAAGGAGTGGAGCACCACCAAGTTGAAGGAATGTCGAATGGCGCTTTCTGTTATGCCCACAACTTATAGATCTTGAGTAACTTAAAGTTAAACATAGTTAAGTAGTAATCTTAATATTATAAACATAACAAGTAGTAGTTGCAGAAGACAAGACCAAGATGTAGACAAGAAGTTGTGGTTGAAGACTTGAGCACTTTCCTACAAAGGAGTAAAATAAGAATATTCTTCACATATCTTGCCTACTAAGGACGAGAATAAGTAGATGGGTATTCTTTTTCTTATACCTTATCCTGACCTACTACAACTACAACAACTGCAACTGCAACCGAACTACAACAACTGAACATCATCAAGAACAATGCACTTGCTGAACGACTCTCAGGTTGTCTGACGCTGGAGCGCAAGAACCACATGCACATGGTTCGTGTCTATTATTAACTAAGTAACTAGCTAACTAACTAACTATTCTTTTCTTCAAGAGAACGTCTTTTTGATACTTCTCTCAAATTGAATAATATCATGGAGGGTTAGTCTGAAGTACTTCATGAACTATACTAGGTTTAAAGTACTACTTCATGAGCTAGTAGCAGTAGTTGCATTCTTCTCTCATCTATGCTTGTATGTAACTTGATGAGCTCTTTAGGTTTAGATAGAAGTTCCCCTTGTAGTTCTTGATCGTGCTTCCCCCTTGTAGTTCTTGATCGTGCTTCCCTCTAATCATCATTAGTTGACTTTCTCATCTGTATCTAACTTATCATGATCTTCTCTCTCTAATCATCGGGCATGATCGCCGCGATTGTCGCGTGTGTGGTCGCAGTCGGAGTCGGCGTCTTTGTCTGGTTGTGGAGGCTTGGTCTTCGGCACGTCACGTCTTTCCGCTGATCAGATCGGCGTGAAGATTCTTCTCTATTAGAGACGTAGGATATACTAGTACTACACGACATTTTTGGTAACATCAAGTAAACGAAGAAGGAAGTTCTTGTCGCAGCAAATGCTTCGTCTCACTGATGATCCTGTATGATCATCCGAGATGCATCAATAATGATGATAAGCAGGACGGTTGATCTAATATTTTCATGGTGAAGGAAGAAGGAAGTTGTCACTGATGAAGGACCTGACGATGAAGACTCTTGAATGAAGAAGTAGGATTTTGAAAAGATTTTTGTTATGCACTACTACAACTACTACTACGCAGGTGAAGCAGGAGGTTGAGGAGATCATGAGCTTGTACTTCAAGACTCTTAACAACTGAGGAAGAAGAAGGAGAGGGACATTTTTGAAGATGTTGTTTAGCATAAACTCCTATAATTCCTAACCATTGTTGTCGACATCAGATGATGCAGAATCTTCGTATGATGTCGACATCATTGACATTGGATCAAAAAGAACTACAAGAACTAGTCTTAGTCTACTCAAATTTTTCTTATAGCAACTTACTACGCACATGAAATACTTACACGACATGAAGCAGCCAGAGAGCAATTGCCATGATTGATGCAGAATTACATGATTATAGTGCAACCAATTATAAGTATATTTTTCTTGTTTACAATTTTTCAGTTCGTACAAACACGCACAAAAGAACATCATCAGGTTCTGTCCAAATAAAATTTTCATGCACATGATCCACTCATTCTAACACTTACAACGTATTAACACTTAAATAACTCACGCGTTCGGGTTCGCATATCTTCCACTGACAGAAACACGCATGGTCATTAATATCTCGCTTAGTACAACAATAATTTCAATGTGTTACGTTTTTCGAACATCGATAATCATAGAATTTTTCATAATCACGGACTGAGCAGCAGCATGCATTACAATTTTCGTAGAGCAATATGAACGACAATGAACTACAGCCTTTGTCGTGGTCCCTTCGTATGGGTTCTTCGCTCCCCTCGTCTAATCTATGATAAAAATGTATATGCTCTTGCTGTAGCGGAAATCTTCTAGGCCAATAGCCTATTCTATTATCCCATGTATATTGCTTGACCGATTTGCCTAGATGTCCTGCATCTGACTAGTATCTCCATACCTTTGATTGGCTTGCTGTTCCTGTGTCTATCATGTAGTACTACTTCTACTACCCGCCTATGTTCTTGAATATGTATTATAAGATTGAGAGGAGTCAGGATGTGCCCTATTTACTAGTTCTAGTAACTAATAGTATTATAAAACTGTTGATGGGACGACGTTCTTGATTTTGTCCTGAGAGGCTGTATTCACCACGACGAACGCTTTTACTTGGCTGATATTGTACCTTGTTGTATGTTGGTGAAACAAAATTGACCAACTTCTACCACATCTTGGCTCAGGTTATACAACTCTTTAACTTGTGATGTACATATGTGTAGAAGCCTTGTTGCCTCGTACTAGTAGCTAGGAGCAGCCCGCGAAACCGAAAGTAGGACCAAATCCTTGTCTCGGTTGTCATTGGAAGAACAATCCTCGGCTAATGCGATAAACAGCTTCGATAGCTGTCCTCGTCACAGAGATGATCATGACCTTAGCAGACGCATCGTCGGTGACAATCGTTCTCCTCGGTAACAAGAAGCACTAGCAATGAAGTTTTCTCAGTGGAGTCGGGCCACCTGGATGGACTCGAACGCTCACCCCCTCATAGGTGAGCCAACTCCTATCCTATCCTTTAAATGTATCCTGTAGTACCTCTTCATCATGCCCCTATGATGTTTTTCTTTCCGCCCCTTTTTCATCTTGTAATCAACAGACATGTCAGTTGTTGTTCTTGTCACGAGGCCAACACGAACAGCGACGCCAAGGACTATAAGACAGTGGTTCTTGTCACTATCGAGGAAAAAAGGGAGAGAAGAAGGAGAAGAACTAGCTCCACAGGCACATCAATCAATCAATCAATCAAGGAAGTAGCTATAGAAGTAGGAAGTAGTGGGACAATTTACTCAATAAAGCTTGGGGTATCTTCTATAGAAGTATGAAGTTAGTAGTGAACAACTTGAATATATTGTTTTTTGTTTCCTAGTTAGGTGTGCTCCACCGATAATATCAAATAATCTACTTGGGACTACGCGAAGAAAGGATGGCGCAAGATATCTCAACAACAGCTGCATCGCTTTCACAGGAGAAGCGCCGCGGCCACGGAGCGAATTAAGGCTTCTAATGAAATGCAATCATGATCCACCTTTTTTTTTATAATTTTCCAAGCCAGCTCTTATCTAGTTCCAATTTCTTAAGATGCGATTGAGAATGTGAATCAATCCTCTAACCCAAGACTTTGGAGGCTTTCTGCTTTGAAGCTTTTAGGCTTGCGAATGTTCTTCCTCCGTTACAAGATCCTGCACTCCTGTGGGTGGACGCACAGAGACGAAAACATGAAAAAGCATCCTCTGCAACTACTCTGGTGCCATCGTCATCATCTTCCAACTCATCTGCTCAAAGCGCAAACTATCGAACTTCTGTGAGAAAGCAACTATCTACTTTATGAAACCAAAATCCAGTATCATTATCTATCCTTCCCCTTCCTCTTTTATTTTGGACTGCACCCCGTGTCCGTGAATGGGTTAACTACTACTACCTACAACTACTAATATCACTCTTTTCTACTTGAGAAGAAGGAGGAGAAGCTTGAGATGAATGAAGAAGGGAGATTTTGGCTCCATAATCTTCTTCGCAGCCTGTTTTGCCTTCGTGGGTATTCTCGCATGACTGGAGCATCGATCTGAGAAGACAAGGACGCGTGAAGGGTATCCGGAAATACCAAACACTCTACAAACAAAACGCTTCCGTTCATGATGAAGTTTTCTTCTATGGCCAGCTTATTTGTGATCAATCTTATACATTTACATAAGAGAGAGGAGCAGGAAAGGATGAAAGAAAAAGGGAAAATGATACTCGCTTCGCTATGTATAAGTTTTGTTTTTGTAGTGACTTCTTCGAATTCGATATATTGTCCACCTAAACCCTATTAAGGGGTCTTTTCATCTAAGCAATCCGAATCCAGTCCACACAGCAGCAGACAAGGTACAAAGAGCGTGTGGATGCCTGGTTGCTGTCGCCTGAGGCTTATCGGATCTGGAAAAAGGTCAGGGCTTGGCTGCGTGCGCAGTACGCAAATCAGAGACTGCAAATTGAAGTTTTTTCGCCTCTTGCAGCACCTCCCTCTTCTAGTGGTGGGAAGAACATGGAAGACGAGGTAGACGTAGATGTTGCACCAGGAGGTGGAAAAGAAACGGAAGATACAACGACGGATATTGCTTCCAAGAACAAGAAGGGACAAAAAAGTGGAAAGAAATCAGCCACGAGGACGGCAGTGGGAGTAGCTGCTGGTGCTGAAAATAAAACAAGAACGATTTCTTCATCTTCATCTTCGGCTTCTTCGAACTCGAACAAGAAGATCAACCACACTCAACTACCACCGCTGAAAGTGGTTCGGAACCCAATGTCGTTGTGGATTCAAGACCAATTTCAATCAGAAAGTGCTACACCTTCAACGTGTGCTGACAGTGCAGCCGAAGGTGGTAAACAACGATTGAAAGTTAAGCCTATGCGTATGTGGCTCAGCTGCACCATAAAATAGAATGTCCTCCATGTAGTTGTCAATGTCTCATATTTAAAAAAAATAGAACACACACACACAAGACAGCTCTTTAATCATGGTAATGGTTCCAAAAAATCTACAACTAACAATCTACTAACGAACAAAGTCTTCAGCTTTGAATGCCTTTTTAACCCATGGCTAGCATGTTGTTATCGAAGCTCAAGATCTTCTAATGATACAAAAATAGTTGTTGTTGTTGTTGTTCAGTGATAGTGATGAAGCTAGCATAGTGAACAAGCGTACTGCTCTTCCGTGTTATTTTTCCACCTCCTTCACCTTCTAACACGGATTTTGCGATCCGTTGGAAAAACGAGGTGTCCTTGCAGGAAAAAGCCAGGTATGCAGCCAAAGTCCGCGTAAGGCAGGAGGAAGCCAAAACAGCGTGGCGTGACTTTGCCAAGTCCTCGATCGAATACAAGGCCTTTTTTTAAGGCATGATGCCCTATCTAATCCATCTTCGGAAGCATGATCTTCCGCAAGAGACTTCTCAGGGGGAAAAGGGGAAGAACAGAGGATGCTCATGCTTCTCAGGATGGATTCACTAGGGTGAGCGCTAAGGTTTGCAGAAACAGGAGAAAGTCGAGAACGATTTCTGGTCGCGAACTCTGAAAAGACAGTGGCGTAAGGCAGTGCAGCGATTGCGTCTCCAGCATCAGTTGCGGGACGATCGACTCGACGAAGACGAGGATGATGATCTTTGTGACCACGATGGTCAAGTAGATAGTTCCGAAAATGAAGACGAAGATATAGTTTTTGATAAAAGAACAGGAGATGTTAAGGCTCAACTTTCATTGGTCATTGAGGTTAGTCACTGAGATCGAAGAGGGCCCCCTTGAGAGAACACAACACAGGGGAAACAAAGGGAAAACAAAGGGAGAGGCGTGGGGCCCTTTTCACTCAGAATCAGTGACCACTGACTGCTGACCTTTAAAGATGGAGATCGAGCAAAAACATTCTCCAACAAGACCGGGACCAGGACAAAAAAATCAGCCATAGAAGAAGCTCGCGCAGCACTCTTGCGGTGGTTTCCTTTATGACGAGTGGTGTTACTCTTTCTTACTGTTGCTACTAGATATGTTGATGTTCCTCTTCTTCATCATTGTTGATAGGCTTTTACGAAGACATAGACATGCTTCCCTGGACAAGCAACCTCCTGCTTCATCTCCTTGCACATTCCGAGAGCGGCGAGCACTTCTTCGAGAAGTTTCAGAGCAGAGCGAAAAGTATTTCTCTTCTGCCGAACTCCGAGAGGGTGAGGATGCGAGCAGTTCTTCCTCAAACAGCGATGAAGACACTGAAGAGAGACAACTTGATGAAGCTGCTAGTGAACCTGCAGGTGAGGAAGACGATTATTCTACTGTAGATGCTGAGTCAGTAGATGGATCAGAGGGTGAGGGAGAGGAAGAGGATGAAGATTCTGCGGACTGCTCTAGAAGTGCAAGTGTAGGAGCTGTACTAGACGAGGATGATTGTTCTGCTTCACGTCCTGCTTCTCGAGCTAGAAGTCGTAAAAAACTTCTCAACAAAGAAATAAAACACTGTACAACTTCTTCTTCTAGTACAACAGAGTCTACCTCACTTTCCGCTGCGATCCTTCCAGGACGCTGCTGGAAATCAGGGAGGCTTTACTTTCAGACTGCGCGACCCCGAACGCAGAAGCCACGACCTCAAATGCTTCAGGAGAGGAAGGGGAAGACCATCAACGACGCGGTACAGGAAAACGAACACCAGAAGGGAAACAACCATCACCACTCAACACTTCAGATTGCTGTTCCTGACCCTGACAAAAATCAGGGCATAATGGCTCCAGTACTTTCGCCAATAAACCACAACCACAGCCACACTAGTACGACTTTTCAGATGATGAATGAAAATGCTTTTAACAAAGACGAGAACAACAACAGTGTGATGGCTCACGTACAACTATCACCAACCTCTGGCCCAGATCCGCATGCAGATATTGCAGTGGCGCGTCGGCAAGCACTCGAGTACAATCGGAAATATCGAGAAGGCCGCACCTATCGGACTAGGGGCCCTAACTCCCAAATGCTACCTAATCACGGAGGTTCGAAACTGCGGGAAGACGATGATGAACTTTATGGAGGCATGAAATTTTCGAACTCCCCAAGTCATTATCGCGAGGTACGCCCCGGGTAGGAGACAGAGAGGGACCACGATCGCGCGGGGGAGCGGTGGCGCAAGCGCCACCGGGCTCCCTGATGGTGTGTCGTTGCTTGGTACCACTCTCGGGCACCAAGCAACGACACACAAAGAAAAAGAGAAGAGCCGCCGAGAGTGTGTGACAATGTTCGGCCCGTGCGCGAATGTAAGAACCAGGAAGAGCAAGAGAGAAAAAGCAATCTGTTGAGAAGGTAGCAGGGTACTCGGTCAAGCGACGACAAGAACAAGACGAGGAACGAGCGACCAAGCAATCTGTGGAGTGTAGCGGAGGGCTTTCTGTAGGGTGGGGCCAGTAGGTCAGTGAGGACCATGATGGAGTTCGGGTAGCGCCGGCATGACAGCCGAGAACGAGAAGAGGAGAGAAAGGCGAGAAAGGTGAGACAAACAAGAGCAAGCAGGAGCAGGAGAAAGACAGAGAAAGAGGAAGGGGGGCCATCTGTTGAGAAAGAGGAAGAGGGGCGACACAGGCGAAAGAGGTGAGGGGCCGTGGCTTTTTAGGTGTTTTTACTCGAAGGCAAGGCTGTAGCGTTTTGCGCTTTGAGGATTGTGATTATTTTTAGAGACTTTGTCGCATATTTGCAGCCATATCGTAGGGGTTAGCTTGCAAAGCTGTAGCCAGGTAGTCTTTCTGATTTGTCCATGTCGCGCATATGAGTCAAGTTGTTCACTTCCATGAATTCAGTCGCTGCGTGCATAAGCCCCCAGGATCCTAACAGCGTCAGCAGCGTAGTCAACACATCAGCCCAATGGCCTCCACAGTCTTGAAGTGCATGAGTCTAGTCGCCTACTTGTTTGCTTAAGGATATCCATGATGTTGATCATGCCCCGGGCACTAAGATGCACCAAACACAAACGGGACCAGAGTGGCTCTCTTTTACTTGCCAAATATCTTGTATCAATAACATAATCACCCCGGCAATTTGCAGCCTTCAAGTGTTCAACAATAGCACCGTCGAAGCATTGAGACCAGTCACCTGATCGGTAAGCTGCGCAATAATAGTCCACTTCGTGCATAGTTGTATGGCGGCAAGGTCTATCATCTCTGTCCGAGTGAGAAAAGTACACTGCTCGCCCATAACGAGAACGAGAATCGAAAAGGTTAAGAGTTAGAAAGTGGAGAGACTTGAGAAATAGGAGCGTGCCCAAATATGGCACGACTTCAATCAGTGAACTCCTACAATGATACCACTGAAGTCATAGACTGACCAGCCTAAACGTGTGCAGGGCCGGCCTTTGAGTCAAGTGATAAAGTAACCACATATCTAAAACCTTCCTGGGATAGATTTACGAAGTATTTAGTGTTCTGTCTCCGGTTAGCGCAGAGATGACGAGACTCCTTCAACAGTGTCAAAATTGGACTAGAACCAGCGAAAAAATGAACGCGGCGGCGCTGAGATCGATCAGGTACAAGCCTGAGCCGCGGCGACTCCTCGACGATGCGAGCCAAGTGACGGGGGGCCGGGTGCGCGTCGTCGGTGACGTGGTGGAGGACGTGCTGCGCGCCGGCTGCCGCGTAGTGTTGCGGGCGGTGTACAGTGCGGGGCGGTGTGAGGTCTTTGAAGGGAATGCGAATTCAAGGACCGGCCGGGTTGCGGAGGTGCAGCTCTCGCGGGGGAGTCCTTTCAAGGAACTGGCGAGCGGGTGGACGGCGCTGGAGGTGCTTGGGGTGTTTGAAATCGAGCCGGACGACGTTGGGCGTACCTACTGCCCCAGGGGCAGGGCGCTGCTGTCTTGCTGTCTCCGGCCGAGATACGGCACACCTCGCCGGAGAGGTTTCGGGCCAGCGCGTGGGCGGATTTGGTGCGCCGGTTGGATGCGTTTCGACCGGTCGGATGCTAGTGGGCCACGAGGGTCCAGCGGGCTCCGGTGAAAGCGTCGAGATGGCCAAGGCGCTGGAGTCGGGGCGGGGGGTCCGTTTCGTCGTCACGCCTACGCGGTTCTTGCTGGGGAGCCTCGTCGAGACTTGGCGGCGGTTTGGGAAGCGGGGCGCGACGCTTGTAGTAGCGGCCACCGATACGGTTGCCATGGGGGAGGTCTCCGAAGGCATGAAGCCGGAAGCGCGGCCGTGGGTCGTCGAAGCCTGCAAAGAATCAGAACGGACGGCGAAGGCGCTGGAAGGTTGTGGGGCTCGGCTGATTTCAATCCTTTCAAAAAACTGCGGCGATCGAGTGCCTGTCGTGACCTTGAAAGGCAACGGCGGCGGCAGTTGGTGCGTAGTTATCTCTGCCCCTGTTTTTGGTGTCTTGTTTTTTGCCTCGGTTGTTGTTTTCGTGTCTTGTTTCTGTTTCTGTCTGTGCTCTTGCTTTTGCGGCTGGATGTCTCTGCTTCTGTTGTTGTTGGTGTTGTTGTTGTTGTTGTGTTTTTTTGCCTTTGTGAGTATGGTTGGCGTTGTTGTCGTTGGTGTCGCGTTGCTTTGTCTTTCTGATCCGGGTCGAATTTAGTTGTTTATATTGATTGGAGAAGCAGAAGAAGATCTTCATAATATGGAGTATGTACTCTGTTTCTGACTCACTCCAGACCACTCTTTCTCCATATACTCTTTCATACCACCACGGACAGTCAGAGCTGGAGTTGTTCGCCAAGAAAACCAGCACCCTTAGTGGGCTTCCGTGTGAAACATAAATCTCTCTATCGTCCTCTACTTGCTCCGGTACCTCCGGGAGTTTCAACGGGACTGGGTACTACGAGTACAACTACTACAAGTACTTTAAGCGGACCACCCGCAACATCAAGTAGTTCAAGCAGTAGATTCAATGCTCCTCCTGCTGTGGAAGGTAGTAGAAGTTTTTCAGCTTCATCATCTTCAACAAACTTCGGGAAAGATAAAAACAAAGAGAACAAGAATAGTGGAGTACGAACTTCTACTCTTGATGATGATGATGTACTGCAACTGCATGAAGTAGATGAGAAAGAAAATGCTGTCCTCGGAGGCAGAAAGATCTTCGTCTTGTCGCCTACGTCTGCCGCTCTTGACAAACAGAATACACAGACGAATACCTTTGCCACTCGAGGAGGCGTGGGGGATAAACAGGGCTTGTGCTCGTCTGTATCCCCTAAAAAGAAAGCAGCTTCCTCTTCAAGTAGCAAGAATCTGAAACGTCACGAGCGAGAAAATGATGTAGATGTCGATATGTCGTGTATACTTCAGAAGTCTACAGCAAAAAAACGAAAAGTACTACAAGAACTTTCCGGAACAAGCAGGAGTGATCGTCTTTCTCCCGCACTAGCACTTGATGCACAGAGTCCTGAACAACCCGAACTTCCACATCCTTGGGCAGCTGCAGCGACTTCATCCAATTCCAGTACCATCCTGAAGCGCGGATTGCGAGCAGTGGTCGTTGACTACGAGATTCAGACGGCCGACCAAGAACGACGAGCACCGAAAATCAAGATGAAACGCGGTCGTCCACGCTTATCTACGATGGAGAAGGAGAAAAACGAAATTCGCGAAAAAGAACAACAAGTTATGGAACTATACCTATACTAGAGTTACTAGCCTATAAAAATAGGTATAGCTCGGTATAATTTTATTTGATTCTTTAAGTTACATTCTATGGTCATTGAGCCCCCCCGAACCCGATCAATTTTCCTCTAATCAAGAACTGGACTACAGAAAAGAGCAAGGTCTTCGCGAGAAAGCAGAGGTTGCAGCGTTGGTGAAGCCTCTGGTCAAATTCTGCAAGGTGAATCTGGACAAGGAGAATGATGCTGATGAGGCTGTCATGAAGAATTCCAAGAAAACGAAAAAAAGTTGATAGAGTTCGTGGAACAACTTCAGAATCCCTCTCCTGCGATCTACATCATAGTACGATATTATATGTATTTAGCGAGCAATCCCAAGGACAACAACTACTTAGTGGCAAGTTTCTGCTGAAAATGAGAAGTACGTATTGTTCTGTGAAGATGGAACCACCTGTCTGTGATGGAAACCTAGTCGACGAGATAGAAACATACGAAGCAAACTACCCTTTTGATGTGATATTAGAAGAGCTAGACGAATCTAGATTTACGTACAAAACTGCGTCGTCTGAAAATAACAATGCAATAGTGACAACAAAATTTTGCAAACTCCTTCTGCATGATGAAGTATCCAAATGCGTAGACCTTAATGAATCTCTAGTACTAGTGAGAAATATGTGAAGCTCATTCTTTAGCAGACATGCAAGCAATAGTTAACATGATCATGCTTTGAACAATTTTGTTTCTGCACCACATCTTTGTACCACAGACAAGAGGAACGACGGGAATGACAGAAGAAATGGCACTGCAGTGGAGGAAAAAAAATCGCGAACAGGATATACAGAGGCTCAACTATACGGTGACATCTTCAAATGCACACGGATTTCATTCGATCGTCCTTGTTGCTAACAGTGTCGTGGGTATCTTATTTAGTCTCACTACTCGTACTCCAACTCCACTGACTTGCGAGTATAAAAAGAAGAAAGGAGGCGGTGCATGTTGATGATGAGCGAGTCACTAACTCTAAGTATTGCAACATTTTATGTTGAAGAGAGAGACGACTGAGCAGCATCAATCTTTTATGTGCGGTCCTGCCTAGCTGCTTCCAGGTGGTTCCGACAAGAAAATGTGAAAATTGTAAGATGTTGTGAGAGACGCCAGAATCAAGACATGGATGATCCGATGCCTACAGAATGAAGAGTCGTCCTCTGTGACTAAAGATTTAGAATGAACAGTCCTCTGCCGCTGTGAAGAGAGAATCTGACTTTATTGATTACGATCAATCGAGCAAGGGCTCTCTGTACTAGTAACACTAGCAGACTGACACAATTGGTTTTTCTGAAATGAATGAAATCTTCTAACTTCTATGAGTCTCATCAAATTCAATATGGCCACTATGAGAAGCTGCAGGCTGAGAATCATGCCAGCAATTCGTCCTGCTTCTAGTTTGGCAGTTGAAAAGCAAGAAGAGTTATCAAGAATGGCTTTGCCAATGCCATCGGTACCAAGCAGGACGCACATGCCGTAGCTCCAACGACGCCACTCTTTAACACAGCACTAGACGATGACGAATTTCTGAGACTGAAACTGAAGTCATCCAAAAAATATTGCACCAGGCTATTACTTGACAGGTTTGGAGGTTTTTACTTTCGGCCAGTGGTATATAGTGTCGTGCTTATATTATTACAATACCTGCTGCTTGCACGTGTAGCTTGCAATTTCGTTCGTGATTCTCAAATGTCTACTGCTAGAACTCCAGTTTGCATTTGCATTAGATAGAGGTACAACGTACCTTGATTTAGGCATTTTTGTGCCCTCTGGTGGAAGTCAGCACCACCAGTGGTTGTCTTATTAGTTAAGGATAGAACCATCGACGATCCCACGACTCGCAAATTCTGCACCTTGAAGTGCATGAACATCAAAAGCTAAAACTAAGACTAAAAACGTAGGAAAAAGAAAAAAAAATGGAAGACCTGGATGAGGATGAAATGTTGCAACTCGCCATCCGCATGTCGCGTGGTGAGAGTGTAGAGGTTCCTGCAGCAGTCCGAATGGCCCAAGCCCATAGTCCTAGTGAACGTGGCAGAGACCTGTGCGATGCCGTCTCTGATGCTGGTGGAGATGACGATCCGATGGGCCCATGGGCTGGAGGGGGTATTGGTCCTTACTCTTAGATGAAGATAAGAAATAAGTTATAAGTATGAACTTCAACTTGTAGTTTTTCTACCAGAAAGAATGTTCTTCTAACCAGCGCTACTACTCCTATCAACATCGATGGACCAGCATAGATGTCATGGGTTACGGGATTCAGCAGCTAGAAGCATCAATGATGTATGTGATTTAAAGGAGTGGCTATCCAAAACCTAGCCTAACCACGTGGCTATATCATAATGTGAATTAGAGGAGGTTGTCTTTCTCTGATAAACATAAAACCAAACTGCACTATCTCGCGCTAGGCAGCACATTCATTCATTCACTCACTCACTCAGGTAATCACCCCATGCCGCCAGTGAACTCACCTCGTGGAGGACCGGAAGTACCTAGTGGACCTAATATGCTAGAACGACAGTTCGGGAACACTAGGATGGAACCTGAGAACTTCCTACCAGCACCAGGAGGCGGAGGGCATATCCCTTTTGTGGGTGAGACAAGGACGGCTGAGGAACAGAACGCTTTGAACTTATGGCAGGTTTTGGATTCGTAGTTTTTGATCTCGATTTGATAGGGAATAAAGTATGATGTAGTAAGGACGAGGTGCTATTGTGATTTTGTGCATCACTTCTACCTGCACCACCAATTATCGTAAAAAAAGCTGAAACTCCTGAAATTCGATGGAAGTGAGGCTTTACGACCACCTACGTACGTACTACACCCTCTAATGTCCAACTTCCTGCTTCCTCAATTTGTTGATACAGAGGATGCTGAGATGGAAGAGGCTATACGACAAAGCCTCCTTGAGTCCCAGGGACAAGGAGCGATGGCGAATCAACCTCATGGGAAAGAAACCCCTAAGCTGCCGATGAATGTCGGCAAACAAACCGGTAATTCTTTAGGTGCGACCGACCTAAAAAAAGCAGCAATGGGCACAGCACCTCCGCCGCCTCCGCCAGTGAGAGGTCTTTCGAAGAGGGGAAGGGAAGAAACTGGAGGTACAACTTATTTGGTGGTTCTTGATTTTGCCTATGGTCTTATGCTTATGCATGGTTGTTGGGTATTGGTATAGTGCTGGGCAAGATTCAATCTGATTGTAATTGCTGTTAGAGAAAGTCTGCTCTCTATTCGCTAGTCCAACAAGTCTTGTTGAACAAGCAACTACATATTATAGTAGATACATGAACATGAATCATGAATCACCAAGGCTACAACCTCAAACATGTTCAAAATCAAAATCCCTTCTCAGACAGCGGTCCCCCCTTGCAGAAGGCGACGTTTTTAGGTGGCAGTAAAAGAACGGCTTTCCTCAACAAGGGATCCGAAGAGATCCAAGAGCTTTATGATCTGTGCTTTGGCGATAATGCTGACCCGTCTGATTTAGAGCGGTGGGAACGAGCCCGATTCGAATTCTCCGACAAAATACGCTTCGGATTGATTCAGAAGTTAAGAATTGGGATGCGTGAAATTGACCGACTTACAACCCGTTGCTAGTTCGTTTCTCTACTCAGCAACATGTATGGGGCGACATTCTATATTTTCGTAATCCTTTATTTCCTAGTCCCATCATGTTGTCCGCATAATATCCTCTCTAAGAACTCAGGGTGGCCCATGCGGTATCCTCGCAGCAGTACAAGGAACACTACTGCAACAGCTGTTGTTTGGTTCCGACGGTGCGGGTTCGTCAGGTAGCAAGACAACATCCCCAGTAGGAACTACACCAGGAGGAACTGCAACTACAACATCTTCTAAGACGCTGCCTGGTGGAGTTTTAACGGGAACTAGTCCAGCGCGTGGTAGTCGAGAAGGAGCAGCTACAGGAAGTATCTCGAATGATTAAGGCTCAACTTTCATTGGTCACCATTTAGATTGGAGTCACTGAAATCGAAGAGGGCCCCCTTTAGAGAACACACAGCGGAAAATGAAGGGAAACAAAGGGGAGAGCTTTGATATGGGGGTCTCTTCCGTTCAGAGTCACCAGTGACCAACTAGGAGTGCTGAGCTTTAAAATGAAGAAGACGAGTTAGATGTCTTGTCTGCAAGGTTGAGAGAAAGCTCAAACTTAGGGCAAGAAAGTCTACAGCTTCTGACCGACGAGAGACGAGAGGCCCTGCTGTGCAACGCTCTCTGCAAACATTTGGAGCAAGCCAGGTGCCAAAATTTTGATAATTTTTGCTGTGCTAGAACTCGTGCATAACTTCTGCTGTGCTACTGCTACTCATGGATTTGGATTGTGCATAGCACTCATGCATTGTGTGATTTTTGTGCATTGATGTTTTTTTCCGCACCTTGCTGGTCGTCGTGGTCGGTGTACTATCTGTATGTTGGTACTTAAAAAACTTTCAAATGATAAGATGAAGAAGATGCATCTCTCTATGATAAGAAATACATCCTGCATCAGGTATCTCAGCAGCGACTTCAAGGTCGTTTCCGCAACGCGACGTGGCGGATTATTACAGTTCTCAAAAGTGGTTACTCTCCGTTCGAGACAGGCTGTAATTGAGCACTTCCGAAAGCAGATCACCATGCGTATCGAAACCCCCTCATCCGCGGGTGAAGATTCCGCATCAGACCTCGACGCCAGCGCTGTCAATGCCGATGGAAAAAAAGTAGTCACACGAATTAGTGGAGGAAAGGAGCAATTTTCTCCGGCTGTGTCTCCTGCTGGTGGCGTGGGAGCAGCAGCTAGTGGCGGCAAAGAGAACCAAGTAGCATCTTCTGTGCCTCCTGGTGGGCCAGGAACTGATGCCGGTGCTGCAACCACTGCATCGCCCAAAAGTAGTCCTCCTCCTCCTCCTCGACCTATTGCTCGTCCTCCGGCGCCCATTGGAGATCAGCAGCCGTCGGACGAGGCTGGTTCCTCCGCCAGTAGCTCTAGTAGCACGTTACTTGTTGCTAAGGCAGAAGAGGCTGGTAATGCAGCTAATGCGAAGGAGAACAACCCGTCTACTTCAAATGGCAATCTATCCTCATATTCTCCTGCAAGCAGAAACAAGAATGCTGATGCTCCTTCTGCAGCTGCCGCGAACACAACAACAACGACCACAGGAGCCACTGCCGTAGCAAACAGACCATCTTCAACTACCGCAAAATCTTCATCCTCGACGAGTAAAGATGGAGTTTTGCTGGCTTTTGTTTTCTCCTTGCTTGTCACTCGTGGGCTGGACAACGTCCGAAACGACATGGATGACAGTGAGCAGTCGTTGGTCGCAAGATTCGGCCACTGCTCTCAGGAACTGGTTAATCTGATGCTGCAAGGAGAAGCCACGACGAACGTATTCGATGGCACGCAGCAGATTGGGACTTAAGGCTAGCGAGTGACAAAAACTAGCCTTGGATAGTAGTTGGTTGTATCTGTATCTGTCTCAACAAAATGTTGATTCAGCACAGGCTCCGCATCAGCAAGTACTAGCTTGGGCTTGGCTGTGTAGTTTGAATTCTAGAATTTTATAGGCCGCTCCTGCGTGGTTATTCTTGGTATTGGCTTGAATGGTTCTGGTGATTGGTAACCTGATTTCGATCATAAGGAGAACAAGAAGGGAATCACCTTGTGATCAAAAACAATACATTTACATGCACATCATGGCTCTTACTTCTAATTCCTCCCAGCAGAAGGCGGTCTGCAGCTACGAGGAGTTCTCAAAGAGGTGCCCGTAGGTTACCTCTCCGAATTGGAAGCCATGCGCCACTGTGAAGTGGGAAACCGTTACAAATACCCTTCCCACCCTCTGTGGATGCTTGCCAGTCCAGACCACTTCACCATACTCTTTGGGCAGAAGATGGAGGTACTTTTTTTTTATCTCGGAATTAAATAGTTGTAAAAAGGACTGCATGTTGTAGTCCCAGATCCAGCTTAGCTGCTTCGTCGAGTACTTAAAAGTATAGTAGACAGTGGTAATTCATCTAATTTACTCTCAGTCAATGTCAATGTCAATCACAAAACTACCCATAAAAACCTACTAATTTTTACTCCTACAATTTCATCAAACTACCCATAAAAATCCTACAGTATTCCGCAAAAAGTCGGTATGAGCAAGTGAAGCAAGACACCGAAAAAAGCTTCTATGCCAATGCCATCGACACTGAAAGCGGTCTCGCCATGGTGGAAAAACTCACCGATATCATACAGGGTCTGACGTCTTTTCTTATGATGAAGTCATTGAAATTGAATAAGAAAACGATAATTGATTGTACTGTACATCTCACTCATCATGCAGTAGAACAACAACAAACACTATCTTTTTTAGAAGTCATGAGGACTCTGACTGATATCTGTGGCACAACCTGCAAGTCTCTGTCTCCTAGTATTTGCCTTGTTATTACAGAGACCCCAATCCGAATCCGAAACAAGCACCTTATCTTCCTCTAAGGCCCTCTCCCCCGAGCAGCAAAGCGAATTGTACGCTTCCCTAACCGAGCAGGCAGATACTGTAATCCTGTGGAATGACTTCTGGAACGAAGTGCAAATGCGCGCTTTGAAGCCTGAAGACATTGCTGCGGAGTCCTCGGGAGGCGCAATGGGCAAGATCGATCTGTGGCACTACGATGGCCAGGAACCACCGGGAGCTGTGTTGTTAAAGATGAATGGACAATGAATGCATTTGGAATTGGATTTCTTGTGGTTGTGGATATGTTTACGTGGCGTAGTCTTGTCGATGAGACAAGGAGTAGGAGGATAAAAGTTGTCATCTCATTGTTAGTATATATTGCTATTCCCTGCAGCTGCAGACGTACTCGGAGTCGTACCTCCGTCCGCGACCTTTTATTTATCTTTCTCGAAAAAAAAAATGTATTTACTATCCACAACTCGCATTCGCACCAACGCTTGCGGACGTGCCTCTCGTCAATTCTTCTTCCTGCTCTAATCTCTCGTCGCATCCAGTTGGAGCCCTGTGATTTGCCTCCATCCGTCGGTGGGCAGGATGGCGACGCTCACGGTTTGATCAGCGCGCTGCGGACAAGATGGAAGAATGCGCTATTTCACCTTGAGATGTAGCGTACACGAAGGTGAGAAATGTAGTCGTGACGCGTACATGATGAGGAGCAGTAGGAGAAGACCGTCATTTCCATAACTACGTAGACGATGACATGGTGACGCGCACAGGATGAGGAGTGTAAGGACGCGCACAGGATGAGGAGTGCAGTGATGCGCACAGGATGAGGAGTGCAATGATGCGTACACGATGAGGAGTGTAATGACGCGCACAGGATGAGGAATGTAATGACGCGCACAGGATGAGGAGAAGAACTTCCTTTCCATAACGTAGAGGAAAACCTCGTCTCTTGTAGTTCTTGTCGCATTTTTTGATGAGTTAGAAATAAAATGATTCTATTTCTAAACTCCGATGAAGTGATCCTGCGGCTAGTAGATCGCTTTGTTGTACTGGATAAATGATCGTCCTGGCCTCATGCAGAGCGACATGTGTTGCATGACTATGCGAACGTCACTCTCGACTTATATTACCGCTGTTCTTTTTGTATTTGCTACGATCGCGACCATTGTGATCATTCAAGCGACCTACCTGAACTCGCCGAAGGAGAACGTATGCTGCTGCACTTTTAGTTCTTCTACAGACGTTCTGGAGCCATGGCCGCCCCTGCAAGTCGCACGCCAGAAAATGCATTGGACACCTTGCGTACTGCAGATTATCGTGTCATTTTGACCACGAGGACTACGTTATTTTGACCACATTGGACTTGCGCATCGACGTTATAATTTGACATTATAAGTGCAACATAACACCGACAGACAGCATGGGAGCAATCGGTTTGGGAGTTTCCCCCTCTGCAATGAATGTACGTTGGAGTCCTACGAGCTTGAACGTCATCGGTTGGGAAAGCTCCTATTCGAACTTCTATGATCCATTTCCGTCCTATGATCTTATGATCCTGTTCTACAGGAGCATTGTCATTGAGTTACTGGTCAAGCAAGATTGAACACCACGAAGGAGGACAGCAATTAAAAACGAATCAGACGAGAAGAGGAAAGTGATGTCGGTGGAGTGGTGTGGTGTTGAGAGAATTGAGAGCCTTTTGAGAAAAATCCTCTCGAGTTACCCAATCATGATGATGCGTTGAACTTGTTATTTATATATAATTATCCCCTCTGGCTGCTTCCCATTGATAATTTTTTTCCGATATTTCCTGGTAAATTTCTCTTCCAGCAGCTTCTGTGTACTAAACCCTTTTTCATCTGCTTTTCCTTCGCAACTAAGAGTTCGAGTTGTTAGATTTACAGATTTAATCCTCACGAGTGTGAATTTATCTTTATGCTACTATTATAATTATTGTGGTAACATCAAGTAGTCTATTGATGATTGAGAACTGATTCTGCAGAACGCGAAGTAAACTAAATGATCAGTAGCAATGGCAGCAGTTGAAATCGTTCCTGGCGACGTGGTAGAGAGATTGATCGACGATATCAGCTTCGACGCCTTAATCCTCCGAAAAAGCATCAGTTGCGGTGGTTTCGATATACTATACCTGGACGATCAGAAACTAGAACGGGATGTGCCACTGCAGGAAATGCAAAAGGAACAGTGTAGTGACGGGGTGTTATGTTAAAGGGAGATCCAGCAAGTCGAGAAGATGGGGTGAATATAGTAGAATAATGTCCATCTTCGTAGTTCGCATAAGTATACTTTTACACGACGGTAGTCGTGTAAGAACACCTATTTATCATGATTATCCCTCAAAGAATACAAGGACATGGACAACTACTTCGACCTCGAAATCTTAGAAGCTCGAAGTACTTAAGGCCTAGACGCTAGACGTAAACTAAAGTTCAAGTTCCTTCTTGTATCTAACAAATCTCCCTGGCTCAAGACCAATGGTTCGTCTAGACCTATCGTCACTACGCGAATTCGGTCTGAGGAAGCTGGAGGATGCGGACAAGAATGCCGCAGTGGCAGAACGACCAAGAACAGCATGCGGTGACTCGACCAGCACTGTCGTGAAACGAGGCAACATGGTTTCAATAGGACACTCTGGCTTGAAAAGCTACGATCCTGAGGACGGAACTAGAGTAGTGACGTTTTTGAACGGCGAGCCAGCGAGTAGTAGTACGTCGGATGTTGAGGAGGAGGAAACTATAACTATTGCAGAGAACTGTAGAAGGCACACTGGATCTGGAGAAGGTGCTTCGCGAAAGAAAGGTGCTTCGCGAAAGAAAGGTGAAGCAGGTGTCTTACGAAGTATCTTTCATAAGTATTTACTCATTGGGTCGTGTGGTTCAAGATTACGGTTTTTTTCTCAATATTCTGATAGCGATGATCTTGACCATCATTTCGAGTCAGGTAGTTTTATTTCGTTTTCACAAGAATTTGAAATTGAAAAATACACATTCACATACACTGATGGCTGATCTTCAATATTAAGAACTAAAGCTTCATCACTCAGGTTTCGACAGTGCGGGCAACTTCGTTGACGCCGACGGCAACGTTGTGGCATCGCCTATGAAGCACGGCAGCGAAGACGATGAGGGTGGGACGAGAAGTCCGCTTCCATTTGGCATGATGGAATCGGAAAAGTTACTCCAAGTTATGATGGACAAGACGAAGAGAAGAGCGTGTTTTTCATCTTTCTAACACAAATACCGACTCAGACTACAGGACGAGCCTGAATTATATCAACAGAAATCCACTGTCCAGCTATTTGTAGGAAATCCAGTGTCCAACAAGGATTCGTCTGCTATTTGTAGGATGATGAAAAAGATGAATAGCCATCTTCATCCAGCGCCCCACTACATTTTCATATCCTAGTATGCAGTCGAGCAAAATAGCAGTACCGGAGGAAGTAGGCCTGTGAGCAGCGGTTCAGGCGGCAACTTTCCAGAGTCAGATCTCGAAATCCACTCTGTCGCAAGTAGTTCCAGTATAGGCGTGAGAGGCATCCAAAACCTCAGAAAAATACGCGGAGAACAAGGTGGAGGAGGTGCCTCTTCATCCTCAGTACATGATTTAGGATGATTCAGGATGTCGAACCCATTCTGATCGACATCGACTTCTTCTGCGCGATTTAGATTTGAGAACCTTTTTATTTAAATATATCCTGTACCTACTATCCTTCCTTTTTCTTTTCCTAGTTAGCTTGGCTCCACCCATAATATATATTAACGGAGGTGATAAAAAGTAACTTATAGTACATAGAAGCACAAGTAGACTAGAAACGTGTATTAATAGACAGCGATCCAGCCCCCGTGTTTTTGGCAGACGACACCAAGTGCATGCTTCATGTCATTCGGTTGAATCCTGGTCATCTTCATGTCAGTCCTTACATTCGGTTGATGCTTGTCAGATCAGATGGTAAATCGTTCATTTGAAGACCACACTGAAGATCTTTGTAAGCGTAGACAACAGCGGAAGTGTTCGGAAATCTTCAACGCGACGAGAGAAAAGTGACGAGAGTAGACGACCCATGAACGAGAACCCCAAAACATTCAGTTTTTTTGTTTCGCACTGCGTAGTAGCTAGACTTGAATCGGATCCACCATTCTTGATGTGCGCTAACATTCGACTGTTACTTATTTTGTTAACTCCCATTTCGTTACTGGACCCTAGATTTTGTTAACACCACGATCGAGGACGCAGCAATGTCCTTTTTGGTTAACATCAAAAGTTGTAGATCCCTGGCTGAACGTCCTCACACACAAAAAAATATTTGGATCTTCGTTAGTACTAGAAGCTTTTCGCTTAGAAGAAGCGAGGATTGTCATTATGTGGGTTATATTAAGTAGTTAGCGGCGCTTTGACTTTGCTATTAGACAGAAAATGTATAATATTTATCATGAAATGAAAGTGTAAGTAGAACAGTTCATGATCAATGGTATCAAATCGTCACGACCTCTTCAATTTTCTAGTATTTTTAGGTCAAGTTTTGAATTTGATAATGTGTGAGGTAGAAATCGTTGGCGCAGGTCAAGTTTTGGGTTGGTTCATTTGTAGATGTACAACGTAATTTCGTACGTGCCGGACTTCATTCCCCTGTACAAAAAGGATAGATTAAGATTATCGTGCCGATTTTTTTTCCAGATCAGTTAATGCTGATGTTTTCTGTGAGGTAGTAGAACTCTATTTAGAAAGTTCGTAGTACCAAGCAGGACAACGAGAACGACACCTCTTAAGAAAGACCCTTTTACTTTTTTATTTTTCCTTAATTATTTGTTTCCGAAAAAACAAGTAGCTAGCTAGATGTCAATAATTTTGAAATTTTGTTGATTAATTTTGGTAAATAGTCGTTTACCATGTTGTTGTTGTTGTAGATGTTCAACATCTACTTGTTTTTTTGATCTTCATTCGATTCCTTGACTAGTTAATCGCTCCTTGTGACATTAGAAAGTACTACGTGCTGTTGTCCTAGTACATGTTCTCTCTGCAACGTTCTAATTTTCAGATGAACGTCATGGATCCACGTAGCCAAGTTCACTTCATCTTCTTTTCTTTTGATGTATAATTTCTAGTACCTTGACAGCACAGAGGACTGAACACTAACAAGAAAAATGAGGCTGCTTGTGCCCTTGCTAGACCCAGCGGGGGAGCCGCTAGTCGATGTCCTTTTCGACGACTCTGTGCTGAATAGCACAAAGCCGATAGCACAAAGCTCTCAAGTACTAGATGGAGAAAATGATGGTCAGGAACAGGATCGTGCTGCTCATGTTGGCCATGAACAAGAGTTGCTTGAAGAATCGTCTCCCCATGAAGAGGTAGACGACTCTCCAGGGGGCGGTGCGAGGGAAGCTCCTTCGTTGAGTGGATTACTCGTTCGACAACTAAGCCACCACGTGTCTCCAACGGTTTCGAAATCGAGACTAGGCGTTGCAGGGTTCCCTGGTGACGGAGATGAAGATCGAGGCGGTACAAGAACACGACCTCAAGTTGTGCTTTTGAGGGATCATCCCTCGAAGGCGGGTACTTTGGTATTCGGTGACGGACAAGGATACGAAGAAAAGTACGTAAAACTCTCGGCAAAGGGTGCTTTCGGAGTTGGAGACGAACACGAAGAAGAAGACATTATAAAGCAGAGTGCTGGTGGTCTGTGTTTGCATGTTCCTGCATTGTTTTCTCTTCCCCAGAATGGGGATGCGGAGAACCAGCACATTGAGGACAACACTGAGGAAGTTCATCCCGATGAAATCCGCTTCAATCTCGACGATCTAGTCCAAGGCATCGTCCAATCCGGACTCAAAGCGCGTTTCCCTGATTTTCCGGAGGGGACGAAATTCGCTAAAGAATGCGTCCGTCTAGTTTCGGATCAGGGATGTTTGCTCGATAGCACGGAGACGGCATTTGATGACCTCCCTGCTGCAATCGGTGGTTCAAGTGCTAGCGGATACGGTCACTACAAGAGCAACAAGAGTGCGGGCAAAGCGTCGTCGCCACGCGCTGAGAATAGAGCGTCTTCGTCGAGTAGTAATTTTGATTCCGCTTATTTCAACTGTGCGCTTCCTCTCGACCGTGACGGGACCTGCGACTTCATTTCGGTGCTTGTGAAGTGGGAGAAGAGTCTGCATTTCCCTTCCATGGTCCGCGACTTGCATAACGCTCTAGTCACCGGGACTTACACGCAACCACCAGAAGAGCAGACAGGGGATATGTTCACGCGAAACCGGCAAAGGACGAATGATTTGACCATGATGATGAACCTGAATGCGCCAGCCGCAGCTGGAGCAGTGGGTGGAGGACACGTTTTAGGAGGTGGTGGAGGACCACAAGGTGGTCCAGAAGGTCACGGTCTACTAGGAGGCCCTCCACAGTTCCGACGCGCGGCTGCCCCTCCACCACCTGGAGCGATCCAGCGACAAACGTACCTCTTGCCATCTCTAGAGGACTGGCAGATTGGACTGTTTCAGTCGGCAGCTGAGGACGTGGGACGATTTGGCAAGACTCCTGGGGACAACATCTATGGGTTTTCGCAGTTACTGCAGATCATTGATCGTGTGAAGAGTGCGAACTTTGTGTATCCACCTAATATCAACTTGGTTTTCCATCAGCAGGAACTTCAGGCTCTTGGAGGGCTTGGCGCCTTCCTGTCCGAAGTAGCGGCAAGAGTAGTGCAGAGTCAGAAATTGCAGACGAACGAAGTGCGAGAAATTTGGACGTTTAGGGAAGGGAAGGTATATCTACCACGTACTAGTTTGATAGTTTTCCCTCTTTTATCTTTTCTCCAGCTGCGTGCACATGCAGATACACTACACCCAAGTTTTAGGAAAGGTGCAAGTGAAGCTGAAGCCGTAAAAGAGCTTGCTAATGAATAGAATCAAATATCAACTTCAAACACAAACAAACGATCATATTAACAGGTTGCAGCCAGCAACATCGGGTCTTTAGAGGAGCTACAAGCGAGCACTTCGAGTTCCTTCTTAGACCGCGAGCACGCAGATCAGGCCATCGTCTGGAAAACCAACCGTCGGGTGCGCAAAACCACGCCTGTGCATGAGATTTTGCGCCAGCTACGCGTTTTTCAAGTGTTTGAGTTGCGGCATGGGCTCAAAGCCGCAGTTGACGGGGACAAGCTGTCCATTTGTGAACGGCTCCTGAAGTACTTGGCTTTGCGAGGTGACCTAGTTTTGGCGGTGAGGGAACAGACCTGGCCGAATCAGATGCTGACGAACGAATTGCTAGCCAGACGGGCGCGAGGCACCTGCACGACGAACAGTTCGAGCGATTTTAACAGCATGAGCGACTTCAACGCGCGGAAAGTGTTGATGAGCGAACAAGGCACCGCGAAAGCCACGTCGTCGCGTGGAGGCGGTTCTACACCAGCACTGAATCGAGTAGGCAGTCGAGAAAGCGGCGCTTTTTCAGCTGGAAATCTGATGAATCAGAATCTAGTAAGCAACGATAGTACTAGTAGTGCTACTGGCTTGCCACTACCTTCTCCGGAACGCCCGTTTTTGGAGCGTAATCGCTCTGATACGTCGACTGGTCGCGCGCCTAGCGTCGATGCCGTTCGCGCTGACGAGACCAGCAGCATAGCAACTCTGAACGCCATGGGAGCAGGAAGTGGGGGAAGTACGTTTTTAGGAATGTTGCGGGCTGCGGTGTCTACGGCCGGATCCACTAGTAGTACGTCTCCGAGTCCCAACAATTCGCCACAGCTTAGACAAAAATCTTCTCCTGCTCAGAAACGCACTGCAGGAGAAACAGCGAAACAACAACGGGCTAATGAGATTGAGGTTGGCCTCTCCGACGGTTCGACTGTTGAAGAAGAATTGTGGTGCGTGTACAAACACCTAATGGGCAACAAACTGGAGTACAGCTGGATCAGCCTAAGATGGACCTGTCTCAAACTCCTCTTGACACTCGGAGTGGACGAAGATGGTAGTTCTTCGGTGGGTGAAAGTAAGACTGCTTCTTCATCTAAGAGTAAAACTGCGGTGAATATTGAAGGTAACTTGTCTGCGGATTCCACTCCCGCGATGCACAAGGTGGTGTCGTCGGAAGACATGATCAAGAACAAGAAACAAGGACAAGATGACTACAAGAGAAACATTAACTTCGCACAACAAGAACCTCGATTTCAACACCAAGAAGAACTACACCATCATCGCGAATTGCTGTACCGCAAAATCCGATCGCTAATCGTGAAACGGTTCCAAGACCTTCTCCGCTTTGCTCGCTGGAACGAGCGTAAATTACGAGACTACGACCCCTTCAATCCGAAGCAGGCGTCAGCAATTTTCCCTGACGATTTTGATGAATTCCAATTTCTCTATGCGTCGGAAATGCACAGGAAGCACATGGACGACTTCAAGTTTGCTCCTCCCGCAAGAAACAGCTCGTCTTCGATCATGTCTTCGAGTCCTCCTTCATCTTCAATAGAAGCAAATATGAATAATTGGAGTGCTCCTGCGGTCGTGTCTGCTGGTGGCACGAGAAGCATTTTACCACCGCCGACCATTATGGAAGTTGCCAGTAGTAGGGAGTGGAGCAGGGCCGAGAGTGAATGCTCTCCTCGTGAATTTGACGCCTTTGATCAGGGCGAGGACGAAGGTGGACAAGGAGGACAAGCATCCTCAAAAGTGGAATTCCAAATACGGGAACAAAAACAAGAAGCTCTCTCTTCATCTCTGACCCCGTCTTCAACCTCCTCGTCTGAGGAAGATGTGCCTAGTTTTGAGACAGGCATGCTGGCCCCCATCTCAAGACGATACTTGAATCGCAAGAGAAAGAACAAGAGTAGCGATAGCGCAACAGCAAGAGCTTCATCTTCTGCACGAAATAGTACTAAGGAGAAAGAAGACCACATCAATGTTGACAATAGAGATGCTGGAGGTACTATAACAAGAGCTATCTCTTCTCCGTCAAGCAGAAACCGGACTGCCTCACCAGATGAATGGGCGGGTGTTGATGGTGACAAGATATCCCATACCAATAGTTCGTCCTCGTCAACATCCTACCTCCTAGAAGCCAAACGGGAAGAAGCAAGTGCATTGATCACGCAATTACATAGCACACTACGCGCAGATATCGTCGGAATCGCGGCTGAATTGTTGCAGCCCAGATGTGATCAGCATCATGTTGTTATACATCATCTGGATCAACAAGGACAACAAGGACAACCTACTTATTGTTCCGGTGCCAGCAATGATCCATTCAACGCAAACAAGGAGATGAAATCTTCAACTTCGTCGTCTCTGGAAATGGCGAAAAAGTTATTCATACAAGATATTCAGCCTATGAAACATGATGAGCATACTTCTTTAGCAGCACTCAAACTCTACCTCAACTCTTTTGCATCTTCCCTGAACCCGTGATAATGTGATACCGACTCGGTGTGAAGAAATTTGTATTTTTTTCGATTAGATCATACATGGACTTGGAGATAGATATAACAATAACGTGAACATCAACATCTAGTTCAAGATGAACAGTACATCTAGTTCACCGTATTTTTTTCCAAAAAAGCATATTAGACGTCCCAATGAATTAGCATCACAAGCACAAAAAAGTAATGTCAAGAGGTAAAAACCAGTGAAAAAAACACACGGTGGCAAAAACTAGGTTTTAATGTGTACAAAATGCGTGGTCGGCCCAAGACAAGTAGTAGCAAATGAGGGTGAATGCCTAGGAATCTTCCCCAGCCCCACCTAGTACTAGTAGTACTTCAACCCGTCCTCGTCGTCTACACCTACAGCTATTTCTATGGCACTTACCCACTCTGTGATTTCCAGAAATGCTTGAAGTTTGTATTTTTACACTTTGCTGATACTGATACAGATACTGAAGAATGATCCGATTGCAGTAGTAGTACAAGACTTTCTACTTGTGAAGATGCTCAAGTACCTCATCCAGGTCCAGGATGGTGATAAAGGTTTGTCTACAGTGAGGTTCTTCAGCTTGCCAGGTAGTGTAGAAATACAATGCGCAGAAATGAAGACGAGGAAGCGATGTCGTGTAAGTATTGGTATAGCACAAGAACTCGTGTCGTCGTGTACAGGATTTTGATAGTCTTCGTCCCACCACCAGTACGAGTCTCCTATTCATGATTATCAGAATGAATAGATTATATGAAATAGAGCAAAGGTTTACAACATATTTATGGTGAACCGATCGAAATAGTTTTAAGTACGACATATGGTCTCCGTTTGATACCAACGCTCTACGCCTGACGCACTTTCGCCCACAGTAAGCGCTTACACTAAATCAAGATGACCAAGAAGACAGAGTCTTCTACCTACTTTGTAGAACATCACTAGTTATCTTCTTCCAGGTGCCTAAAGCTAAAACTAGATGTACTAGGAAGACGACAACAAGATAGTAAATGCATGGGGGAGAGGACGAGCATGCGCATTATCTGAAGAGACAATCAACTCATGTATTCTTGCAGTTTTGCTGAAGAGCTGACGTTGTATTTGAAAGGAATGGAAATCTTAGAAATGAATCACTTTTCAAAGAAATATGAGAAGAAGAACTTCTAGAAGAGAAGTCGAGTGCACCTCCTGCTTCTGGTCGAAGTTGTTTTTTCTAGTTTAGCACCTATGCGAGGCTCTTCAGCAGCTGCTATAGTCTGCCACATCGGATGGTAGGCCCCAACCTAACCTAACCTCGAAGTGCTGCGCGGTGATAAGTGTTCCAAATCACGATCCTCCATTTTGATGTCCGTGGTGGATCTATACGCGCTTCTGGTACTATAATAATAAATACTGACCCGGTGTTGACGACATCACGGCCTTTCAACTGTTGAATCAGGTATGACAGGATCGATTGTTTTTTTGAACTTTCATTCTTTCCATGTTCAACAAGACGAGTTCATTGTTTGTACCTAGACCTAGACGACCTCGTTGGCATTGGCTATAATTCTATCATCTTCGTCTTCTACAAGGGACTACTCCTGAGTGCCATCTCTCATGCTTTTTTAACCCTCTATGATCATCAACAACAGAGCACTATAAAAAGTGAACGAGTCATCTCGGTTCCAACACCTCTATGATCATCAATCTAGTTTTTCGGGGTCGCCAGCACTCAGTTTAGAAGGAGGTTTCACAACAACTACAAGAACTAGCTGCACACTAGTTGCACACTAGTAACACTACCAGCACTTACACTTCTTACCCTATAATCGAGGAACAGGAACAATCAAGATATAATTAATGATGTCCTCCTCGTCATCTTCTAGCACCGGGAAACGCCTGGTCGTCGCCGTCGATCTCGACGAGGTTTTAGGTCAGTTTTTGGCCGCGCTGCTACGTTGGCATAATGAGAAATATCCAAATCACGGTGGTCGAATGTATGATTCCACGACTCATTGAGAGTCCAAGTTATAGGGCGGGAATGTCGATCCTAAGTAAAAAGAAGGCAAAGGGGGAACGAGACATTCCCAGCTCGACGCTCTCAATGAGTGGGAGCATTCATCAACCATGGAAAGTGAGCGACTTTCACAGCTACCGCTTCTGCGACGTGTGGGGTGGTACGAATGAAGAAGCGACTGAGAAGGTCCATGCCTTCTTTGAGACGGACTACTTTAGAGAGGGTTTAGAGCCGGTCGCTGGTGCAAGGGAAGTGCTTTACAAATATGCTGAAAAGTACAAGGAAGCAGTCGAATTCCACATCGTGACGAGTAGACAGCACGTTATCTTACAGGAGACCCATAATTGGGTCAACCGGCATTTTGGAAAGGACTTGTTTGCCAGCATCCTAGCGGGAAATCACTGGACAAGAGAAAACACAGGTTATGAGAAACAGTATCAATCAAAAAGCTGTTGGAACTTATTGATACTCACGCTTCGCGAATAGTGAATGTTCATGTCATACTTAGCTAATAGCAGGATGCTGGTCGTGATTTTTCTTTTATTTGTGAATTATCTTTTTCTTTATCTACCCGTTGTTCGTTGTAGCAAAGCTCCTCCTTTGGAAGTCGTGTTGAAATTATCTGTGTACCGGCAGCAATTGTTTCCTTCCAGAAAGCAAAAGGTCTCAATATTGAATCGCTCCTCTCCTTCATTTTCCGGTCGTCGTGACAAGCACAAGCAGTGACTCAGTTCCAACGAACACAGGAAAGGCCAGGTCGAAGGCTGAAATGTGTCGTGAAATCGGTGCCAACGTGCTGATCGACGACTCGCCATCCTATATATCAGACTGTCTAGAAAACGCTGGGCCACAGTTTCGAAAAGCGGTTGTTTTTTTATGATGCAAGTTTTAGTTTGGAAAACATCTTGTTCGAAGGCTAGTACATGTTTATATATAAGTTAAGTAAGGTCTTGGTCTACTTCATCAACTTCAACAACTAAATATAATATATCATTTGATGTCATGATATCTCTCTCTCTCTCTGCATACTAGTATTAAGGCTACCAAGCGAGCATCCTCAACATCATCCCTGCCTCATTTTCAAGAGGGAAATGGATCCAGGGATGGTCTCAGGGATGCACGTTGGTAGCTCTAATAGTATCTCTGCTCACTTCCCCTTCTTCTAACACTCGGAGACTACGGTTGGAATACGAAGTTCGACATCGGACCTTTTGAGAAAGAAGGTAAAGCGGTTCGTTGTAGTGATTGGCAGGCTGTTGATCGAGTACTGGAGAGTATGCTAGGACGAGAGGAGAAGGCTGACTAATAAATGAGGCAACAATTATTTGCCTCAGTTGCTGCTGTCGCTATTCTTGGGTGAGGCGAAGCCGAAGACTAAAAACGACTAGGGCGATTCTTGTAGGCAGATGTTGCTCGGAGGGGCGGGGTAGGATTGATCAAGGGAAACTATTCTTGATGTCGCTAAACCGAGTATGAAGCATATTACTGTTGGGACATGCAGAGACATGCTCACTGTTTGCAGATGATTGAACCGTGCGCAATTCACTAGAGAGAATGCCGTGGTCCTCTTTTTCTGCCCGTTCTTGAAGTGTGCCTGTAGCGCATTCGCGCCTTACCGAAAGAGAGCCACAAGAGCGACTTTTCTATGATCGTACCGATCTGCAAAACTGCTTATCCTGAAGTCGGATGAAAGCTCAAGTTCAACACCTGCTGTAGATGCAAGATGATATTGACGTTGATCCTTCATGCATCACCGAGATCTGTATTGAATATAAATAGTAAGTACCAATCATATACATATCGTTTTAAAAAATGGGTTGTTCTTGTAGTTGCTATTTTTACCTTAAACGAGAATACTGGAACAACATTTCTCGTACCCGCGGCTAGCTCTAACTCTACTTGGTAAGTACTTTGACAGTACTGTACACCGGCCACTGCTAGTATCACAACCCCACAATTAATCAACAAACTCCCCTCCCCCCAAATGCAAACTTTTGACCTACCCCTGGATTGGCTTGTACTGCAAACCACGTTCACATTCTAACGAAAGAGAAATTGAATAAGCGCGTTTGAGTTTTCAAATTTGTTTTGCCAATCGATCTTGCCTGTACGTGTTCGTTCACGACGGACTTACTTTCTTTTTTAAACCATCAGCATACGTTCATAGGACAACCCAATTTACACCACCTTAGGGAACAAAACAAAATGACCTCTCAGCTGTCTCGTCTAGTCACTCGGTGACTTAAACTCTGCGACCTAGACTAGTGTTCTTCTGGCTCGATGATATACTTTTTTGTTTGAAAAGCTGTAATGACTTGGTCTTCTTCGGTTCAAAACCACACTATTTTATAAACGAGTAATATGCTTAATAGTACAGAAGATTCAACTTCAGCTTCAAGCTCAACAAAGAATTTGCATAACAAACAAGGACGAGGATGCTTCTGTCGTGGTTATGGTGGACCACGGCTCTCTTCGCGGCTCTCCATGGAGAAGCTAATTTCGGGGTCGGAGCCACGCGCAGCCGCTTCCTTGCCTGAGTGAATGCCATCGTAGAGAACAACAAGGGTGGTGTTGGTGATATGAATAAAGCAGTCGCTGGACGTTGGCACCTTGAACTACAAGGCTGGCAAGGTGCAGCACTGCTGGGAACAGGATGCAGCTTGCCAAGCTTTCCTGCACGACGTCTTGGGATTCGAGAAGGTCTTTCGAAACCCGTTCTTCGCATCCCGTCTCCGTCGCAATCGCTGGCGCTTCTGGTGGACACGACCCACTTCCACAGGAGGAAAGTGAAAGTATTTCGAAACCCGTTCTTCGCATCCCGTTATGAGATAAACAGCGCCCAATGCTGACGGAAAACGTAGAGAAGCTCTTAGAGGTGCTCGATTCCACGGAAGAAGTCGCCTACTTTGTTCCGGAGCTGTAAAGAAGGAGTAGTTACATTCTTTACCCACACTGCGTCCCCTCGCGTCAAACTACACCTCGAGAACAGGTAAATGAATGAATGAATGAATGAGTGTTCGTTTACCTCCCTTCATCAGACGAGTGGAGGTTTGACCGAAATGAAGAACAGCATAAGAATATGTACTAATATCTGCTTTATGGACTCAATTAAAACAGGTTGCTCTTACGGCATTGAATTATCAGAATCTGATCCCTTTGCGCTTGCGTTCGACTCTGTACTGAATTTCGGTGAAAATGTGTCCATGAGAGATTGGATGACAGTTCACGAGTAAGGAGAACTGTTTGTTATGTGCTGACGAGTGACAGTTCATGTTACGGCCTTCTGTTTCGAGTGTAAATTAGTGTTCTTGCGATCTGTCTTTCTTCTCTGCTGAGTTGTGGCATCGATGGTAGCAGAGTCGTAGCTGATCTGTCACTCTTTTTCTCTGTTGAGCAGTTGGTATGTCTTCGTTCGTTGGGAGTTTGGCTGTCTGTCGTGTGATCGCGTCTGTCCTGATCGCTTTGGCTTGACATCCTTTTGAAGCTTAGTTGGAGTTGAACGAGGGTGAGTACGAGTGAAGGAACTGGTTCTTCGTATTTCTGCTTGGCCTTCTGCGTACGGGGGTTTTTGGGCTCTTAGGAAGTTGCCCGGCCATCTCCTGATGGCCAGGTTGTTGGGGTTGGATGCGATCTCCAATAGGGTTAGGTATGGTGAACCGGTACCCTTGTTCTTACCGAACTCGGCGGCCTATTGGAGGTGCGAGCACCCACCCTTCTCCAGCGCTCTTCCACCTTTGGAGCCTGGGGAATGGGACGCCAAGGGCGAAAGCATCCTGCTGGAGCATAATATGTATTTGTTATCAATTCATTTAGATATGCTAAATCTAAAAACCCCTGTGCGAGTACGTCATTGCCTTTCTTACGACTAGTTCCACACGAGTGTTGAGGGTGAGAGCAGCGTCCTTAGTTCTAAGCTTCTAGGAGGGACGAAAACTGTGAATAAAAAGCTGGAGAGACGAAAGATTATTTTTCATGCTTCTAGGAGTAGGAGAGACGAAAACAGTGATTAATTGACAGCCTTACTTTCTTCATTCACGCTCCTAGGAAAGACGCATCTAACTTTGACAGCCCACTTGTTTTCTTGTTTTGCAAATGAATATTGCCAAAGACGCTATTCTAAAATAAAGGCGTAGATAAAGTTTAAAGACTAAAATTAAAAAGCACTAAAGCCTCCGCGTGGAGCTGTAGAGAAGCAGTTCCTAACTTCTTTACCCACACTGCGTCCCCCCCGTCAAACTACACCTCGAGAGCAGGTAGGTGAGTGAATGATTGGGTGGCTGCATTAATAATTGATTGCAACGAGCGGCCGAGTGCACGTCAAATGCCATACGTTTACGTGAAGAAGGGCAAGCTCTCTATATCAATTCTACACAATAGATTGCGCGACTTCTAATATATAGCTGATTGCAACATGAAAGACTTCTAAATTAGAATTTCTAATACATATGTTGAAAATATGTATAGTCAATATCAAAAACAGACTACATTTATTCTGATGGTCTACAGGGACTTTTTTGTGACTGAAGTAGTCAAGAACGAACAGTTTGGGTATTTTGTTGTTTTGATTTCTTTTATTCAAAGCAAAGAAGCACAAGGAAGCACAGATAAACTGACGTCGCTAAAAAGTAAGTCCTTTATTGTGGAGCTGGAAGCTGATGGTAGTTTGTTCTGTTTAAGTAAGAAGATTGATTGATGGTTATAGAAGTTTGGTTTTCTTTTATACAGCCCGAATCTTTCCGGTGAGTATGATTTGATTGACATAAATTCAGATTGGATTCCGTTCAACGTCGTACAGATAGAAATAAGTACACTTAGCTAAGAATGTTGGAACCTCCTTTGGCAGAAATGTCGGCAGAGAGTAATCAAGACCTAGTAGAAGCCAGCGATCTTCCCAGCACGCAGGTTCGCCTGTGTGTCCGCAATGGCCTTTCTGGGGAGGAGCTGGCATTAGAGAAATCAGTGTGGGATATGCGAACGACTACATTGAAAGACGTTCGCGAGGCGATAGCTAGCGCGATCCGAGCTGCGCGACCAAAAAAGTGCTCGAAGGCTAATGAAAGTGGCGGCCTCGAGGGTTCTAGAGCAGGAGGTGAAAAATTTCGCTGCTTTTGGGAACAAATTGCATTGATGAGCGTCGACGACGAACGAATCACTGCAGAGGGTGAGGAGACGTTTCTCATCGATCAGCTTGAAGGCAATATTGCTAAACGAGACCAGGTTGAAAACTATAAGGATGATGTGGAGCAAGATCTTCAGGTTGAAAACGACAAGAGCGCTGTGGAAATGGAACAAAGCGAGCAAAATCGTGCCCAGCTAGAAGATCAAGATGAACGTACTAGAAGAGGACACGAACCGGAGCCAAATGATGAAGGTGAGCCTGTAGCTATACCAGACGAAGACGAAATAGAAGGTGAAGAACGTCGTGAAGGTCAAGATGATGATGAACGCGGCGAAGAGCGTAAAGGTAAACATAATGGGCGCGGAGCTGAAGAAGGCGAAAGAGATGAAGGCGAATACGAACAAGCGAAGACGCAGACTCGGTTGCGGGTCGTTGTTATCGAGTATTATTTCCGGGAAAGGTGGAAGGCTTTTGAGTCTCGAGAAGAATTGGATGAAGCTTTAGCCGCCTACCTACAATTTTGGAAGGATTGCGATTGTGATCAGATAGATTCTGACTGTATTGATCGTTATCGAGATCGATGGGAAAAGCATATTGGACCGGGAACAAAATTGGCAAAGTATGGCCCCCTTCGCATCTGGGACTTGTCCAATATCGACGATCTCAGTTATCTGTTTGCCAGACACGACCGCTTGCGATTCAACCTCGACATCAGTTTAAGGCCCAAAGTGTTTCACTTCCAAGAGTCATTTTGCTGAGTTTCCTTCTCAGGATTCTGAGAAAATGAGACGAAGAAGTGAACGGCTTTGAGCTCTAATGAGTGGCTGGGACGTCTCTGGGGCAAAAAGAATGCGTTACATGTTCAAGCGCTGCTGCGACTTCGACCAGGATATTTCCGCATGGGACGTCAGTCGCGTCCTGGATATGGAGGGACTCTTCCTGTCCGCGTGTAGCTTCAATTTAAGGAAAATTATAGGAAGCGCTCTCACCTGTTCAGTATAAATACGTGCACCATAAGCGGGCCCAACAGGGGCCCGCCGGTGCCCGACGCTGAGTAGTAGACAGATAAGAAAACCAAAGAAGACGCCCCAGCTTGTCACGCGAAGCCAGCGCGTCGGCCGCATTATAGCTAAGCAAGCAAGCTGCATAAAAGTAGGCGAGCGGCCTAGCGATAACTCGGGGAGCCATAGCCGGCGACTTAGCGTAGCAGGCTGAGTCTTGCAAGCCGAAGCCACCCACCCTACTGCGATATAGAGGCGGTCACTGCTAGCGTAGAGGCAGCAGGAACAGCCTGCGCGCCAGCTAGTTTGGAAGCTATAGCCCCGGTAGCTTAGAAGCCATAGCCAAGGGGCAGGGGCGCTAAAGCTAGCGAGCCCACAAACCTAGCCGAGGAGCCATAGCCAGGCACAAGCAAGCTAACCCGGGGCTTGTAGCTAAGCAGCCTAGGAAGATACCCAGTCGCCAGCTAGCTCAATTGAAACCCACGCCACTGGAGCCAGTCAGCTTAAGCCACCTTGGAATCCAGGGCCGGGGGGTGGTAGCTTCGACTTCGAAGCGATAGCAAGCTACCACCCAGCCAGTACATAGATAGGGCGCCAGCCAGACTAGAGCAGACTCCCAAGCCAGCTAGCTCGGAAGCCATAGCCAGCGAGCTCGGAAAGCATAGCCAGAGAGTTTAGAAGCTGGAGCTGGCTAGCCCAGAAGCCCCAGCCGACTAGCTTAAAATAAAAGCCAAGGCCAGCTAGCTTAGAGCCCGTAGGTAGGTTCCTAGGCTGGGAGCCATAGCCGCTAGTCGAGAAGCCATGGGCATCGGCAGCGAGCTTAAAGCCCATGGCCGGCTAGCTTAGAGGACATGGCCAGCTAGCTCAAGAGGCTTGGGCAGCTTGCGGGCTTTCTTTCTTCGAAGCCAATGGATTCCATGCCCAGCCAGCTTTCTTAGAAGCTATGGCAGCTTAAGAGCCATGGCTAGCCAGCTCAGAGGCCCTGCTTGGGAGGCTAGCTGGCTCAGAGGCCAAGCGTTGGCCAGCTGGCAACCACGGGAGCTGTCTCTGGGCAGCTTGCTACCTTATAAATATTACTTAGAAGCCAATGGATGCCATGGCTTGCTAGCTTAGTAGAAGCCGTGGCTTGCTAGCGTAGAGGTAGAAGCCATGGCCAGCTGCTAGCTTAGAAGCCATGGCCAGCCAGCTCAGAACTCAGAAGCTTTGGGCGGCTAGCTTAGAAGCCCTGGCCAGTTAGCTCAGAACAGAAGTAGCAGCTGCCTTCTTTAGGGGGGGCTATAGTAGCCAACTTCTATCGCAGGTCTCTCCTTACGGGTGGCATACCTTTAAATATGGAACCTCCCTCAAGGGATTTCTTCAAGAAGCCACTGCCACCCTCAAGGAAATCGAGAAAAGTGCTGAACGATATAAGTAAAAGTACTGATAAATATTACATATTTGTACAGCTACTCCATTACTTTTGATTTCATATTATGATCTTCACTAAACGACTCTGGCATTGCCCATGGCTCTTGTGTCATGTTATTTCTAAACAACAAGATGCGAAGGGGTGATAACATAATCTGTTGTGACTAGCGCACGTGAGTAGCTGCGTCTTCTAGTACAGAAGCCTACCAATTTCTTGCATTACATCAAGTTGTGCACACGGTTACTTCATCAATAGGTGAGTATTAGTTGTAGTTGTAGTTGTTGTAGTTTCAAACTAAGTCGTGGACTTGGTTTTTTAGTCTGCTTTAGTGAATAGGAATAGGAACACTAAGCTATTAAACGCTACTAGTTTGTTGAGCCTCCTACTTCAATGACTATGAGGAGGGATATGTCGTGTACTAAATTAATCTAATATGAGTCCTCCTGGCTCCTGCTCATGATCTTCTAATCACTAGGGATCTTGGCAACTGGAATGTTAGCATGGTGCGTAACATGTCGTACACATTTGCCATTGCGTCGCGGTTTTGCGGTTGGGGGCTTAGACACTGGAACGTTGGAAAAGTCGAGACGATGGCGCGTATGTTTGCCTTTGCCAGGTCGTTTAACGGGGATATCGGCACTTGGAACACTGAGAGCTTGGAGAACATGAATCACATGTTTTGCGGCGCGGAAGCGTTTAATCAACCGATTGGCGGCTGGAATGTCAGCAAAGTCGTCTGCATGAGTGGCCTCTTCCACAAGGCGTATGCCTTTAACCAACCGCTGAATGGAAGCCTTGCCCTTGCCGTGCGTTCGTATGATTGGCCTCTTCCATCAGGCGCATGGTGCCGTAAACCAACCGCTGAGTTTAAGCCTTGCCCTTGCCGTACTTCATCTATCTTAGAAGGCGTATAGACTCTTTGGAGGACACGGGCGCGATTTGTTCAAGGTTGTCAATGGCAAACGTGGCCAAAGATAGCTACGCTTCAAGATGAATTTCGGTAAGGTCTAATGAATGACTGGGACATGGGTTGCGTGCGGGACTTGCGCTACTGTTTTGCTCAAGGAAAGTGCTTCAGCCAGCCGCTAGCCGAGTTGGACCTGAATGCCGTGAAAGACGTGCCGCAGCGCAGATGTTCTTTGGCGCTGAAAAATTTAATCAGCCTCTTGACGTTGACACCTGGAAGTGGAACGTGTCTCGCGTGAAATTTTTCGCAGAACTCTCCGGCGACGCAAAGTCATTTAATCTTAAGGCCCAAAAAAATTCATTTCCAGGTGTCATCTTTCTTTGTTTCCTCCTCCTTGGAATTCTGAAAAAATAGGCTTAAGAAATGAACTGTTTTGAGCTCTAATAATCAATCGCTAAAGTCGTGGGACGTTTTTTCAGCCCGTAACATGCGTTACATGTTCGCCGGCGCTAATAGCTTCGACTCCTCCTCCATTCTGCAGTGGGAGCTGGGCAAGATAGAAGTCAAAAAACTGGACTCGATCTTCACGGACGAGGAAAAACTGATCCAAACGCTATCTGCCTGGAGATTCCCAGACCTGTCGAAATTCTTAGAAAAAACGCGCAGACGCTGATCGAGTGGGGATCGATTCAAGAGAGACCCAAAGAACGGAAGAGGATAAACATGAACAACTCCTGGATGAAAAAGGGGATCAAGATGAGCAAGAAACTAAAACTAATATAGGTCTTCTAGGTGGGAAAGAAATAGAAGTAGACGAGCAAACAGTGCCAGGTGGTCTAACGCAGCTGGAAGTCGACGATCAGTCAATAGAGGTAGAAGAACGACGACTCGTCGACGCTAAGTGCGACGCATTAATACCTGGCTTATATCTTTTTGATGTGCTCAACACCTACAAAAAATAGCGTTAGGCTTAGTGGTAGTTGTATCTACAAGAGGACATGTGGCCCCCTTCATGTCCAAGTACATCAATCCGGGTCAGCTAGGACATGATCTCTCAACGATACACCTCACATATGCACTCGAAGGTCGTGATGTAGAAGTTCTCCAGAAAAACTTAGCGCTCAGGCTCGACAGGTTTAGGTGGTTCAAAAAACCCTGATGATTGTGCCCATGCTCAGTGTGCCTATTTAGTTCGCTTTTACTCTGATGAGAAGTGGTCGTGGAATAGGTAGAAGTGTTGCATGTCAAGGAGAATGTTGAGATGCACAGACATGATCAAGTGCGGCTTTGAGTTCTTATTTTTTTAGATGGATCTACCTAGTTGTATCGAAATGCATTTTATAGGATATCATAGGATGCGGATGAAGTACAACAGGTTGAGCTTGAATATGGATCGATGTGTTTCTCAGAAAAAAACTTTCACAAACCACCGCGTTGCTCGTTTACCTCCCTTCATCAGACGAGTGGAGGTCTGACCGAAATATAGAACAGCATAAGAATATGTACTAGTATCTGCTTTTTTCACCATGAACTCGATTAACGCAGGTTGCTCTTGCGGGGAAAATGTGCCCATGAGAGCAGATTGGGTGACAGTTCACGAGCAAGGAGGACTGTTGTGATGTGCTGACGAGTGATAGTTCATGTTACGGCCTTCCGCTTCGAGTGTAAATTAGTGCTCTTGATGATGCGATCTGTCTTTCTTCTCTGCTGAGTTGTGGCATCGATGGTAGTTGAGTCGTAGTTGATCTGTCACTCTTTTTCTCTGTTTAGCAGTTGGTATGTCAATGTCTTCGTGCGTTGAGAGTTTGGCTGTCTGTCGTGTTATCGCGTCTGTCCTGATCGCTTTGGCTTGACATTCCTATTGGGCTTAGTTAGAGTTGAACGAGGGTGAGTACGAATGAAGGAACTGATTCTTCTTATTTCTGCTTGGCCTACTCCTGCGTGAGGGGGGTTTTGGGCTCTTAGGAAGTTGCCCGGCCATCTCCTGATGGCCAGGTTGGCGGGGTTGGATGCGATCTCCAATAGGGTTAGGTATGGTGAACCGGTACCCTTGTTCTTACTGAACTCGGTGGCCTATTGGAGGTGCGAGCATCCACCCCTCCCAGCGCTCTTCCACCTTTGGAGCCTGGGGAATACGACGCCAAGCGCGAAAGCATCCTGTTGGAGTATTTATTATTAATTCATTTAGATTTTCCACACGAGTGCTGAGGGTGAGAGCAGAGTCCTTAGTTTTAAGCTTCTACTTCTAGGAGAGACGAAAACTGTGATTGAAAAGCTGGAGAGGCGAAAAATTATCTTTCATGCTTCTAGGAGTGGGAGAGACGAAAACAGTGATTAATTGACAGCCTTACTTTCTTCATTCCCGCTCCTAGGATGGACGCATCTAACTTTCACAGCCCACTTGTTTCCTTGTTTTGCAAATGAATATTTATAAAGACTCTATTCTAAAATAAAAGCGTACATAGAGTTTAAAGACTAAAACTAAAAAGCACTAAAGCCTCCGCGTGGAGCTGTAGAGAAGCAGTAACTAAATTCTTTACCCACACTGCGTCCCCTCCCGTCAAACTTCACCTCGTCAGACTTCTAAATTAGAATTTCTAATACATTTATGTTGAAAATATAAATAGTCAATATCAAAAACAGACTACATGCATTCTGATGGTCTACAGGGACTTTTTTTGACCGAAGTAGTCAAGAACGAACAGTTTGGGTTTTTTGTTGTTTTGATTTATTTTATTCAAAGCGCTAGAAGCACAAGGAAGCACAGACTCAGATAACCTGACGTCGCTAAAAAGTAAGTCCTTTATTGTGGAGCTGGAAGCTAATGGTAGTTTGTTCTGTTTAAATAAGAAGATTGATTGATGGTTAATATAGAAGTTTGGTTTTCTTTTATACAGCCCGAATCTTTCCTGTGAGTGTGATTTGATTGACATAAATTGAGATTGGATTCCGTTCAACGTCGTACAGATAGCAATACATTTAGCTAAGAATGTTGGAGCCTCCTTTGGCAGAAATGTCGGCAGAGAGTAAGCAAGACCGAGTAGAAGCCAGTGATCTTTTCAGCGCGCAGGTTCGTCTCTGTGTTCGCAATGGCCTTTCTGGTGAGGAGCTGGCATTAGAGAAATCAGTGTGGAATATGCGAACGACTACATTGAAAGACGTTCGCGAGGCGATAGCTAGGCTCTCTATATCAGTTCTACACAAGTGAAGAAGAGCAGGCTCTCTATATCAGTTCTACACAATAGACTGCGCGACTCCTAATACATAGTTGATTGCAACCAGAAAGACTTCTAATACATAGCGCTAGTCGTTTTTGTTGTTGTCAGCACTACGTAACTACGTCCTCGACGTCTTGTTGTCACATCCGCATATGCTTGCTCGAGCAATTTCCTCAATGTTGAAAATATGAATGGTCAATATCAAAAACAAACTACATTTATTCTGATGGTCATGTTGGTCTACAGGGACTTTTTTTGACCGAAGTAGTCAAGAACGAACAGTTTGGGTTTTTTGTTGTTTTGATTTATTTTATTCAAAGCAGTAGAAGCACAAGCACAGATAACCTGACGTCGCTAAAATAAAAGTAAGTCCTTTATTGTGGAACTGGAAGCTAATGGTAGTTTGTTCTGTTTAGATAAGAAGACTGATTGATGGTTGTAGCTTGGTTTTCTTTTATACAGCCCAAATCTTTCCTGTGAGTGTGAATTGATTGACATTGAGAGTGCTCGGATTCCGTTCATACATCAACGTCGTACAGATGGAAATACACTTAGCTAAGAATGTTGGAACCTCCTTTGGCAGAAATGTCGGCAGAGAGTAATCAAGACCGAGTAGAAGCCAGCGATCTTCCCAGCACGCAGGTTCGCCTGTGTGTCCGCAATGGCCTTTCTGGGGAGGAGCTGGCATTAGAGAAATCAGTGTGGGATATGCGAGCGACTACATTGAAAGACGTTCGCGAGGCGATAGCTAGCGCGATCCGAGCTGCGCGATCAGAGAGGTGCTCGAGGGCTAATGAAACTGGCGGTCTCGAGGGTTCTAGAGCAGGAGGTGAAGACTTTCGCTGCTTTTGGGAACAAATTGTATTGATGAGCGTCGACGACGAACGAAACACTGCAGAGGGTGAGGAGACGTTTCTCATCGATCAGCTTGAAGGCAATATTGCTAAACGAGATCAGGCTGAAAACGATCCGGATGATGTGGAGCAAGATCTTCAGGTTGAAAACGACAAGAGCGTTGTGGAAATGGAACAAAGAGGGCAAAATCATGACCAGCTAGAAGATCCAGATGAACGTACTAGAAGAGGACACGAACCGGAACCAAATGATGAAGGTGAGCCTGTAGCTACACTAAATGAGGATGAAACGCTAGAAGGTGAAGAACGTCGTGAAGGTCAAGATGATGATGAACGCGGCGAAGAGCGGAAAGGCAAACATCATGGGCGCGGAGCTAAAGAAGGCGAAAGAGAAGGCGAACACGAACAAGGGTCGACCCAGACTCGGTTGCGGATCGTTGTTATCGAGTACTACTTCCGGGAAAAGTGGAAGGCTTTTGAGTCTCGAAAAGAATTGGCTGAAGCTTTAGCCGCCTACCTACAATTTTGGAAGGATTGCAATTGCAAACGGATAGATTCTGACTGTATTGATCGTTATCGAGATCGATGGGAAAAGCATATTGGACCGGGAACAAAATTGGCAAAGTATGGCCCCCTTCGCATCTGGGACTTGTCCAAGATCGACGATCTCAGTTATCTGTTTGCCAGACACGACCGCTTGCGATTCAACCTCGACATCAGTTTAAGGCCCAAATTGTTTCACTTCCAAGAGCCATTTTGCTGAGTTTCCTTCTCAGGATTCTGAGAAAATGAGACGAAGAAGGGAATGGCCTTGCGCTCTAATGAGTGGCTGGGACGTCTCTGGGGCAAAAAGTATGCGTTACATGTTCAAGTGCTGTCGCGACTTCGATCAAGATATTTCCGCATGGGACATCAGTCGCGTCCTGGATATGGAGGGGCTCTTCAAGTACGCGTCGAGCTTCAATTTAAGGAATAGGAAGCGCTCTCACCTGTTCACTATAAATACGTGCCCCATACGCGGGCCCAACAGGGGCCCGCCGGTGCCCGGGGCTGAGTAGTAGACAGATAAGAAAACCAAAGAAGACGCCCCAGCTTGTCACGCGAAGCCAGCGCGTCGGGCGCATTACAGCTAAGCAAGCAAGCTGCATAAAAGTAGGCGAGCGGCCTAGCGATAACTCGGGAAGCCATAGCTGGCGACTTAGCGTAGCAGGCTGAGCCCTGCAAGCCAAAGCCACCCACCTTACTGCGACATAGAGGTGGTCACTGCTAGCGTAGAGGCAGCAGGAGCAGCCTGCGCGTCAGCTAGTTTGGAAGCGATAGCCCCGGTAGCTTAGAAGCCATAGCCAAGGAGCAGGGGGGCTAAAGCTAGCGAGCTCACAAACCTAGCCGAGAAGCCATAGCCAGGCAGAAGCCAGCGAGCTAGGGGCCTGTAGCTAAGCAGCCTAGGATACCCAGTAGCCAGCTAGCTTCGGAGCTGCAGTCTGTTCGCTTCGAAGCAAGGCGCAGCCAGCTAGCTCAATTGGAACCCACGCCACTGGACCCAGTCGGCTTAAGCCACCTTGGAAGTCAGGGCCGGCGCGTGGGTGGTAGCTTCGATTTCGAAGCGATAGCAAGCTACCACCTAGCCAGAACATGGATAGGTAGCCAGCCAGATTAGAGCTGATTCCCAAGCCATAGTCAGCGAGCTCGGAAAGCATAGCCAGAGAGCTTAGAAGCTGGAGCCGGCTAGCCCAGAAGCTCCAGCCGACGGACTAGCTTAAAAGCCAAAGCCAGCTAGCTTCGAGCTCGTAGATTCCTAGGCTGGGAGCCATAGCCGCTAGTCGAGAAGCCATGGGCATCGGCAGCGAGCTTAAAGCCCATGGCTGTCTAGCTTGGAGGCCATGGCCAGCTAGCTCAGAAGGCTTGGGCAGCTTGCGGGCTTTCTTTCTTAGAAGCTAATGGATTCCATGTCCAGCCAGCTTTCTTAGAAGCTATGTATCTCAGCTTAGGAGCCATGGCTAGCCAGCCCAGAGGCCTTGCTTGGGAGGCTAGCTGGCTCATAGGCCAAGCGCTGGCCAGCTAGCAGCCGCGGGAGCTGTCTCTGGGCAGCTTGCTACCTTATAACAGAGTAGTTTATCGCACGCATGGTGCATGGAGTGCATGGAGCGCAGAGCTTTAAGGGGCGCAAGAAGCTCCCCCTTTAGCTCCATGCTACTCCATGTGGTCCATGCACTCCATGCCGTGCGAGCTTTGAAGCCTTATCAGTTGTCTGTTATAAATATTACTTAGAAGTCAATGGATGCCATGGCTTGCTAGCTTAGTAGAAGCCGTGGCTTGCTAGCGTAGAGGTAGAAGCCATGGCCAGCTGCTAGCTTAGAAGCGATGGCCAGCCAGCTCAGAAGTCAGAAGATTTGGGCGGCTAGCTTAGAAGCCATGGCCAGTTAGCTCAGAACAGAAGTAGTAGCTGCTTTCTTAAGGGGAGGGCTATAGTAGCCAACTTCTATCACAGGGCTCTCCTTACGGGTGGCATACCTTGAAGGAACCTCCCTCAAGGGATTTCTTGAAGAAGCCACTGCCACCCTCAAGGAAATCGAGAGAAGTGCTGAACGATATAAGTAAAAGCATTGATAAATATTAGTATATATTTGTACAGCTACTCCATTACTTTTGATTTCATATTATGATCACTACACGACTCTCACTCTGGCATTGCCCATGGTTCTTGTGTCATGTTATTTCTAAACAACAAGATGCGAAGGGGTGGTAACATAATCTGTTGTGACTAGCGCACATGAGTAGCTGCGTCTTCTAGTACAGAAGCCTACCAATTTCTTACATTACAGCAAGTTGCGCACACAGTTACTTCAATAGGTGAGTATTAGTTGTTGTTGTAGTTGTTGTAGTTTCAAACTAAGCCGTGGACATGGTTTTTTAGTCTGCTTTAGTGAAGAGGAATAGGAATACAAAGCTATTAAACGCTACTAGTTTGTTGAGCCTCCTACTTCAATGACTATGAGGAGGGATATGGCGTGTACTAAATTAATCTAATATGAGTCCTCCTGGCTCCTGCTCATGATCTTCTAATCACTAGGGATCTTGGCAACTGGAATGTCAGCATGGTGCGTAACATGTCGTACACTTTTCAGCATGCGTTGCGGTTTTGCGGTTGGGGGCTTAGAGACTGGAACGTTGGAGAAGTCGAGGAGATGGAGCGTATGTTTGCCAATGCGAAGTCGTTTAACGAGGACATCGGCACTTGGAACACTGAGAGCTTGGAGAACATGAGTCGCATGTTTTGCGGCGCGGAAGCGTTTAATCAACCGATTGGCGGCTGGAATGTCAGCAAAGTCGTCCGCATGGATGGCCTCTTCTACAGCGCGACCGCGTTTAATCAACCGATTGGCGGCTGGAATGTCAGCAAAGTCGTCCGCATGGATGGCCTCTTCTGCGGCGCGTATGCCTTTAACCAACCGCTGAATTTATGCCTTGCCCTTGCCGTACTTCATCTACTTATCTTATAAGACATATAGACTCTTGGGAGGACACGGACACGATTTTTTCAAGGTTAATGACACACGTGGCCAAAGTCAAAGATAGCTACGCTTTGAGATGAGTTTCGGTAAGGTCTAATGAATGACTGGGACACGAGGAGCGTGCGGGACTTGAGCAACTGTTTTGCTCAAGCAAAGTGCTTCAACCAGCCGCTAGCCGAGTGGGACCTGAGTGCCGTGAAAGACGTGCGGCAGATGTTCTTTGGCGCTGAAGAATTTAGTCAGCCTCTTGATAAATGGAACGTGTCTCGCGTGAAATTTTTCGCAGAACTCTTCCGCGACGCAACGTCATTTAATCTTAAGGCTCAAAATAATTCATTTCCAGGCGCCCTCTTTCTTTGTTTCATCCTTCTTGGAATTCTGAAAAATAGGCTGAAGAAATGAACTGTTTTGAGCTCTAACAATCAGTCGCTAAAGTCGTGGGACGTTTTTTCAGCCCGTGACATGCGTTACATGTTCGCCGGCGCTAATAGCTTCGACCCCTCCTCCATTCTACAGTGGGAGCTGGGCAAGATAGAAGTCAAAAAACTGGAATCGATCTTCACGGACGAGGCAAAACTGATCCAAACGCTATCTGCCTGGGGATTCCAAGACCTGTCGAAACTCCTAGAAAAAATAACGAGCAAACGCTGATCGAGTGGGGAATCAAGAGAGACCCAAAGAACGGAAGAGGATGAACTTAAACAGCTCCTAGATGACAAAGGGGATAAAGATGAGCAAGAAACTAAAACTAGTATAGGTCTTCTAGAAGGAAAAGAAATAGAAGTAGACGAGCAAAGTAGAGTGCCAGGTGGTCTAACGCAGCTGGAAGTCGACGATCGGCCAATAGAGGTAGAAGAGCGACGACTCGTCGACGCTAAGTGCGACGCATTAATACCTGCCTTATTTTTTTTTTTTGTGCTCAACACCTATAAAAGATAGCGTTAGGCTTCGTGGTAGTTATATCTACAAGAGGACATGTGGCCCACTTCATGTCCGAGTACATCAATCCGGGACAGCTAGGACATCTCTCTATAATCAATACCCCTGCTCACATATCATGCACTCAAAGGTCGTGATGTAGAAGTTCTCCGCAAAAGCTTAGCGCTCAGGCTCGACTGATTTAAGTAGGTGGTTCAAAAAACCCTGATGATTGTGATCAAGTGCGACTTTGAGTTCTTATTTTTTGAGATGGGCCTAGTTGTATCCGTATCGAAATGGATTTTATAGGACATCATAGCTGCATGTGGATGTACAACAGGTTGAGCTTGAATGTGGGTCGATGTGTTTCTCAGAAAAAAACTTTCACAAACTACCACATTGTGGATTGATGTGTTTCTCAGAAAAAAACTTTCACAAACTACCACGTTGTTCGATCGTTTATTTCCCTTCATCAGACGAGTGAAGCTGGAGGTCTGACCGAAATGAAGAACATTATAAGAAAAAGAACGAGAAAAGGAATAACAGAATGACTCAACATCGTACTAAATAAAGTGCTGCTGGTGCTGGTGGTGGTCAAAAAAATATCTAATACAGCAACAGAATCAAATTCAAAAGAGATTGAGATTGATCCTCATCGGTCGGCTATACGAGGACAATGTCAAATTTTTCCTAGTACTTCTTTACCTTTACGATGATGTCTCTGCATGAGAATACGTGTGCGTACAAATTCAGACTCAACACAAGAATAAAAAGTAAAAGAGTCAATAATTGCTCACTCTCCTCCATCTCCTGTGAGTTGTTGGTATGTTTTTTTTGTGAGTGCTGGTCCCTATCTATTACAACTAGTAAAAGAAGTTCTGTTAAGTTATAGCCAATATACAAAGTAGCTGGCAGTTTGTAGATCATGTAGTCATCAAATATATCAATGAACAGGCTGGCGGGACCTAGAAGTTACAGGATGGTGACGTCATCGTAGAAGCCACCGCTTTCTTCATGAACATGTTTGGAGAGCACGAGCGTGGTGTCCTGGAATGCTCATTACCGATCTTTAGTTTGAGCTTCGGAGTTAGCCAGTACCATATTGTCACCAGCATGAAATATATGTTTAACTACTTGTTGTTGTAACCGCAACGCGTGTTAATACTAGTACCCGAAGGAAGAGTACGCTGAAACAGGAGCTGATGTACTTCGTCACAAGCGATCGGGCTTGGCTGATCGAAGATTCCATGAACACGAACGTCAAGGACAAATAAAAAATTCGTCATCCTTCGCAGGACAACTTCGCGGAGAAGGCGCAACTTCGTCTTCATCAACACCACTTGAAGTCTCACCTCCTCTCCGTCATCAACAGGACTTGAACTAGAAAAAGCGAGCCCCTAGGACGCTAGCACGATGAACGCCATCATTGACGCTGCGATAGGCGAACAGCCTCCGGTAACAAGGGCTTACGTCTTTTTATCCTCAGCCTTAATTAAGGGTTCCCAGCACATTGCATCCTTCACTAAACACATCCCTGACTCTTTTCCAGAAGGAAATATGTCAGGAATGGTCTGAGGAATGTAATTCCGTAACCTCTAACGTAATGGCCGCATGCTCCTTGGAGCTGCTCTCCCCCTTCCAGCTTTATCTCAATTGGCACCTAGTCCTCCAAGAGTTCCAGATCTGGCGACTTTTCACCTGTTTTCTGTTTTTTGGGACCTTTGGCTTGCCCTTCTTCTGGAACGCGTATGTCCTAGTCTTCTATTGCGCTTCATTGGAGGACATGTCGTTTCGAGGGCGACCGGCAGATTTTTTGTGGATGTTACTCAGTGGAAGTTGGATGTTGCTCTTTATAGCCTACTTTTTCGACGCTAGCTACTTCATCAGTGGAGCCATGATCGATATCATGACCTACCTATGGGGAAGACGGAATCCACATGCGAGGGTACTATTTTTTAGTCGCAACTGCTGGTAGCTTGATTTCCAGCAGTCGCAACTGCTGGCAGCTTTATTTCCAGCTAACGTCGTTCTCGTTCTAATTCCCAAAACCAAATCATGAAGTAGAGCATAGCTTTACTTTGAAAACTCGCGTACGTTGAAGACTCACGTGTCATAGCTTTACGTTGAAGTAGACTCACCACAAGCATGCAAGAACTTCTTGATCATCAAAAATCCCAAACAGCCTGTTCGTGTTACCCACAAGAAGTGTAAAGCTATCTTCCGATCAGTGATTGAAAACATGACCTTCACCCAACCTCTCAATCAAACTCAGATTACAACAGGTTCACGTCATCTTCATCACTGTTCCCCATCTCCATCCCCCACATCACCAGGTTCACGTCATCTTCATCACGGTTCGCGCACCTTATCTTCCTTGGGCACTCGCTTTTGTGTCGCTACTGATGGGCGCGCCAGTACAAGACCACATATATGGAATCATTGTTGGCCACATGTACTACTTCTTCGAGGACGTCTATCCTCTGATGCCAACCTCAAAAGGCTTTAGACTGTTTGCGACGCCCAAACCTCTGAAGTGGATATGCGGTCAGAGGTAGCTGGAACTCTAGTTTTGCAGGACTTCTGCTCCGTGTGGTCCTCGTCTACTTCGCTGGGACCTTATACTTCTGGCGATTTTCCACGGCGTTGCCACGTTTGTGTAAGAGTAGTCCCCGACCAGAGAATCTCCCTCCTTGATCATGCTGGCCCGGTCAGAGGTAGCGGTAGGCCCGACCCGAGAATCGCCGTCCTGGCCAGACCTTCCTTCGCAACAATTTTCCACATTCAACAAACACGCACTTGTAACCCACGCATCCCTCCAAGAACTACATGCTTATCGCCTCTATAATCCCATGCTTCACTCGTCACAAGAGGCTGAGGCAACACAGCACTTCCTAGAAAAACCAAAAGAAGGGACATGTTTTTCTGCTTTCCAGAGAACATCAACTACAAAGTCAACAACTGGGTGGGTCAGAAGATTGCCACAACATGTCAGTCATTCTCGTGCTAGAAGGCAGAATGAGGGTCGTGCTTAACCGTTTGCGTAGTTTTAGTGCCTGGCCGTCGTGCTTCAGGCTTCCCGCTGGGTAGTTGCATGCTCGTAGCGCGGGAATTTGTGACACAGGTAACAAAAAAAAGAGAGGGGGAGAGAAGCTCCTCAAAGAATGACGAGAGAGGATGATACTGAGGAACAGGAAGGACAGTGCAAGATCACAGAGCACTGTGAAGATTATAAATACAATATTTCAGTAGAAATACCAGAGCAACTCGATGAGTAGACGTAGAGTTTGATATTCCAGTCCTTCTTTGTCTTCTTTGTCTTCTTGACTTGGTATAACCTTCATCCAGCACAACTTGTGAAATACATATACGAGGACCCGTCCACAAGAAAGACAAGATGGCCCAAACAAAGATTATCTACACCCATACGGATGAGGCGCCTATGCTGGCGACCTACTCCTTGTTGCCTATTATCCAAACCTTCTGCAAAGCCTGCGACGTAAAAGTGGAGACTCGCGACATTTCAGTGTCCGGACGAGTAATCGCCGCTTTTCCAGAATGCTTGAAGTTAAGTCCTCTCGTCTTCTAGATGGATTAATTTTCATACCAACGACATTGATACTCCAAATCGAAGACATAGATCTATCACTGGTGAATGGACGAACTCGAACAGACGACGCATGATTTTTTTGAAAATTTTTTTTGAACAGTTGTAGTTGTACACCAGGTCGTAGAAGTACTACAAGAACAACTACAAGTACAACAACCTTCAAAGAAAAAACCCATACGAACACATCTTCTAATCCAAGAAGAGCAGAAAATCGGGGATCATCTGGCAGAGCTGGGTGACCTCTGCAAGACTCCGCAAGCGAACATTATCAAGCTTCCGAACATCTCCGCATCCATCCCACAACTCCAAGCATGCATCAAAGAGCTGAATGAACATTAAGATTCACAAGACAGAGTCAGACTCAGAGAGACACTTTCAGGATTGTCAGCATGCCCACTCATAGATTTCTAAGTAAAAGTATGTCTTGTTCCTGAATTTTGATCAGGCATCTTCTACTATTCAATGATTTCTCAACATCTTCCACTACAACGTGGTAACGCCACTCTTTTACTAGGTCCTCGTTACTTACATCAACATCTCGAGGACGATTGTGATCATACTTCATGATTTTTAGATTTTTCACTGAAAGATTTTCAGTTTCGTCCACCTGTGCTTGAATTAATTCGATCATCTGGTGCTGGTGAATTTACTTCGATGTCGATCATTCATGTCTTTGCACACTATGAGTCTCCTTCTGCACTATGCATTACCTCTAGTCCACCACTTCGTTCATGCCACCTTCCCTCAAGCTTGCTTTCTCTTATCGTCCTTCTCGGTTCCCTGCTCTAAGAAAAAGGCTACGCCGTACCCCTGTACCCAGAAGATCCTAAGACTGAGGAGGAAAAAGCAGTGAAGGCTAAGTATGCGAAGATTCTAGGATCTGCGGTGAATCCGGTGCTTCGACAAGGAAACAGTGACCGCCGTGTCGCAGATGCTGTGAAGGCATACGCACAAGCCAACCCACACAGATTGGGAAAGTGGTCAGAGGATAGCAAAAGTCATGTACTGCTATCCATTCGAAAAATTATCTGCTTTTTGCTTATCTTCGTCGACGGAGCTCACGAAACGGTCTGAAGCCGTTGAGGGTCGCTGGGGGTGTCTATTTTTCATCCAAGAGGACTACTAAAATTAGCACTGATAAATAACAGTACTTTTCGTTTTAATTCTCTTTCTTATCTTTTCTGTCCAATCGATCCAATCTGACTCCGGCAGGTCTCTCATATGGAGGGCTCCGACTTTTTTGGGACTGAGAAGTCATACACTGTCGGCGACTCGCCGATGACTGTGAAAATCGTCTTCGCGCCAGAAGGTGGCGAAGAAACTGTGATGAAAGACGTTATGGCCCACGACTTTCAACTTTGATGATGATCTACAATTTCCTATCACTACTACAATTTTTATGTACGTTTTTTCTTTGCGCATTCTGACTGGAAGATTTCAATACACAATCTATCTTCCCGGATGAATGGGCATATTACATTTAGATTGAACATGACATACATTTACATTCAACATCCTCGGCGGTTCCTCTAACAAAAGCCTAGACCTGCTTCCTGGCGAAGTGATTGACTGCTCGGTGATGACCTGTTCGGCTCTGCGGGAATTTTTTGAGGCTCAGATGCAAGATTGCAAAGAGAAGGGCATCTTGTTCAGTCTGCACATGAAGGCGACCATGATGAAGGTCTCAGATCCCATCATGTTCGGACACTGCGTCAGCGTCTACTACAATTAAGGCTCAACTTTCAATCAAGGTCATAGTTTAGATTGGAGTCACCAAATATTTAGATTGGAGTCACCATTTAGATTGGAAGAGGCGACCCCTTCTTGAGAGAACCAACAGGGGAAATAAACGAAGGGAACAAAGGGGAGAGCTTTGAAGAGGGTCCCTTCCGTTCAGAGTCAGTGACCCTTGAATGCTGAGCTTTAATACAGGGACGTCTTTGAAAAGTACGCGGACTTGTTTGCGGAGCTCAACGTCACACCTAACAATGGAGTTGGCGATGTCTACGCGAAAATCAAGGGGCATGAAAAACGTAATTATACTTTAGTTCTTCAATTCATTCGGCTCCGTCTGCTTATGCTGTTGAGTTATTTATTAAATCCGTTGTCTATAATACCTTTCTTGTCTGTGGTATCTTCTACAGCGTTTGGCATCTTTTTGAGAGGATACAACTACAAGGAGTAGTGCTGCATCTTATCGTAGTTACCAGCGACCACCTATACCTATACCTTTATTTGTAATCAATATTGCTGACCACGAAGCACAAATCAATCCCACTGCAGAAACCGAAGTCGAGGAGGCTTTGAAGGCTGTATACGACACGAGGCCTCCACTTGCGATGGTAGACAGCGATAAGGGCATCACAAACCTCCACGTCCCATCCGACGTGATCATCGATGCGTCGATGCCTTGCGTTGTGCGAGATAGCGGCAGAATGTGGACACCTGAAAACACTCTGCATGATGTCAAGTTATGCCTTTTGGATGTTTATCTCTTTGTTAGAAATAGAAGAAGGTTGAAGTAGATCTACATCTAGTTGAGTCAAAATATTGAATGATGAGTCTCCTGATGTTCCTACCCACATTCCTAAAACACCATATTCCTGTACCTCTTTCATGCCATTGCGTGATCCCAGATCGCAGCTATGCAGGAATTTACAAGGCCACCTTAGATTTCTGCCGTGCGAATGGCCAATTTGACGTCTCGACGATGGGCAACGTTTCGAATGTAGGACTGATGGCACAGAAGGCTGAGGAGTATGGTTCGCACGATAAGACATTCGAAATGAAGGAGGCGGGAGCGGTATTTTTGAATTTGAAGTTAGTTCTTGCCTGAAAATACATCGTGATGCGGTACTGAGGATTCCTACAGCTATTCTGAAGCACTTCCGAGACCGAGTACGAGTTCTAAGACCATCATAACTTTAGTTGAAGAATTTGATTGAAGATTATTCGCCTCCCGTTCCCCTTCTCAAACCAGATGAAAGTGGTAGCAGCGGATGGTACTGTCATTATGGAGCAAAGTGTGTCTCCGGGAGATATTTTCCGCATGTGCCAAACTAAGGACGCTGCCATCAAAGATTGGGTAAAACTGGCGGTTTCGCGTGCAGTGGCTACCAAGGATTAAGGCCAATATCCGTGATAGTGTCTCGTGTTGAATTATGGGTGTCGACCTTGCCATCCTTCTGTGCGACCTGGTTAATTGTTTATCGCAGTCGTGCTGTAAACGTGTGTAAGGCTATTTTCGCTGGCAAGACTTCAAACGCTTTTGCTTGTGATGGAATCTATCTATTTAAAGCGTCTATGCATAGCTCTTCTTTACATCTATGGATAGCTCTTCTACATCTACTTATGCATAGCTCTTCTATGATGTGAAGATGGAAGACAGTCAGAAGTCCTCGTCTATGCACCCCAGCTCTTCTACCTCTAAAGCACCCCAGCGGTTTTCTGGCTCGACTCTGCTCGCGCACACGACGCCGAAATGCTGAAGAAGGTGAACGTCTACTTGAAGGACCACGACACCACTGGGTTGGAGATCCTTATCAAGTTAAGCTATAGCATCCTCAGACAGCATCCTCAGACAGCTGAATGGTTCTGGTATTTGGTAACCTGAATTCGTTCACAAGGATTGACTCTCTTCTTGTTTTCCCTTATGATCAGAATCAGGCTACCAAATACCAGAACCATTCAGCAGCATCCTCAGACAGCACCTTCGTCATCTCCTCAATAATATCATCATCCTTGGTTCCCTGGCTCTTTTTCTACTTGGAATTGATGTCATCAACATGGATATTGTTTAGTCTCCAATATGTAAGTAGTATAAACACGTAAATAAAAGATTTCTATGCGAGAGCGAGACTTCTTGTGCCATGCCAACATGAAGCCAGGGTGCGACCGCATCTCGGGGATGCGACCGCGGTAAGGCTCTAAGCAAGACCCCAGTTGACGCCATTAACTACAGCATGGCGAGATCGAGAGAGGGGAAGAGCACCATCAGCGTCACAGGTAACGTGTTGCGAGACTACCTGACAGACTTTTAAGGCTCAACTTTCAATGGTCATTGGAGTTGGTCACTGGCTCTTCGCAACGCGTCCTCTCAGGAAGCTCTTAACAAAGTAGGGGATCCAGGCAACTCTGTTGTAGTGGAAGATTCTCCCTCATCTCCTCTTCGGGCGAGGACTTACCTTCCAACTCAGGTGAAGTACAACTTAAGCTTAACGACGAATGGCACTGTTTTTTAGAGTCTGACACGTATTTCATTCGAGGGAAAGGGGAGAACTTTGAAGGGGGTCCCTTCCGTTCAGAGTCAGTCACCATTGAAGGCTGAGCTTTAAGACTGGTTTCCCATTCTGGAATTGGGGACAAGTGCCAAGATGTTGTCCATCGTGCCTCAGCTTGCTGGCGGCGGAATGTACGAAACGGGAGCTGGTGGAAGCGCACCTAATTATGACGAGAATGTAGTCTTGGTTATATTACATAAGTAGAAGTTAAATTAATGCCTTACACTCTTTGGCTTTAAAGTTACATAAGAAGGGTTGAGGTTGTACTTGTTCATATTCCTACTCGCGAGCCTTTTCTCACGTAGTGAGACGTTGATGTTCATGTTGCGCTTGCGCCTCTACTTGGAAGTGGATCTACAGGCTTCTGTCAACAATCTTCTAACCTCAGCACGTACAACAGTTCACAGCGGAAAACCACTTGCGATGGGATTCTTTGGGGGAGTTTTTGGCATTGGCGGTCTCTCTAGAGGAGATCGGAGTCAAGAGCAACAATGCGGCAGGAAAAATTTTGTTATGATGCAGTTGATCTTGATATTTTCATTTTCGAAATCATATGCTCAGACACTTATTCCTTGCCTTATCACTTGGGATGCAACATATCTTGAAACTTTCGTTTCTTCCATGCACCCTCTAACTCAAGCAGCAGCACTTCATAAAGCAAACACAAAGTTCTTGGAGAAAAAGGAATGCCAAGTCTCTAGGAAAGCGGGTGAGCTGGACAACCGTGGATCCCACTTTTTCCTGGCATTGTATTGGGCACAGGTATTTTGATTTTCCTATCGCCATATTTATCGTAGATATCCACCAGCAGATGATCGTGTTTTAGATTGATTCCAGCGGAGACAAACATCGATGTAAACTATCTAGTTGTAGATCATATTCAGCATGTGGACGTGGAGGCGGGGGATTATAATTAGTATTTTTGTCTTTCCCCTCCTGCTCCTCCAGGCCTTATCCGAGCAGAGCGACGATAAGGAGCTCGCGACGAAGTTTTTGGCTGTGTATAACAATTGGAGCGCTAACCAAGAGGAGATTGTGAAGCAACTGAACGAATGCCAGAAAGTCACAGTGGACATCGGTGGCTACTATCATCCAGATCCGGAGAAAACTTCGAAGGCAATGCGCCCCTCACCGTTGTGGAACGACCTACTGGACAAAGCCGGCAAGGAGGTATCAGTACTGAGTTATTTTTAGCTTTGGAGCTTTTCATTTTTGAAGTATAGCTTTTCATTTTTGGAGCTTTTCATTTTTGAAGTTGGGTAATTGTTCTCATGAATGGCTCTGGTATTTGGTAGCCTGATTTTGATCATAAGGAAAATACGAAGAGAATCCTTGTGATCGAATTCAGGTTACCAAATACCAGAACCATTCACCTCATTTCTTGTTAACTGGGCGCGGAGCCTGTCGAGGTAGTTCACTCGAAAATTTGTTTTTCTGTTATTCATCGTATCTCATCTTAATCTTACACTTAGAGATGAAATTATTGACTCAGTTCTAACATCACATGATCACTAAGGTTCAAGCCGTGAATGGAACGCCAACTGCGCCAGTTACCGGAACAACCCCAGAAAAGCCAAGGCGCAAATCCGCTTGCTGCGCCGCATAATGAGTTGTCTCCTTATGTTCATGAAACGAGCAGGAACCCGACTAGAAACATTTGAAAGAATCTTTACGGTAACACTTATGTCGGATATTCTGTAACTGCAAAGAATAAATGTCTAGAGGTTTTTTGACTGATTTTGTTCTATTCTGTTTCCAGTATTTTGAAGTTGTCAGGCAACCATGTCAGCTTCAGCTGCGTAGTCGGCAATGACATGCAAGATCATGCGAAATCGCATTTCAAGTTCGATAATTTCGATATCAATATTGATTTTCTTTCATGTTTTTACAGCGGTGTTGAGTAAGTCCTAGTGCACTAGGTGATAGTCTATTACTTATCTATCATCTTCATCTATCCATAAAAAGATTTCACTTTTCCGTTCAAGGATCCAGTTGTTGTGTTAGAAATGATCCATCTGCTTCTACTCTCGGAGGAAGATCAAGCTGCCGATCCTCCTGAACCTGGAAATCTGATGTTGTCAATAGTGTAGCATAGTTATGGTTATCCTTTTTTTAGGTATTATTTGATGACTTAGAGTTAAAGTTTTTAAACATGAGCCTATCGTTTTCGTTGGTAGTATGAAATTGAAAATGCTCTACAACAGCACAGCTAAGCCATGAGCTCAACTACCCCTATTTTTCCATATTAGAACAAAGGTGGAACAATAACCGAGGGTGGAAAAAGAACATTTGTGTGCGTGTATCCATATCAGACCGTCTTCATACTAGACCGTCAGAGACATGCTATGAGTGGTAATCGATCACAAGTGGGACCTTTAGAGCGTCGTGACTGAAAGGTTCATCGCCAAGGCACGACAATTCTTGCATAGCTAAGACGAAGACACTGGTGGTTGTCAGTGGCAGCGTGAACTTGGTCGTCTGTCATCCTCCGGAGTGTAGTGAGCGAGAGACAAGACATTTTCAGACGAGAAAAAATGTTCGCGTTCTTGAGTGTGTAGTTTTATTACGGCGAAAGCGTATGAAACTGAGGGATACGAGAAAAAGTTTCCGCGTGAGGTGTCATCCCTACTTGAATAGCTGTCGTAGAGATGGAACAAAAACGGCAAGAACCATGCTAATATCACACAGAAGAAATACTGTGCATTAGTACCAAGCAGGCTACCACATTTATATTACCCAGCAAGCCAGTAGGTACTACCACCACAAGCACAATCCGGCTGCCAAAAAACTATTGTATTCGATCTGACTTCAGGCCTCGGATTTTTGAGGGGTTCTGGATTTTAGTAACCTGATCTCGATCACAAGGGATAGGAAGAAGAGAACCCTCGGGATCGAACTCAGGTGACTAAGAACCGGAACCATCGTCCGACTTTCTTTTCATCAACCCCGCTTCCTTAGTCTTCTTTTGAAGGTGTATAAATTATCCTGAAACGACTCAGACTCAGTAGCCTTGTAACAAACTAAAGAAAAAGAAAACTACACCAAATGCCGAGACGGTCGTCGAAGTGCTGTGCGCTACAGCGTCCGATCATCGACGATGAAGCGGCAAAAACTGCATCGCAGTCGAACAAGCGAAAAAAACCTCCCTTAGTGGTGACAACATCTTCTCCCAACCCTGGTGCTAAAGAGCTGGATTTTTCCGGGACAGATGTGGATGAAAGTTTATGACAATCAATATGATATTGATAGTGCTCCTGCACGATTGCTTTTGACCAGGCAATCGGGTCGTTCTCGTTTCATATCAAAATACTACTCGACTGTGTAAGTTGAAGTTGGATATTATGATTCAAGAAATCTACAACATCAACGACACATCACCTAAGTACACCTACCCGCACCCCCACCCGAGGCCTCTTCTAATAAAAAGTGGGGTCGATGCTGCTTTGGGTCACACGTTTGCATCTAGTGGCTCCACAAGGCGGATACTGATTTCAGGGTCTTCTCCTTCAGCGATTCCCATAGTCCGACATGAAGAACCGCACCCGCAAGACGTTACCAAGACACTGACCTCTGGGGAACAGTTTGAGGTTTATGATTTTTGTATTCTGTTTCTGTTTCTCTTTCTGTTTCTGTTTGCATCAACAATAAATGTTATGCATTTAAGTTGTCTGAGTAACAGTGACGTTGACTCGACGAACCGGAAGCAGCCATCGTAGCATGATTCCGCAGACATGATGTCTTTCTTGTCCACCTTCTAATCCACTCGGCCCGTCCTCTCCATCGAAACACCACATGGCTTGGTAAAAGCCACGCCCTCGCCAAGCAGTAAAAGCCGTGGGACAGCTAGTCCTATTATGGCTCAACTTCCATTCCTTGGGCATTGAGGTTGGTCACTGAGACCGATGAAGAGGCGATCCCTTGAGAGAACCGGGGAAAGTGAAGGGAAAAGATGAGAGCTTTGAAGGTGCTCTCTTCCGTTCAGCATCCGTGACCAATGAGCGTCGGCCTTTAATCGTCCTAGATCGATCACATCCCCCACTCCAAGTAGAACCTCTTCTCTTGGCAACATTTATTTGAGAAGGCTGTCAGAAGCAACAGCAGCTACAGGAGTATCAGGTTCACCAGGTCCGGCTGGAGGTCTTCTTCGAGAAAGGCAGAACGACATCTGCCAGAACAAGAAAACTCTTCCAAAAAGAAGACTTCGATTTGTCGGAGCTTTTGCAAAAATTTTTTGCTCAGGAAAATCGTCAGGTCGTGTAAAAGTAAAGGCACGAAGCGGTCCAGAGCGAACAGCAGATGAACCTCCAAGGTCAGCAGCAGGCGCCACTGCTCTACTAGAGGGGACAACAGGACCTCCAACGTCAGCACCAGGCTACAATGTTGCTGCACCGCATGCTAAGATGAAAATGAATCGACTACAATTAGAAGAGAAGGAACTAGTTGCTGCGGGTGTGGAGGATCGGGCTCTGGCGCAGGAGACAGGGTTTATCAAGGCGAATTGGCACAGAAAAGGCTCAAGATCTCTCATCCTTCTACCATCAATTACAGGTGGGGGAGGAGGAGCAGGGAGCACGAAGGCAAATGCAGCAGCTACTACTGGCACTGCAGTAGTAGGAGAGTCTCATTCTTCTTCATCTTCAAGCTCAAGTAAAGGTGGCGGTATGAAGAGTCTGAGTCTCTTGACTTCTTCCTCTTCTGACGTGTGTGGTGCAGGAGGAGCTCCCAAAAAGAGTAAGACGAGTCTTTTTAGAAGAGCACTTAGTCGTGGAGTCGGAGGTACTAGCTCCTCTTCAAACAGTGGACAAAACGGCGGGACTAGCCTTCCCGACGATTCAGTAGTAGCGCCGTCTGATATCTAAGGCTTTCCAAATAATTATAATTCCAAACAATTTCCTTGTCATTATTTTTGCCGTGCTTTCAAGGGGGAAAGCACTTCAAAGATGAATCATGACTTGCGTTTCTACTTCATCTGAGACAGCGGAAATTTCTCAGTAGGACTAACTGGAGGACTTTGCTCCCTAGATTAGAACTAGTTGCGACTGCGATAGTAATAGAAAAAGGCACGCGAAGGGCTTTCTCCGGACTCTCCTCCGCGAAACCAGTCTCCGGCGTTTCTGAGACCACGGGACTGAAAAAGTCTCATGTCCGCCGCGGACTTCAGGACTCTTAGACTGCTGAGTCCTGAGGTCCGCCGCAGGCCCCAGAAATCTCAAAGGCCCCTGTGGAGAACCCGCCTCGTGCATTTTTGAGTCCATGGGACTCAAAAATGCCTCATGTCCGCCGCGGACCTCAGAAATCTCAACGCGGCCCTCTGTGAGGAACCAGTCTCAGGCGTTTTTGAGTCATGGGACCCAAAAATGTCTCATGTCCGCCGCGGACCTCAGAAATCTCAACGCGGCCCTCTGTGAGGAACCAGTCTCAGGCGTTTTTGAGTCATGGGACCCAAAAATGTCTCATGTCCGCCGCGGACCTCAGGATTCTGAGACTGCTCAAAATCCTGAGGTCCGCGGCGGGTCTCAGGGGTTTTCCCTGTCCTCGGACAGACCGAGTCGACCCTACTGGGCCTGTCCAAGGACAGAAAAAACCCCTGAGGTCCGCCGCGGGCCTCAGGATTCTGAGCAGTCTCAGAGTCCTGAGGTCCGCGGCGGACATGAGGCTTTTTTGAGTGTTGTGGACTCAAAAATGCTTGAGACTGGTTCTACTTCACAAGGGCCTTTGAGATTCCTGAGGTCCGCCGCGGACCTCAAAACTGTGAGACTGCTTATAGTCCTGAGGTCCGCCGCCGCTGCGGGCATAGGTGTCTGCTACGCCATTTTCTGCTGGGGCTCTGGGGTGATGAGTGTTTTTTTAGGAGCTTGAGATGGAGTTATTGCGGGTGGTGGAGGCGAGCGCCAACGATCTGGCAGTTGGGGAGGGCGCTCCTTGGCCGATTCTTGTGGAATCTAATCAAAGGCTGTCCCTCTGAGTTGCTGCGGGGTTAATCTGATGCCCCCACTAGAAATAGCCCAGTCCTATGCACTGGGAAGCTTCCGCTGAATTGAGACGCATTTCCACTAGTCACGAGATGAATTTGAGTCTGCTCTAAAATACCCGGTTACGAAAGCGCAGCATTAGCGATCCAGGCGCAGCATCATCAGTGAGCGTCTTTCCACCAGGTTTTTGGTACTACCTCGAAGAGCAGACGAGAAGCGATTACTTGATACCATTAAACACGAAGCTGTCTTCCGCAGGGGCAAGCACCTCTGCAGGTGGTTCGAGTTCATCAACACCAGCACCGGTGGTGTTTTTAAGGCTTGGTTGTCAGCTTGAGCATCTTCTACAACTTCATGATACTACAATGAATTGCTAGTTCTCTATCGCAGTTCGGTAAGTACTTCTCATTTCGTGCATCACTCAATCTCAAAGCAACAAGAACAAAGAATAAGAATGCACATTTTAGATTTACCCCCTCTAATTCCAGAGGAGGAAAAGCAGATCTTATCGACTTCGACCTCACCTTGTTCCTCAGCCTCAAGTTCGCCGCACACTAGTAGATTCGGGAAGCAACTACGCCTTATATTAAGGCTCAGCTTTCAATGGTCACCATTGAGATTGGGGTCACTGGGATCGCAGAGAGGCACTCCTTAGAAAACAGGGGAAAACACAGGGAGAACAAGTAGAGGGGTAAAGGGCCCTTTCCGTTCAGCATCAGTGACCATTGAATGCTGAGCTTTAATTATACCTGATAAAGATGGACAAGGTCCTGCAACCGCGGCGCCCCCAGCAGCAGCCATACGAGGGCCTCACACAAGCCGGGAAATGCGGCTTTTCTACGATAGTGGGAGAATATACGCAAACACGAGTATCATGAGCAGCACGTTTGGCGAAGGTACTTGATGTGCTCGTGCTTTTTCGTCTTTAGTAGTCAATACTCATACATCAAGGGGAACAACGCTCAATACTAGTAATGGTTTTGATTCTTTTGAGCTACCCGAATAGTGAGGCTCTTCTCATCCATTGATTACTACAGACTGGTGTCAGGATCTCCTACAGTATGGTCGCGTAGAGTAATGCTCGCACCATTTCCCATTTCCTCGTGTCCTCCACGACTACATCTCCAGATATCTCCAACCTCAAAAAACTGTAGATGTAGCTGTGGAGCATATTGGAGATATATCTCCAATGTGGAAGTACTGGAGAGTACTGGAGATATATGGTACTATGTATAGTGATAGCGCATAGGGGTTGAAGTCACTCCAACTGCTCAATAGTCGCCTCCAGATAATACCGCAATAGGTTATACTAGTCCTCCGCCACTACATGAACAGATATCTCCAACCCCCGTGTATATTACGGATTACGACAAGTCTTTCCGGATGTAAAGAAGTGTTTCTACTTGCCCCCGGTGAAGCCCGCGACGCGTGCAGCCGAGAATAAGGCACTTTTTATCATCGACGAATCAGAAGAGGAAGATGAACAGGATGATTGGTGAAGGGGATGGATGCTTGGTGAAGGGGATCCTTGGAGGACATTGTGCTTTTTTACCCCCTGGATCGATGTGGCAACGTGGATTTTGAAGATCATCAAGCTCGCTTGTAGTACCTCCGTAGTTATTTACAGCCATAATATGCCATAGTGAGTTGTTGACTTTGTTTCAATTTTCCTGAAGTGACCTAGTAGTAGTACAACCGCTGTACTTTTTGTTACTTCACAGCACTTCGTCGTCGTTCTCACATTTAATTGGGCTTACCGTATTTCCTTCAGAAGGTAGGCGGAACCTATGCGCAGTTTGCACTAGCACTTTATTACACGGTGATAAATTTACCGTTTGAAGCGATTCTGAACTCAATTTTGCAATTATTTGCTCTTTGAGCTGTGAGGTATCACTCCTTGCTGTTGACACTATCAAGTTCACCTTCCAGTTCTTTTTAGACAGCCACCCTATTGAACAAGAGGACCAACATGTTGAATGACATTGATATTTGACAGCACGCATGAAGAACATATTGAGGGACATTGACAGCACGCATGATGAACAAGGCCATTTATACTGAATGACAGCACGCAAAATATGCTCTAGGGAATAGCCTAAAATTTTTGCTTTTGGTGTGTATCTGCCTGACGGATTGAAATCGCATCAGCATCTTTTTCTTTTCCATGAGCCTCATTGAGGTGCAACCTACCAGCCTTCATAGGTGAGTACCCCGTCTGACTGTGAATCAGCACGGTGCGAGAATTTACAAGGCGAGCATCGGTTCTGAAGTCAACTCCGGAATGAAAAAAGGACCAAAAATTGAGCCATGTCTTAAAGTTGACAAGACAGCTGTAGTTGAGAGCTGATGAGTGAAAGCTGTCTGACGCAGGAGATACGAGGAGTTGAAAATTACGGTCATTACTACTAGTGACGAACCAACAGCGACAGGAATTACAATTAGCAACTCAGTAGCACAACAAAATTATTCCAGATTGATTTCCAACTTTCGCAACAAGCTTCCGTCTCTTGTGTGTATCAACACCTAACCCGCCATAAGTGATCATTCAACATCCGACCCATATATTGCAAGTTTAGTTTTTTTGTGTTTGACAATTATTACCTCCGTACTAGGTAGTCATCTAAATCTAGTCCTAGTTGTAGTTGTCTATCGTGATCAACAATACGCGCGACAACAGCCACTCAGGAACTTGATGCCTGTTGTATCGCAGCCGCTGCGATAATGTGAGACAGGAGCTCATTTGGGGTGACCAGTAAAACGTAACGGAAGGAGGTGAGGTTCCCTATGGACAGCAGCATAAGAAGACCATCAACATCTTCTGAACATCAAGATCAACCTCATCAAACTAAGACAATGATTTCTTCTTGAACAATATTCAACCGCAGAAATTAAATGAAGATCAACTTCAACGGATAATCAAGACTCTCGTGCCAGTGCGGCTCCTCCAGAAGCACATCAAAGACTCCAGTAGCACATCAGAGATTCCAGTAGTGACTCTGTACGTCAAGGAATCAATCAAAACCACTATTTGGAGCAGCACAAGGTACTACTTAGGCGAAAATGGGAGCATATCTATCAGAGCCCAAGCGGGACAAGGAAAGTGAGGAGGCGAGTGGAGACACCTGGCGGCTCGGTGCTTCATCAATGCAGGGATGGCGAGTGAACATGGAAGATGCGCATTTGGTTCATGATTAAGGCTACAGTTGAACTATTCACCTGCCGTCGGGTACAACAGATCTATGAATTTATTCCGCATTCAGTATCACCACGTTGAACAGTTGTAAGAAAAAGCATCGTGCAGTCGCTGTGTAGCCCTGTCCACAAAAGCATCGTGTATCCGCAACCTAACCCGTCTTCATCTAATACTCAGCGTTCGGCGGCAAAGAAGATACATTTCTTATAGGCGTGTTTGATGGTCATGGCGGTCCCGAGGTGGCGAAATTCGTAGCAAAGCACCTTGGGAATACAATATTGGAAAGCGAGTACTAGATTCTCTCATACTTATTTTGACAGTGGGCGACCCCATGTGCAGCTAAATGACGACTATTGACTAAGTACAAATGAGATCTTCAATCTGTTGTAAATGAGATCTTCAATCTGTTGTATTAATTACTTATATATAATATAGTTTCCTTGAGATTTCAATTTTTTGAAGATTTGTTACTTTCACATCCACGACCCTTCTTCAGGAGCTACAAATCAGGAAAAGTTGAAGATGCTCTGAAAGCTTCGTTTTTGCAGATGGACGACTATTTGTTTCGGCCATACTACCGGAAACAGCTGAAGAACTGGAAAAAGAAGAGCGCGTCAGCACAGAATATTATGGCTTAATAGAGTTGTATACGAAAGATGAGTACACTCTTCACACTCAAGAAATTGGCTAGGATTTAAGTAGGAAAATAGCCACTTTTTTTGAGTGTGAGTGCGCATTTTTCTTTCATAATTTGAGTATACGCTAATACAGGAGTCATGCTCGTATCTTCTATAATTCCATTTCCAACATGATGAATCATCTCGTCTAATGCGCTATTCCAGCAAATAGTGCAGCTGGCTTCGAACAACGAGGATGTCGATGTAGTGCAGGCATTAACCAGAGCCGAAGCGGAGGAGCAGGAGGCAGCTGCAAAGGATGGTGAAAAGAAAGTTATGTTGATGATGCCATTTTTTGTACCAGTTGTAGTTTGTAGAGGTGCAGAACGAGCAAAAGGAAATAGTTGTGAGTAAGTAGATGTTCATGTTTTATGTCTACAGTTATAGTTTGTTGTGACTTGTGAGTAAGTAGATGTTTTATGTCTCCTCGCGACGTTACTCACGTTGTTGAGCAGTGGGTCTTTTGTAGCTGCCTTGTCTCTACTCGGGTCACGACGGAGCCAGGCAGTTACTTGTAGCTGCTACGTGGTTCGAATAAATGAGTGAATGAGTCTCCTCGTTTTGGAAGATGGTTCTACTTCTATTTCTATGGATTCGATCTCCTTTTCTAACCCAGTCTGCTCTTCTATTTCTATGGATTCGTCACCCAGTCTGCTCTTCCTTTTCTAACACAACGAAATCCTCCGACAAAGAGAGTATAACAGGAAACTCAGCAGCGGCCAGTAGCACCAACTCACCAGGCTCCAAGAGCACTGAGGAAGAGGAGTCCGACATATCAAAGGACTTGAAGGTACTACAGATGAATACAGGATGAAAAGTAGAAGTCTGATTGATTCCGTAATAAATACAGAAATTCTTTCAAATAATTTGAATACGGACTCAGTATTTGAAAGAGTAATGATTTACGGACTCAGTAAAAGTCCGAATGAATACAGGATTCAGTATTCATTACGACTCCTTCCTTCATGCCTACTGCTCCTCCTGTCCTCGTGTAACATTTGATGAAAGTATTTTTTCCTTCTTTATTTACGTGAATTAGGCTTCCTGCTTTTTCAGGACTTTACCTGACATCAAACTCACGAGGAAACCAATTGCTCATCGCAAACGCAGGACTTGGATCCAGACGACGAAGTGCAAGCTGGGTGCACAGCAGTTGTGGCATGGAGGCAAGGAAGCCAATTGCTCATCGCAAACGCAGGAGATTCAAGAGCTGTCTTGTATTTTTATGGCGTGGGATTTTTTTGGAGGGGACTCTCGCAGCTGCTTCTTGCTTGCTAGCTTCAATTTCATCTCTAACCCTATTCGCTTTCGCTTATAGAAATTAAAAAATCGACTTGTCATTCTTTGAATAACATCAAGTTTTTTTTTGATTTTTATCCCCTGCTCAGGTGTCGAAACGGCAAAGCTGTCGCGTTATCAACGGACCACAAGCCAGAGCTTCCAGGCGAGACTAGTAGGATAAAAAAAGCTTTCGGCTATATAGAAAATGGCCGTGTGAATGGCAACCTGAACCTGAGCAGGGCTATCGGAGATCTGACGTACTTCCGGTTTGAAATAATTGTAGGGATTGTAGTTTTCTGTTCCATCCACTTCAACACGAGAAGTCTTTCTACTTCAACACCATAATGATCTATCATTATGGTGCATGACATAGGTACAACACGACTCACCAGGGACCACATCAAAGAATTCACACATCTTCAGGTACAAGAAAAACACGGACATAACCCCTGAAGAGCAAGTGATTACTGCGGACCCAGAGATAACCAGTTGGACGCTACAGGACGACGATGATTTCCTTATCCTAGGTTGCGATGGCATATGGGAAATCAAAACGAATCAAGAAATAGTCGAGTATTCTTCTGACTTATAATATTCTTCTTGTGCTGATCATTTACTGTATTTTTCCACAGGAGCAGGTCCAAGAACAAGAATCCCACATAATTGATGCGATAATGAAAGTTTGACAATGGATGTAAGAAGAAGCTGGCTTCCCAATTTGTCCACCACGAACGACGATTTCTGGTGATTTTGATGTTCCACTCCTTCTTCCTCATTTTAAATGCGTCAGTACACGATCACCCAAAACCACAGCTACGTCAAAGAGCGCCTACACGAGTGTAAAGGAGAAGGCGCGCGACCACTATCCTGGATTTGTGAGCAGTTTATGGATAGCATTTTGTCCGAAGACATCGCCCGAACGGAGGGGATGGGTTGCGATAACATGACCATGATTATTATCGAGTTGAGGAAGTTATGGAAAAGGATGAGGAAGGTTGTTGCATTTCTCTACTTTGGTCAGTCTAGTAACTTCTAAAGTGGAATATGAACACAAAAGATGCAAAGTGTACTGTTGCTTTTGCTCAGCTAGAATTCCGCCCCAGAGCACTAAAACTAAAGGGAAAGGCTAAAAATGCGCCTCGGAGCACTAAAACTAAAGGAAAAGTGTCCACCTGAGTGAATTCCCATCGCGGATTTGCTTTTTTTCATCTGTTACTTAGCTGGCTATTATTTTGAGGCTAAGGTAGAGCAAAAGCAACAGTACACTTTGCATCTTTTGCGTTCATAGAGTGCTGGAAGTAGATTTTCATTTTGGCCAATAGATACAGTCAACAACATCAACTACGTCACACCAGCGGGTGAAAAATGTGAATGAAGAACTACGATTCTGAATAGTTCTTGTATCATCTCTAATACAGTAAGAACGGCTTCGAGTGGACGAGGTGTTCCGACCGCAACGAGCGACGTAGAGGCTAGCTTGTGCGTGTCGAGTTTCTACGTGGTACGACAAGACTTCCACTTCATACGTACTATCCAACTTAGGTGGCATTTGATTGATTCCCTTCCAGTTTTACTTTTAGATGCAAGTCCAACTTTGATATTTAGGATCTACAAGAACTCCATGGCCCTTCGCTTGAAGATGTCCACACTCTTTTATGAAAAGGAGGGGTATGCAAGCATAAACCCAGTAAAGGTTGTCCAAGAAGAAGAACTCAATCATGATTGCTTAGGAATGTTTGCTAGATTTTTTTTGAAGTACTTAGATAGAATTTTTGTACAACAACTCCTACAAGTACATTTACGCTCCGGCTGCTATTTGATGCGTTATTCGACTAAGCCTTCCAGATTTGCCATGATCTTCCCAAACGGTCGGCATAATATGCGCATAGCCTTCCTCTGAATATTAACAATACCCTGAAGGAGTGTATAGTGATATCACCTCTCCGTTGTAGTACCCACCACCTCTTTCCATTTCTATTTCCTTCATTTCTGCTATGATCCGTTGTATTTCTGCAAAACGTTCATAGAAATAGAAATTAGATACGAAATATATCGAACACAACAACAGCATTGTAAATGTGATAAAGGAGATGTTGAAGCGGTTTTGTGAGTACTTAACACTTTTTTACAGTTTTGATCATTATCTTCAAACTACAACTACACCAGCAGAACGTACAAAGGATATTTTTACTTGTACAGACTGATCATGAAAACTTACTAAAGAAGCTCACGGTATACCTGCGGGGCAATAGAGGTGACCACCCCGCCCTCAGGGTGGATCACAAGGAGGACAAAGACAGACAGTCCACCTGAAACAGCGACAACAGTAAAGGCCCCATCCCGATCCGTTCAATCTTAGCTCTCGCGATATCCTGGCAACAGACAAGCTCGCTTTTCTAGTGGTGACAGTGAACAGAACAAAAACAAAAGCAACAGGCAGAGGCACAACACGAAGCGCCACGTCATGAGATGGTGACCCAGTAGCGTGCTCCTTCCGCGAATGGTTTCAGGTTGTTCACACTCATGCAGTTTTCTTCAGAGGAAAACAAGCGACAGATCTGGATCTTCTTCCATGACAATGACGGTTATACTATATTCTTCGGCGACGTCTTCATATTCTTCGGCGCGTAGTTCTCTTTGTGCAGCGTGATGGGGAGACCCAATCTTCTTCTTCTGATAGTACAACTCACCCACGATTTCACTAGTCAAACCGTTGGAACTCAACTGAGATCTACTGATCTGGACTTTCATCTCCGGTTTTTGGCAGTTTTTCCTGCGACAAAGCCGACGCGCTGTAAGTAGCATGTACTTGAAGATGTAAGAGACGTGGAAAAACTACTCCTTGCAAGAAATAAATTGATTACAACTTTTCAAAGCGCACCAGAACAAAGCGCAATGCGACCAAGAAGAGCTGCGGCCCTCCTTCTAGGAGGACTCTCTTCGCAATTCGGTGGAGTCCGACCGACCGCCGCTTGCCGATGGGCAGTGTATGCCGGAGAACGGCCGGAACTTGCTAGCAGCCTTTTCCTGTCTGAATATGGTGGCGCAACCCACGCGCTAGATACCCAAGTGAACCGAGAACCAGTGGGCGACTTAGCGACTCATCATCTCACTGCTGGTGTAATTACAGACTTCTGCATCTTCTTCAATGTCCTTAATGGTTCGCCTTCTGCCATCATTCTCCACTTCTTCTCAGCACGTTATTGTTCTCCACGACAAGTAGATCTCCAATAATTATAATCAATTCACCAATCAACTATATGTGGCCGTCTGACGAGCGGCGGAGCTGGATAACGGAGGAACTCAGTCAATCAATCAATCAATCACTCAATCAATCAATCACTTAAGTACTCTTACACTGTAATACAGACCCCACCACGATTCCGTTGCCCTATTTCCTTGGGGATGCACCGGATGGACTCTTTTTCGATCCGAAGAAGTTCTTTCTGCGCAACCATCCAAGTAATACGGACGGATGGGGTCTCGGATGGTACTCTGGAGGCGACTTGAATCAATTATGAAGATCGATTTGGTTACATATGTAGCTGGTGCTGGTGGAGTAGAGATATTTATTACTGAAATTTTTGCTAATCATACTACTAGGCACTCAAAGTCGAAGTCCTCTTCAAGAACATAAAATGATCACGAACAACTAGGGTTTACAACTTCAATATCATATTGATACTACTACAAGAACTAGGCACCACTCGAACTGCAGCTTCCAGTTATACGCCTTTGCCCATCTAGTAAGTAGCACTATTGAGATATCCTTATCGACGAGGTTCAACCTTGCTTACGGCAACTCGTTGACAACATCTAATTTCTGGTCTCAACCCGCGCACACGAACTATCACTGGCCCCGTTGCAAAGCGATATCGCGACCCAGAACCAGGTGTGATCCAGACAGTGACCAGGGATGACTACTACGACACGACGACCTATGCCAACGTCACGGCACCGGATCTTGTCGCTCTGACGCAGATCGTGAAATCGCCCATCATCTTCGGTCACATCCGGGCTGCAACTAAGGGTGCTCCGCTTGTTAAGGGTCTTGTGAATACTAGCAACCTAAGCTTAATATCCATCGATCTGATACTTTTTCCAAGAACGCTGCTCTCGCAGTCGTACCGCAAGAATGGTTAAATGAAAAACGCACCTCTTCGCGTGATTCAGTTGTATGCACATCTTGTACAACTCTTCACTCATCATCAGATCCCCATCTAATCCTTTCGTCCATCGTCGTGCCAATGCACATCCATTTTTGTTCAATGGAATCATGTGGATGCACAATGGAGGCCTGCCATCTCACGCTCAAGATGCTCTACGAAACAACATCCTCTGCGAAGACTTGAAGGGGTTGTTGGTTTCAGGGAGTACCGACTCGGAATACCTTTATGATCTCGGCTGCTGCCCGTTTTCTTCTGTGATCATCCTGTTGCAAGAACCTGAAAGTGAACGGCTTCCTGTTCATACCTCTAACTCATAGGCGCCTACTTCGTATCCCAGTTGATTTCCGTAGATCCTCTGAGGGATCAGTCGGTCCAGGACTTCTGTTCAACTTAAGGGTAGGTTAAAGGTGCTTTTCTTACCGCTTTTTATGCCTCTCCTAAGGGAGAAAGGCATAAAAAGCGGGGTAAGCAAGCACCAAAAACCTACCTCTAATCAACGCGATCCTCTGCGACGTTTGTGCCTACCACGACCACCCCTAGCCCTACGACGACAACGACGGTGTCCTCTACTTTAAGGCTTCTCCTATTCCATCTCCGGAAGCATCTTGGAGACGTTTTCAAGGGGAAAATGGTTTCCGGATGCTCCTCAGGATGGATAAGGGTGAGCTCCAACTACTTCTAGTGAAGGTGGTGCTCCTGAGGGAGATGCTGGAGGTACTCCTGATACAGAGACAGGCTCCAGTAGCCAAGATGCAGTCGTCGAGGCTTTATCAAAAGAAGGAGCGAACAAGAAAGACAACTCGTTCTACTCCACTGAAGCAATGGTGACGGCACTGAAGAACACCGTGAAGATGGTGACGGACTTGGGAGGAGAGCCATCGAGTTTGAATATCGCCGTCTCAGACGGCAATGTTGTGTTGGCTTTGAGGTACTACAGCCATTTCCAGATTGAATTTTGTAGTTTTGATGGTAGTTGTCAAAAAAGGACTTCTGGTAGTCGTGAAGGTACCAGTATGAGTCATGATGTGTGCATCCCGAATATGGCGATCCAATCTTCTTCATTCCTCGTGTATTCCCATCTGTCAAACTCACAGATACCGAACCTCCCCCGCAGAAGACCCACCGTCTCTGTACTATGCAAGAACGCAGAAATCCGTTTGGATATCGAGTGAGCCTCTGGATGCTGGAAGAGAAGAGCCAGTAAACTGGAACACACCTGCGGACAAGAGGATACCACCACAGATCCTCTTCGATCACGACGCGGAAAGCAACTTCACAGCGACAGCAGTAGCCGAAAGCAGCCTCTATACACCGGAGTATGGGACAGAATCAAGAACCTGGTATTCACTCAACAAGGACGAACTCCTTGTGTACGAGAATTATGGCAGTATTGAATATCTGCAATCTCGTAGCAAAAATCTGAATCTAAATCAAGTACCACAAAAGATTACGTAGCAGAAGCAGGATCTATCACTTGATCTCTTTCCTTGTTCTTCTAAGCAAAAAACACAGACACTTTGACCTTCGAGTGTCTGACTTCAGCCTGCGAGCAAGACAAGAAGGAACGACGCAAACGACGAAAGAAGCGAGCGACTGCGGGTTCATGGTTTGCATCTATCAAGAGTGTCTTCGGAAGCGAAGACAATGATCTGTGAATGACACCACTTAGAATGTCACCACTTATGTTGAGGTTACTAGGGTTTTAGCCTATGCCTGAGGCTACGCCTTGCAGTGTAAGATAAGTAGAAAAAGTAGGGCGGTTCTCGTTCAGCAAGGGAATTCGCCCTCGTGCCTAGAAGCTGGAAGGAACATCAGCAAAAGCGCAACATAGGTGTCCTTGGTTAGTCTTGTTCTTGATCATTTTAGCGTCTTTTTACACGAAAAGACATCTTTTTCATCGACTGCGGAAGGCCTTTGTCCGGAGTCAATTCACTCGTCTACGGGTAAAGTGTTTATAGCAAGTGTTCCAATTTTCTCCTATTTTCATCGGTAGAAGTGGTCTTTGCGCGAACAACTACATGTGAGGTCAGGAAAGGCGTTGAAGTGTCGAAGATCTTAAGCAGAGGTGGATGATCCGTCATTGGTGTTGTTTGTTGAAATATCACCGTCGTGCGTTTTCTTGTGGTACAACTACAACGTCTTTTCATTTTTTGGTATTTTTTGATTTTGTTGGTTCAGCAGCAGTTCTTACCCTACTTTATGTTTATTACATTGTAACACACTGGGTTTTCTCCTTTCACTTTGCAAGCAATAGTTTTCGTCGAATACGCATTGAAATTGGATTCATCTTCGTTTGCCTTTGCAGGAGAGAGCAAACTACATGTCCTACAGCAAGCGCTGCATCTGTTTCTGGGACAACTACAACAACTACAACAAGGTAAAAAAGGAATCTGCTAAAAAAGTAGGCGCTCCTATTTACATCTTCAATTTTTGAAAGGCATCAATCGGGAATTGTTTCTAATCCTGACCTACGTAAAACATTTTACGCTCGTATTCTTAACAACAAGAGTCTCTTCCTTAGACTCTTATTCACACATAGTTATAGTGTACTACTAGGTTCTCATCAACTTACAATAATTTCTACTACTTGAACTTGCAGCGTTTCATTTCTAATAAAATATATTGTATGTTCTAACTAACTACGAGTACTAGCACTCACACACTTCACGGACGAGACATACATATTCAGCGGCTGTCATCTATTTCACGACACCAAGACACAAACTAACTAGTCGAGATGAGCGTCCATCGCAGAGCAGGAGAAGGTCGTTATGTGGGATGGACGAGTCGCCTCGCTCCACAACTGTCTGCGATAATTTGTCTCCTCCTCTCTTCGTCCAGCACTGTCCTAGCTGCGAACCGTGGACAACACAAGACTGAAGCTAAAAACGAGAAGGCCGAAGAAGTAGCGGAGGCTACTACGGCAAATGCTAGAGGACAGCTACAACATGCTCTAAAGAAAGAGCCTCCAACGGAGAATCCTGGACCTGGAGGACAGCAAAAAGCGGAAGTGGATTCACCAAAAAACAAAGTAGATGTGGCTCATGCAGCTGGAAGCAGTCGCGACAGGAGACGTGAAGGCCAAGAACATTCGAAAAAAGCTGAAGATGATCACTCTCCTGCGAGAAGAACTCCAACTGCTTCTCCATTAAGGCTACTTCTAGTTGTCATCTTCTAAACACGTCTTTTATTGTGCATTTAGATTTGGCTCGCGGTCACCTACAAAATGAACGGCGGGCTCTCTATCTCTAATCCCACCCCCGCCAGCAACGACTTTCCACTTCCTTGGTGAAGTAAAAATGGAGAAACGAGATGCGCCTTCTCACAGCGACGAACTGGGTAGAGATCAAGGCTACAGCGCTCATCGACGTCCTGCTCTTCTTCAAGTGAAAGAAGAACAGAAAGAGCAACAAGATGATGACTTCTACAGGCATCATGCGCATGTTCAGGTGAAAGGGATTCCCGAGGCAATGACGAAGAAAGTAAAAGCTGAACAGCTCGAAGAACATGGAAAACAACAAGAGCAGGATCGCAGAGATAAGAAGAAAAGAAAGGTACTACAACTACGGGAAAGTGAGGGCTCTGAGGACGCTCAAGTACACGAGGCTCTTCAACCAGGAGCTCCAGCCGGCTCTGGCTTGATGCAAAGCAGTATGGTCGTGAAAATAAAACTCCCAGAAGAAGACTTCAATTTTACTGAAGAAAATCAAGACTTGTTGGTATCAGCATCCGCTCAAGCTGAAGACAATAAGTTGAAGGCTATTTTTGGGAACAGGCAGGAAGTTGCCGCTAGTCCGAATAAAGCTTCCGTAGTCGTAAAAGATCAGCCTTTTTTGAAGCTACAACGAAGCGCAACCGTTCATCATGGACCTCCTCTTTCTAGGGAAACCTGTGCTGGAGGGAACAGTTTGTCTTCATTCGGCGCTGCTAGCTCAAGTGGAAGCGCAGCTGTTCATGTGTCTTTTTGTAAAGTCGAAAGAGGAGTTAGTACCAAGGTTGAGCAAGGACAAGCAGAAGGCGCTGAGATCGGAAAAGAGGCTAGTCGAACTGAACAAATCGGCGAGCCAATGAAAGCTAGTTGTAGTGCTGAAATTGAACAAAGACCCAGTGTTCCTGAACCCGAGCAAGTAGCTACCGAACCGGAGCAAGCTAGGACTACTGAGGTCGTCAAGCAAGAAGCTCTGGCTAGAAGTGCCGAAACGCAGGCAAATGCCGCAGCTTCTAGTACACATGAAGGACCAGGAGCTACCGATGAAATTACGGGGAATACTGCACCTGCAGCAGCAGTTGTTCAATCTTCTGAAACTGCAAATATTATGGCTGCGACAGAGGATGTTCATCAAGATCCACCTTCCAGTTCAATTGCCAAAACCGATGAACCAAATCAGCCTACTGAACAAGCAGCACGACTAGAAAAGGTTGATTCGCTTCCACAGTTTGGCGAACCATTACCCGATTCACTTGGTTACAATCCTGGTGAACCTCTGCCTGAAGGCGAGTCCCAATTTGGCAATGCCTTACCGGATTCATTGGGGTTTCCTGACCAGGATGGAGTTGGAGACCAGCTTGTGAATGGACAAGATGGTGCTGCAGCAGAAGCAGTTGGTATGAATAGCGCAGCACAACAAACTACTGGACCACACGTAGGAGATGGAGAACAAGAAACTGGAGGTGGAACAAATCTCAGTACATCTGTAGGAACTCAGACGGAAAATGCTGCGGAAGAGAGTTCCTGCAGACGAGAAGGACAAGTAGGAGTTTGTTCTCAAGGCTTTCCCAATCTTCTGCGCCCACGACAGGTTCACATACATGTTCATGTTGCAGCAGGTCAACAACAGCAAGGGATGTTGGCGCCTCCACCTGATCAACACGAACTACAAGGTCTTCAACAGAATCAACAATCTCTATTAAACAACCAGGCATCAACATCAAGTTCAACACCTTTGAACAACCAGGCATCAAGCTCATCATCATCAAGACCTAATGCTAAGCCTGGAAATTCTTCCTTCGTTCGCGCCAGAGGGAAAGACCCGTGTTGGGGATTCATCCAGGACATCCCTGGCCTCCACGAACTAGCTGCGAATCCGAACCACGAGTACTGTTAAGGTTCCTTTACTGTATATTAATTCATCTTGAGAACAACTGAGATTCCTCTTTGTCCCTTTTTGTAAGGACGAGGAAACACGTTATTAGAGATGCTTTTCAACAAGTACTCTAATTATACTTGTGAGCTCTAAGACTGCCATAACGTACTCTCGGATAAGAACGATAAGAAACCGAGAACGTATCAAATCCGACTCACTACCGTGAAGCGATATGCGATGGATCCCGTAAACGCAGTGCCAGGGTACATTCAGGAGAGGTGTGGAGAGAATCATGACTTGATCTATCACTGTACCTGTGAAGCTTGGAAATTTCGAACTGGGCCTATCTACGAAAAAGGATGCAAACATATTTGGAGACTGGTATTTGAGGTTCTTGTTTTTCAAGCACATTTATCGTAGCATCGATCTAGTTTCATTTTGCTGGTCGACCAGGAGCGTCTCCACCAACTATCTACAAGTAGATACTCTTGTGTTATTTTTCCAGTTCAGCCAAAACTACAAACGAAAAAAACGACTACTTATCACAGCTCGGTTACAGTGAAAGTGAATTTCCGGAAGCAAAGAGATCGCGCGCGACGTCGCGGTCTCGCTCAAACAGTTCTACCAGTCAACGACTGAGCACGTCTGGAAAAGGAGGCAAAGGCGGCGGCAAGGGTAAGGGAGGTCGCAGAGGCGGAAGAGGAGGACAGGAGTATCTTCACTACATTTATACTAGCTTGGAGCGTCCGATAACATCCCTCCCACTAGGATCCTCCTCCTCCCCAAAATAAGAAAATAAACAAGGCAAAGATGTAAGCGATACGCGTTGTCAAATTTCGAAAATTTTCCACGTTTTGCCATCGTTTGCGGATTGGATCTCGTGCGTTTGAAGTCAAGCGCTAAGATCCCAAAACTTTTGGACTTTAAGCCCTTCCGCTGAGATTCAGCTTCGTGCTTGGATTTGCATTCTTCAAATTTCGAAAATTCTCCACGTTTTGCTGTCGTTTTGGGATTGAATTTCGTGCGTTTGAAGCGCTAAACTCCCAAAATTTTTGATTTTAAGCCCTCTCCCTGGAATTCAATTTCTTGGATTTGCATTTTTCAAAATTCGAAAACTTTCCACATTTTGCCGCCGTTTTCGGGTTGAATTCCGTGCGTCTGAGGTGCTAAGATCGCAAAATTTTTGATTTTAAGCCCTTTCTCTCGAATTTAATTCCTTGGATTCGCGTTTTTTCAAATTTCGAAGATATTT